CGCGCGTGTGTGTTAGTGTTTGTGTTAGTGTATGTGTGAGTTTACAAAAGAAGAAAATGAAGAAAAAAATGAAGCTGACAGGAAAAGAAAACAACTATAAGCAACCAAGAATGTAGATGCCTCCTCCACCTGAATCATTACATCCCTACGAGCCGCCTCCGCGAGGCCCATCCCGGACACTAATAAATGTGACGAAGAGCTCGGCAGGTGGAATGGAGATGCGACCGTTTAAAAAGAGAACAAAGAGAAAACAAGACAAAGAGAACAAGAAGAACAGGAGAGGGGAGAGGAATGTGTCTTTTTATTTTATTATTTGTTTTATTAGTTAACTTATTTATTTACTATTTATTTTAAAATTAGAATTTCTTATTTTACTAATTAATTTTAATTTATTATTTGACATTATTTTAATTATTAATATTATTTTATTAGTCGTTTTTTTCTTCACACATTCTCTCTCTCTGACCCCCCAAGTTCGACCGCTTCCGTCTTAAATAAAAAAGCCAAACAAAAATAAAGCCAAAGATACTGTAAAGAGCCGGCAACGGCCTAGGAACAGTAAAACAAAGAAGGCCAGACGGATATTGAAGAATATATATATATAAAATTGCCTGGAATTCAACCAAACAAAACTTACGGCGTATACTGTCCTCCAGTAATTGAAAACTCTATAGATGAAAAAATTTATGACCAAATATTTAATCATTTCTCCGATATCATAAAACAAAAATTTCCCTCTATAAAAATTAAAAGATACTTAAAAAAAATATATAGATATCGAATCCTCTGAACGCGAGATCATCTTAAATTATCACATTGAGAAAACTTAAAACATGGGGAAAAAAATTAGCACATAAGAGGATACATGAAGTTTACCAAAATATATCAAAAAGAAATTACTGGCCAAAAATGTTAGAAGAAATAACGAAAATAGTTAATAACTGTTCCCTATGTAAAGAAATAAAACACTACAGGCTGGCTGCCTATAAAACAAGTATACAGAATCACACCTACACCTAATAAACCCTTTGAAAAACTTCAAGGTGATGTCTTGCGTTATGATGGTAAATTAATATTCACATTAATAGATTGTTTCTCAAAAAAACTCTTTGCATACGTAATAAGAGCAGCTAATGCTAATGAAATAATCAATTGCTTAGAGCAGTATTTTACTACCTTTCCCAGCCCAAAGATATCCAATTTGACAACGGCACAAAGTTTAAAAACAGATTAGTCGAAAATTTTCTTAAACATAATAAAGTAGAAACACACTTCACCACACCAAACCATTCAGATTCAAACGGTCTTATAAATAAAGCACACTCATCATTAACGGAAATAATGAACATTATAAAACACGAAAAAAATTTACCCTTTAATCAAAACTCTAAGACTGTCTTTAATTGCTTATAACAATTCTATGAGTTCAAACATAAAAATGTCTCCTAATGAAATTACTTTTGGTCCAAGCCAAAATTCATATGCAGAAGATGTAATCCTAGAACAAACAGTCAAATAATATCACGATAACAGAGAACTTGTAGCTAAAGTTATTAAAAAACAAATCGAAAATGAAAAAGAAAATAGAACATATAAGTTAAACCAAACCCGGGAAAATATATCAATTCCCGAAGGAGAAAAGAGGAAAGGAATTTAGGAAGGAAGGAAAATAAAAAAGGAATTTATTCTCCCGATACAAAACTAGCCACCTGATGATGATCTTAAAGGAAACAATGTAAAATACGTCCCAATCTTATCAAGAGACCACGAAAATTTTCAGGAAACCCAGTATCTGTTACAGATGAGGACGACGTTACTCACACTGATTCTCCTGAATTTAGCGAATCGAGCCAGACCAGTCGAAATAACTGACCTGACGAATGGACCTGGTATTGTCGCTATTCGACTACCACAGGCACACATAATAGATAACTACATACATTCATACACGTAATTGACATAGATGTAATAAAAAATTAATTAAAATATACACGAGACTCAATAAATCACAAATTGAATGAATCTCAGACTCACTTTTGGCACTATATCAATACACAAAAAAGAAATTTGATCATCTAATTAACGATGAAACTAAAACTAAAAGGTCAAAACGAGGGCTCATTAATGGTTTAGGAAAAGCAATATCTTGGATTACCGGAAATATGGACTCCGACGACAAAGAACGCTACGACAAAGCGATAAACGCCATCCAAAGTAATTCTTTCCATTTGCAGCATAATGTTGAAAATCAGATGGCTATTAACAAAAAATTAATTGACAATTTAATCATGACATTCAGACAATACAAGACAATAATAGAAAAATAAAACCATTGACAAATCCTATACTAACCCAATTAGAAATAAACAAAATTTATAATTCTATATTTGTAAATCTAATATTGTTAGAAAACAAAATTAATGATGTCGAAAATTCTATAGAATTCTGTAAGCTTAAAACATTACATCCTTCAATCCTAACGTATGATGATCTTGAATCACTGAGAAATACAAGAAATATTACATTTGTATCGCCATGTCTTGGTACACTCTGGCAATTGACCAAAGTACATTGTTCTTTTATAAATAATGAACTTTATTATTTTGTCGACGTGCCTTTAAAAAGTTCCACCCTTGAGACATACTTCCTATTGTCCTATCCTGTAAATAAAAAGGATCATCTAACAACAGTATATACATACCCATCTTTAATCCTTAAAGCGAAGGATGACCTATTTACTGCTACTTGTTTAGATGTAAGTAATCAAAATTATTGTAGCAACATATCAAAAATTAATAATAATTGTATTAAACAAATTATTGCAAATGAAAATCTTTTCGGTTGTAAATATGTCTATATATCGAGCACATCATTTATTAAATATGTACCATTTATAGATTATTATTTAGCTTTTAAAACTAAAACAATTGTAATTAAAAGAAATAATGTGAATAATACAATATTGGGGGGCGTCGGTGGCCGCAAGGTTTAGTCTTTGACACGGCGCTCATCACTATGGTGACAGTGAAAATAAACTTAAAATGAAAAATATTGACAAAACGTAAGGTAAAGGTACCGGGTTCGAATCCAGCGGCCCTGCATTCGAACCCGACCATACTTACAAATGAGTTTTTTTTTCAAAAACACCGGTACCCTGAGGGTTTATATGACCTCTGCTGTTGCGAACCCTCGTAAAAAAAAAAAAATTACAATATTTATATCTAATACTAGTTTAATTAAATTAGATAAAAATGAAATATTGTTAAATAAACAAATTGTACCAATATTTAAGGAATCCAAAGTTATGTATTCACAAACCGACGTGTTCAGAGTGGCGAAAGCTAATATATCTTTTGAAGATTTGCATAAGCTCAATGTAAAAATGCAACCATTAGAACTATTAGAAGATGTTCCCTCGACATTTTCAATAATTTATGTTCATGTTATAATTTGTATGGGCATTTTGTCAATATTCTTCATTTTAAGTTTATTTTCGCTGTCACCATAAAGAAGACCCTCATCAAGAAGTGGAGCCTGTAGTCGACACCTGCGTCTGTTTCTACAGGACTGCCTTTTTTCTCGCAGGAGCTTCGAACATAGGGACGGAGGAGGTACGGAATAACCAAACGCCCCTCAGACCAACACGTCAACAATGTCTGGCGGGACCAGACGGCCGCCAATCATCTTAATGACCACCTCTTAAAACTAGTATAAAAACCCTAATCCCCAAATACCCTTGCCTTACTCTTGCGATAGCCTTACGCCCGTCACTCTGTCGGTTTAAAATTAAAGATTGTACAGTTTTGACAATAAAGTCTCTCCTTTTTTTAAAAAGTCTTCTTCAAGCGATTACTTAATTTACATGTAAGATGAGAAAAAATAAATTTATACAATGACAGAAATTTTAGATGCAATCAAAGTACATATTTGTATTCACTGGAAGTGTTTGTTTTCTGTGTAGATATGTCATTGCAGTGTGTCGACCTTCCACCTCCAAGAAGCCGACTCCTCGTGGAAAGATGGATTTTTATCCCTGCTTCATCATTCAAAATCCAACGTATATAAACAAAAAAACAATATCTCACTATATATCAACACGTTTATAAATGCCAGGCCCTGAAGATGATCTCAATAAAGATGGAACGTGTACGATAAAGAAAATGTTTTCTAAACCTACGTCACACTAGACCGCATCTCACGAAGTTTGGGGAGGCTGCGCCGTCTCCCGCCTCGATCGGCACAAGGACCGCCACGGAGAGCTGTGGTAGGCTAAAATGCACCCTACGCTTTGGTCAAAGGGAAGACGTAAATTTAACCAGACCTGGCCTACCTTGAGGGCTCCGTCCGAGCCCGGGAGTGATGAAATATGAGTCGAACGGATATCCTGACTAGGCACTCACGGTACTTTTCTCGCATTTATTGTTTCGTTAGTTATTCGCGGAAGTAAAAGGATACAAATAACGATATAGAAACTGGAGGCAAGGAAAACTTCAGAGTTACGAGATGGAAGCTATTTCGAAACAAAACATATACGTCGGAACCACAAGAACCACGCGGGTCTGACCGAAGAAAAAACGACCACCTAATACTGAGAGCAAAACGAATACTGTTTTCCATACGTTACTGTTTGCAAAATCGGAACTAAAAACTCATGGAAGAAAGGGAAAGAAAACCGGAGTGGGGAGCAAATAAGATTTAAGATGGCAAAACGTCACAGAAAATCATCGCGCGTAAACGGCGAGAACATTTTTCTATCAAAAAAACGAACAGCTGGTGTGTTCGTGGTTGATAAAAGGTGTTTGTTCCATCTTTACTGCTCAATGGTTTAGTTTAAGTTCTAAGATTAAAAAATTATGTCAAAAATAAAAAAATCCTTCGTTCTGCAAAATACATTGTTTATTTTTGATTATGTATGTCAAATATTACATATATTGATGATTGATTGGAATGTTTGCAACTTAATACAAAAATTATCACACAAAAAATTAAGCATATGTAATGTTTTTTTATGAGTTGATGTAGAAGTTGCAAATATTACCTTTAAAACTGAACAACAGAGTATTTTGAATATGAGTAAATCATCAAAGCGGAAAATGAAGAATAAGACAATTTTGTCTGTTGAGGAAAAGGCCAAGCGGAGGCTTGTGATGGAGATGGTAATGGAGGAGCGATGTTCCGAGCTGGTCCTACCGCTCATTGAAAAGGAGCCGGCCTACAGAGAAAGGATCATGGAACACTTTTTTAACCAAGGGTGCAAGTACTTAAAGCCTCTTAAAAAGCTTGAAAAACCTAGATCTAACTATTTGAAGGATCTCCATATCCAAGATTACAGGAAGTATGAATGCAGTTTAGAAGGGCTTCACAAAGCTTTCTATGAAACGCTCTCCATGATAAAATTGTTCACTAACGCCGATGGCAAGTAACAAACTTAATTTCTTATTATTTTGGTTTTATTTCCCATGCATCGTTTTGATTGTTTGATTGATTTATAAAGGCTCGATTCTGCCCATATGTGCAGAACCGAGCATATGACTTGAGCTGGCCACAAGAATCATCTACTCCGGTATTTTGGTGGTCAGACTTTATCTTAAGCGATCACCATCAAAGCTAAGCTGAAGGAGCTATCGAAGTAAGGTCATTTCAGCCCCCAACGCTTACATTTTTAACCCTACATGTTGACTCTCATTCATTCTAACATACATTCTTTTTTATTTATACAGCTTTCGCTCAAGTAGGGTGATAGATTACTCGATAGTAGTACTAATAATGTTTATTCACAAAATAATTAATACAAAGTAGATATAAATTATACAAAGAAAAAATATTATCTGCTTTAGTTACTCTTCAGCTCAGTTGCATAAGAAAATAAATCTATCTGTAAACTTATTGTAAAAAATTTAAAATTACAAAAAAAAAAATCAAAACAGTACAAAATTAACAATCAAGTGAGGCTTTCAAATATTTTCATGACAGATCCCAATTTTGACCATACACATAATCCCAAAGATCACTCTCTGTTAAAGTACTTTTGTAAAAATATTTGACTCTATACTGCCTCAAAATTAGACCAATAGCAATAATATGATTAATTAATGTTTTCTAATTCTTTACGATTGCACAATTTACATAATAGACATTAATCTGAATTAAATGCCTGTAATAATTAACACGATTTAATGATTAATTTTACATCACTGGCATGTAATACCGAATTAAAACAACGGCCAGGGGGACAGTGGGAACTGAATCCATGCATCCTGGGTCAAAGAGCCAACAGTGTATCACACTAACCGCTCAGCTACCCCAGTCAGTCGATCGACATTGTAATTTAATTTATCATAAATAACATGATAAATCCTATGTCTTGCTTTTAACTGTGCATTTACTTTCTCAGTTTGAACAATACCACAAATTATTATATTTGTTCTCCATAAGTACTTAAATCTCCATTGCTTGTTATCAATATTAAACTTGTTACACATATTTTTCCATTTACCGAAACAAGAATTTTTTTTTAATTATTGTTTTTACTAATACATTAAGGTAGTCTATTGGTAGGCATTTTAAAAACTTGTTAAATACATTTTATTGTCTACTCAAACATACTACTTTTGCTCAGTTCTAAATTTACAAAATAATTTGGACTGTTACAAGGAAGGTTAAAGTTTCTTAACAAAAAATCTTTGTAATTGTTCCACATCCTCAAGCTCCTTAGAGTCCCAAACTTGAGCTGTGTAACAAATTATTATATCAGATGTTGAATAAAACCTTTGTATTTAGATTCAAAAGGCACTTCAGGGTTAGACATTTAAATTCTGCCAAACACTATACTGAATTTGGCCAAAGCCAATTTTTCTTTTAAATGGGTACCAAACTTCAAAGAGGGCGTTAAAGAAACACCCAAATATTTATGGTTTTTTACTGTTTCAATTAACTGCCCATTGAAGAACTACTTCTCATTCTTCAAGGGGTCTACCTATTCTTTTCAAACCATAATCATTGATTTGTCTAGATTTACTTCTATACCCCATTCTTTACAATAATCACTAAAGGAGTTAAACATTAGTTGCAACAGAGCGTCATCAGCAATAAATTCAATATCATCTGCATATAGTGCATAGTAAAATACACACTTTCTATTTCTGATTCTTATACCCTCTCCAACACGTCGTTCAAGCAGAGAGAAGACCAGGGAAAGAAGTCAATCCTGTTTAGCCCCATTTGGTGTATTGAATTACGCTGACCTTCTGCACTCCACACTGCCGCTATCTAATATTCTTCTGTGAAGGTCTATGTAGATGCAAGTTCTTGCAACTAGGATAGGAAAAACTACAAGCAAGATCCTACACTAAGGAGCTGCTGGCAAGGCTATGGTCGTTAATTACAACCTGAAGCTGGCCAGTGAGTTATAAAAACAGGGGAGCAAAATAGATCTACTCAGATCGAGGTTCAGAAGGCCTTGTGGCCGCCTCTTTTGTCTTTATCCCCATCCATAAATCACATTACCTGTACCTCTGCCATAAACTGATAGCAAAAAGCAGGAATAACAAACAAATTAAATTCAAACCAAAATAACTTCAAAACTATGTATTTTCACATAAAAATTCATTACAATAAACTTTTTTGACTAATTTCACTTCAAACAACTACTACAAAAAAAAAAAAATAAATAAAATAAAATAAACCAATAAAAGTTCTTTACTCTTTGAACCTCTGCAACCTGAGGTACTCAATATTCCTTCGCCACCCTTTACACCTATAAACAAATATACATACAATACCTAGTCTAATTAAGGGTCGACTTAATATTCCTCTATTGATGTTATTGTACCACACACATTCACTCATATAAATACTTTTTCACAACTATCACCAAACTTAATAAGTACACAATAAAAAAATATCTATGTATACAAACTACCTCAATTTCCTCCTTATCCTTTATTATAAATTATGAAAAGGGTGTAATTTATTGTACAGTAAATATGTCACATTTGGGATCCATTTGTTTTATAGTTTGCAATTTTATTATCTAGAAAGTAATGCCCTGCATTACTTCGTCAGAGTTCGACAGGTGGTTAGCTCATACTTTTTTTTTACTACCACCCTAAAGAGTGATATTTGATTGATATTTAACTTGTTTTCAAATCTATTGAAATGCAAAAGTGCAATTTACTTTCAGTTTTTGTATTTTAATCTGTCATTTTTCTTCTTTCAAGTGCAACATTTTTCAATTATGAAATGGACAGAAATAATTTGATTTGATTTTTGTTAAAAAAATTTCTTGAAACTGGAATTTTAAAAACCTCTAACTTTTAATATAATATAACAATTATTTATTACAGAAGCATACCTTTATTTGACTGAGGAAAATAAGATATACAGATATTTCGATAGTGAATGTCGCTCTTATGCAACAAGATGGCCTATTGGTAAATAATTTGTTTGAAATCAATAAATCACATTTTGAAAAATAAACTTTTCAGCACCAGGAACAATAATAGCAGCATTTGTTGCATACTCACAAGAGTGCCTTATGCTAACAAAATCAAGCTTGATAAATGAGAAATACCCTTTGGGTCTTGGCAGAAGAGGTTGGCAATATATTTTTATACATTTTATTGATATTCATTCCACATTTTCTTAGGTGTTTTACCAAATTCAGTTATAAGTGTGCCGGCTATTACACCAGACAGGAAAGTCCTTGCTGTATTTGAATATGTCAAAAGAAATTCTGGTTGTTTTTTTAATAAAGTAGTTTCTTTTATGGTTTCATTGTTTTTTGTACAGTTTTGTAATAATTATTTGCACAAGTATATTTTTTCACCTCCAGGATGAGTTAAACTATGCCATTGCCACCGGTGCCTGGATGGCAGCTGCATTGACTCGCAAACAGGCAAAACAACAACTTCTTCAGATTAAAGCTTATAACTGGAGGCTTTTGAAATATTTCAAGAGTTTTTTAAATGGAAAACTTGAAGTTGACAATTTTGTTTCAATGAGCATGGTAACTGTTCTTAAATAATTAAAATACATATACTCTTGATTGATATTGCATATGTTACACTTGTTTTTCGATCCGAGCAACACGGGCCCAACCACGGATCCTAATTAACAGAAAACAACAGCCCCAGAAGTCTTGATCGGACATAAATTCAAACCGATTCAACTTTTTTATAATACAAATTAATCCAGGCTTCAAAACAATCAATTAATTCTACAAGAAAATAGTAACAATCAACACAAATTAAATATATTACTTCTTTTCTACAATCAAAATTTTTTCAATTTAAGAAAACAGGAATTTTATCTTTTTATAAACTGTAAGCCTATATGTCAGACGTTTAGGAAGTAAGGATGGAGTCTCGGCAGTCCACTTGGGCTTATTCTTTTCTTCTGCACTTTTTTTATGACCCTACACTTTGATTCTTTCCTGCAAGAATCGAATAGTTCTGATCTCTCTGTCCTAAAAGTGGGGATCCTTTTATAAGCACTTAGGAATGAAGTCTAAATAACAAAGTTTTCAATATGAAAAATTTAAATGTAGCACATATATCCTTTTTCAGGATTTGAAAGAAATTATTGTTTTTAAACAACATAAACAATAAACAGGAAAATAAAAAAAGAATCTTCATTGATCCCAAAAATTTACATTTTATAATAAAGCGGCTAACGTTGCTTATATTTCAAACACCATCACAGGGAGATTACGAACACATAATTATATTTATACATACACAACTAATTGTATTTTTATCTGCATTGTAATTACATTTATAATTACATAATTTATATATTGTAATTATTCAGATATCGTGAGATGCGGTCGGGAGGAATTGAATCCAGCAGCACTGTATTCGAACCCCACGTACTTACAAATTGACTTTTTTTTAAATAACAGCACCTTCCACTTTTTTCTGAACATTAATTTTCATTCCTTGCCTTTTAACAGGACTAAATTTGTTTGTTCAAAAATGGTATAATTTCTACAAGGCAAGAGTTGAGATTATAAAAATAGTTACAAAAATTTGATACAACTGGATATTACAATTTAAATTGTAGAGTGGGATCTATTTTAAATAGTGATAATCAGTTATGAACATAAACAATGTATAATATTGATATACTTTTTTACATTTCAGATGTCAATGAAGGATTGTGTAAAAGCAGAAGAAGTTATATACTACTCTAGGATTGCTGATAGGAAGCTCGAAATTGAAGTATTTGAAGAGTTGTCTAAGACAAACCAACGGCTTGTAAGAGTAATAAGAAAGATTTCGTATGTTAGACAATAAACACATATTTCTATTTTTTTATTGAACATTTACTGAAATTGTTTATTGCAGCTGGGCATTGTCTGACGAGATCTTTAAACAAGTTATAACAAATCATGAAGTAATTAACATATATGGCAACCAAATACAACAGTACTACAACCAAGAAGGTTCAGAGCAATTAAGAGCTGTACTTTGTGTCCCAGTGGGGACACACAAAAGAACACTTGGTACCTTATTTATAATATCATGTCACTAAATGAATTAAATGAGTTGATTTTACAGGAATTGTAAAAGTAGTAAATAAAATTGGTGCACCGAATTTCAATCAGGACGATGAAATGCTTGCAACATCTGCCGCAGTTTATTGTGCTTCAGCTCTTTTATATGCAGCAATTGCTGGCCAGTTGCACAATATGGTAAGTTTATGTTTAGAAAAAGTTTATGAATACTTGAACAGTAATTTTTCCTGAAGCAAGAAGTCGTACAAAGACAGAAACGTGTGCTGATTTACCATCTAAGGCCTTGCTCTCATGACCTTGAAGCCTTCAAGTCAAGAGCGCTTGTGAAGCCTCCAGCAAATTACATTTCGTAAGTGTCACTACTGTCTGTGATTCTATGGAGAATGGTAAGCAATCAAAATAGTGGAAAAGGAAGAAATATGTTCTTGCGGGAAAATAGGGAGTGGAATCAAAGTTTGATACAGTATTTTTATTTAATGAAATGTTAATTTATAAATTTACTTAATTATTTGTAAATAAAAAATAAACATTTGGTGAAAGAATATTTTATATTATCCTCTCTTCTTTTATCAATGCCACACTATTTAAATAACTTTTAACTATTTTAATTTAATTTTTTAAATTGTATTTTGTAGATTTTCGTGGTATCCAGCTCTAAGTGAACTGGACAACCTAACGGACTTCTCATATTGGATGTTCCAAGATCTTTTTGAAGGTGATCCAATGATGGACAACTTTCACTTTTTTATTCTCATGTGTAAGAAAGGCTACAGAGATATGCCTTACCATAACTTTGAACATGCTTTTCATGCAACACATTGTATGTTCTGCATAATCAGAAGCGCTGCTCAGAAATTCACCTATCTTGAGGTATAATTATTTTTCTTTTGGCTACTGACTTGTCGTTATTACTCACAGCTGTTTTAGCAATTAGCTTTGATGATAGCAATGATATGCCACGATGTTGACCATCCAGGGTTTACAAACAATTACATGAGGCAGATCTCACACGATCTAAGTGTTCTCTATCGGGATTCATTTCTGGAAAATCACCATTCAAACATCACTAAGATTCTAATTAGTGTGAGTTATTTATTGCGCATATAAACTCAAGAGTAAATTATTTCTACACGTTAAATAATTATTTTTACCAGACAAAAATTTAATCAACAAACATGTTGAAAATAAAAATGATTAAAAATATATTCATCATGATTTTTAGAAACAGAATAATTTGTACGCTTATAAGCATCCAAATAAAAATGGATATGGATATGGATAAATAATTCTTTTTTTCTAATTATTTTAATTTAATTGAAGGAATGCAATCTATTTGCTCATTTAAACCAGAATGAATTTAAAAATATATGCGATGAGATTCACAGCCTAATTATGGCAACAGATCTTAAATTGTACTTCCGTAAAAAAATGGCAATTATGGATCTACTTAAGCAGGGCATCTTCAACGAGAGTCTGGCAGACCATAAGTAAACCCAATGAAAAAATTAATAAATAAACTGTACTAATGTATTCTACTTTTATTCCATTTAGAACACTAATGAAAAAGCTGATGATGACATCATGCGATCTCTCTGGACAATGTAAACCTTTCAAAGTTACTCAACGTCTTACATTCAATTTGTACAAGGAATTATACAAAGAAGTAAAGTAAACATCACATATTTTTGGTTGTTGAATATTCATTTTATTGCTAAAAATGTATAGGGTGACAAACTACGAGCTATAGGGATAGAACCATTGGCAGTCATGGACAGGAACAATTACCTTGACATACCATCAGACCAAGTACACTTTCTCTCAGAGGTTGTGCTCCCATGTACACTCGTCCTGAGTGAGATTATTCCTGAGACTAAGGACCTCCACACATTGAGCAGGTGACAACTGTGTACACTATGTCTTTTTAAGGTTTATTTTTTTTTTTTTTAATTTCTATCTTTAACAGTGCTGTCTGTGAGACATGGAGGGCAGAGAAAAACAGGAGGATGGCACAAGCAGCGGCTATGGCTGCTCATGCTCAAACTGCTGCAGAACGGCAAGCAGCAAGTTTTCTCAGACTCAAGAAGAATGTGTAAAATATATTCCCAATACACTCTATCAAAAAACTTTTTACTGGCTTGGATAACTAACGATAAGTTGTTTCAAATTAAATTTACACAATATAATAATACATAAATCATAAAAGTAATAAATGTGTGTACCTTTTATCGACTAAGATACAAGTTCTGTTTCAACTCTTTTAAACAACGTTCCCCATATTTGATCATCATTTTTATCGCCACCTGCAAACAAAGTATACCATACACCAAATGGCTCCAAGTAATACTAAAAAAAAACCCGTTAAAATCTGTTCAAATGATGCTGTTTTTTATGCTACAATACAGAAGAAAAGAAAAGAAAGAATAATGAAGAAAAAAATGACAACAAAAAACAAATAAATAAATAAACAATAGGTCAGTGGCCACAATGGTAAGGTATTCACATGGTGTTCATCACTGTAAAAAAAGGTCTTGGGTTTGAATGCAGGGTCATTGAATTCAAACCCAACATATTTACTTTTTTTTTACATAATGCCCCCCTCCCAAGGGTTCATAAATTTTTAGATTGGTATTGGAAAAACAGCTAACACCTTCACAACAAGGGCAAATTTCAAAACGGCCATAAGGAAGAAACGGCCAACTGTATTATCTTCATATATGAAGCAACAACTCAATAAAGACATAAGGATAATCTGAATCAGGGTCTTGATGAAAAAGCAAATTCAATCATTACTGCCAAGCTTTTGAGCTATTTTAAGGTCATCATCAGGGCGAAACGATACTAAAGATGTCAACAAATGGACACAATTAAGACACAATTTTTAATACACAATTTCAAATTTCTTTGAAGAACAACTCACTCTCAACACTGCCAAGTATTGTAAAGAATGTAATCAAATTTGCTTTTTTATCAAGACCATACTGTTATACAGATTATTCTTGAGTAAAAAAGTAGTCGATTCATCAAACACTTAAAAAATAATCTAAGGTAGCAAGGAAATAGACAAATGTTAGAAAAGGTCAATGACCTTATCTTTCTCAAGAAGAAGAAACAAGTCAAATTGAATTAAGAAACTAGGAAAAGTACACTAATTTGGTCATTATTGATCAATTTGGTTTGCCTACCTCTAGGGATGTTTGTTTTTTAATTTCGCAAGTATAGGCAGACTAAAGTGATTGATATTGGATAACGACCAAATTACAGTGAATAGTTGAAATGATGGTTCTACTAACATAACAACTATGTTCTACTAACTAGTCAATGAGAACAATACTAGCCTATTCAGGCTTTATTTAATTAATTATACTTATAATAAGTTACATACCTCATCGGTATGGTGCTTGTTGGCTTTGAAGTCATTCCTAGCCCAATTCTTTAGCTCTATTCGGTCCTCATTTGAAGGTACCTCTTTTATAGACCTGAAGATATCCCTGTAAAGCTTGAGCACTCGTTGCCGCAGCATGAACTGAAGACGAGAACAACTTACTAAAAAAACATAAAATGAGAGAGTAAAAGAATTATAATTCTGACCTGTTTTAGATCCATCGGAGGCTTCGTCATAATAAATGTGTGTCGTCTGTTTCGCCACACATAAAACCAGAACATACACGCCACATAAAATGTATACACTCTCAACACGACACACAAGAATGACACAATTACGCGGAAAACAAACACTTTGAGTCTGATGATGAACTCAATAAAGATCGAAACATTGGCACGATAAAGAAAGTTTTTATAAAACCCACGTCACACCAGATCGCATCTCACAATCTCCGAATAATAATAAAATGTATATATATGAACTTAGGAAGCAGCTTAGACTGAAGCAGAGAATTTTTAATTTAAAAAAAAGTATTCAAATACTTTATTGTTTAGCTTTATAAACCACACAACGTGCTACGAGGTCCAAGTATTTTTTAGTTAGGAATTTTTGGGGGAAATTTGTTCTCACAGGTGGGTAAAATTTGAAATAATTTGGGGAAAATGAAACACTCGGTTGGGGAAATATTTTTTTTCTGGCCTGGCACTCTGGCAGCACTGAGACGTGTAGATCGTCTCTGTACTATCATGGTAGGCGTTTTCCACAATTGGACTCGGTTCACGGACAGTGCGAATTCCCGGTAGGAGGAAAGGAAGAAACGAGCGATCACTTTTTTCGTATTTATCGACTTGTCGATGAAAGGATAATGGCCGATACAACCGTGGAAGCCACCCGCCGGCTTAACGTCAAGAAACAGACTTTGGACGACGCGTACGCCGCCCCTGCCAACTTTCTTGAGATCGACGTTACCAATCCGGTCACTCACGGGGTCGCAAAAAAGCGATACACCGACTACGAAGTCCAGATGAAGGTACCGCCCTTTCTAATTTTAACCAAAAACTTAAGACGAAAAATTAACCTTGAGACTGCATCGATTGCCGTCTCAGAACAATGATTTATAACTTTGAGATGGCTTTTAAGTTCTAATCGGTTAACTTCCGTTTACAGACCAACTTGCCTGTCTTTAAAATCAAAGAATCCAGCGTGAGGAGGAGATACAGCGACTTCGAATGGCTCAGAAACGAATTAGAGAGGGACAGCAAGGTAACATGTTTTTTCTTTATTAACTGCCCACAGGAATCTTTTTTCACTTTGTACGTTGATATACCTATTTTTTTTAAATAATCTATTTGTAGTATGTAGTGTATCTAGCATATTTATGATATCGCGTTTCCAATTTTTTATGCGAGCACATCTACTGTTATCAACTATACTGTCCATTATAATTTTAAATCGTGAATGGGAATCGTACAAGTAACTTAGTGTAGTGATATGATCAATATAACATTTGATATCTGATGTGCCTGACCATCTGTGATGTTGACCTATGAAATACTTTGCGATGATAATATTCTTATTTCTTTCCCTTTTTTAAAATAATATATTGAAGGCTTGAGGATCAGTCAATAATGAATTATTTTAGAAAAACACCTTTTTCATATTTTTGCCGACGTTCCGACTTTTATTTGGGTCATCTTCAGGGTCTGGGTGAATTACAAAACATTGATTGAAAAAAATAGTGCAGATGTGCTTTTTTTTGTTTTTTTTTTTTTTGCATTATGATCTATGCATATTAGCCATGGTGACGAATTCTTATATGTGTGTTCAAATTGGGGGGGTTATCATGAAAAAAGGACCAGAGGCGCAGAGGCGACGGTGGGAATCGAACCCACGACCGCGGCGTGAGAGTCTCTCATGCTAACCGCTCGGCTACCGCGGTCAGTATAAATTTTGAACCAAGTATTTCATACTCACATAAAGTGTGTGCTATTCATGTGTGAAATTTTAGTGCAACAGGAATTGACAGGATGGGGAATAGGGAGTTTTATTTGACTCAAAGGATGTCAAGAATAGGGATTTTCTGGATTGGATTTGTCTCTTGGGATTTATTCGATAATAAAGGAAAGGGGAAATACTCTGGATTTGAGAATTTATCGGGTGTGTGGTTCTTGAATTAATTACACTACTATTATTCATATGCCAAGCTTTATACGTTTATATTTAAATCTTTGACTTTCAATGTTTCTTACATTGTTATTTTTATTGATAACTGAGTACATGTAAGCATAATGTGAATATTATTTCTATGTTAATAATTACATTCCATTACCTTCATATACGCCGATGACATAGCAATCCTCTCCCATATACACTCCCCCCTCGACAGTATTTTATTTTCTATTATTATTATTCTTTTATTTATTTTCAAGTATATAGAAATCAAGAGAGAAAGATACAAAAACAATTAGAATGTAACATTTAACCAGGTAAAAATAGATATATTAAGCAAATAAACATGTAAAAAAGAAAAAAAGCAAGATAAAAGGGAACTAATAAAATAGAAACTATTGTTCAGAACGAGTGAGAATGTTTAAAAAATTGAATTGCTATACTAGAAAGTATATATAATATGCAATGCTTGCAAATTTAATGAGTAGTCGGGAACAAGAGTCGAGAAGAGAAATGAGCTGGGTTTCACTAAGCTTGGAAGTACCCAGGTAATGCATGCATAACTCTGCAAGAACAGGATATATCGTTAAATAATGGAATAAGTCCTATCTTGCATCTATGTTAAAGAGAGAGCACCAATTAATTTCTCATTCCATCCACGGGGTGTTGTTAAGATATAAAAGTTCCCCTCTCAATTTGAACAGCTATCTTGACTATCCAAGAGAACGACTACTGGGTGATTCATTATTCCCTGAAAACAACCTTAATTGAATGTTTAGTTTCTTATAAAACAAGAACCTAGACAACAATGTGGCACTAGTCCCAGCCTCTTCCGTACAGTTCTCGCTAATTTTAATTAATAATACCCATTCCAAAGATGCGAGTCTAAAAAGTCTGGATTGAATTCACCCGAATTCTTTGCTGCAAGACTGATCCAAGTTTTTATAATATGTAAAGTATTAAGTATTAATGATATGTAAAGTGTGGTTCACATGGAAAATTAAGTGTCACAAATTGATACCCCGGAGGACTGAAATCGTGGTAGTTCATGTGGTTAGAGCACCGGAGTATTGAGCCGGGTTCGAGTCCCACTTGTGACACTAATTTTTCATCTCAACCACACTTTAAATAAAATTATCAATCAATTTTTGAATTAATTAATTTTTTTTACAAGTATGATCACAGTGACTGTTTCTTAAGTCTTCAAGTAGACGCTTTAATAGTTTTTGATTTAAAAAGTCAATAGAACAAGATATTGTAAGTAAGACATTGGTCTCTTGGATAGTCAAGATGGCTGTTCAAATTGAGAGGGGAACTTTTATATCCAAACAACAGCCCGTGGATGGAATGAGAAATTCCCTGGTATTCTCTCTGTAACTTAAATGCAAGAGAGGACTTATGACATTATTTAACTATATATCCTGTTCTTGCAGAGTTAGGCATGCATTACCTGGGTACTTACAAGCTTAGTACAAGACAACAAGTCATGTAGACAAATGAGTACAAACAAATTGCCCACAAACTTTACTGTCATAAGAAAGTTGAACAACCCTGGAACTATATCACAAGGATAAAAATAAATAAACACATGTGTCACTGATAAGCTTAGTTCGAGTTATGTTGAGTTTAAATCATGTTAGAGACAAATATGATGACAGTTCTGTTAGAATGGTCTTAGGGAGATGGCCCTGCATTAGATGTTCAATCGAATTGAATAGCAGTGTAATCAGACTGGTAGCCATTAGAACTGGGTAACAATCATGGTCAGCATAAATTGAACATCTGGTTATTTGTTGTTATGTATTTTCATTTTTAAATACATTTTAATTAAATTTGATTGATTCATTTCTTTTGTTAATTTCTGACCTATCCTCATACCCTCATTCATTGTTGAGGCATAGGATCTTCATCAACTAAGTATGTATTTATGTTCTGTCCACCTATCTTTTGCAGTAAGGATGTTCATTACTGGATTCACAATCTATCCAATCAACGTATCTGATCAGTTCAGATATTTCTTTGCTTAAGTAGGGCAGCAATTTATGTGATTTTATTTGTCAATCTTCTAAAATTCCAACAAACACTTCTTCCATTACATCATACAATTTTTATCACATATAAAGATTGCATTTTGAATCAAAGGCTTGATTAGTCTTATCTTTTGACTGACTTTTGGCATTTTGGAGGGAAAAAACTTTCTTCAAACTGAAAACAAAAGCTTTACCTATGATTGCAAATCTTCAAAGACTATTGTACCTTTGACAACAGTTTTTGGTTATATGAGTCACCATGTGTGGCCCTATGGTGAATAACTAACATGTTAAAATATTTTTAGTACAACGTAATAAAAGGGGCCTTCACAATCTTTACGATCATTCGTATTAGCATTAACATCTAACACAAATTGTAAGTACCCCTAGTGATTTTGTGGGACAGCAGTTTTTACAAGTGCTTGGACTGCTGAAATATGTAGAATTTTAACTTATAATGTTAACATGAATGTAGAAGCAGTTAGGATTCAACCATATTAATTGTCTCTTATATTTTTGCCTTTTTGAATCAATTAGAACCATCCTTATATACATGCCTTCTTTTCCATTTTTTCAATTGATGTTTAACACCTTGGTAAATTCACTTAAAGCCAGGTTTTGCCTAATATAGTTGGTTTAAAGATTAGTGTTATTGTGTTTTTTGTTCAATTAAGTATTGTTCATTTGAATGGATTTGAGTTAAGTAGTACTACTGTAACTATTTTTTCCATGTTCTGGCTTTCATTTTATATCATACTATTATTTTAAAATGTATTCTAGATTGTTGTTCCTCCTTTACCTGGAAAGGCATGGAAAAGGCAGATCCCTTTCCGAGGCGATGATGGAATTTTTGAAGATGATTTTATTGAGGACAGAAGAAAGGGATTAGAGATATTTGTGAATAAGTAAGTATGCTTCTGATTTACAACTTTTTGTCAACATAAATAGACAATGTTTTATAATTATTAATTTAATTTATGTAATTTTTATTTTGCAGGATTGCCGGTCACCCTTTGGCCCAGAATGAGAGATGTTTGCACATGTTCCTCCAGGAGCAGACCATCGACAAAAATTATGTCCCAGGAAAGATTCGTAACACATAATTTTTAGGCCGCTCTCCAATTTATTTTTATTCCACATTGGTTTCTAAAAAATTGGAAAATAAAAATGATTCTTCTATCACAGTTCAAATAAATACCAAAACTGTCAGTCTGCAGATTTGTTTTAGGTTTTATTGTCTCATTCCAAGTTATATTTTTTTAAGAAAATAAAGATATAACAATGCCTTTATTATCGTAACTATATTTAGATTTCAAATACATTATTTAAAAGGTTATGTGAGTTATAAAAATATTGCAAATGTATCTAATGAACTTCCCTTGTAAGGATATTTTTATAATATATAGAAGACAAATTATCATCGTTAATATATTTACAGATTATATTTTCATTTACTACATTAAATAATAGCATAACTTCTTTATGTAATTAAATATTGATGTTTAAGGTTTTTTTTAAGATTTCTATATATTTATAAAATTACGTTATTGTTTAGAAAGCAAAAATATCATTACACATAGTGGAATGATTTCCTGATATAACTGATATAAGATATTTATAAATAAAAAGTGCAAGATTTGTTTTTCTTAAGATAAGCATGTGCTCTTAATATGTATATATTATATATTATTTGAAATATAATTTATCTCATTTTTCTGTAGTTAATATGCTACCTTTTTTTAAACTACTTCATTTCCCATATCCTTGCTAAAATCAACACATACTTAAAAAGGCTGTTGTACACAAGTGCTCAAAACGCGTATGTAACTTTGAAATGGAAAGATGGAACAATACTCCTCCCCACATTAGGTATTATCAAGAAGGCATGCACAAGGTGAAAAATAAATTAGTAGAAAACTATAAAATGTGTAAACTGAAAGGAACAGACCCCACCGGTCGGCTGTAACAAGAGCCATCTCCCCCACAGAAGAAAGCGTATGTCCAATTTAAATATCTTCATAGTAATATCTGAGTTACAATAAACCTAATAATAATTTATTTAAAATAAAAATGTAATAGGAATTACTAATTAAAAAATTATAATTACAATTATGATGTTTTGGTTTGTATTACTCTTCCCAGGAAAAATTTCAAAGGCCATTGTTCACATTGCCATTGCCAGCAACTCTTCTCAATAAACTAGCGAAGTCAGGTTTTAATTCCTACGAAGACTTGTTCATCAAAAACAGAGGTTTAACAAAGAGTCTTTAATGTTTTATAATTATATTGTGTATATATATATATATATATATATATNTATAGTCACAGGGAGTAACTACCTGAAAGTACTTTTTCCCTAAAGGTGTTTTCACCTTTTTATCGCTTACACCCAGTAGTTGGTTGTTGATCTTACTCAATAAATGTAGAATTTTCGAGTGTCCTATCTAGTGTCGAGTAGTTCGAGTGTTAACCAACAGCTTATGGTTCCAGCTGCCTTCACTAATTAATCTATAGCAGCTGGTTAGTGCTTTATGTTTGGTCATTAATGGATTCACCAGTTATTTTAGTATGCAGGTTTGTTTCACCATTGACTGCAAAAAAAAAAAAAAAGACAAATTCACTCTCCGTCTCCCTTTATAAAAGAAACTAGACTTCACAAAAATCAACCATTTTTTTTCCTCTCTACTGTGACTGCAGCCTAATTTATGCAACGTATTTAGGTATATTATGGAAAATACTAAAGATGGCAAAAAAACTATTGAGGATAGAGTAAATTTACTGTTGATTTCAGTATAGTAGTAATATATATATTTTACATAACAGAGATTTCTGCTTCTTTTTTTTTTTTTACACACATCGTTCTCACTGACTTTCTCATATATTTTCGGTTCTTGTCAGATTATTATTAAAAGAACAAGATGCATAACACAAAGATTTTCATGCCCCCTCCCCTGAGCACCACTAGCGATGGCGACCTACTGTCGCAAAAAAAAAAAAAAAATGCGTCAAGGAACCTTCATGCAATGTCCCTATGTAAAATCAGGAGAAACACTTATTTCATTATAGCCTCTTGTGCCTTCAATGTAAGTTGCTAGTACCTCATGTTCACTGACATTTTGGACACGTTTATTTTATTTTTAATTACATAATATTATTTGCTAATACTATTTTGAAAATGAATGTCTATTGTTCACATAAAGTATATAATTATTACACAGGATAGGAAAACCAATATTTCAATACCACTTATGTTCAGAAATGTGATGGATCAAAAATTTAGAGACCTTTTTTCGCTTGGGGATATCATTCATATTTGTGGAAGTCCAGGATCAGGCAAGACCCAGCTGGTGTCAGTAAATTGTTTAAATTGTACAAGTCACGGCAACTCAAATGTATTATAGTTTACAGCTTTGCGTTTGTGTGCAAATACCAAAATTCCTTCATGGTCTTGGAAGTGAAGCTATATTCATTGACACTGATTCAGGTTTCTCGATTGCAAAGATCTCAGGTAAATTAATGAATTGATTTATATTCTGTCTACTGCTATTTCTTCTTCAAGCTGTTGAATTATAAAGGTATCGGATGGGACAGATGCCATCTTCTGTTTGAAACAACTTATCTTCTTTTTCTCGTTAGTTGTATATCACACAATCGCATGCATTTTTTCTTTTCACCATATTCACCAGCATATATATATATATAACACATCTGATATACAAATAAACAGAGAGAAAAGATAAATATGATCGAAGATAATCAAACAAGATATTTACTGTATGTAATAGTTTTGTTTTATTTTTTAATTCTGTATTTTATTTATTTATGTTTTTAAACTTTATTATTCAAGGAACATAACAGTTGTTAATAGTACATAAATACATTTAGTAGATTTATAAAATATATAAATATAAATCAAATGAGACCTGTGTGGAGGTTGTAACTCATTGGTTATCCTCTGCGATTTATCTGTTCTTAGCTTAGCAAATTTTAAACCATTTAAGGAACTGTTTTGTAGTCAGCTTAAATGTATACCCGGGGAGGAGAATGTTATATTTCTACGCTCCAAATCTAGGTGTTACCAGAGAATAAATGACAGTTATTGAATAAAGGGTTTAAATTAATCCATATGTGTATTTAGTTTATTTTAATTATTTATACTTTTTATCTAAGATCTTGTTAATGAAAAAGCAAGTGTTATGAGCGGGATTCTAACCCATGACCTTCGGCTTCTTGATATATGTACATTTTCACCATTACAATGATGATTTCCCTGTAAAATCGACCATTTGTCATGTCTTAGAACAACCAGTGGATAAAACCCTTCCTGCAGTATGATATAAATCACTTTATACACTTTGTTCATGTAAACAATTCTTGTAATGGAGCTTAGCAGGGTATGTAGCAAAACTTGTGGGTTTGAATCCTGCTCATGTCACTTGCTTTTTCATTTCAACCAAGACCTTAGATTAAAAATATAATTAATTAAAAGGATTTAAACATGATTAAGAAGAATTGCTTTCTCTAGTAAGTTTGATATTTATTATATTCACAAACAATGAAAATGAACAAAGAAGAAAAAAGTTATTCAAATATCGTGAGATGCGGTCGGATGTGATGTAGGTTTCAGAAAAACATTTTCTCAACGTTTCGATCTTTTATTGAGCCCTGAAGATGATCTCAATAAAAGATCAAAACGTTGGCACGATAAAGAAAATGTTTTTCTGAAACCTACATCACACCCGACCACATCTCACGATATCTGAATAACTATTGATTAACGGTCACTAATCTCTACACAAAAGAAGAAAAAATATAAATTAAAAAAATGAATGGAATGAAAGAAAAGGACAAAATTGAATTATGGCTAGATTTTACTTTTTTTTACTAATTTTGATTAATGAAGTTCAGAGAAGTCTCACTGAAGATGTTTTTGTTCATCTATACTAGTGTATAGCTGGATTGGAAAACTGATTTTCATGTGTACTCAAATGTGAACGGAATAAGTTAATTTCATGCATACTTATGGCAACTGAAAGAAGTTCTGTTTGTAAAGACTTATTGGAAATATATGAAAGACTTTGAAAAGACAAGAGGAGAAGTTTTGTTCAAGTTTACTTAAGAGCAGCTGCAAAAAAGTTACTCTATTTCCTTCTCTAGACTCCAGTCCTTTCTTCTCAGGTTATAAAATTTCTGCTTATTACTGAATTTACACACAGAATGCTTCCCACAGAAAAGGAAGAAAAAAGGTACAAACTTAAAATGAGATGGCTGGTGTGCCACAGCCCAAGGCAAAAACACGTATTGTTATATATAAACAGTTTATGAATGTATTTAGTTGCATTTGTGTGTTCCAGAGATAGCAGAAGCTGTGGTTGATGAATGCAAAAATTTAGGTCAGTGCCATGATAAAAGGGAAAATGTCAATGAGTTTACGGTTGAAACCATATTAAAAAAAATCCACTACCTACAGATTTCGAGCTACCATGAACTACTTGCTGCTGTCCATAGTCTGCACAGCTTTCTTACTAAACACTTAATGGTCAGTTAAAAATTATTCAAATGATAAAATTATATTGTGTTAATATTACCAGTTTGTGTTTGATATTTATAAACATGCACGCAAATAATGAAATACACATTATTGGTATCTTATCTTAGATTAAAGTCATCCTGCAATATGTTATAATTCACTTCAAACAACTTATTCATGTAAACAATTCATGTGGATATTAGCTGAAGGTTGAGGGTTCAAATCCCATCTTATTACAGAATGGCTTTCATCCATTGGCTGATTATAGAGGGAAATTATCACTATAAAGCTGAAACATGACCGTACATATCATATTAAGAAGCCAAAGAGCATGGGTTAGAATCTCACTCGTGACACTTGCTTTTTCATCTCAACCAAGACTTTAGATTAAAAATATAATTAATTAAAAGGATTTACAGTGCAAATAGGCACCAGTGGAATTGCATTAAATATTGCTTGATATACATATCCAGTTTATGCAAGTGGGGAGGTACTGGACAGTTTTAAAACATCGATTGTGTTCCACTTGCATAAGAATGGAAACAAAGATGTCCCTAATTTTAATAATGTAATTTACACAAGGGATTGCTTTATGAGAGATTGTGTCGCCGACAATGGTGTCCTTAAATAATTTCGGGCAGAATTTCACCCTACAGCACTATTGACAATATATTTGTATTTGTAAATGCGGTAAAGATTAAGTCGAAAAAAAAATCAAAAGGTGTATAGATTTCTTTGCTGCTTTTAATTTGGTAGATATCCAAGCACTAATTTACAAGTTACATAATCTTGGTCTTTCCACAAAGGTCGTCAAAAGCATGCTGGCCAACTCCTCGGGCATGGAGTGGTGTAAAGAAGGCAGAACTAGTGAGTTTCCCATTGAATTAGGTTAAAACAAGGTGTCTTACTCAGCCCCCTTTTATCTGGAAGGCGAATTAAACGGAGGAGTTATTTAGGTACGTGGAATCAAGATTAAGGCTTTTGCTTTCATCATCCCCACTGGACATCCACAGGATATATTCAGCCTGAATCATGATCCAGAAAGGATAGGTTCTCTACTTGTATAAATGTTATTGCTTCAATTAAAAAGTTTTTTAGAACCTAAAACTGTAATTGTTGTGATGTAAATTGTATATTTTCCTGATTTCTATTACCCTTAAAATGATCATGATATCCTAGTTAGCATTTTCCTGTTAAAAATAATTTAACAGCAGTTTCATCACCATCTCTAACACTTGGATGTGTCTAATTTTTTTCTTTCTAAAAGGATAAATGAATCTTCATTGTAATTGCTATCATTTTGTTGTCAATCTGCAATTGCCGAGCTTCAGAGGAAATCATTAAATTGTTTAAATTAAGGCATTGCTAATGCACAGATAGATCCAATTTAATACTAGATTTAAGCATTAAAAAATACTGTTATTTAATAATCATTCTATTTTTAAGGTGAAATTAATAGTCATCGATTCATTGGTATTCCCTTTTATTGGAATGAGCAATACTTTAGAGCGCACAAGACTTGTTTTGACAGTAATCAATAAGCTCCATCACCTGGCAGGAATGTTCAACTTAGTGGTAATTATTTTAATTGGCATTATAATTATCTTAAGTTAATTATCTCACCATTTTAGGTGGTAATTACAAATCATATGGTTACAAAAGTCACAAAGCAGACCAGTTATATTTTACCTTCAATGGGTGAGAGTGTTTCTCACAGCATTCCACAAACTCTTTGGTTGCACAAAGTTGGAAATCACTTCTATGCTACTGTTCTCAAAAGCAACAAACTACCAAATTCAGAAATTATGTTGGAGGTACATAAAGTGAATTAATTATTAGATGAGTGAAATTTAAAAAATTACCTAAGAAAATTATACAGAATCTCTCGCCTTATATTTTAAACTAGTTCAAATCAAAGTGTAACAAGATTCGACTTACGTCAATGCGATACACTAATCAAACATGATAAATATCAAGTCGGACATAAGTAAATAGTACAATACAGGACCTTTTTTATAGAAATGATAAATGATGGAGTGAGTGTGGTGTTCAATACTTTTTAAAAAGATAGTTCCTACTCACAGTAAGTTGACTGTAAGTAGTAAGTTGATCTTTTTAAAAAGTACAGGACCTTTTTTTTCTATTTGTTCAAGTTTAAGGAAATTTAAAAAAGTGATTGATTTTAAAAACCAATATACCTTAGCAGTTTAGTTTATAATGTTTATTATCTAATTTTCGTTAAAATAGTAGTGACTTATGGGTTATATTGTTATATGGGTTATTACAGCTCTATCTTAATTAATTTTCAAATTTTTGTATGAGTCTCATGCTGAAAATAAGGGCGCCTTCAAAATCTCAACAAACTACCAAACTGATGAAAAACCGATATAAGTAGTGGGAGGGGTCCACTGAGCACCAGTTATTGTTGAGTTCTTGAATGAATTTTTGTGTAGAGTATAAATTTTGGTTATCTGTGTGAATAGATTAAAAAAGGCAAATTTTATTTAGGCTTAACTTATACAGTAATGAATTTATCATCTCTATACCATTCATAGTTCAATATAACACATTTTTTTAAATTAATTTAAAATGTGAGTTCAGTCTTTCAAAACTTTTACACAATAAAAGTTTCTATTGATTTATAATTTAGTATAATTGTTGGGTTTTATTAAATTAATAAATCGTTATAAAAAAAATTTACAAACATTGGGGTAAGACAGTGATTGTTGGTTCAAATGACAAAAAAGAAGGTGCAGAATCTCTTGCTTTGGTATTCTAGTCCAATCTCAGGATATATCAACTATTTGATAACTGCCTAAAACTAATACATTTTTATCGTTCAATAAAAACCATAAACTATTCAGCTGTGCAGTGTTTTTGTTTCCAGGAAGATATATTCTAAATAATATCAAAGGGTCAATAAAATCTCTGACAACAAAGACAATGATCTACCAAATCATTGATTAATAACAAAAAAAGGGTTTAGTAAGCATGTTGAATTCATTTTTATGTAGCAAATTACAACTTGACAGAATTGATCTGCTGCACGAGGTGAATTTAGAAATTATCTATGGATAAAGCCTATCAATTTTCATCTTTACTTGAATGAATTTCACTGTCATCAAAGTTGTAGAATTGTTCCACCAATATAGTAATTCACTAGGGCTCTACCAAAATTGACCAATCGTGATTTTTTGTAGTGCATAGTTGCTTTATTTTAAGTTTAAAGTGGCCTCTGGACTGTGTGGACAAAGCAGTCATAACATTTTTCATAACGTGTGGAAATGTGTGGTGTTTAGTGACCACGCCAGACCGCATCTCACGATCTCCAAATAATCATTTTTCATAAATGTTGTAAGAGTATTGGGGAAAAGGCCAATTTAAAAATAATAATAATAATAAAATAATTATAAAAAAAAGCAGATAAAAAAACATCAAAGGAATTTCATTTTCCATAATAACTGTCAAGGGCGAAATCTTTTGGCCATTCATTTATCCCACCCTACCACACTCAATAATCCAACAAACGTTTTCCTCGGTGGATTCGCTTTCTTGAAATTCCGTCTAGTACAATTATGAATGTGTATATTCAGCTGAGTATGAGATTTGGTACAAACCTTTGTAAATATAAGATTAAATACATATGAAATATTTTGGATATGTACTATTTTATGTACATATGCATATTATGAAAAATATTTTGTTTTCACTAATTGTCAACAACAGGTACCAAGAAGAGGCCAGCAAATATGGGAAAAGTAGCTGACATTCAGTGACAAAAAACAAGAAAAAGAACATTCGAGTGGCAGAAACAAACCTAAAAGGTGTAGGATGGGTAAAAATGCCCCACAGAAAAACATCTACATATATTATAAGTATAAATAATAACCAAATAAAATTGTTAATTCTTTCATTTCTTTCATCCTTGAACTCAAATCTCTCCCAGTTTTTTTAGTTTTAATTAAATAGTTCTTCTGTCTTTAATTTTTAACATTCTTTCTTCCTACTTTATAATTAATCCTTATAAGTTTAGCGGTAATAATTGACCATATTAATTGTTTCAATTAAATATTCTTTTTACCTGAGGCCTTTGTTGAGATGAAAAAGTTAGTGTCACGAGTGGGATTCGAACCCATGATCTTCGGCTGAATATGCCACTGCTCTATCACTTGAGTTATCATGACTTCAATCCCCTCGGGCACCCATTCCACCATTGGACCATTTCAAAAATGGCAAAAAGAGGGAAAATTCGAAAGGTTGTAAGTTGAGATAACGAGTTGGTGTCAAAGATGATCGAAGTCACGATAACTAAGTAGATAAGTGGTTAGAGCAGTGGTGTATTGAGCCGAAGGCCATAGGTTCGAGTCCTACTCTTGACACTAACTTTTTCATCTCAACCAAGACCGATAGAAAGAATAATTAATTTAGAATTAATGAAATAGTGTTAAGTATTATAGTAGTTTCACCAATGTTGCTGATAAAAATCAATGAAAGTTGTCAAGATCTTTACCATTGTTTATGTAATGGTATAGAAATGAAATTTTTCTGAACTTAAGGACCATCTAAATGAAACAAATCACAATTTCAATTTCAATTTAAATACAACAGTGTTATACAGTTTCAACGAAGGGCGGGAACTGGATGAGAAATTTGAAATGAAAAATTTTTAAAATTAAACATGGGAGAATAATACCTAAGTAATATAATAAATTTTGATTTACCTCCTACTTTAAATATGTACCTAAATAATATTTAATGTACAAATTAATTTAAGTTTTAGTATTTTTTATTGATTTATTATTAATTTTATTATTTACTTAATAAAGACGTACAAATTTAAATTTATTTTCTTTCAATATTTATTAAGATAATATTTAGTTTGTTGTAATTGCCATTTTTTGCATGTTCAAAATTAAGCAACAATAACACCAGCTTCTAATTGAAACATCACGTTGGCAGTGGATCAGCATTCACTTTTACAATTCATGTCGAGGGACATGGTTGTATATCTTTCAACCTGATGATGAGCTTTAAGCTTAAATCTGGATAGGTGTGAACAAATTTGCCAGTAGAACCATCTTTTACAAAAATTGGACTATGTAATGGTATGTCAGCCACATACATCCACCGATAATCTGTTCAAGTGCAAGTATTTGGACTTGAAGGAGAACTATAGAAAGATGTGATATAAAATAATTATTGTACACAGGATGCAATAAACAATTTACATTATTTGATCTTTGACGATGTGGAATTAATTGTTGAAATCAGTGAGACAAATAAGGGCTAAAAACATGCTGTTTGTTGGTGATTCTGCTAGGGATATTGTTTCGATTAAATGGAATACAAAAGTTTTAATAAACACTTTTATGCAAAGAAAGTAGATATAACTTTGTTAAAATAATTTGTCTCAGCAAAACCTCAACTGAACACTGTGCTTAACATCATTTGTTTAGTTCATCGGATGCTCTTCAACTTTTTCCTAACAGTGAAATGTTTACCTATCTATTCAAATGGCTTACTGATAAATTATTATTCAATTCTTTAATAAATGTTTATTTTGGTTCTTGCCATTTTCTCTCACTAAATAAAATTCATGAGGTATCAAAACTTACAAATACAAAACTAAAACGTTAAGTTTGTAGGGAGATGAGATGAGGTGGAAATTTTTTCCTACAGGTAGAATCAGCTCTCCACACCAAACTGAAACTAAAATATTGTGAATAGTTTCAAATAATAACATACAATCCCCTAGTATTGATATTTAATGTTTAGAACATCTTTTTCATATCTTATTGATTGATCCATAATCATAAGGTCAATATTTTTATAAATTGCATTTTACTATAATCTTTATTTAAAGACCTACAATCTATAAGAGCTTTATATGCAAATAAGTTTTTGTACCATTTTGTAAATATTTTTTCATAATACAATTTCTTTAATGGGGTTCATAACAGAAGTGGTCGTATCAACCCCCAGCTTACCAGTGTTTAAAAAAAAAAAAAAAAAAAAAAAATGCACATTTCTATGTCGGGCTTGAATGTAGAGCAGCTGGATTTAAACCTGGGACTTTGACTTACAGTAATGAGCGCCATGTCAACGCCTAAACCGTTGCGGCCACTGACGCCCATATACACTATTATTGTAATTAATATTGTAAAATGATTGCTGCAATAAAATAAATGTAATACACTACTTTTGGATGTAAAAAATCGTCTACTTTTTAATACAAATAAATTAAAGATAACATTTCTGCTTTAGATGTTTAAAGATCTAAGAAACATCTTAAAATGATACACAACTGAATGAGAAATTATCACTAATACTAAATTTTTAATTATTTTATCAACTACTTAATTATATAAATACTCAATTAATTATCAGTAAATTAATTTGAAAAATGTTACATATCTTATTACTTATCTATGGAATTTTAATATAATTATGCATAAATATGGTTTTAATTTTCATATTTTTCAAACATTATTAAGAGCTCACTTCTATTGAGAGTTTTGTTGTATATGTATGTCAAACTAAACTAAAAAATAATAATTCTTAATTAATTAATTCTAGATAAATAAATAAAGAATTTTAAACAAAGATTAAAACACGAATATACACAAATTTATGGAAGAAATCTTTTATTCAACATAGGTTTAAAAAGAAATATATTTTACAAAGTTTATTATCTTCCAGATCTACTTCTAATTCTAGGTTTGGCAACTTTTCTTCTCTCTTTATCATCAATTCTTGATTTTCTCCTTGTCCTTCTAACTGTTTTCATTCTTCGGTTGAGTTCACCTTCTTCAAGTTTCTCACTTTCAACATCGTATGATTGGTTATCCTCATAAACTTCATAACGGGGGTCTTCATCTCTCGAAGAAAAATATTCATGGGATTCTAAATCTCGTTCGGATCTTTCATTTCGATCCTTTGGTGGTGAATTTCTAGTATTATTTATAATGTCCCTGTAAATTACTGTAGGTGTTCTGTCACTTTTATCATAAGATAAACTGCTGTCTTGTTTATCAGATTTTTCCCTTGTAGGGGAAGTTTCTTTACTGTTAGTAGGCGAGGTCGATTTATTGAAATTTTGTTGCGGAGGTGTGGAAGGTGGAGAGGTCGGGTGACTTTGAGAGTAAGATGGAGGAGAAAGGTAAATATCTGTCGGTAGTTCAGTACTGAAGCTTTCTGTGTCTATATCAAGTTTATCTTCCCTCAACGAGTTACTCGTTTCATTGGCAGAACTCGGTGTTGAAGATGAGGAAGAAACAACATGAAAATCACTTTCACTCATCAACTGTTGTGACTTACACATAAGAAGTCCACTATAACTTAGTGCTAATGTATATAAATCTTGCCTGTTATTTTTTTCTTCTTCTTTCACCTTGTTAATGCGTTTTTCAATAAACTGGGCTAATTTACCGATTATAGGAAAAGTTGGTAATAGTTTAATTAGCACAATTAATCCATTTCTAATTTGAACGTATTCACCAGACTCTAAAAGGTTTAGAACGGCCCTGGTGATTTTGTAGTGCCATTTGTGACAAACATGTCTGTAGTTTTCAAAGTGTACATTTTCGTTTGCATCAGAGAATTCATTACTGGCTCTGAATTTAGTTACAAAACCAGGGGTATTAGCACATTCTTTGTCATAAATTTCTTTGCTAGAGTGCCACCTCATTATATTTTGAAGAATTGCACAGAGAAATCTTCCATAGCGGCTAGCTTCATTTTCTGTACAGGACATAACCGAGAAGGTGATATCACAAAGGAGTCGGTCATAACATAAAAGAGTACTAAAATTACCAGTTCTTATTGTGTGTAATGTATGAATAAAATGAGCACAGAATAGTGCATCTGTTATAGAAAGTATGCACCTTGGGAAAATGCACATCTGAAGAAATTGAGTGATCATTTCATTTTTTGCAGGTTTTATGGATCTTGATAAAAACCAGTCATTCTTCCTTGCCTTTAGATGTTCTAAAATCGATTTTGCATACTGTTGTTGGTCTTTTAATTCCTGAGACAATTTATCTCCCAGCGTAGTAATCTTGTTATCAACTTTATTTGTTTTTACTTGTGTCAGTTCCTGATCTTTCTGTTTAGCTATTTCTTTTTGATAAGCACTCACAGGTACTGAAATATCACTGAGCCCCAATGACCAGAAAAGGGCTACAAATTTAGGAGAAATGTCTTCCCATTGTTTAGACAAGTACAACTCCTCTATGCAAGGGCTTATAGCATCAACTATCTCAAAAAACGCATCAGTGATATTAATTATTTTTCTTGTATCCTTCTTAGCAGCTGATGATCTTTCCATTGCTAATGATTTTAAAACAGGGCGAGATAGATAAAATGCTGCATCTAAATCTAATTTGTAAAGTAATAATAAGTCCCGTATAGTTGGAAATGAACTGTGAGTATCATGCATTATGGGCCCACTGATAAATGCACCATATTGCAACAAAGTATCATGACATTCGTCGTATAACTTCCCAATGAATTTTAGATGGCTATTTTTGCTTTCACTATAAAATATATAATTTCTCTGTTGAGCAAGCATAATTCCTAAAGGTGCTACCAAGTTATTTTCAACAAGGGCTTCCTTAAGCCGAGTTGCTGTTTTTTTAAAATTCTGCTGCTGTACAAAATAGCCTGCTTCCGATCTCAACAATTCGCCGCCGCTTAGTGAATCGATCTGATGCTGGGTCATATCATCTGTTATATCAATACCTGTCATTTTTTGTAGTATCTCTTTTAATATGAGTAACTCGATGCTTCTATTATTTTTTAATTGTTCCATGATGTAGAGAAGGATTCCTGATAAATCGATGTTGTATTTCTTAAAAACTGTAGCACAGAAGAGAGCAGTACTCTGAAACCAAGATAATACTGTCGTTCCATCATGTTTCTGACGCTGCTTTGTGTCATTATAAAGAGAATTGAATATGCAAAACCCTAAAACATCGTATGACATGTTGGTCATGTATTTAAGAGAATCTACAACAGGTCCGATTAAATTATCATGCATTTGGATTTGAAATAAAATATAATCGAACAAAGTCACAGGGGAGTAGTGAGAGAGTTTCCCAAGAAGTCTTCCTATCTGTTTAACGTTCTCTTTGCTCACCCTCTTCATGCAGGATTTAGCATTGACTTTCCCTTGACAACGTTTAGATAAAAGTACTTGATTTGCTTGTAAATATTCTCTCCAATAATAATACAACGAATATCTGGCTTGTAAAGGATAAAGTTTGACAACATTCCATATCGCTTCACTTACACAACAATTTGCTTGTATGTTCGATAATGTAGGAAAAAGACATTCCTGAATCAAAGTAGTTATCTGTTCAAAAATAATATTTTCTGTGTCTTGAGTTTTTAAAATATGTTGTAGTGCTGTGGAAGTCATCCGTGTCAATTTGAAAACAAGCACCAGATCATGGCGAAGAGATGAGCCCAAAGTGTACAGCATCGGAAAAACTACATTTGTCACTTCTACAAAAGTCTTGGGTTGTTTTTCAGAGATGACAGTAGGTTGGAACTCTATAGGAGCAGGTTCCAATTTTTCACTGAGACCCGAGTGTGTAGCATAAACAGGAGCTATCAAATAGTGAATAAATCTACAAACAGCTTCAGCAATCTGCTCCTTTTCAAAAATGTAAGAATGGGGTATCCGTGTGAGCATCATTTGAAACGTCCTCCAAGATCCTAACGAGACCATAACCTCACATAAGCTAAGCTTTTGGTTCTTTTCAAAATCTTCTTTGCTGAGAGGCTGAGCAACTGGTTTTTTCGGCGATTTTTCATCAGTATCGATTTGTTCCGCTTCTCTTTTAACTTCATCCTCTTCTGGCGACAACCAAGGGTAAACATCGTCTATAGATAAAATACCATAATGAAGCATGATTGTCACGATAATGTGCAAAGACCTTGGCGTAACACCATTTTCAATAAAAGTCACATATCTAAAACCGACGACTTCACTCAATAGATTTGTATCTGGCATGTACATTTTTAAAAGGGGGATAAAAAAATCAGCTTGAAAAGGATTTAATTGGAAATTATCCAAAATGATATCGATGACTCGAGTGGGATCAAGACTGAAGCAACCGATAAGGGATTTTATATTTTTAAGTACTGTTGATGTATCTGCATCGAGCAAGCCGTTACCGCTCAGCTGCATTATAAGTTTAGCATAGCCCTCGTTTTCTTCTCTGTACAAATTGAATTTATTCTGTTTGTAGTACAATCTCGTTTTCAACTTGATGAATTTACTGTGGAAAACTTTAATACTCCTGTTGTATTCGTTTTGCGTCTCGAACTCCATCCTTTCTTTTCCGAGTTCGGGGCACCACTTTTCGTCTAAAAGGACCAGCACCCTCAAAAGTTTCGCCCTTTCATTCGTGATGAATTTCTGGGAGTCCATTTCCGTATCGAATATAGTTATAACGTCCATTATGACGGAGGGTATCTCGTCGTCCAGTTCCGACAGAGCTATACAAGCTTCGACGATGTTATCCGGTGTAAGCGATCCATACAGACACTGGTAGAACATGGTGTATATCAGCCTCGGTATGTTGTTCTTTTGGCCGGTTTCGTCGACAACGGCAAAACACCGATTCTCCAACAGCCTCCTCGCATTCTTAATAATTAAATATTTACCTTTCGCCTCCCATTCCTTCCAATCTATCTCTTCGAGATCCTCCATGTCCGATGACATGAACCAGGGGAAGCCGTTTGTTTGTATCGACTGCAACTCTTCTGTTGTTCAATGTTTAGGTGCGTTCCAACGATGTAACCTTTTCGAACTGTTCACCGATAACGTTAGAACTCCGAGGAGGGAATCGGAAAAGACAAATCTTTCGACAGGAGAGCATCCGCGACTCCCGAGTACGGCCCCGCTCATTACAATTTTACAAAAACAAATCGTCAAGTTTAAAACCAATCGCTTTCCTATTCAGTCAAGTGACGTCACGACAGAAAAATGGGTTGCATCCTCTCAGATTTGGAACGTTTTGTTGTCATTGACAAAATTTTGTGTCATACCTTTGCGATAAGAGACAAATAATTTTTTTTTTTTTTTGCTTTTCATACCGGTTGTATGGAAATATTTGCCTTTTACAAATAAATATTTTAAAAGCCCATAAATGAAGTCAAAAATTTGCATCATTGTTAACAGAAAGTTTTGAATTTGGGTACAAATTCAAGAATATAATCTATTACTCCGACAAACTGCCCATTTTGACTCTACCTTAAGTATGTGTAAAGCTCATATAAATATTTTCATCTATATACAAAAAAAGTTCCATGACTGACTGACTGACGCAGAGGCCAAAACGCTGGATGTAAAAGGCTGAAATTTCGACAGTACATTCCTATAATGGGATTTTTTTTGCAATTCAATTCCCAAGGGGATCAATAGTTAATTTGTTTACTATGTATAGACCGAAGTGGACTGAAGATGAGCAAATTCGAGAAACGAGACGTTATTTTAGAAAGCCATATTAGCCAATAGAAAGGTACATCAAAACAGACGTGGACGAAAAGTTAGTTTAAGATAAAGAGGGACATAGATCCTTAGGTAGACAATCAGGAATTTACATCTGAAGTGGCTGGGTACTTTCCGAGTAATGCATATTCCCTGTATACAAGGGTAGTTCGGGGTGTACCTATTATGATCCACAAGTAAAATCCGGTCTACCGGAATCTAATCTAGCTTCTGGATGAGGCATCAGTTTTCTCTTGTGAATTAGACACCAAAAGAGAAGCAATAAGATACTTAATAGACTCTCCAAAGTATGTGTTATTCTGTCAGATAATAGAAGTGCATTGGATGCTTATTAACGCACAAGAGTAGCAACGTAAACAATCACTTAATAAGTAAAATTAAAGCATTGTTAAAAAATATTCAAGATAATTGTATGAGGGTGGAATTTTTGTGAATTCCAGCTCATTGCTGGATCTTAGATAACGAGGTGGACCTGCTTGTGAAGGAGGCTACTTCAAGTGCAGGAAGTTTAGACATTGGGTTACCAAAGCAAAAAAACAGAACAGGGACGGGTTGTTAGTACGAGGAAAAAGGATTTGATTTATAATGTGGGGTTTTAAAGGTCCTGATGATGGGCGAGAAATAGCCCGAAACGTAGAAAAAAAAGAATATAAAGGTTTGAAAGAAACTAACCTTTTGTAAAGGAATAAAAAACACGTGTTTTTATGGAATAAACCCTATAAACAAATTTCATTTAGGAAGAAGAAAAAAATATAATAATCAACGGCGTAGAATCCACAAAATCTTTTTAAAAAAGTTTGAATCGGGCCCGTGACAATTTTTATTCTGAATGTGGGAACGGACAAAAGAATAGTTTTAATATAAATTTAAACGTCCGGAGAAAGGAAGCAAGAGCCGAGCAGGTGGGAAAACCATAAAATGCGCCGTGTGGCGTCACTGTCGATTGGTGTGTTGCGACGCACCGGCGTGAGCCGTGGTTGCCGTACGGCGTAATAGAAAGCGGTCGGGTCGATATTCGACTCCTGTCTAGTCGAAGTGGTAAACGGCGAGTGGGGAAGGGGATCCCGAAGCGGGGCAGAAGCGCAGTCGCCAGTCACTAGTCAGTGGAGTACAGGATGCGGGACGGTACAGCCAAAATGGCCGAGCTCCAATTCGAGGCCCCGCTCGCAAGGCTCGAGGAAGCCGAAGACTGGGGCCAGGTGCCCGAAATGAAGCAGGAGCCGCAGGTGAGAAGCGCCTCCCAGACGGAGGAGGACCTCAACTCGAATAACGTCGGGGGCGGAACCGGCCCAGAGACGGACAACAGGGCACCCCTCCTGAAGCAGTGCCTATGCTCTGTCGAGACCAACAACCCCTCCGACGCGGACAATTTCACGGAAACTTTCTCCGGGAGTCTCGAAGATCTCGTCAACACCTTCGACGACAAGATCACCAGGTGTTTCTGCAATTACGACGAATCCGTCGAAAAACTGGCACCCGTTCAAGTCAGGACGCAGGAAGAGATAATGAATGAATGCCAGTGAGTTTCCCTTATCAAAATCTAAATTTCACCACTCAGTTTCTTCAGATTTATCCGCTTTCATTTTCTTCAATTTCTTTAACACCCACGATCGATCGGAACGCCAAACGCTTTTCGTTGGGATTGTTAAAACTTAAATTCGCTTATCAGTTCGTCTTGTGTATAAATTTATAATTACTATATAAGCTAATCTTAGGTCGCATGTCGATTCCGTACTTATCACGATTGGCGATTTTTCTTTCCTTCCAAAACGGGCACTTCGTGGCGTTGCATCACGAAAAATTCCACGCAACGGGTTACTAATTACAAACAAGTGTAAATCATGAGAAATAGCAAAAACCGACAATTTCATTTCTTAAATTTGTTTGTATGAAAATTATGACAACTTTGATGTAAAAACGCGCTTTTCAATCAAAATGAGGAGTGCAAATACAACAGGGTACGAAATGGGGTCCTTTCTATTGCACATATTAATTTCGAAATTTTTTTTTTAAATATGTTACAATCCATAAAATGTAATTTCACTATAAGATCCGTGGGCGTTCCCGAAATAAAAAGAAATTTATGCCACTGTGATAACAATTATTGCATTTATTACATGACTTATGTAAACTTTTTTGTACTTTTCAACTAGATGAAATGTGTGTTTGTTGAATGTTTATAATTTTGTTGATTACGTAGCTAGTATTGGAAAGAACTCTTTGTCAATTAGAGTCCATTTCAACATCAATCTTGCATCACGCTCAGAATTATTTACATATTTGGAAAATCTTTGACAATAAAAAAAATGTCATCCACCAATTCTCAAAAGTTCGCCTTATTGCTTTATTGAAAACGTTGGAAGCTAGAAGCCACATACGTATCTTTCGTCATGTCTAATTTAAGCAGGCCCCGCCGTGACCTTATTTTATGTTGGAGATTGTATGCTTTTCTGCCATTGTTAAACTGTGAATTTGTAATAACTTTGTTCGTATAAACAATGAGTGTAGTCTCAAGCCTGACTTGAAGGTAACGGTCATTTTCACTTAATTGTTAACATCTGGGTTTAAAAGAGGAGACGATTTCATTTTTGATGTTTAGCCTATGATGAACAGCATTGTTTCAATGAATATGACCTAGTTATTGGCTAAGAGTATATTAATATTTCAATACCTTATACTAGATTCATTTTTAAGTGTATAATGATCTTTGCATCTTCATGTATGTGATAAGTGTTATTTATTGGTACGAATGTATTTATTTGCGTGAATGGACGGGCTTATGCCCTAATTGCCCCGAGGAATATCGAGTACTCTGGGATAGTGGGAATGCTAACCAGACTAACACGTTTTTGTCTTGTTTCTGTGTTCGTTATTTGTTATTTTATCCATAATTAACGAGGCTCTGTGGTGCAGAGAGGCTTGACAGTAGGATAAAGAAAAAGAGAGAGTTGGTTATCGTTATATCATAAAACATAACTTGGCTGCAGAAATAGGAAATGAAATTAGTAGGTTTAAAACGCGAGAAAGAAGAGAGGGCTGCATTAAAAAAAAGATAAAAAATAATATGTTATAATGATAAAGATTGATTAATTTACTTCACTGACATTAATGTATACATATTTTCGGAAGAATTTAACACGTTTTTATTTTTGATAATGTCATTAATTTAAAATCAATAATAAATTGTATTAGAATATTTTACGCTAGATAAATATTAAGGCATAGCAACAACTGAGAGTATGTTCATCAAATTATGTATTCAAAGATTTTTAACATCTGTTAACACAGTTTTTGTTAAAACAGTATAAGCAGTTCAAAACTGATCGGATTGGCAATATTATTTTTGGCTTAACACTATGTACGTTCTAACTGGAGAAAATCTATAATTGGTTTTCATCAAGTTATATTACACTATTAATACTAAAATTTTCTATGCAATAATTGTCGAAATAATTAAGTGGATTAAAAAAATAAAAATAGCCAATCGAATTTAGTTGAAATTTTACTTAATGCTTGGGATCTGGTTTCTGGTCAGGTAGAAGTAGACTCTGTGATCACTTGCCAATCTTTCGGCCTTTATAAGACCATTATCAGGGCCTGAATAAATATTACAACATTATATTATTTCATTAATTACAAGATTCATTAATTCATTCAGGCCCTGATGATGGTCTGTTAAAGGCCAAAAGCTTGGCAAGTGATCACAGAGTCTATTCTTTCTCTACCTGACCAGAAACCAGATCCCAAACACATTAATAGTCGTGGTCGATTTCTTTTTCATCAACAAAATTTACTTACTGCCTATTTCGTACTACAGTATGTTTTATTTGTTTGTTAGTCTTTCTTTAATTTATAATAAACAATATACATCTTTTTTTTCTTTTCTTTTTTTTTTAATTAAAGACAGGCTGGCTCTTTGGTTATCCTAACAGTCAATAGGAGTCAACCAATTATTGAAAATTAAAAATAAAGAATAGTATGTTTTGTTTTTATTATTAAAAAAATATGCACTTATATAATGTTAATTTTCTAATAGCTAAAAACATATTATGGCAATGTCAACTGTATCGCATGCATTCACTAATATATTATACAACGAAACCTAAACTAGAAATGAAACAACAACTTATAACTAAAAATTATACAACGAAATTAGCTCTCTACTATAGTATGTTTTAAATGATTGAATAATATATTATAACCTAAGGGAATAACACCAGAAGAATATTTTAGGTAGATCGATTACTTCCCTGTTGTCTTCTTATATAATAAAAGAAATGGAACGTGGGAGATGTATGAAGGAGTAAGAGATTATTGTTATTGACTTAAAGCTTAGATGAGTGTACTGGCTTTAAACGGATGTTATCGTCTTTTACTATGAGTCACCAAGTGAAATCTGCCTTAATCAGTTTAATATCCAGCTTTTATGGACGACTTACATATTTTCTGGTACAAAGCGTGGTTGTGTTTTTCCGATTATAGATTCATAGTTATTTGGATTTATATAAGCTCAAATCTGCACAGTATGTACACATATCCTCAGAGTTAAGCGTACACTTCTACTACTCCACCGGGAATTCCAGCTTTTGTAATTTACAATAAATTACCGGCAGACCTCAATAATCACCCACCCCGGGTGTTGGCAGTCCGGAGTCACACCTCGCTCCCATCCGTCCAACCACCGAGGTTGGACTCCAGGTACTACAGTAAAACATAACCAGTTTCCTCGAAGAATCGGAACAGGGGAACCAGATGTCCAAGCCCAATTCTTATATCGGGTGGCATTCCTACACACTGTCGGCACGGAGCCAAGGAATGCTCAGTGTGGGATGATGTGTGTAATGACATCCTCCTATGTCCTCAATCAGGGGCACATGCAACAATCTTTCTCTGCATGCCGGACAAATATACGTGGGCATCGGCCCAAAAGTGTGCCCTTAATCAGATGAGGATGACTCTCTTTTACGAGTAGATCCTCTGAGGACCACCTACCTCCTCTGAGGACCACCTACCCCTCTCGAGTGCTCTCCATACGATTTTCTTTATAGATGCCTTCTTGTTTTTTTTTCTCTAAAAGATGAACTAAACAACTTAATTTGTCGTTTTTTCATTTCGTTTTGTTGAAATTATTATTTATTTAAATGTTTATTTAATAATAAAAATAAGAAATAAAATATATGACTTGAAAATGGCACAAGATCACCTAAATAAATTTTCAATTTCAATAATCGTTTCATCGTAATAGTTTCGCAGTTGCAATGTTTCCTTTAAAAATCATTTTAGCTAAATTTTAATTGAATCGTAATTTTTCTACTTGTATTGTATTCTCTATACGATTTTCCCTGTATTTTTATTGGCTATCGAAGAGAATTTATGCTACATCTCAGGAATTGACACGTTATTCAAATGTTTTAAGCTGACGTTTTTTCTGCTACTAGGTCGATCCCCTTCGCAATCAATACAACCCACCAGTCGCATTGTTGTGCTTCATCCAAAATTTATATTAATACCGGCGGAAAGTGCTCTTTACCCTCACATATTTATTTATTCTATTAACTATTGCAGTGATAAATGGTCAGTTTTTTTACTCCTAGATTAGATTAAGTAATCACTTTACGCCGGCCGTAATCTTAGTTTATTTGTAGGTGCCGTTTAAAGACAGTGTTTGTCGAACGAATGTCTTCGTACTATTAAATGCCGATTTTGCGCTATTTTCCTTTTCTTTTCTTAGATACAACATTAATGATGTAATTATTGTTTTCAGTGACGCACAATTTGCTCCTATACCTTGTTGCGTTTTATTTCTATGTTCATTTATATAGATTTATTGTCATAATTAGGAACAGTTTCTTGTCCAGTCTTGGTTAATAATCTTTCATTTATATCCGAATGAACTTTTATCTGTGATATTAAAAAAAATTGCCCCCTACTCCGTGCAATATAATTTTTTTGGATAAGAAATGTATAGAAGAATATATTCTATTCAAAATATTACCTTTTTTACACATTTATTTGTAAACGACAAAGCTGCTTATAACAGATTTGAAAAACAAATTGAGTGAGATGAATCCTTAAAAAGAATATAATTTTTTAATACTCTATTAAAAAGATTATAATAATAATGAATTTAGTCAGTTGCTGATTGTTCCCCCCTCCCTTGGAATAACGGAAAAATGGATAACCAAATCGACATTTTTCGGATCAACATCCCTTTTGGCTGATCGACATTTTACTAGTGACCTGATCTAGACAATTAATTAATTATACGACCTAAACAAGGAAGACTAGCAGAAGTCCGAGGCCGAATTCATTTAAAAAAATTATTCGAAAATGCGTTGCCGTTGTGAACAACAGAAAACGGACGTATAACGTGGTACAACGCAATTTGTGCGAGTAAAACTAATAGTACCAGCTAATGTCCCAGCATGATCTATGGAAAAACACTTAACAATTTCCCCTGATAGTCGTTCCACAATAAGATTGATTTTTTTCACTTCATCATTTCCACCTGCTAATACAGCTCAATTACTCATTTCTTCCTCAGATAACTTTAATGGATAAAACTCTTCAATTAAATTATCACATAACATTATTTCAAGTTTTTTATTATATTATTTTCTATATTTAATAACCACTCAGAGAATTCATTGGAATATCCATCCTCGTATTCTTGGATAATTTGAATTGCTGAAAGCTATTCCATAACAAACTATTTTTATGCATGCTTCATAAATTTGTCTCCTGGTTCCATTTTTAGGACTGGTAAAACCTGTCGAGTCACCAACCAGTATAAAAATTTCCATCAAATGCACGATCGTCATTAAAAACCTGTAAATGTCGTATCGATAGTGGCTAATGCCGTTTGGGGAATTATCAACTTCATCCCAGATGAAAATGCCTGTTTTAAGCAGTTAGATAAATTTATTTTCGAAAAACAATTTACATTTGACAACTGAAATTTACTTTCCAAAAACAATTTACATTTGACAACTGAAATTTACTTTCCAAAAACAATTTACATTTGACAACTGAAATTTACTTTCCAAAAACAATTTACATTTGACAACTGAAATTTACTTTCCAAAAACAATTTCAATTTACATTTGACAACTGAAATTTACTTTCCAAAAACAATTTACATTTGACAACTAAAATTTACTTTCCAAAAACAATTTACATTTGACAACTGAAATTTATTTTGCAAAAACAATTTATATTTGTGGTGTTCTTGTCGGTGGTGATGGGAATATCGGTCAATGGTTATTTTGGAAAGAAAACGACTTCGAATCTTTGCCGACGTTTCGATTTAATTCAAATCTTTATCAAAGCATCCCGTACATATGTAGTATATTATTACATAATTACATATATATTATATACAATAAGGCAAAAAACTTAACTTACCGCTTGATCTCTAGTGTTTTTTTAAATTTATGTTTTATTTATTTATCAATTGGCAAATGTCCCATGCTATTGTTCTACTTAACTGGTTTCTACCACTAGGAGTAAGTAGAATCAAGCGGTAAGTTAAGTTTTTTGCCTTCTTGTATATAATATATATGTAATTCTGTAATAATAAATAATAATGTAATAATATACCATATATGTACAGGATGCCTTGATAAAGATTTGAATTAAATCGAAACGTCGGCAAAGATACGAAGTCGTTTTCTTTCCAAAACAACCATTGACCGATATTCCCATCACCACTTTCTGATGAAAATTTAAAAAAGTGTGGGACCCAAAATTTGACCCCTGGGGCATTCCTGTACCAATGTTAACAGGGGTTTTCATTTTACGTGACCAGTTCAATCTAACGCGGTCTTCATCTAAATTTAACGGTAACCCGTATGTTTTATGTCCTGTCCGTCCATATAGAACTGCTGTTCTTTCTGTCTGAGCAATGGTTGTGTGGCGGCGAACTATTCGACGTGGCCATCATGGTTACCGTTCACTTTCATTAACTTGAATTATTCATACACATTTTATGATCTTTTCATAAAGATCTGAGCCTTGCAGTGCATTAAATTGCACTATAGTTTCTACTCGGAAACAACACGGCCGATCCGATTTGGAGCGATTGTGAATGGCCACCTGAACCCTTATATAAAAATCTTTCCGTCCGTAAATGAACAACGACAATGCCCTAAGTAGACAGTTATCGTTAGCACTTCAATTTAGCCGGGCTTAGGCCTGAGAAGGGCTGATTAAAACAGCTTACGTTTAGCTGATTGGAATTTGATTTATACTTGCCAATCGAACGCAAACGTAATACTGAATATCTGTTCTCTCGAAAAAACAGAGCAAGATGGAAAAGATTAAAAAAAAACTCCCGCAACTTCGCGAATTGTAATCCGTTTTTTATTGATTTTTTTTTTAAATTTATTCCATTGGTCTTAAAAGCTGTTTAGTGCTATATATATAAAAAAGAGAAGGGGGTCGGTGGTCGCAACAGTTTAGGTTTAGGCTTTACTGTAAGGTAAAAGTCCCGGGTTCGAATCCAGCAGCCCTACATTCGAACCCGACATTCTTACAAATGAGCTTTTTTTTTCAAAAACACCGGCACCCTGTGGGTTTATATGACCTCTGCTGTTGTGAACACTCTTAAAAAAAAGAAAAAAAAGAGATTTTTTAAAAAAGAGAAGCCTAGCAGTTCAGTACTATATAAAAAAAAGTCCTTGCGGAAAATCTTTCACAATTTTAATCCGAACAAAAACAAAATAGCTAACTTCCGGATTAAAATACGTACTAATAGAAATTGTTTACAAATTTCAAATTAGGCTTAATTTGTAGAAAAAAAGTTTCTATCAAAACCTCTTTTCATGATGTATAATATGATGTTGTTCTTATTTATTTTTATTATTTTTGTAATAAAAGGCAAATAAAGGAGCAAGCTAAATCAGATGATGGACAACACTATTTTTCGATTACATTTTTACTGACATTATTTAGGGTGTCATACATCCAGATAACTGGATCGATCATGGAGGAGGTCTGTCATAATTGTTGGCTAATCTATGTAAAAATGTGCCTTAACAACAGTGGCTCATCAGCGTGGACACATTGGTGGAGAACTCTATGCTATTAAGTACCCATGTGTGCCCTATTCTGAGTCTGGTCAAGACCACATTCTCATACCGGGTTTCTCTTGCGAATGAGCTTCATGTTCAGATGGTTTGTTTGTCGTTGCTGTTTTCCAATTCATTTTACCATCTCATCCATACAGCACGTCACAGCAAAGGAAAAGTCATTTGGAGGAACTTCCTGTTTGTAGCCAGTTTGGCTGCTAGGTCTGCCTTCATTTCAAGTGATGCCACAATGGTTTGGTGTGCGGCCTGCTGTGGTTTTAAACAGAGAACAGTGTATTAACTGATGGATCAAGAAATGCAAAAAAAATATGCTTGTATTGACTGGAATCCATTGAATCTGTCTAGCATAGGGCTACTAGATGCTCTTTTTATTTGGTCCACCTTGTTAGGGTCCTTCCGTGCAATGTTAACCTGGCGGGCCCTCGCAAGGGCCGGCATTGACCAGGAAGGTCCCAACTATTCTGCCTTACTGAGCTCTACGGCACGAAACCCCTTTCAGGCAGACGAGAAGGGCACTCCTAAGTCGTGGGCTCTGTGGAGCCGGTGAGGAGGCTTTGGCCCTGAAAAGGACCGTTGAGAGATGGGTAGAGTTCCACCTGTCCGACTGGTACCGGGCACCCCGGAGATCGTGAGCTTCCCGCTAGGTGTCGCTTTCCGTCGAGAAGGTGGTAAGTCACCACACACCTAATTACCATTTGTTTTCCCAAGGATTTGTCAGTCCTTGACTAAAAATTTTAAGATTTCCCAAAAGGAAATAAGAACAGAGGAAAAGAAGTTATGGGTTGCCTTTTGAAATCAAATTAAAAAATCTGTATTTATAATAAATGCAATGTGAGAAACAAAATAAAAAAAGCAAAAGAATAATTTGTCGAAATAAAAATTTTCTTTTTTATATAGATTTTTTAAATTAATTATTTAAAACAAAAAAAAAATAACCAAAATTCAACATAGGTAAATCAAATCAATGGTTCAAATCAATGTAAACACTAATGTAAATAAAATTTACATTAAAATTAAAAAAGAGTGAGCACACTTCAAAAGGAACTAAAGATCGAGGATTTAATTAAAATAAAGGAATAGACTCACCGATGTTGACGCCTGTGTCTTCTAGCCACTTAATGCCTTTCTCCCTCCTGTCCTTATCATTCTGGGGAAGAAAGTCTCCACAGGGTTGTTTCTTTACCAAATAAGCAAAATTTATGCAAGAATTAATTTTGCATCCTTACAACCTTGCCTATGTTGATTAGCTTCTTTTTGCTGAGCAATCAATTTTATAAGTTCTTTAGTTACACTCACTCACTATTTAATATTATTAACTTTCTCTGATAATGTTCGTATTTCAAGTTGTTTGCTGATGCTACCTCCACGATATTGGATAAGGACCACCACATCGTGCATAGCACTATCCTAAGCTAACCTAATTGGTTCGACAGGTTTGTGGGTACTCGATATTCCACACAGGCTGTGTCCATACACACTTAACCACTCATCAATAAATACATTCAGACAAATGGTTAGTCATAAGAGTTTCTGATATTATGCCAGTGCCTCCCCCAATCACTTTGATTACATTGGCCATTTATGACCTATTATCACCAAAACGATTTTCTTTAAAATCAGTGTTCCCATTCTGGAGCCCCATTGTGAGTACATTATGTACAACATTATTATTTTGTTGTTTATAGAATGTGGTGGACAATTACTGGTAATTTTGGCAATATTTTACCAATTGACTGGTCAAAATCTTATGCAAGGAAGTTGCACATGCCAGCTCTAAATCTCAATGAAAACAAGGTTTGAATTAATGGTGTAATATTAATCACACTTGTTTTATTAATGCTGGGATTCATTGTCTTTAGGACAAAATGATTGATGATGGAGAATTAAGCAGTGAAGATGAGGCTGTTGCTAGTGATCTTGACATGCATTCCCTTATCCTCTCAGGTTTTACACAAGATACAGAACCTGTAAAAACTGCAGATGAAGTGATACGTGAAATAGATGATATCATGGAGGTAAATATGAGATTAAATAAAGATAAATATGTTATGTTGGGTTCAGTTTTAGAGATATATTATGTATTTTTGTTCTTAGCCAGTTTTGGCACAAACAGAGAAACCAATTTAAAATCCAGTGTCATTTTTATGCTGCAATATTGTATCTTGTTTATTTCTTTGTAAACGATGTTTGTGTTTTCATTTTCATTTTGCTCCATAATTACTTTTCAATTTATTAAATGATTTTAATTACCATTCCATACATCATTTTATAACCAATGATTGTCATGTCTTCTGATTTTCAGTTGTATTGGCCAGGATTGTACTGAATAATTTCTCTTGTTCTGCTAGCACACATACACAAAACAGTTTTGTGTCTTTACATTTACTCTCTGAGACAACTTAATTTTTTTATTAACATTTTATTATGAAACTTCTTATTTTTTTAGGAAACATCTAGTGATTGCACTCCTGATGCTGAAACAGCTGAGGAATCTTTGCAGAGGAAAGCTAAGCAAGTCTTGCACTCACCACTTTACCATGATAGTAATATGGGCTTCATATGTTGCGCTGTATAAAACTGAAATATTTGTAATCAAAATTATATATTTTTAGAACTAAAAACTCTTACTGTGTCACAACTCAATGAACTCTTTATGGAACTTGAACTTTTAATAAGAGATTATTCTGAAACTTTGATATCAGAACTTGCTCTAAGAGATGAACTGGAATATGAAAAAGAATTAAAAAATTCTTTCATTTCACTCTTGCTGGCTGTGCAAAACAGAAGGCGACAACATCATGTTGAAAAGAAGAAATCAAAATTGCCAGGAAACAGGCAATCAATTTCTGATTCAAAGGTATTTATTTTAAAAATCTGTTAACTTTTTACATATGTAAACTTTAGTAACTACCAACATATAATAGTTTATTTCTTATCCATTGTATATTCTTAAATACAATGGTTTGGAAAGATCACCATCTGGCCATGCGGTCTTACATTATCAGCTTTAAAATTAGTTGTGAAAGTATTAATATTTCTTTAATCGTCAAGATTGTTTTAAAGTGGATATCAACTTTAAAGAACTCGCCAAACAAAAAGCACGCTGCCTGCATTACATTCCACAGTCTCTTTGCTAAGATGTCATCTCAGTTAATTTAAGACAGGCCACTTGGTGGTATAATCAATATTGTAGGGTCAGATTTCAGGGTGCTATTTTTCACTGATATTGTGATGATCTCACTATAAATAGATAAGTGAAAAAATATAAATGGGTTCAGTTTTTAAAGTTACTTAAATAAGATAAAAATAATTCTTGTAGTTATGTTCTTCAATATTTCTTATTTTCCTTTTTTTTAAACCAGTATGGTGTGCATTGCTTTTAAGTAAGCCCCTCATATGCCTCAAATTGTAAACAGGAAAAATCTTCATTTGTGGGTTTGTTTACATTAAATATTTCTTTAAAGACAGAAATTTAGATTAGTTTTGTCATTTAAATTTTTTCTTAAATGTGTGTATTAATAATTGTTTGTCATTATTGAAGTGAAACTGTTAATAAATTCACCTCAGAATGGAATTTTAAATTAAATATGTATTATTGAAAATGTATTCAAAAGGATTAACCAGCAAGGGAGAGGACCTATTAAAAAAAAAAATAAAAAAAAAAAAATAAAATAAATAAATAAAACGAAGGTAGCAACTCTTTTTGCCTCTCAGTGTAGTTTAGAGGCTTTGGTTTGTCGGTGTGGGTTACCTCTTAGGTACAGGGGGGAGATGAATACATAAAAACACTAAAGTAAATATGTAATATTTAAACTATGAATTTTAGATGGCATTGATAATTATGTATTATAACCCATACCTCATAATTTTGATTGAATAATTACTAGTTTCATTGTCAATTGACTTGGTAGAGGGTTCTCATTATCGGCAATATGTAAAAATAGATATATTTACTTGGGATGGTTTTGAAATTTGACCTTAACTATTTCAAACTGTTGCCATTTAAAATCTAGCAACATATTTTCATTGGCTGTTACAGTATCTCACGACTGTCATTCCATACCACATGGACACTGGTCCGTTGGATAATCATGCTTTACAAGTATTGATCAAGAGTAAGTAAATATTATTTTGTTTCATTGATAACATTAAAACAATATACAGTAATAACAATTAACTTTATTTCTTTATAGTTTTGAAAGCTATTAATGAAGATAGTCCCACTGTCCCTACCTTATTGACAGATTATATCTTAAAAGGTATGTTTTATATGCAAAGTCTTTATTGAACTATGATTCTTATCAATATTTTTTATATTTCAAAATAATTGAATTTTTCTCATAATAAATTGTTTCTTCTTGTTCTTAAATATTACGTTTATGGTTTGTTTTAGTTCTTTGCCCAACATAGATGATTTTTCAACCAGAAGGTGCATATTCTTCATTCAGGAGTTGCTAGTAGATACCTTCAAAGGTATACTTTTAAGATCTATAATTAAAAAAAAAAAAAAATCAAAAACATACTTGTATTACATTATAATTATTTGCCTGTGATTTCACTTTGCAAGTCCATAAGAAAAATTAAAGAAAAGGTGGACACTGTAAAAACAAGAGAAAAACTAAACATCATCATTATAGGAAACCTAATTAAAAGAGGAGGATGGAAAAATAACTTACTGTAGATTCTAATATCGCTGAAGATTAAAAGAAAAGTTGTAGTTTTACATTTTTAATGAAAAGAAAGCATAAATTTATATATTTAATATTTTTAATAAATTAACCAATTAATTGCACAGACACACATACATATTGTACATGCTAATAATCCGCTTGATGTGACAATTATTTTTCAAAGATGCTTTTAAAACCTCTCTGAAGTTTCACTGAGAAATGCTTGTGCATTGTCTTAGATTGTGTAAGTATGCTTGTAAATTTTGTTGTATTAAAATTTGTTTAATCAAACTAGAATGTAGTTGTGACTTGCTTACTGTAACACTAATTAGTCCTGTTTAGAGCAAAAGGAACTGTTAACTTTTAAATACATAAATTAATTTAATTCTAAAAGATTCTAGTCGAACATATATACCATGATGTAAATATTCATTAGGGATAAAATTGTAATTTATTGACAAAAAAAAATGAAATAAAGTTATGTTTAATCATACAACCTTGGGTTTTACTTTACCTCTCCTTCGTGTTAACCCTAACCATCAAAAGAATTTTAAGCGATTAACAACAAATAATATAAATGAAAAACAGTTGCTAGTAGCTTATTTTTAAAATTAAATTAATGTAACTGCCTTCCCAGCTGAAATTTCTTACAGAAAACTAAAATCCAGAGTAAATTTTAACTAATGTCCAAGTTAATTTTTAAGGCACTGTAGTTTTATAGGCTTAAGGAAGAAGAAAGGCTCTACACAACATGCAATACAGGTTTTGACGACAAGCCAGACCCTAACTAAATAGTAATTACGAAAAATCAATAACAATAATTTAGTGTCTAGGGATATGAAAGTGGATCAATTTGTCAATAGCTGTATGGTACGATAGTTTCATTGATGGTGATAGATGGAATATGGTCCATTTTTTGATTTGTGAAATTTTATGTATCGATTTAAGCTGATTGTACCTGATTCTCCACTTTTTATCATTAAATTTTGATTTATCAGTATCATATATTTTTGAAGGACTTTGGAAGAATGCTCAGACCTGTTGATATCTCTGATGTGTTATCTATAAATGTTGCTAATTGTTACACCATCCATTTATCCAGGGAGAGGCTAGTGCCACTATTCATAGGCTAATGCAGGAACAGGCTCCAATAGATGGCCTTGTAGAGCAAGACTTGGGAGAAAGGATTAATGCTGTCCATATCTAGTTTACAGATGGCTCCAAAACCGAATATGGGTTGCTGGCATTTATGGAAATAAACGAAGGACTATAATTCATATAAGCCTTGGCCAATAAGCCACCATCTTTCAAGAGGAAACTGTATTATTGAACATTGTGCCAGGGAGATTAGAAGGCTGGGTATTGTCATTAGAAGAATTGCCCTCTTATCGGACAGCCAGGTGACACTGAAGGAAATTGATCAGTGATGAAATCCAGTTTGGGACTGCAACCAGCCCTGTCAGACATTGAGGAAAATAACAAAATTACCCTTGTGAGGGTACCAGTGCACACAGGGCAGAAGTACAACAAAGAGGCTGACAAATTGGCCAAGGAAATTTTAATGACACCTGAACCCTTTTGCGGCATACCAAACTGCCAAAAACGTGGATCTTTGGATTAAAACTAACTCCTTCGTTCAGTGGGAATGTATCAGGACAGAGGCATGGGAAAAAGTTTATCAAAGGACTATCACAGAAAATAATGGCAAAACTGCTAAATTTAGGACGTGCTAGGACTACTAACTGGACTCTGCAGACTCCGGAGGCATATGTATAGGCAAGGAGGGCAGAAACTTGTGCATATATTGCCAAGAAGTAACAGTGGAACATGTCCTCTGTTGAAGGCCTATGTAGGCTAACATCCAACAAATCCTGGGAGAGGAAAAGTCAGAGCCTGAAGGATACAAATAGCAGACCTTGAAAAGTTTTTGGGTCTGGGAAAAATCCTTAAGCTTAATGAAGAGCTCTAGATTTAAAAAAAAATGCACAATGGACCGATACTGGTCATGGTGCACAAACCGTAAAGAGACTAGCTCCTATATAATCTAATCTAAAAAAAATTTATTTTTATTTTTTAAACGAGGGTATTCGACTACGATATTATTTGAACCCTTGGTGCCGGTGTTTTTGAAAAGCCATTTGTAGTATGGGGTTTGAATGCAGGGCCGCTCAATTCAAACCCAGGACCTTTACCTTACAGTGATGAACACCATGTCAACGTCTAAACCGTTGCACCCACCAACACCCCAGTCTAATCTAATCTCAAAAAAAAAGTATAGCAAGTACTGGCCTTAGTGTGCTCCCTTGGGGCACTCCTATTTTTATTTATTTATTTTTCAGTTATGAGTATTTATCTTTTGTATGCCGGTTTCAAATGCATAGCCGTTGGATAAAACACACAATTCATATTTGTTTTTACACATGTCACGGTCTGTTCTCGATTCAACAAGATGGGCCCAACTCTGAATTCTTTTTATGAGAAACAGGGCCCTAGAGGTCTTGATCGAATCTGCATACAAACGATCAGGTGCCTTTTTATAATAAAATTTTGAAGTTCAAGTTTGAAAACAATTTATTAATTACACAAAAAATAACAAAATCAGTAAATTTCCTTTTTAAATTTTAAACAAACAATTAAAACTTTTAAAATTTAAATAAACATTAATTTCATGCAAACTGGTTGCCAGACCGTTTGGAACAAGGGTTGGTGGGTACTCACTGTTTACAGTCAATCCGCTATGTACCGCAGCACTCTATTTTAGGGAATCCAACACTTTTTAAATTCTTTTCAGGATCGCACACTTCTTTTGTCTATCATCTACACAAAATGGACTTGTTCACTTCTAGACTTGACTGTCTCTACCCTCACTGTCCCGATCCTCTCTTATTTTTTGCCCTAGGCCTAATCATGAAATCTAAATCACAACATTGTCACTTTGAAATAAATTGAAATGAGACACACATATGCACTAAACTTATCTTTGAATAATAATTTAGTGTATTAACGGTTATTATTGTTATTGGCTTCAGTTCCATTCATATTTTTTATGTCACTTAATTAGTATATTAACATTAAAATTTAAGGGTGGTTTGTGAACAACCAAACATTCAAAATAATTTTAGGTATAGCATAAGGAGAATGAAAGGTACAGAAATGAAAAATATAAAATTACTTCTGAACATTTTATTATGAACTAATTTAAGCTTGATTGCTTCTTTTCATTTGAAGATATGTATGATGGCTGCAATTCAAAATATAAATGATAACTTGTAACAATTAATATGTATATGTCAATTGTTAATGTAAAATATGTAATTTTAAGAAAAAAAATTGTTATACTTTCAAATATACATATATTTCTTTTTTATTATACAGAACATATAAGTAATTCAAGTTGTCTATATGTAAAAACATTATATAAAAACAATTACATTACATAAAATGTCTATATAAACACCATATAACATTGTATAAAAATCACAGATTAAAAATTAGAATACTTTCGGTTAATTAAAGTCGGTCTGAAAAATTCAATTCTTCCATGTTTACTTGTCCGGAATGTTTCGCTATTCTATATCTCGCCAAATCCTTTCTGGTAACCATTCCAATCACCTGTTTAAAAATAAATGTGGTTAAATTCTAAAATTATATATGATTTAAGTTTTATAAAAATGCAATGGCCGAATGTTAGTCATTAAATACAAATATAAGCTGGCTAATGTAGAACAATGTCCAGCTATATGTATAAATACCCTGTAAACAACAAACAATTGCAAGTATTTAAAAAAATGCAAGAATGCAACAATTTGCAAGTAAGTAAATTTAAAAAAATAATAAAAAATAAAGAAAGACTTATTTTTATTAGAAATTTTGTACAAAATTGAAAAAATGCAATTTGGTTCAAAATGCAGAATACAAATCACAGCCTCTAATTGACTTTTCTGTTTACACGAGTTATATGGGGAAAAACATGATTTTGAAGTGCATACCAACATAAAAGTATTTCATATAGATAACTTTTGACACAGTGACCCTACTTTCTAAGGATGGTCGATATCTGATATAAATGTAAACTTACTCCATTTAAAAAATAATAGTACAAGGTACTCATTTAAAAAAATTCTCACTTAATGTTATTAAGCTTACAAAAATATATTATTTTTCTACATATTCTCCTACCCTAGAAATACATTTTTCCCATAGGATTGGTAATTTTTTTTATTTCATCATCATAAAAGGATCATAGTCATTGCAGCACAAATGCTTCCACCGCTTCATTGTTGCACAAGGTGATAAGTCTAGAGACTAATGATTCTTATCCTGTTGCATTTCATTTTTGCCTCATGGTGTTAACCATAAGAGGCCAGGAGTTGTCTTGCAGAATTACTTACTGCAGAATTACTTAATTACTGCAGGATTATGTACTTCAATCATGGAGAAAGTGAACATGAAAAAGCTGCCTCAATGTTGGCCTTGGTTACACTTGGCATTGGCAATCATGGCTCTCATTCTCAATCTTTTCACACTCTCCAGAAATTTTTTGGCAGCAACAAAGATGCGAGTTCTTGGCAGGGTGTTGACCCTGTACTGAGCCTTTTAATCACCCCAAAGTTCTGGTTAGATTCATCCACTCCTTGGTCAAAAACTTGATAATCCGTTCCTCCATGGAGACACTCACTTCTTTCTCATTATTATTTGTTTGTCTAGCCCTTTCAAATCCACTCCTCTAACATTTTAAAGAAAATCAATCCCGTTTATAAATACACCCTCATATAAATGAATAAATAATAATCTGCCCCTCGGAGCAAAAGTGGATTATTACTATTTAAGGCCTAATTCTGGGTTTTAAGATAGCTTTCAATCAAAACTGATTCCAGACTAACAGTGCAACTAAGCATATCAGAGCATGATCAATGAATCTACAATTTATTATTATATATTGTACTCACTTCATTTGTTTCATTTACAACAATTAAGTGTCTTAAACCAAGAGCTCGAAATAGTCTAAACATCCTTGGTAATGATGCCACCTAAAATAAACAAAAAATTACATTTCATAATTCGGCAAAGCAATAAAAAAGTGTTACAAACAATTTCAAGAAACATTGACATAAAATTAATTTATCTTGATAGAAAATCATGTAAACCAAAGGTTTAAAATTTGAATATACAATATCTTTTGGGCCAAATTTCACCCGAGTGAGAGATGTGTTCAATTTAATTTGAACAGGATACAATAATATGTCAGACAGCTTAGTAGTCACTACAATATGCCAATCACATCACCAGCCTGAAGATGAATCTGATATGCAAGAGTAAAGTTGTCTGACGTGTCAGTTGACTTGTACTTACGTGCTGAACTGTGTAAGGAGATGGATTCATATATGGTGTTAAATCTATTTTACAGTCCATCTCTTCTTCTGGTATATATATATCCTATTTTGTAAAGAAATATAATTAATTTACTGCATGACAAAACTTAAAAAAAAGATAAGACTAAAATAACTAAACCTTTATTTCACAATAACTTGGATACTCTTCTCTAAAATCTTTAATTGTAATTTCTGGGACAACCCCTTGCTGAACATGAATTCGTCTTTTCAGAAGGACTAGTAACTGAGATCGTAAAATGAGTCCTCTCAACCGGCCAGCAGATTTAAAACAAGCCTTAAAAATGTACATATGTCATTACACATTTCCAATGCAAGGACAATTTCAAGGCAAATAAGTGTCTTAAACCACTTATGGTTAAGCAAATAACTTAAACCAACTTTTATTATGTGATTTTGGTGACAAAATTGATAAATATATCTACAATAGTGTTTGTACTTAAGAAAAGCATTCAATAATCAAAATTTTGCAAACGTTTCTTATTTGTGATTCACTATTTATACTTGAAAAACACGAAACTTTCCAATATATTTATTAAATCCGTATTAAGTTATAAAAAGAATCATAATTTTAACATTTATAGAAATTGTGAGATTTCTCCATTCGATTTGCAGGAAAATGAAACTGTAATTTGGCCATTACAAAACCAATCATTTTGGTCTGCTTGTTCTCGCTAGTTTTGATCAGACACAACACTGAAGATGGTGACATGTTGAAACATGCCTGATAGGCCAAAATGATAGGTAATGATAAAATTTAATACGAAATGTATACAAAATAAATTTCTACTTCTCTTCTTTATACAAAATAACTATAAAGAGTGACATTGCATTAACGGAAAGGATTATCTAAATTAAATTGAAATAACAATGCAATAGAAACTTACCCCAGAAGATCTGTGATATTTACTTTTAGTTTCCTCTACGATAGGAAAACCATTGAACGTGACACTTGTCAAAATATTTACAATTGTTCTCACGTTTACAGTAGGTGGTAAAGTAACTACTGGGTAGCTCATTACTTTGTTAGCAGTAAATGATGAAGATAAAGGAGGAGGGTCCCATGCTAACAAGGGTACTCCAGCCAGCTGAATGTGTATATCATAGAATCCCTTAAAAAATGCATATTAATCCATGTATGCTTAGTAGTCATAATTGACCATACAAATTAAAATAAAATTTGAAAAATGGCAAAATGAGGGGAAATTCAAAAAGTTGTAGGTTGAGATGAGGAGTTGGTGTCTGAGTGGGTCGAAGTCTTGATTGCTCAAGTAGTTAGAGCAGCAGTGTATTAAGCCGAAGATCATGGTTCGAATCCTGCTCGAGACACTAACTTTTCCATCTCAACCAAGACCTTAGATAAAGAGAATTGAAATAAATGTGCATGTTTTCCACTTAAATGTCACTTTTGCTTTTATTTAAATAAAAAATTGAAATACCTCACAGAAGTATTCACCAACCCATTTAGCTGTCATTAGTGTTATCATTAATGGTAGTCCAAAGTTAATATTGCCAGTTGCTTCAATCAAGATAATTGTTAAACTTATTGTCATCCTTACAACTCCTCCAAGTTGTGCAGCTGCTCCTACTAATGCATACTTTCCGGGATCGACCCAACTCTGAAAATCAGTACGTTAATAACGTTTTCCCCCATTAACTAATTTTCAAAGAAACTAACGGCATTTGGTAGCATCAAGGAAATGAGTATTCCTATGACTCTTCCCCAAGCTGCCCCTGTCAGAAGACAAGGTATGAAAATTCCTGCAGACATACTCAAACCGTAAGTCCATATAGACAATCCCAAATACACAACCATGAATATAACTAGAGTTGATAATTTATGTGATGCTGAAAATTATATTTTAAGATGATATTTACGTATTCATAACACTTTTCAAATAAATAAAAATTACCAGGTGGATCATGAAACAAAGAACGAACACTAGCTTCAGGGACTTGCAACCAAATTGCAGCAGCTGAATTATATTCACCATCATTACAGTACATCTTAATTTCAAAAAATATATATTTAAAAATGCTGTACAATGAAAACAAAACATAATGTATAAAAGTAGATCTATAATTACCTGGATAGGGAATTTTGTGGGGTCTTGACCTAATGGTCGACAGTCATTCAGTAGGTATATCATGAGTAACCCAACAGTAGCGCTAACTGCAGCGACCAAACATGCTTCTACTACCTTCAGCCATTGGCTGTTAATATATCTGTAAAAAATATTTAAAAAAAAATAAAAATATCGTATCCATTTTCGGCCTCTAAGCTAATGACTTAAATACCTTAATCTGAAAACTGTGAGCCTATAGTTAATAAATGTATATACTGATCCTAAAATACCCCCAATAACACCCATCAAAGCAAAGAGAGCCAATTCAAAAAGTTGATAATCTAATGATTCAAAATGGCCAAAATTAAGTAATCCATAATAAGCAAGCTCTCCTGTAAAAATAACAAAATAAAACATTAATTAATAATCAAGACTAAGGTCTAATCCTGGACAACCGACACCAGATTAGGAACCTGTGTCACTTATTCTAACAGCCTCACATAATTATAACCATACTCGTAATTTAACATGTATAACGGAAAAATAAAACCACCTGGTCTTCCATGATAAGCGCTCAAAATAATATTCAATGTAAATGTGGAAATAGAAGAGGCAAAAAATATCCTCCAAGTTAAGCTCTGGTTCCAAAAACTGCTTCCTTCTTCTAAACTAAACAAAACACCACCTAAAAATTATTACAAAATACAAATAAATTTCCCATATCTTTTATCTTTTTAATTAAAACTCAAATACATTATAATAAATATGTTAAGAACTAACTTTGCCTGAATATATAGCTAATCAACAGAAATCTTTTTCAATATCATTAGAATTAATCATACCCACAGGAGCTCCAAATGCTGCTGCTACGCCTGCAGCAGCACCACCAGAGACAAAATCTCTTTTTTCGTGGTCTTCTCTGAAGTAACCCAAAATCTTGCAATCTGATTTCAGAGAAGTGCTTTTACCCTGGGAAATACCAGCAGCAACTACAGCACCTGCATGGATCATTGGTCCTTCCTTAAAGCAGAATAGGAGACTATTTAAAGCTTTGATGCTGTATAATTAGCTTTATCATTAATTTGTGTTTTAAAGAATTATTATATTAATTTATAAATACTAATGACATATTTATTAGTCAGGGATACATATTTATTAGCCAGGGGTAATTATTAAATCATTACAAAACGTTTGGCTCTGATACTCTGCAGTGCGCATCTGAATTTATAGATGTGTATTTTTCTTTATTTTTACACAGTTAAACTGATCGAAATGATGAATGATGGAGTGAGTGCGGTGTTCAATCCTTTTTCAAAAAAGATAGTTCCCTCTCACAGTAAGTTGTTTTCTAATGATCCGGATTTTGAGCCCTCATCAGGTTGAAGGATTTCAACAACCATGTCTCTCGACATGAATGGATTGTTGGAAAACAACTTACTGTGAGTGGGAACTATCTTTTTTGGAAAAAGGATTAAACTGATTGTTTTGTTTTAAATTTTGGACTAAGAAATAGGTGTACATTAATTCTGTGTAGCCATAAAAAACATTGCAACACATTCTCATTGATATAAGTGAAAGCAAATTAATTTTTATTGAATCACTTGGTGGTGCAAGTGGATCACGACACAACCCTGCTTTCAGCATTTCTTCTACCTTTTCTATCATACATCTCCAGGTCAATATTGTTTTATCTATCTATTGTTTCTTCAAATTAATTTGGGCATGCTAGTCAAGAAAATCCAAATAGGGTACTATAGAAAACTATTTATTATTTGCTGCAAGAGATATTAAAAAAAATGATATTTTCTACAATCCCTTGTTCAAGAATGGAAAAATTTTGTGTAGAAAATGCAAAGGCGATCCAGTGCAAGCAATTAATTTCTCAATTAAACCTCAAGACAACTTTATCTTTTTGAGTTAAATCAAGTTGTGGATTATCAACATGGACTCTGAGAAATTGTCACAACTCATCCAAAAAAACGCAACTAAATCTCTCCCAACTTAGTGCTGGATATAACTGATGTAAATATTGTTAAAAGAAAACCAGAGCAAAAATCGTCCAGGATTCTGCATAATTATTAATATATGGAATAACGTTAATCACTATCTGTCAGGAATGTACATAGATATTCACATTTTTACACCATCTACCTTCACTTTCCGTACAAACCATCTATTGTTTATCTGAAACCTGTTTTGTTGCAGATTCCATGCACACACCAACCGAACTACAAGGATTTGCAGTACTAACATCACCTACCATCAAAGAAAAGAGCCGAGAAAAGCCAGCAAAGAACGAGCAAAGATTTCAATACTTTTAAATTGAAATGTTTACAATTTGATTGTCTTACATAAATGTGAATACTCAATGTTATCAAAATTTTCAAATAAAAAATTTGAATTTTTTTTTTTGTGAGGGTTCGCAACAGCAGAGGTTATATCAACCCTCGTGGTGCCGGTGTTTTTGAAAAAGAGCCCATTTAAGTTGTCGGGTTCAAATGCAGGGCCGCTGGATTCAAACCTGGGACCTTTACATTACAGTGATGAGTGACGTGTCAACGCCTAAACCGTTGCGGCCCATTGTATTATTACAGACATATTTAATTAAACTATTTAAAATATTAAACAGTTACTTCCAAATTGTTTAATGTTACTAGAAGGTGACTTTAACTGTGTTGGCCAGTTAAATCAGTTATACTGTAAATTAATCTATAATAACTTTTTGTCACTTCGATGAGACTGAAAATATAAAAAGCCAGCTTTTAGCAGAAGCTCTAGAAAACAAAAATGTTGTTTTAGTTAATGGCAGATCCCATATAACAACCCTGGGCATTTAACATGAATGTTGATGGTCAGAGTGTATTGGACCCGGTGTGCTGAAACCTAAATTGTTTGTCTTTTTTATAAATGATTTATATGTTAACCTTTTGTTTTCCACTCTAATCACTTTCCTCTCAAACTAACATTAAATATACTTTCAAATAAACATCATAGAACTGATCTGTTGTTGTTTGTAACATCTTAATCAAAGAGATACTCATCCAGATACCTGAGGTATGGTTCTATTATCGTTCGTTATGGTAAAATACAAAATAACTCACAATTTGAACTCTAATCTAGCAGATTTATGAAACCATGAATAGTGTACAGTTGTACCTTGTCAAAAAGCTAAATTTTTCCAGATATTCTCTTCTTTCTCGTATGACCAAGATTTTTTTTTTTAAGTGAGGGTAATTCAACTAGGTTAGATAAACCCTTGGGGTGGCAGTGTTTAAAAAAAATGCAGGACCTTTATCTTACAGTGAGTAATAAACACCATTTCAATGCCTAAACCAAAGAGGACACTCAAGCTCCTTATAAGTAAGATTATACTGTCACTAGGAAATATGCTTAAGCAAACTATTCAGAAAAATAAATTTGAATAGTTTATTACTAATAACTATTTTTGCAGAGTATATCAAATCATCCATTTCACAAAGACTCAGAATGGGGAATGATTGAATGGATCATGGAGGTTGACTGAAGATGGGCCAATGGCCAAGAAACATAAAAATGCAAATTTTCTTTTCCTCAAAAATCATCTAAAATTAAATCTTTGTACATTATATGGAATAAAGATTAATAAAACATACTAATTAATAAATTATTTTTAAGTTGTATTTTTATTGATTAAATCAGTTTTTCTTCTTATTTTCTCTATTTACAAAATCTGCATTTGTACCTCATGCTTATAAGCCTTTAATTTCTTTACACCAAAATATATATATTTTAAATTATTTCTTTACCAAAATTCAGAGTAATGTCTTTCAGAGAAACATTGGCACGATAAAGAAAGTGTTTTTCTGAAACCTATGTCACACTAGAACCGAGAAACAGAAAAGTTTAAATTTTTGTAAAGTACTTTAGATGCAATTTTCATGTAAGCACATATAAATTTTCTATGTTAGTGTCTGGTATAGTACACAGTTTAGTGTATTTTTATTTTGTAGTTTTATAGCCAGCCTTGACGCTTGCCCCATTGGATCAGTTTGTAGGTTGATGTAAGCTTTATTGAATTTTGAAGTTTATTATCATGACTAAAATAAACAAATAAACATCAAAAGGATAACACAGTTACCACCTTTTATTAGTTCAGAGAAATATTATATTTAAATATTTTAGTTATTTTATATGTAATATTAAAAACAAAAAGATAATAAATTGAGCATTCCTATAGAGGTACTAAGAAATATATAGTATAAATATAAAGGTATAAATAAAAAGTTACTAACCTTTCCTCCAGCAAGACCACCAACAACTGTAGAAATCACACCAATCACCTTGACTATTAGAGTTTTAATTCTTACTAATCTTGGCATTTTTATGCCATTAAGATAACATTTTACTTGGGGTATCCCACTACCTCCAGCTACAGGCTTCAAATAAAAATTACAAATTATGTGGATTATTATTCATTCATAAATAATAGTGTTGATTGTTTGCATATATATTAGGCAAGAAAACAAAACCTATTTCACTTGGTTGACGTTTCTGAAAATTTGTTTCCTTCCTTTATTACAAAAAACACATATTTAATATGTATGTGCATGATCATTTTTTACATCTAAATATGTGGTTGATAGTTTACATACTCGCACCCAATGACCATTAAAATTTCTTTGGTCCTGTTTTTTAAAATTTCTTCAAACATGCAGTTCACTGGGAAAGGTTTTTTTAACTATTTACATTTACTACATCATTTGCCATGTTACTAAGTCTGCAAAGAAAGAAATATGACATCCTGAATGACCTATGCAGGGGCATGGCACAGATCGCTGATCCAATATTTCAAGGCCATTTTATCATATATAGATCTTTGTACCTTTATGTATTTTAATTACAACAACAACAAATATGTTTTTATTGATTGAATGTATTTATTAGCATGAATAATGGGGCTTATCCCCCAATTACGCCCAAGGAATATCGAGTACTCTGAGATAGTGTGAATGAATTGCGGTGAATGTAACTTATTAGTGTGAATAGAGGGGCTTATCCACAATTGACAATGCCCTGAAATATAGAAAATCTAGTAATAGGATAACGAAAAGCGAGTCCGTTACTGTCCTATTTGTTCTAATCATAACTTGGTTGGATAAACGGAAAAATAAGTAGTACGGTTAATATGTGAGATAGACAAGAAAGGAAAAGCAAAGAAAGAGAGGGAGAAAAGTCACGGTGATACTTTGTGAGTTCATAAACTCTCAACCATGTAAATGTAACTAAGTAACAGATACATTACTTATTAAATAAAAATAACTGTTGTTCTCAAGCAGTGGTACTGATAAATAAATACATTTTCTGAAAAGTCTGCCAAATGAAATAGCTTCTTCTCTTACCTAAAGTAACCACAAGGTCAAAAAAANATATTGTGATGACAATGCTAGGATGCAGGTGTTGCTCCTAGAATTGTCATCAGCACTCTCCCACTCTAGAAATTTTATAATGATTTTCATTTTAACAAACGTTAGTCTTAAGCCAGATTTCCCGAAAGCATATCGACGAGATTTGATTTAGATTCATAAAGTTCTGAATGTATATCAGTAACTTATTTGATTTATATATATATATTTCTACAAATAATCTTACGGCTTTAAATTACCTTGTAATAGCAAGTTTTTAAACATAATTACCTCAATATAAGCTACGAGAACAGCACCTACAAATACCAATCCAACATTCATTCCAACCCATATAAAAAAAGGCACATGTAGGCAGTCTTCAGTCACACAATGATCAATATCTGAGTGGTAATATTAAGGACAAAAACCAGCTTTAAAGGTAATGGAACATTTTCAATACAGTTAAAAAGGATACTGTTCTTAATAACACTATATTTGTATGTAGAAATAATATCAATTGATATGTCTATACATACTCCAATTAATGCAGTTAACATACCGATGAGAAAAAATATAATCCATTTCATAAATAATTTTTTAATGTAATAACTGTAGCCTTTGTTCCTTTCTTCATCTAACATTAATCGATTTTCACATATATCATAATCCAAACTCTGCAAGTAGATAAAAATAAAATAAGAAAATTAAAAAATAAAACACACAAAACATACACATACCTCATATTTGACTGAAAGAACATCTAACGAACCAATAGGCACCGTTTCATTTGCTCTACTTGATCTTTTCAATGAATGTATCTCATCAAGTATAGGTTTAATATCATCTTTAAACCCATTTTCATTGCCTGAATTAAAATTCTGAAAAAATGTAAAAAAAAAATTGTATTTATTAAAAAACTATAAACATAGATTAAGGTAGGGAGTTTCATTTATTTATTCATAATTTCATGTTTCCAAATTTACCTTCACTTCCTGTTGTGAGCTTGTCCCATAAGATTTTTTTCTCCTTCTGGTATTTTCTGAAACCAGAAGGGGGTCTTGGTCACTGTTTTCCATTTAGTTATTCAGATTAAGAAGTTATGAATGTGATGATTCCATTTTATAGAGATAACTAAAACACACAATAAAATGATATACTATTGGATAAATGTATTTTATTTACTATCTTGTTTGATTTGAAAAAGTGAAAACAAATTACTATAAATATAAAACTGATTCACTCTTTGGAAATACACTGATTAACATATTTTGGAACAAGTTTAACATTCCACTGTACATTGCTCTGGAATAGATAAATTATATCTACAAACTACTTTCTCCTGATATTTTAATGTGAAATTATGAGAAATGTTATCTTATGGAAAGGCCCTATCTTTAGAGAAGAAAGGCATGTAAATCTGAATAGGTTCAGAAAGGAAGATAGTTGAGATAAAGGTGTTAAGTTTCACCATCTAAATAGAAAAAACACACGTATCATCGGTGGTGCATGATTTTTAAATTTTATTTATTAATCTTTTCACAGTTGCAACATATAATAAAAAACATTGCCATCTGCAGATAACTATTGCTAGTACCTATAACGTTGTGGGATTAATATGGTTATAAAAAATAAAATAAAATAAAATAATAAGTCTGTACCCGTTAAACATACAGGATCCTTATACTAATAACAAATTAATGAATCCGACCTTATATACCTTCCTAACCTTATAAATGGTTATAACTAATTTAGTGAGGAAAAGGGAATATTTTCTTATGATAGAAAGTAATTGCGAGCTGCGAGCTGAGCTACGAAAGGACGTGGAAGGACTCTCTCTCAATTTTGCTTGAAGGCACCTGCTCTTTTTTATGTAAATGGCAAGGAGAGTGCGTATGTCATAGATCACATATTTTTATTTTTTCAAATCTAAATACATTTATTTTTTTGAGGGCTTTGTTATAATTTATTTGGATCAGGTCCCAAATTTTGTCTTTTCCGTTTAATTTAATTGAGTCTGTGGCACAAATATTTTTTCTTATTTTTATTTTACACTCGCAAGGATACGAGTTTGTTTCGTGTGAAGGGGATTCACGTTAACACGTAAAGTTATTTTTTTGGTTTCCTTTTCACTGGACAAGTTGTATAGTATAGTGTAACGAACCTTTATGAACGAACACCACTCCACAAGAATTTTTCACTAGCAGTTTTTTTTTGTCTTGATAACATCACACACTTTTATTTTTACTTTATCTTCTTTCTAAAGTTGCAAGCAACCGAGTAACTCCAAATCCAGCATGGCTCTGCCTTAGGCCTGCCGCCGTCCTCGCATCTGCCTCCTCAATCATTGGAACTCTGCCTTATTGATTGTTTATATCGCTTTGGCGGCCTTTATGAAATGGCTTTGTCATTTACCTTAGTATTAGTACAAAGTAGGAAAATGCGTGGAGCATTCAGAGGAATCAAATTTTAATAAAACAAATATGTTTTTCTGATTAGTTAATAAGGTATTAAATAAAGAAGGGAAATTACTTTTAGAAGGCATGAAGGACTTAATTTGTTTTGTTTGCACCTGGAAGGACTAAATCTGATAATCTTGGAAATTTCACATTTCTTTCCATGGTGGGAAAAAGAATAAATGATCAGGAGTGGGTCAATCAGGCAGGCCTGGGACTTGTTCTGGATTTAGCATTTGTTAATTTGTCTAATTAACACATCACAAAAGCTGGTTATTATTATGTGTTTGTTAGTGTTATGTCTTTCTGAATGCATTATCTACAAGTTTTAACATGTAAACAATCGTAACACAGGATAATAAAAATTACCAGAAAATATTAAGAAACCAAATGTGAAAAGCCTATATGTAAAAATCAGTGTACCTTCTACATACAAGATCTTGCTAGTTGTTTCTTTGTTGTTCGGCTGTTCATAAGGGGAACCTGCAAGGACTTTGACCCAAAAGCAGGTGCCTGAGTGTCAACTGTGTATGACCAATGCTCAATCGGGTAGTACGATCCCTTGTCTTCGGCTCAGGTTATCTGAAGACCATCTACTGACAAGACTCACAAGAGCATCTTGGACGACCCCGCCCACTGATGTCATCTTTCTTTTATCATGTTTTTCACTGCAAGCTTAGTCAGAGGGCCTCATTGCGATGGTCTGGTCTGGAGGGTGGGATGTCCTGGTTTTCACCACATGTTCATTATCCTCCGGGCTGACGTGTCTAGGAACCCACACAACAACCACCATTTTGCTGAGGCATATTTCCCTAACAAGAGCATGATGAAAGGGTCCACAACTTGTCTCTTAGTGCAAAGAGAGAGTCGGTACAAACAAGGAAGGCTGAGTGCTTGTCGGTCCTTATCGCCTCGAGAACGTGCCAACATACATATATCTGCTCTATATACACTGCAATGACCAGAAGGTGGCCACTCCCTCACTATACACGGCACATGCCACACAATATATATATANTTTTTTTTATATTTTACTAAAGATTAAATTGAAAGTTCTAGATGGGTACCTTCTTAAAGGAAATTTAACTCTCTTTTCAATGTTTTTTTTGGATTTCCAATAGTTCAAGAGCTACAAATAGATTTATATAAACAGTAGATAGTTGAAAAAAAAATTGAATATCTGCGAAGGGTTGACAATCAGTCCATGGTTCATATGAACTTTTTTTGTTGCATATGAGATGTAGAAGCATCTGGCTTACTTTGTTGAATGAGTAGCCAATCACACTGCATAAAGTCATGTAGTTGTTTGTATGTAAAGACAGACATGTAAAAAAAGGAAATCCGGGTAGAACATTCAAATCCCTTTATTTAATAAGGCTGAAAATCATCGACATTCCATCCCCTAATTCTTGCTCAATTAACATATAAATCAATTCATGAATGAATCCCTACCCTGCTTACAACTAACAATTCTCAATTCTTGCCTATAATCTAAAGAAACATATCATATTACTTCTCTAACAATTCTTTATTCGTATTAAAGAATTCACAACTTAAATCTAAATAATTAACCAACTTAGTTTTTTATTAGGTCTCAATTCCTACTCATAATTTACACACCCTAATTCTTGTATAATTTCTATCCCTATGTATAAATTAAATAAATACTTCAATAATAAATAAATACACCCAAGCTCTCCGACAAATCTCTATTCCTATCCTAAGTTGGCTTATTTCTTGAGGAATGTATTATTCAAGATTTGGCCGCAGCCGCGGAACTGCCCCGAATGTTCTCCAATTCTCCTACCAACTGTTGGACAAATCTTGTACTCACAGAACTGGAATGCTGGCATCGATCTTGACTGTTATGTGGTTCATATTCTGCAAATTATGCTGACTATGTCACCGCACCAGTTCACCTTTCTGACTCGGTCTGCCTGACTCTCTTGCCTCTCTAACTCCGACTGACTCTTCTGTACACCGGCTGCCATAACCACACCAGTCCTTTTTCTGTAACTGAGTCTTCTTCAACCCTACCCTCTTGGGATAGTATTTTTAAGCCAATCAGTCAGGGAGGAGGTGTGGAACCCTAGTTAGTTAATATTGTTATTATGTTTCCTGGTGACCCGACTGCCTTTTTTTTCTTCCCTAGTTTATTAAACTTTTCCGGGTGAATACGGGCGTTAACTACTCCTAGGGTTGAGCAATAAGGCCACCTTGCAACACAACAGTAAATATTTTTGTGGCGATTACCCAGGAACATATATATACAACATATAACATATATAACATATACAACACATTTCTCACACCCAGGTGTTAATATTTCACCAGGTTTCTTTAGCTGTGCCTAGGGTTTACGTGAAAGACTAGGTCGGCTCCCAAGATTCGAGGACACTTCCGATGGCCCAATCTTGCACAATATGCTTTCCCAACAATTAGCCGAAATATCCTTCCTTCCCATCGTAATATTTACAATTAATTAATTAAGGTTTTTAGTTGAGACAAAAACCTTAATTAATTGAATGATATTAATTGGTCAAGCGGACCACGAAAATTAGTGAATTTACAATTAATTTAACTCCTAATAAAATCTGTTTAAGATTCCTTCTTGGAATTTTAAATTTAACTTTTAAAGTGGTAAATCTCCAATCATCGAAATTGGTATTTGTGTGTTTGTTAAATATAAAGTGTTCTGGTTTAATTGATATACATATATGTTTTAAATAGCTTACATAATGAAATGTCGCCCGCTCCTAAATGCACCATCTAAAGTAGAGTAATACTCTGAGTCTGAATGCAGTTATGCACAACTGTAAGTTGTTAATATGTGAGTAAGAGTATTCGCTGATAAGGAAGAGAGTTATAGAAAATCATATCAACATTCGTCAGCGTGATAGGGAACATATAACCTTCTCGTTGAGATGAAAAAGGAAAGGTCGTTGATATTCTACGTTGAAGTTGTCCTTGTAGGAGCTAGTAAGGTCTTTCTAAAATTTAGCACCAAATAGTAAATATTAACAGTGGAGTTGTAGTTCCGTTTGTTGTTGTACAGCTTTATTGTGGTTATTGGAAAGAAACAGTTATGGAGTTGTGTCGGACGACCAGTGGATAGATGTTGTTTGCCAGCCCCCTCGTCAACCCCTGTAAACCGGTACCGGCCCGTCTGAATCGCCTGCGGATGATAATGGCCAAATACGCAGTTGTCGTGGGTAGGAAAGTCGGCGTGTTTGATTCCTGGGCCGAATGCCAGGAACAGGTTCTGGGCTATCCCAAGGCGGTGTACAAAAAGTTCAACACTCAAAACGAGGCAGAATCGTTTCTGAGGAGTCATTCAACCACTGTCGGCTCGGAAGCGGACTCTGTAAGGCGACTACAATTTGTTGATGGTGTGGTACTCGACAAGCATCAATCCAACAAAGTGGAGAGCAATCCTAGTAGTTCCGTACTGGATGGTGTTTACAAAAGGATCTCCTCATTGGAAGAAAAGTTTAATAAGTATGTTATGGAGACCACTTCCAAATTGGAGGCTATTAATTCGAGGTTGATATGTATAGAAAGGAAAAGAAGTGATTGTCCTGTCGAGGACGCAGAAGAAAAAATGGCTGTAAAAAAAATCAAATTGGAAAAATCCCCAGATCAAAACGATTTTGTAATGGACGAAAAAGGTTTTGTTGTTGTATTTACTGATGGCGCATGTTCTTCTAATGGGAAAGCAGGAGCAAAAGCGGGCATTGGTGTATGGTTTAACTACGATCATCCTTTGAACGTCTCGACTCCGGTCAAAGGATCTCCGACTAATAACACGGCAGAGATCCAGGCTGCGAGAGTTGCCATCGATCAAGCAAAGAAAGCCATGATTTCTAAACTCAGTATTCACACAGATTCACAGTTCCTGATAAAATGTATCACTTGCTGGATTTACAAGTGGAAAAAAAACGGTTGGAAGTTGGCCAATGGAGAAAACGTCAAAAATAAAGATGAACTGGTCAAATTGGACAATGCTATTAAAAGTCTTAATGCTATCCAGTGGATTCATGTTAAGGGGCACAGTGGTAATGTCGGAAATGAAATGGCAGACAAACTAGCTAGAGCAGGAGCAGAACAATATCAGTCAAATTTAACATTTGGGGTGTAATCTTAAACCATAGTTTTATAAAAACTCAAAATAGAAAATGTTTTTAAATGTATATAGGTACAAGCTGAGAATAAACTAAATATTAGCAAATTGTTTTAGAGAGGCTTTTCTTTCTCCCATTTTAAATTAAATTTTGAAATTCCAAAAGAACCCATCATTAATCTTGCCCTAAACCATTTATATTGAGTGAAATAATAGATTTTTGACCAACAACAGCTTTTTCAGAATTCAGTTGTTTTTGACATTTTTTATTAATTAAAATGTCAAATAAAAGCTAAATTAATAACAAAATTGAGGGAAAAATGTAAAACCCCTCTTTAATATAATTGCAACACATGGCATAGCTTAAGAACATGTATAATATTTTGAAATGGATAAATTAAAATATTAATCCTTATATGCTTAGTGGTCATAATTGAACTATTTAATTATTTCAATTAATTATACTTTTTATCTAAAGTCTTGGTTGAGTTGAAAAAGTTAGTGTCACTAGCAAGATTCAAACTCACAACTTTTGGCGCAATATGCCGCTGCTCTAACCCATGTCACAATAGCTCTACAAGAATTGATAAAATATTGAATAGGGATCTGAAATATAAAATTACATGACTGATTGGTACACCGTTAATACTTAATTAATTGTATGCAATGGATTTTTAAAGCCAGGGGTGACTTGCTCTATTTGGACAAGAGCATCGTCCATGTGCTCCATGTAACATGGGAGCGATTGAAGACCTGTACCATGTTTGGGGGGTCTGCCCTTTTCCACATTAATTTTGTGTGGCTTTTTAGGAAAAAAAATCCAGAGATGACATGATAGAATTGTAGAATATTTGAATTTGAAAACTGGATACTTCTTGTGAAATATTGTAATTCTGCTTGGAAATATAAGTAAGAAATGGTCAGTAAATTCATTTATTAAGTTTGTAATTCAGTGTTTATTTCACCATGTATAATTAGTTTTATTATTTGAATTAGCATGTAGTTGATGACTTGGGCTAAATGTAGTTTTTCTGTGTTGAACAATTAAATTTAAAGAAAGTTTATCTGTTATGCTTTTTTTTATCATTTACTTTTTAGCTTTATAGTTTAATTTAATTTTTGAGTTTTTTAAGATTTCCATATTATTGTAAAAAGGTTATAGAATGATAAAGTCTATTATTATTAAATCCATTATATTTCGTGGACTGATTTCCCAAATAACCTCTTTCAATTAACTAATCTTTCTATGTAAGGTATTGGTTGAAATGAAAAAGCTGTCATGAGAGGGATTCAAACCCACTACCTTTAGCTTGCCACTGTTCAAACTACTTGAGCTACCGTGACATCTATTATAGTTATCTGTATTATTTACTTATTTGTTTACATCATATTGTTTTAAATTATTTACAAAGGTAAAGACGTATTGTCACTGGTTGTGCAAACCGTTGTTTATTATCATTGATGTTTGGCTAAATTTTTGGTATTACCTCTTTATTTTATTTATATTTTGGATTAGTATTATAATGATGCTGTTTGTACTATGACTCGTGTAGCTTGTAGTTGGAGTAGATTGTTGAATATGGGTTATGATCCGATGAAAGGCTGCTAATGGTGAAAAATTTGAATGTCTAGTACACTAAGTTCAGCATTATTTACTATCTGGATAGAAAGCAGGGACTTCTGGGGAAATGATATTAAATTTTAATTTTAGTCTAAGATCTTTCCATTAGTATTATTTGAAATGATTCCAGGCATAATTCCTGAAATTTTAGGCACCACCAGAATACGATTAAGTTGGACCCAAACTGTCAAGTAAAAAACTGGTGAAGCAATGTAAACATTGTATTTATGAACTAATAAATTACTATTTTTTAAACAATATTATATTTATTTACAGTAATTTTATTGAAGTTTATTTATAAATTAATACTCAAGGTTTACTTCCACAGACCTGAAATAAAAGAAATAATAATGAATAATTTAATTTGAACATAAAACATAACAATGAGTCCGTACCAATTCAATTTGATTGCTGACACAATTAAACATATCATATGCTACATCGCATGTATATCCTTCTTCTGCAACAACAACAAATAAATAAATTAGAACCTTAGAGGAAGTTAACACTGAATTTAAGTGAGACAATTACGTTTAAGGAGACTAGGGTCATTGGTCCTATTTTGCAACTCCTGAGCCAAACATTGCTGGACAGCCTGAATAGTGGCAAGGTAGTAATTCCGGTCTTTATTTCCTTCAGAGTAAATTTTGACAAGCCCAGTGGCCGTTGGGATCCCATTGGTATCAACCTGGAAAGTTACCGCTTTGCAACTACTATTGTAAATATTCAAAAACAAATTAAACTTTAATTTCTATAAATGACTGTACTAATTTTTACATAAAGCGTTAAAGGAACAGATAGGTAATGGAAAAAGCAGAAATGTCCCATTCAAAAATCGCAGTTATTTTCCAAACAGCTAAAATGGTCGAAATGATTTCCTATTTTCTTTCATTGAAGGCATGAAAGCATTCCTAATTATAGGGTAATATAAATCCCAATGTAACTGTAAATTACCATCAACTTCATCAATTTGGGCTCAGAAAATAAAAAGGAATCCCACTCAAATTACTGCCATGCTTGTTCAAACCCATTGCTAACAAATGAAGAAATTTTACCTGGCATCTCAGGTAATAAGACATCTCTAAACCTAATTACAAAACCAAATACAAGTCATTATTTGAGCCTCTCATTAAGGAGAAAGTAAACATCCATGAGGGTTGGTTTGGCAAATGCCATTACAAGTTTCGATAAATTGAGCACGATAAAAGGAATACAATATTATACTTATCAGGAGACAGCAGGATTGTGCGAATTGGAAAATTATATGTTCAAAATTAAGTAAACATGCCAAATATATTGAGGTATTTCTTTGTTAATTTTTATGCACCGATGCTTTGGGAACAATTAATTTAAAGACCATTTAAGCCAACACTAATGAAGCCACTTCACAGACCATCATTTGACATATAATTGAAAACGAAGGAATGACAATGAAATAATATCGCCTCCTTGAAAAGATTGATGATGCAAAAAATCTTGAAAAAAATTGTGGTCAATGAAGATGAACAGAGTTATTATAAGTCATTTATGGACAAATGCAACAAAATGAATGCAGATCGGTCAAAAGTTTTTGATACCATTAAATTAGCTTTAACTGGAGAAATAAATAGCTCTCAAAATATATTCTTTGTTGACGGACCTGGAGGTAGCGATAAGACATTTTTATACAAAAAGATGATACCTTTCTGGAGATATTTGGGCAAAAAGTTGCAACCAATTTATTTGAGGAAGAAATGAGTAATTGAGCTATATTAGCAGCTAGAAATGACGAAGGGAAAAAATCAATCATCTTATTGTGAAATGACTAACAGGAGAAATTGTTGTGTGTTTCCTTAGATCATGTTTAGTCACTAGCTGGTGGCAAAGCTGACAATGAAAACATGTACAGTATCCCTTTGAATAAATACAGACACTGGCACCTTCAGGTTTACCTCCTGCAGAACGGCACTTAAAAGCAGGAAGTAAAGTTAAGCAATTGTGAAATTTACACACAGGAAACGGTTTCAGTAAGTTGAGAGATAGTAAGAAAAATTGAATGAAATATTAACTGGAAATAAAAAGGGAGATATTGCGCACATCCTTCGATTAGATTTACACATGATACCAAAATGCCCTTTGTTTTGAAATGGTTGCAATTCCCAGACTGTCTAGCATTAGCTTATTAGCCATAAATAACTCAAAAGGATAAAATTTGGGAAAATAGGTTGGATTATAAATTCAAAAACACAATTACACAAGGACAATTATATGTAGCCCTTTGGTATTCGACAAAGATGGGCATTAACAAAATAATGCAAATTCAAAGAAAAATGCAATAAAATATTATTTTCAATGATTATTTTTACCAAAAAATAAAAATCTTCTTGGGCCACAACATCCTTCAGCTTAAAGATTCAGATTCAAAAACGAGTACATACTTACATCAATTGATATTTTTACAAGTTCTAATTCCTTGTTAAGTAAAGTTGTTAAGGTAACGTCTACCATAGTTACTTATTACATAAACTTGGTTACTTATTAATTAGCCACTAATGATAATTTATGAATTACCAAGCCATTCTTTGAAATAATTCTAATAATAGGCATATTGGATTGTGTGAAGGAGTTTTCTTTTTAAGGAGCAGTCCCTTGAGTAAAAAGGCTATTGGTCTTTAGGCATATAATTAGATGGAGGCAAATATGATTATTATGTCCAGGTTTTGGAATTGAACCAGTTTCACACTTTACCAAGTGCTTGGAATATATCCCATTCTTAGGCAGCTTCTGTAAATTTTGATTAGTAAGGAAATTAGGAATAAGGAAATTTTCCTGTGTACACCATCTGTTCCTGGAGAGTTGAATGGGCTGAAGATGTCAATTGCCCGTTCAATTTTTCAGGTGTTATAACTGTTTTGGCTATTTTCCAATATTTTATTTTGTTTTGGCAGGTTTAGCTTTGTCCCTATTGTCTAGGACATTTGATTCTGTATTAACAGAATGGTAAATTTCTACCAGGGGAACTGCTGGCAGCGAACCCCTTCCCCACTTTAACAATAGAAGTCAATGAGAATTCACCACCCTAATTGGTTCAATGCTTTAGTCACATCTCATCGATAAGTTCTCACCAACCATCAATGGAACCAACAGAAGCCATTCTTACCGGCAAACCATGTACATAGCCACATGGGTTCTATCAACAGCTCGCATTCATCAGTCACAAACCAGCTGACTAGGCTCACAGATGCCTGAGGCCCTATACTCCATACTGTTTACCAACACCTATCTCACCATGCCATGGAATTTCTTGACAACTCACAGCAGAAAGGCTTGAAACTGTCACCTGTCAGAGATGCTACAGCAAATAACATTTCTGCAACACTGGCCCTTTTCAGGGCCCACTTACAATCAGTGTATTTTCTTTTAAAAATTTACTATATCTGTCTCAGTTTGTGTTTCAGGGATTTTGAGTCATATTATCAGGCTTATCTATTTCTGTGATTTCAAGATATAAATGTTGATGGTCTGATGATCTCCTAAGACACTACCCAATCCACTCCTCAGTCAAAAAACAGCGGGCTGCAAGAGTCCTTTAGTTTGGATGTTGCCATGCATCCTCATCTGCCTAATCTTGTAACCTGGCAAAATGCTGAAATGTGTCTGATAGGCAATCAGCAAGTTTAACCAGAATGATCAGAAATGATGAGACTACAAGTTCTGAAAATTCTGAATTAATATATACATATACTTTAATACTATATAGCTAGTGTTTATTCAATAATAGATTAAATTATTAATTAAATAAAAACCACTTTAAGAATTACTCACAGCTTTCATTTTTCTATAGACACATTGAAGTAGGCACTAAAAAATAAAAATAAAATAAAATAATTAGTTGTTTAGTTACAAAAATGTAATAAATCAATTGAAACTTACACCTGCTATCCTCTTTTCCTCTCCACTGAAAGCTTCCCGTTTTTCACGAATACCTTCAGTTGATTTCCTATTATTTACAATGCCAACTGTTTCCCCAAGTACACTCAAAGCTTCTGCAAAATGTGAAAAATATATTATGTGTTAATGAGCTACTGATTAAGAGAGACAGATATTCAATTAAACTCAGAAAATTAATTTAAAAAAGTTTTTTTGCCCAATAGATACAATAGAATAGATACAACCAACTTATCCTGAAAATTATGCATATTCTAATCTTCCAAAAAAAGCAATCTATTTTTCTACATTACCCTTATTTAAGACATAAGAATGAGCCATATGGAGAAATTGATAACAAGATGGAGAATGAATTTATGAGATCATTTTATTGAAAAATAAAAAATGTTAGATTCATTACTAACATTTATTTTTGTTTTATTGTATAATTGATATGAAAAATACCTGTAATTATACATTTCATATAAATATTCATGTTGCCCTACAATATTTTTTTCTATTGTTCCAGTTATTCATTCATTTTAAAATAATAGTTTATGTAATCACCTTGGAGTAAAGCATATTTGATTTCATCTTGGCATTGTCCTATGACCTTTTCAAGTTTCTGTGGTGCTGTTGTAGGAGCTTGACACAACTGTCTTTCCTATAAAATAAAGATTTGTTAATGAGGCCTTTTTTTCCCCCATCAGCTTTATTTATGTAAAGCACTTATACATTGTTAGATTACATAAGTAAATTAATAGAACTAGAATAATTTTACATCATTAACATTTGTTATATTATGAACAGAGAACAGACGTGGGGAATTATTACGTCTTTAATTTTACTGTGCAGTCATGCTTTGCATAAAAAAATCACTGTATTATTTCATTTGAGAGATTAATTGATTGAAGAGCAATAGTTTAATTTTTTATCATTTTCCTTAAAACAAATCTATTTTTAAACAAACAGGAAGTTTGTAGGCCCATTCAGGGCCTTCCTATAAGAAACATTTTATGTGCTTAGGCTGAGGCAATTCAAACTGCTTTGGGTTTCTCAATTTATTGAATTGAATCCATTTGTATTTGTTTGTCTACAATATGTGAATATATTTATAGTAATATAGTAGTAGTAGTATATATTAAAATTTGATTTTTACCTATCATCTTGATCTGCATATCTTCGTTGATTTTGTCCTCAATTGTTGCTTTGTGGTAGACAAATTATCAATTAGAAGCAGACCAAGATAACCAGAGAATTATCAAATTATATGTTCATCACCCAATGGACCACAGGAGGAAATCTCACAATTTCATATATGTATAATGTAATATAGTTCTTCTCCTTCTAATATAACATATATATTTATTTATCCACTTGATAATAAATGTAACATATATATTTGTTTTAAATTGTTAATAAATATGATTTTTTATTTTATTTAATACATATCTTGCCAATGAACAAGACGTAGCGTACATCACAAGGACAAGATGCCAACCATTTTGTTCCCAAATGAATGCAGCCATTTTCAAATGCTGATGATTTTGTCAACTTTTCATGGTATATATAAATAGTGCTCAAACTCATAAATGTCATTAATATGAGAAATTCCATGTTAATTCAATCTGTTTGTGTATGAACTTGGTATGAAATTCTTTTTTGAGAAATGTGTTGATAAATTATTAGCACAGTTGCAGCAAGCAGTACGAATTTTGCAATTTGATTTTATTTTTTAACGATATGATATAAGCATTATGATATAACCATGTGTTTACAGGAAAGATTGTGATGCAAACATATTTCTGATTTTGAAAGTATGAACCAGTTATACATTACATTCAATTAAACATATTAATATATTAAACATGTTAATTGTTTAGCAGAAGTTATTGCTTCACACAAATTGAATAAATTAATAATCTCAGCTATTGCTGAGTGGCTACCCTCCAGATTTAATTCCGACTGTAGTCACTGAACCTTTCATCTGAAACATCTACTGGATGTTATGCCAATCTTGTGTGGATATAAAATTAAAATTATATATGTAATCAAAAATAATTAAGAAACAAGATTTATAAACAAAATTGGTTATTTTGCTGCAACCTGTTTGAAATTGACAAATATTTTAAACAAATGTGTAGACATCATTTTGAAGCAAATTGAAAACATTAAGAAGTTTGACATGTACTTTTTGTTCCCTCATTTCATTTTGCACAAATGCTCTTACAATAAGCAATAGAGCACATTCAATATTGTAGTTTGGTGGTTTCCTTTCATTTTGGTTTGTCTATCCTTGCAGTGTGTCAGACACGTTTTGGCTTTTCTCACATTTTCAGTAGTAGGTTAATGTTAAGATTACGGTTAATAAGGTGAAAAGCAAAACACATCTGACAAACAAAAACAGTGTAGATAAGCATGCCAAAAATGGCCAAGTACAGGGTTATCACACCACCCTAAAAGCTGAGATTTCTCTCCTCATAGTATACAGGCTCATTATGGCAACAGAATTTTTTTCTTCAGCGATGAGAGATTTCTTGAATATATACTTATTTTAAGGAGGTACATAGCTGTTGTATAAACATCAATTTATTTAAATAGTCCTACTAAAAAATTATATTTAAATATTCCTACTAAAAATATGCACAAAAGGTTTTTTTTGTTCTCACAAGGGCTTGCAACAGCAGAGATCGTATGATTTTTTTTTTTTTTGAAAAACAGCTCATTTGTAAGTACTAAGTAGTAAGTACTCTGAACGGGACCCTAAAGGCTAGTTTCACGTGCTCCCCACGACGATAATTGTGAGAATTGGTGTCTTGATGGCGACTATCGTACGCACCATCGCCATGTAATTTCTAACTATCTTGATAGAAATAATATCGTACAGTCATCGTACATAAGAGGACTTCATTCTGTCTAATATCTATCGGCCCGATAGTTGAGAGTAGTTATCGCAAATGTCACAGCTACTCTCGCAGTCGCTATCGTGCATGAACACCACACTCACATTTTCATGAATGCAAATTAATAAAAAATGTCGCTACCGGATCGTTAGTACATACGTGGCTATGCTAGTAGTTTAAAGAAAAATGTCAACTCGATCTTCTGAATTTCTGGAAAATACAGACGATTTCCCTCATCCCTGTACGTGGAAGAAAAAAGGTCCCCTATTTTAAAAACCGAATTCATTCATTCATGAAGCAATACATCTTAGGGCATAAAATCATATGCAAAAAACAAACTTTTTTCCTCCAAGAAGCGGAATAGAGAATTCGCTGCCGTGCTCAAGCACAATTCTCATATCGGTGACATTCCTACGTGCTCTCTATATGGAGCCAAAGAATTGCATTCCTAAATCAAGTGGGACATCGAGCGACCTTTTTCTACGTGCGGGACACATATATGGGCTTTGGACCCAAAGTCAGTGTCCGTGTCACTGATGTCAATCTCACCTGGCCTATCCTTAATCCAGTGAGGATGGCCCCTCTTCTACGAATCAGATCCTCCGAGGGCCACCCATCGACATTGCTCTTGATTCGCGAGATTCGCTTTTTCTTGAATAGAACTTTTTTATAATTTATTTTTTATCTTATTACTTATTCTCTTCCATAGACGGAGACAAATAAAGGACAATTTCACAATAATATTTTTCAATTTTGTTCATATATGGATTTCACGAAACTGGACACTTTTTAAGTTAAATCAGTTGAAAAGGGGAAAAGAACAGTATCCCGAAATCAACATGAATATTATTATCGGGTTGTCCGGAAAATAATGCAGGATTTTAAGTTTTCATTAAAAAAAATCTATATAAAATATTCTGTTTACGTTTACAGGATTACTCATTTGTATGAATGTCAACACTTATTAATCCTCTTCCAAATGATATTGTTTGTTTACCTCTGTAGCATTCCGCTACTTGGAAATAATTCAGTCATCCTTATAATGTCAAAGCGAGAATTTCGTACGATTTTCTTTTACGAGTTTAAACTCGGCCGAAGCGGAGCCCAAACGGCTAGAAACATTAACCAAGTCTGGGGCGAGGGTTGTGTTAATGAGTGCACTGTGCAAAGGTGGTTTAAAAAATTTCGGGAGGGAGATTTCAGCCTTGAAGATGAAGAAGGTCGTGGAAGGCCTTCCTCTCTTAATGATGATGTTCTGCGATCAGTGGTGGAAGAAAACCCCAAAACAACTGTTCGAGAACTTGCAGAGCAACTCAAAGTCAGTAAAACGACCGTCGCTGACCACCTCAAGGCGATTGGAAAAGTGAAAAAACTCGAAAATTGGGTTCCACACTCATTAAACGATCGCCAAAAAATCAGCGCTTTGATGTTTGTGCATCACTTCTTTGTTGAAACAAAAATGACCCATTTCTGGCCAGAATTGTTACATGTGACGAAAAGTGGATTCTCTACGATAACACTAGACGTTCTGGACAGTGGCTCGACAAAGGAGAAGCTCCAAAGCCCCCAACTCATCAAAAAAAGGTAATGGTTACGGTATGGTGGGCTTCATTTGGTTTAATACACTACAGCTTCTTAAATCCTGGCGAAACCATCAATGCTGAATCATACTGTAACCAAATTAATACCATGCATCAGAAATTGGCAGTAATGAAGCCCTCTTTGGTCAATCGGAAAGGGCCCATTTTGTTGCATGACAACGCTCGACCACATGTGTCACGTGTAACGTCACAAAAATTATTGGAGCTTGGCTATGAAACTTTGCCTCACCCACCCTACTCTCCGGACCTCTCGCCTACTGACTACCATTTTTTTAGACACCTGGACCACTACTTACAACACATAATATTCAAAAATCAAACGGAACTGGAAAATGCATTTATTGACTTTATCAATTCTAAAAATTCTGAATTCTACTCAGACGGAATTAATAAGTTACCAACACGTTGGGAGAAATGTATTGAGAGTATGGGAAATTATTTTGATTAAAGAACATTGCTTTAAAGTAACTAGTTTCTTTTTTTTTGTTTAATACCAAAATCCTGCATTATTTTCCGGACAACCCAATATATGAAATTGTGTTTTTGGTTGTCCCATCTTTGGAATAGTCTTTGTACATTTATGTATGTATTTGGTAGCGAAGATTTTAACGAATGAACTTGAATGAATATTTCTCGTTTTGAATATAGGTAAGCAGAAAATAGGATCAACATGAAATACGGACAAGGTGGTTCACTTTCTAAGTCTTAATCATGGTAAAAGTTCAGCAAGGTTCAATAAATAAGAGCTACATAAGTTAATACGATAAATAATCTTTCCAACCTCTCCGTTTCATCTTCCCTCAATGAAACATGAGCAACATCAAATATATTATATAATGTTTTAGTTTTGAAACGGTCCTGTATTCAACTGTGATCTCTTTATATAAAAAAATATAGGAAATCAAGAATAAAAAAGATATTACGAAAGAAATGATAACCATTTTAATTGTGAAAAATTTCACAAAAAGTACAATTTGAGATTTTAAAAAGCGCTTATTTTTTCAAATCTAACGATTAAGTTTTCTGTATTTGCTTATTTCCTTATTTTATAATTTAAAAAAAAATTTAAACTTCATAGTGATTTTTTTAATTTACACGGGATACAATAAACATGGGAGTTTTCTCCTTTAGAAAAATCTTTTTGATTGCATACTTAATAAAACACATAATTTTTTGATGGTGTCCATCCTGATTTTGTGAAACTCCGTAGCAAGAAGAGAAGATACTGAAGATGGTCTATATTAGACCGAAACGCGTCTGATGTAATAAATGCCTATTGTGGAAAAGTCAATTTATTTCCTACCCACCATCTTAAACATATAAATTATTAATTTTTTTAATTTATTGACACATCAGTGCGGTAAGTTATTTAAGGGATCATCTTTTCACTATAAAAAATGTGTGATTTCTTCGTGTGGTCTGCGGGATGATGTCGTTCCCGATCATTAGTTAATTTTCAATAGTTTGATAATAATGATTGTAATGGTTCAATAGAATGGTCGTAGTGACTTTTGATTTACTAAGAAGTCTTGACTTTATAAAAACAACCCAGATTCAGCGCTGAACCTGGTGCATTGCCGAAACGCACCTGACAGACCAACACAGCGAGGATAGACAAATTACATATTAAGAAAAAAATTATAACGATAAATGAAATATCTTATAGTATCCTGTAAACAGCCAAAACTACAGATAACATTGAATTGAAACTGAAAATGCAAAAGACCTGGTTGGCGGCGAAGGTGGTGGCTGCCAACAGAAGAAGCAGGTTGAAATGCATGTTGCCTGTATGGTGTTCGACTTGAAAGTGAAACGAAGTTGCCCGGGCGGTGGACGGGCTCACCTTTCGTAACATATGTAACTTCCTCTGGCGAAAGAGACCGACCCGTTTCACAACCCAGTCTTTCCTTATATTTTCCATTTAATTTGCAAATTGTAAATATTATAATTCGTAAAATGAAAATGGACAGTTACTCCTCGTTTTACTGGCCTCTGCCAGTAGCAAAAAGTTAATGCCTCTAAGCGTTAGTGCACCGCGTCTAGATGATCTTCAAATTTATTTTGAAGTCGAGTGGGAAAATGTCTGGGTAATAAGTAAGTGATTTCTATCTGTATTCAAGCTGTCCTGATAAACAAATTCTATAATAAAGTAGGACCCGATGTATTATACAGGGTGTATCAACTTCTCCAGTCCATCTATTTAATTTGGAAACGATTAACTTTAGCAAACAATGGTCTTATACAAACCTCAAGTCAATTTTAGCAAGGAATCGCGTGGTGATATAGATATTTACATAACTTTCTCAACTAGCTAGTAAGTAACACCAACGTTGTTAATTTTAAAATGAGAATCCCATATTTTTATTACACAATTCGATGTTGAACCAATTTTCCTATATAGATTATGCCTGAATTTTAAATTTTAAAAGGGTGTTGTCACCTCCCGATCATTGTTTGGTAATGCTGTAGATGTGTAAGTTGGTAAAGCGTAGCGTTCTCTGGTTTGATTCCTGGTGTATCTTGTCTCGCCAGTACTCCTGTGAATGTAATCCTTCTATAGACAATATGCCCCAGTGGAAAACTGCTTTCCTCATTAAAAAAAAACCTTTTAGATTTTCAGTTTAGATTATTATTTTGACTTATATACAAGTAAGCATTTTTTGTGTAATTAAAATCATCTTTAATATTACCGCTGTAAAATAAATTAGTTGTGATATAATCAAAAGAATTTCTAACTCCGGAAGAAGGATTTTTGCATTGTAAAAAGATTGTAAACTTAAATTATGTTTAATAATTCTTCTTCTTCTATTGCCATTGTGTGCTTAGGTCGGACGCATTTCCTTATCTTCATAGGTGACTCTTTCATCTGTTCCTTTTCTGTTACGGATAAAAGCGATTTGTGAGAAAATGGATTATGTGATTGTATTTTTCTATTGTTGAAGCATTTAATTAAAATTTTATTTTTTAAACTAAATATTTAAAAAAATATAATTTTTTTATAGTGATCGGTTGTTTAATAATTTGTTGGAGTCGTGAGGAGCGGTCAAAAATGAAGTAGTTTAGAAAAACACTGCGTTTCGAACTTTATTCATCTTCAGGGCCTAAACTGTGGTGCTAGTCTTGTGGTGTCAATACCACAATTTCATACAAAACGAATGTGACACCACAAGAATAGCATCACAGTTTAGGCCCTGAAGAGGACCCTAATAAAGGTCGAAACGTAGGCAAAAAATGGAAAAGGTGTTTTTCTAAACTACCTCATTCTTGACCGCTTCTCACAACTCAAAAAAATGTAAAATATTTGTTATCCTTTAAACGTAAATCAACGAAAGTGGTTTTAAAAATAAACAAAGTAAATACCTGGAGTGAGACGTTCTACGACTACTTATAAAAAGAGATAGAATAATAATGATTGGGTAGCTTCTCCGACTGCATTCCTCAGAGGTCCGACTACGTCGATGTGGATATGTTCGACCGTGCGAGTGCGGGAATGATCCCAAAGGTGAGATTTGCTTTTTGTCAGGGAGCATAGGTTTTTGCCATCAGCCGATGTCAGAGTTCATGGCAGGCCAGAAGTAGCGTCGGTCACCACCTTTCGGCTGCTCTTAACTCCCGGATGGCTTGGGTTGTGGTCACGTTTGAAAGCTGCTCTCCTGAAGGCTGGGGGAAGGTAGGGTCATGGGGTTGCTGAAGATGTTTTGCACAGGGAGTGTAGTAAGTAAGTCCTGGATCTTGACCTCCAATTTGAACAATCCTCTAGAGCGAAGGCTTCCATCTTCTTCTTCTTCAGCTTGTTGTGCTGTTGAGAGGTCTTTCCATCCAGTAGCGGTTTCCAGTACGTCCGGACAGGAAAGAGCGTCTGCTACCGGACTGTAGGTTCGGTAGTTGTTTCTGTTTCTAGTTGTTTCTCGTCTGATTTAGAATTACCGACTGTGCGGCTCCGGTTTCGATCAGATAGGTTGTCCGACTTAGAGACGGGCCGAAATTGAGTCGATTTTAGTGGAATTAATTTTTTTCGTAATTTCATTTCAGTGTCATAGTGCCATAGCTGGGAACTCCCTGAGGACGTGTCGCTTTTCTGCATTTCTTTGCATCCCATCCTGGTCAGCTGGCTCATACAACTCCAAGGACTACCTACTTCTTCACAGCATGACACATCACGCCTTACCATGTCCACATTCATTACTTCCTTTTTTTCCCCTCCACTTTCGTGTGCTAGCGTTTTATGTTCTTCTCCTAGTTTCGTCCTAGGGAAGAACACTACGATCGGGGGAGGTCTAGAAACATCCTCTCCTACCCACATTACCAGCTTCTTTTCCTCGTTAAATCCCCATTTGGGGGTTATCTCCTGTAGCCATTCTTCAGTTTTACCATCTTGACAATCTAGGACCATCATGGCTGGCCTGAAGTATTTGCCTTTGAAGTGTATTTTGGCTTCCCATCCTTTTGCAATTTCATCGGTTTTGTTTACTGATGAGTAGTTTGGAAAGTTGAATTTTTTTTTCTTTTTTTTAAACGGATTCTTAACATCACGATTATTTTTATTTGTAATAAACAGAAAAACTTTTAAAATAAACTGATGAGGACTCGATTCTTGGCTGGAACTGCGGCAAGGCCCAGTTCTAAAGAAAGTTCGGCAGCCATTAGTTCTTCTAGATCTTCAGCCGTCTTAAAAACTTTGTCGGATATAATGAATATTGTAAACTGTTTTAAATTATTCCATTACGCTCCTCCTTGTCATATTTCAAACATTTGAATGTATAAGAATAACATTTATCTTTATTTTTTATTTTATTTTATTTTATTTATTTTTTTTGGGGGGGGGTTAATTTTTTATAACAATATTTGTTTAAGAACAAGGATTATCCTTTGGGTTGGATAAGCTGATCCCCAGCCGCAGGCTACGGCAGAACTGGTTGAGACACGGAAGGACCTTTTCTCAACGTTTTGGAAGGCACTTTTTTTTTATATTTGTTAATGGCATCGTGATACGTATGCCACTGATCATTTCGATTATTTTTTTTTTTAAATTTTAGTATACTTATTTTAAAAGGTTACTGGGTTAATTTATTTGGGTCAGACCCCGATTTTTCTTTTTTAAATGAACTTGTTTGAATAGTGGCACTAATATTTGTTCACACTCGAGAGTGACACGAGTTGCTCGAAGTGAAAAGGATCTGCATAAAGATCGTGATAAGAAGAAAGAAATTCAGTTTATGCAGTTACAAAGTTTCTAAGGATATTTATTGCTCTGCACGTGTCTTCAGCCGTAAGAAAGTATGTACAACATGCATTTACCAGCATTCTAAGATATCTGTTAAATACACAGAAATAATTTGACATAAAATATAATTTAATCCCTCTGGATGACCTGAAAGAGCCATAACGAATGCAGCATATGTTATATTTATAACTTATGAAAGAAAAAAGAAGGAGAAAGAAAATTTATAATTTTTATGTTTGAATATAGATTCCAAGTTGTACTCGAATTAGCACATCAGTATATTTATTTATTTATACGGGTAAATATTTCCAGTTACACGTTCAACTCGGTATACTAAGATTCAATACGGATACTAAAGATTAGCATCTATTAAATTAAAATTAAAAGGTCAAAAATTTCAAAAAAATGTACATGATATGTATATGTGTTATTACAGGTATGCATAGAGAAGTAAGTTTGAAAATATAAGTAAAAAGAATTAAGAAAAGATATTGGGTTGTCCGGAAAATAATGCACGTTTTCATGTTTTCTTTCAATTAGCCGTCTATATAATAAACTGTTTACTTTTGATGAATTATTCTTTTATATGAATATCAAAACAAATTTTTGCTTACCTCAGTAGCATTTCTTGGGAATAATTCAATTTTTACTAAGAAGTTACGCGTGATTTTCGCGTAATTTCGTTTTATTAGTTATAGTCGGTCGGAATGATGCCAAAACGGCCAGAAAAATCGATGAAGTCTGGGGCGACGGCGATGTCAGTGTGAATGAGAGCACCGTTCAGAAATGGTTAAAAAATTTCGAGAGGGAGATTTTAGCCTTCAAGACAAAGGTCGTGGAAGGATTTCTTTCTTAGATGATGATGTTCTGAAAGCGTTGGTCGAAGAAAATCCCAGAATTTGCAGAGAATCTTTTAGCAAATCGACCGTCGCTGATCACCTAAAGGTAACTGGAAAAGTCAACCAGGATTCTGGTTGGATTTCTGACAGGTCATTGCCACTTACGAAAGGACATGCACCGGTTAGGAATACAGACAGAAGAAACACTGTGCAGATACTGCCAGGAGGAGACCGCAGAACACATTCTATGTTTCTGTGAAGGTCTGTGGATGACAAAAAAAACCGCAAGCAAGATCCTACACTAAGGAGCCGCTGGCAAAGTTATGGAGGGTGATTAACAACCTGAAGCTGGCCAATGAGTTATAAAAAATAGGGGAGCACAATAATTCAGTATGCAGTAGGCCTTGTGGCCGCCTCTTTTATCCCTATCCCTATCCGTACAGAAAGATCTTTGCCCTCAAAAAAGCTGGATAAAATGCTATTATATGTTGGGTTAAAGGTCATGCGTGTATTCATTTCAACGAAGCTGTAGACACATTGGCGAAGGAGGCCATTATATCTGGTGTATCCTACCAGATTAAAATTCCCAAAATAGACTTATTATTTTCAATCACTTGTGGTCTAACATATGGGATAAAGACTACAGATCAGCAACAGTTGGCGAGTACTATCGAGCTTAAATCCCAAAACTAAAAACAAACCGTACTTTACGGAAGGAGACGGGCAAAGGGAATTTTATTCCACTATTTTCAGAATGAAAACTAACCATGGCTTGTGGGGGAATTATAAGTGTACATGTGTGGTGATTAGTGACCGTTAATCGATAATTATTCAGAAATCGTGAGATGCGGTCTAGTGTGATGTAGGTTTCAGAAAAACATTTTCTTTATCGTGCCAACGTATTTTTGTATATATTGCCAAACGTATTTATATACGTATATAAACATAAAACAGTAATATCGCACTGGCACTCTCAACACGACACGCAAGCATGGCACAATTACATAGAAGACAAACACTTTGAGTGAGTAAAAATACTTTGATTGAATAAAAAAAATATATTTTGCATTGCATAAATTAACTTTTTTCCACATCCTACATGTATTTGTTAAATGTAAACAATGTTTGTAAAACCCAGGCCCTGAAGATGATCTCAATAAAGATCGAAACGTGGCACGATAAAGAAAATGTTTTTCTGAAACCTACATCACACCAGACCGCATCTCACGATTTTTGAATAAATATAAGTGTACAGTTGGAATAAGCACATCCCCTGATTTCCATCCATCAAATTCCAGTCATATAATACTAGAATGTCCAGAGTATTAAAACCAGAGAATACGATAGGATTAACTTTACAGTGGCCCAAAAAGTCTTGAAACGCTGTTGGCAAGGAACAACGTGACGTTTTTGAGTTAATTTACAAATTTCTTAAATCAGTTAACATTTCTTTTTAAGGTTTAAGGGGAGGGAATCCTCGGCGTCCTGCCTCCTTCCTTCTCCCACTCGGGTAAAGAAAAAAACAATAAAATAAAACAATTTTAAAAAATAATTTAAAATAAATAAATAATAAAAAATAAATAAATACAATAAAAATAAATAAATACATTAAAAACAACCTACTAAAAACTAATACTACCAAAATAATCATAATAAATATTTAAAAAAATCATATAGCAATATTTCCAAAGGAAAAAGCCAAAAGAAGAAGAAAATCGGACCCAACCTTGAGGGAATACGTTTTACAAAAGGTTTTTCTAAGGTTGATAGACAACAGATTATTCTTAAGGAGCTAGGTTCTTTCTTAGTATTTTTCCTGGTTTTAGAAGCATTTTATTTGGGCACTTTTATAGAGTGAATGAAGATGAACTCGTGTCATCACTCCATGGGGAAATCTCCCCTTGTATATTCTTTCAATGTAATGAGTCTCCTTTCGAAGATTTTAGTTAGTAATGAGCCTGAATCCCGAATTCATTGTCAAACACGGTTTTTTTTGCGAGAGTTCGCATTAGCAGAGGTCATATCAACTTCAGGGTGACAGTGTTGAAAAAGAGCCCATTTGTATGTCGGGTTTGAGTGCAGGGCGTTTCGAACCCGCAGTACCTTACAGTACCATGTCAACGCCTAGTTCAGTAGCTTCAGAGCTACATCGTTTCGTTGAGAAAAAATGTTAAGAAGTTTTAACAATAGTGAATTAGGGATGATAGCACTTGCTTTTGAGGAAGATGTCTATTAGCGAAGAAATCATCGCAGAATGTTGGTTCACGGCGCATGAAAAAAAAGTGATGTGTTGAAGGGGAATCTTACTCACTCATTCTACATCCAAAGTGCAATGAGACAAAGTTTTATTTAAAACCATAAATTTTTCGTAATATAAAATTGGCGATTGTCATTTCTCCAATTTGTTCTTACATGACGCTTCCGCTCCTCTTTGATCTTTCTAATTTAGACTTAGATGTAGTAGGTTAACGTAAATGTAAGGCTTTGTTGTTTTCTGCCTCGATTGGTTCAATTTTGTCGATAACTTTGATTAAAAACAAAAAAATGACAATGCTTACGAGAATAATTCCACCGAATAGAATGCTGAGTTTCGTTAATAGATTGTCAGAAGAGTCGCATCTGTTGGCCGACTCAATGCTCGCCTGGCAGGTCAAAGGTTTTGGCAAATTGGATAAATTAGAGCTAGGACCATATCGGAGGCCGATCTTGGCCAAACCGAAAGACGTTTTGGTCCAAGTGAAAGCAACATCTGTGAACCCTATAGACGTAGCGATGTTAGGTAAATTGTGCAGCAATGGTTTATTTAAGAAGGGTTGATGTAGTTTAAATGACTATCAGTAAAAAAAAAACCTAGGTATGGTGTTTGTCAGTGTTAACAGAGTTGCTTACACTTCAGAAACCTTTTGGATATTCAATGGGATTCAATTGGAATGTTCAATTAGTAATTTGTTCTGGTCCTCTGAGTAAATGAACAACTTTCAAAAGATTATTTGGAGATTGTGAGATGCGGTCTGGTGTGATGTGGGTTTTAGAAAAACATTTTCTTTATTGTGCCAACATTTCGGGCACTCTCAACATGTCACAGAAGAATGACACATCTACACGGAAAATAACACTTTGAGCCCTGAAGATCTCAATAAAGATCGAAATGTGGCACGATAAAGAAAATGTTTTTCTAAAATCTATGTCACAACAGACCACATCTCTCGATCTCCGAATAATCATTGACTAATGGTCACTAAACACCATAGAAATTTTCGAAAATTTTATAAATGGACATTGTTGCAATTTAATATCAGTTCTCAGTATTTGAACAAACTGATGTTTAACTAAACCTTAATCGGACCTTGAGAAAAAAAATATATTACAATTGTATGGCAGACAAAAATTACACTTCGGCTACTCTAAACTTACATACATGTAATCATAAAGTTATATGTTCTTAAAGTTTCACAAGTAACATAAAGATACTCAGTATGCTGCCATATGATGATTATGGAGTAAAGTGAAATATACCCAAAGAAAAAAGTCCCCCCCCCAAAAAAAAAAGAGGCATTGTATTTTGTTGTTTACTTCAAACTATATGTATTTTTATCATTATATTAAATATTACATTCACTATTTTTCATGGTCCGCTTGACCAATTAATGTCTCAACTTAAAACCTTAATTAATTGAAAATTAAATATTACTTACATCATACTTTTTTTTTACAAGAGTTTGCATCATCAGAGGTATTAACCCTCAGGGTGTTGCTGTTTTTGAAAAAATGCCCATTTGTAAGTATTCAGGTTCGAATGCTGGGCCACTGGATTCTTCTTTTAATGTAAACTTAACTGTTTTAATGTTTAATATAAATTAAACAAGATCAGAAATTCATGAGTTTTAATAAAAAATTCATTATGATGGTTTGAAAGAAAATTCACCAAAAGTGGAAAATCATTTAGGGATAGATTAAATTGTCAGTTAAATTTTAATCTGTCAGTAAATGATTTTCCAGTGTTTTGGATGAACTTTCTTTCGAACCATCATAAGAAAATAATTTTTTATTAAAACTAATGAATTTCTGATCTCGTTTGATTTGGTTTACATTAAAATAAGTGTGCTGTAATTAATATAAAGATAAAAATACATATAGTTTAAAATAAACAACAAATATGAGTGTCTGGTTTGCTTTTCAGTGTACAAAATTTTCCATTTGTAGGATATTTAATAATGTACAAACCTGAAGAATCTTTTTTTTAACCCATTAATTATAATTGGTAATTAATTAATATAGATAAACTGAAATTTATTTCTGTACAACCTTTTGATATGTAAATTTACAACTTAATGTACAAGTTCTAAATTATAAAAATTATAACAAATTTGGTTGGCTTTGATAATTGTTATGTTTGAAACTAATTTTGTTATTTTTGCAAAATAGATAGTTAATGAAAATAGCAGTACTTAATTGTTGCATTTAGGAGGATATGGAGTTGCTATTTTGGATCTGATGAGAAAATGTGATCTGACATCTGATAAATATGAAAATTTTCCAATGATTTTGGGACGAGATTTCTCAGGAGAAGTGCTCACTAAAGGAACCGATGTAAGATCAGATATCAACATTGGTGACAAAGTCTATGGTGTTGTTCCAGTTCATGCCCAGGGATGCCATTCAGAGTTAGTTATTGCGGATGATGGATTGGTATTAACAATTAGTACTATTTCACTAGTTCTCATGCATTACATACATATACTTACAGATTGCACATAAACCAGAGCATTTGAGTGATGAAGAATCTGCTGGTATTATGTATGCCGCGATGACAGCATGGTCAGCTTTGAAAATTACTGGTGATTTATTAATAACAGGAGGAGATAACAAACGAGCACTTGTTATTGGTGGATCGGGTGGTGTTGGAACAATTGCAATCCAATTACTCAAATCATGGGGAGCTGAGGTACTATCACAACAAAGCTTTATACAAAAACTACAAGTTGCATTGAATTCTGCTTCAAATTTTAAAATGTTCAGTGCTTCACACCTACAAAAATTCATTATTTGCTGTAGTTGTTTAATTCCCCATCAAAAATACCACATTACCTATAAATCTTGAGATTTTTTAGTTTTTACTCTAATCCACAATTTATTTATTTATAATTATATTAATATTATTTGTTACTTGACAGACATCAGGGATTGTTATTAATTACTGTTTACCAACAAACAAAAGATCAATCTTTTTCTCGTTCATTTCAATATTTCTTTCAACTATTTTTTACATTTTGTTAGCCCCAGTTTCCAATTTCCTTCACATTTTTAATTTCATTTTTCATTATTCATCATCACTCTCCATGAAGTACGGAAATCAATTCACATCGCTAATTGCCTTGGCATTCATATACATCAGTTTGATGGGCTGTTAAAAGGTACAGGGAAACTGGAACTCACTTGAGATAACCATTTCAGTGGAATGCAAGTGATGCGGAGGCGCAAACCAATAGCTTCTGCCATTAAAAACTTGTTCAATAGTATTTGGGTGATATCAACTTCAGTCTGGCTTCATGGACATAATTAACCAATTAATTATTCTTGTCATCTCAACCAAAAACCTTAGATAAAAAGAATAATCAATTGGAAAATATAATATTTTGGGGGTGGTCAGACATTGCCGGGGCAATAGAGGGATCAAAGTTTGGTTTGAACCCAGTCCCAGGTGGCTGGCAGTCACTCATCTAGGTAGGGTAGAACAGGGTATTGCCTGGGTATAATGATTAATCATCAAAGAGTTAAATCATTCATACAAGACCATGTAACTGACGTACATCATGCATCCCTTAAAATAAATAGATATAAAAAAAATTTGTGTTGACTTCTCAGCCTTTACGTTTTATGTAAAACCACATGCTCTTACAAAAAACAAAAATTACAGATTTTTTTTAATGGGGAGTATAAAATTTTTTGTTATTTTCTTAATTTTTAATAACTTTGTTAATTTTGTATCTATGTTTAAGCACACAATTAAAGGTCTCTAGTATGTATTCAAAAAGTAGCGATAAAATACAAGTCAATGTAATTGTGTCAGTACACAAACATTATGTGCAATGCTGAATATTCAAATTTAATTTTGGTAAAGAACTTTTCTCTATTTAATAGTGAATAAGTGAGAAGTGTTAGATTCATCCATGGCGTCAGGGTTGTGATGAACCATTTCCGGTTATTTGATCTGCGTCTGCCTATTCTCACTGATTTGGTATGTCAAACATGTTGGGGAGGGGGAGCTGGATGATGGGAGCTTGGTAGGCAGGGGAAATTATTAGAAATGGCCGAATTACATAATTGGGAATGTCAAGCCTTTTGCATTATTCTGGGAAATTTTCCATGGCATTTTGTTATTGGAACTGCATTCAGGTCAAATTAGATTATATACCTAAACATTTGTTACTTCAAACTATCCATTTCTTTTATTCTTTACTGAATTTAATATTTTTCATTTCACAGGTTGTGACTACATGTCAACCTGATGCAATTCCTGTTGTAGAAAAACTGAAACCTAATCTTATTGTTGATTACACCCAATCCAGTTGGTTAAAAGACCTTCAATCCTGTGGAAAGTAAAATAAACAACAATTTAGTTAAAGATGATTTGAATAAGAGTGAGTTTTGAATTTTCAGGTTTGATTTAATATTGGACGCCTGTGGAAATGTTACGCCTTCGGTTTTTATCCCCTTGCTCTCACAGTGGAATAACTCAAAATTTATCACTCTGAGATCACCTCTTCTGAAAAACACTGACTCCTCTGGAATAATTGGAGGTATGTTTCAAAACATCGGAGAACTTTTGACATCTAATGTCTCCTCTGGTGCAATATCAAAAGGAAGCACAGTCAGGTGGGCTTACTTTTTGCCCGTACCGACTGCTGTCACTGAAATTGCTAGTCTTGTGGCTAAGAAACAAGTATGTACAAAAGAAAGATAACCAAATAATTACAAATCTACATATATATATATATATTATTTATTTGTTGTAGATATCTCCAGTTGTTGAGAAGGTTTTTCCATTTACAGACCTGCCTTCAGCTTATAGTAGAGTAAATGAAGGCCATCTAAGAGGGAAAGTGATAATTTCTTTAAAATAACTAGTCTGGCCAGTTTGAATTAGGATAGCTAAAAACTTGTGATACTTAAAATGTTTCCTTTTGTATTTGTAAGTAATGGTTGATTCAAATGTAAATAAATTTTTACTGCCTGAAACTTGCAAATTGAAATAATTTGTGTGTGTTTATAAACATGACTCTTCATGGAACCCTGTATTTAAAATAAAGATACTAAGTGAAAAGTTTAGAAGGCTTTTATTTACAGTTTCCTTGATCACTTTTATATCCTCCTACTTTCATTTAAATTTAAAAAGTACAAACAAAAGTTTACACAAATTTATTTCTATTTTTTCAGGTTCCGTCTCTATTTTCAATATTTGAAAATGGTCAGGTTACTCTGTCAACAAACTCATTAATTCAATAGGTATGAAACCAAAGTTTACTGTAAGTATATGTACATGTTGGTTCAACTTGTGAAATATTAACAATAGTTTCAAAGTACTGATGAAGGGGATTTATTCCTCGAAAGTTTAACAAAGGCACTGTTGTTTTCTTTAATTATAATACATATCAAAGGTTGATATTAATCACATTGAGAGATCATTCACTGACTAATGATTGTTTATCCGGTGATTCATTTTTATTTTGTTTTTCATTTATTTATTGTTTTATTATTATGTGTTGCTTCTATGGATCTCTCACATTTCTTTATTAAAAAAAAATTCTTTACTGATAATACTAATACTAATAATAATAGTTTCAATGTTATGGTATGATGGAAAAGGATACTAGGAAGCAGGGTTTGTATTCCCCAGGCACTGCAGCCTTCTGGCTTATTGTACCTTCCTAGTTCCTTAGTTCAGTAATAGACTCAATCCTTCTTCTTAGAAGTATCAGGTCATTGACTGTTGCTGCTGCAATTTGATTCCCTAAGTCTTTTCCGTACGTTAGGTTAAACCTCCATTGAGCTGTTGCTTCGCATTCCAAGATGATATGAGTGGCTGTTTCCTCCTCCTCATTACATAATCTGCTGTATATACCCATGTTGTGTAGATGTTTTCTCAGATACCAGTGACCGGTTAGTAGTCCTACCACTCCTCTGAGTTTGGCCCTCTCCAATTGCAGCAGTGTTTTGCCAGTCTCGGTGAGGGTTGTTTCACGTTCATCATAAGTTTACTAAGTCTAGCACCGCTAGAGTTTATCAACTTCTCCTTTTGTTTTGCTTGGATCCATTCTGCGATGGAGGATTCTATATTTGTTTTTGTTACCCCAATAGTTCAGGGCCTATGTATGGTCTTGCAGATCCTCCTCTGGCCAGACTGTCTGCTTTCTCGTTACCCAAAATTCCCCTGTGCCCTGCCACCCAAGATATCATCAGGTTGTTGTGTTTCCCCAGATTTTGGAGGTTTTGGATGCATTCACTGACTAATTTTGATGTGATTCTTTTACATGCTAATGCTTTAATGGCTGCTTGGCTATCAGATCTTATGAGGATTTTTTTTTGCCAGTGTAACCTCTTTTAAGATTTTCCAGGGCATTGATGGCATGTATTTCTGCTTGAAAGACCGAAGTGTACTTCCCTAATGAGTTTGATTGCTCATGTTTTGGGCTTGTACAGAAAACGCCTGATCCGGTTCCTTCGTTTGTTTTGGGGCCATCTGTGTACCATATCATTGTATCTGATGCTCTCCTGTGTTCTTCCTCTCCTTTATAGTCCGTGGAGACTTTATAGGAAGTTGTGAAGATTGTTTCCGGGATCATGTAGTCAGTCCCCATTTCTAATAATGGGTGTCTGATTTTGTTGATTATGGTTGTATGCCCGAATTGTTTAGTTCCTATCCAACGTGATTGTTTCTGGAGCCTAAATGACTTACAAATGGGCTTTTTTTTTCAAAAACACCGGCACCTCGAAGGTTGATATGACCGCTGCTGTTGCAAACCCTCTTTAAAAAGAAAGAAAGAAAAAAAAGAGCTTTTCCTAGTCTCTCCTTGTATAAATATTTCCAGTGGAGATAGGTTAAGCAGAGTTTCTAATGCGTTTGTAGGGGTTGTTCTCATCGCCCCTGTGATATATAGGTTTGCTAGTCTTTGTATGCTGCCTAATGTTTGGGTAGCTACTTTTTGTTGAGCTTTGTTCCACCAGATTAGTGATCCATAGGTTATTCTGGGTCTTATTACTGCCATGTATAGCCAATAGGTCATTTTCGGTTTTAGTCCCCAAGATTTGCCTAAGGTCCTTCTTGTGGTCATTAGCGATATTTTACCTTTTGCTATAGTATGTTGCAGGTGAGGATTCCAGGTTAATTTCTTATCAAAAATTATTCCTAGATATTTGACCTCATTTTTTTAATAGCAGCATTTTGTTATAGAAGCGTAATCCTTGTATTTCTATATTTCTTTTCTTGGTGAAAGCAATTAAGGTGGTTTTTGAGGGGTTTACTTTAAGTCCCCGTTTTAAACACCATTGTTCCACCAGGTTTAGTGCTCTTTGGGTGAGCTCTTTTAATGTTGAATTGAATTTTCCCCTGACTAGTATGACAATCATCATCTGCATAGCCTTGGGTGTAAATTCCACTTTCATTTAGTTTGCATATGAGGTCGTCCACTACCACATTCCACAACAGAGGCGAGAGTATTCCTCCTTGCGGACACCCCTTCGCCACCACTGCTTCTCCTTTTTCGTGGAACATGGAGGCCTGCACTTTCCAGCTTTTTAGCATTGATTCTATCCATCTACAGCAGGTTTCATCTGTTCCTCGCTGTTTGAGTGAGTAACCATTGCTTCAAAAGGAGTGTTGTCAAATGCTCCTTTAATGTCCAAGAAGGTTCCCAATGCTATTTCTTGGTTGTTCAGTGAATCCTCTATTTGTATCGTAAGTTGATGTAGTGCTGATTCACACAATTTTCCTTTCTGATAGGCATGTTGATATTTATGAAGGGGTTTTTCTTTTAAAGAACTGCCCCTTATATGTTTTTCAACTAGCACAAGTGTTTTGAGTAGAAAGGATGTTAGACTAATCGGTCTATACGATTTTGCGTCTGTGTAGTTGTTCCGAGCAACTTTAGGAATGAAAACTACTTTTACAGTTCTCCATATGCTTGGGATGTACCCCATTGCTAGGCAGCTTCTGTATATTTTTACAAGTAGGGGGATTAGTATAGTTTTCCCTTTTGTAGTATACTGGGTATATCCCGTCTGTTCCTGATGATTTGAATGGGCTAAAGTTATCTATAGCCCATTCAATCTTATCATAGGTGATTACTGTTTTGGCTATTTGACAATCTTCCCTTCTGGCCTTTGGTAGGTTCAGCGCTCTCCTTTATCTCCCGTTGGCAATAGTTTTGGATTCCAGAAAGTGTGTTCTTATTAGGATTTCTAATGTTTCCTTTCCGGTTTGTGTGTGTTTTCCATCTGGTTTATTTAGTGTTCCGATGGGGTTTATAGGGTCTTTGGCGAGGATTGGAGTCTATTTGCCTCAGTGATGTTTTCGATTTCCTTGCAATATTTCCTCCATGATTCTTGTTTCACCTTTTTTATTTCCCTATTGTTTCTGTTAGGGTTTTACTGTATACTTCAGTATTCCCCGTTTTTTTCGCTTTATTCCAAAGTTTGCGAGTTTTCTTTCTTAGTGCCGCCAGGTTATCATTCCACCAGCAAACTTTTTTCTTGTTGTTGTAGGTGGTTTGTGGGTAGGCTTCATGATATGAGTTTATTATAGCTTCTTGTATTGCGTGGAAGTTAGCTCAATATAAATATATTTTTCTTTCCAAAAGGTAGATTGGGGATGAGGCCAGGAAGACAGAAACAACATTTATTTTCTTGTCGAAAAATATATTTAAACTGAGAAGGCTGATCAATCACCAAAAAAAATATTAGCTCAATATCTTGGGTGCTTTTGATGCTAGCCATTGTAGTTAGTGTATTTTTCTCCAGCAACTTGCCATATTTCCCCCAGTTTGTGTTTCGGGGGTTCCGACCCACATTACATGTCTTATCAACTTCTAGCCCAATTCACTATCTGGTTTGAAACACTGCGAGTAGCAAGAGTAATATCAATAACTTCTTGTCGTCTGTTAGTTACAAAAGTCGGTTCAGAGCCTTTGTTATAATACTTAAGTCATTAGTTATTAAGAATTCTAAAAGCTTCTCACCTCTTTTGTTAGTGTTTGTGCTGTTCCATACCTCATTGTGTGAGTTAGCATCAGCTCCAATGATCAACTGTAGGTTTTTATGGTGGTGGAGGTCCCAGTGAGACATAAGGCATGTAGGTTGAGGCCATCATCATGTCCGTCTTAACTCCTTCCTTCATGTAGTTTAGCCTAATTACTATTTGGTCCCTGGAACAGAGCTCATAAGTGATTAGGCATTGTAGTACATTTTTAATTAAAATGCATATTCTTACGTTTTGTTACATGTGGTCTTTTTTCCCCTATCTCCCAGCCCGGCTACTCTGCCTTTTACTAGCCAGGGTTCTTGGATAAGGGCTATGTCGATGTTTTTCTCCTTAAGCACACGACAAAGTGTAAGCGTTGCTGCCTTACTGTGCTGGAGGTTTGCTTGAAGCACCCTCAGCAGCAGTCTTAGTTGCTTTTTTGATGACCCTTAGGGTTATCATTGCAAAGCCAAGGTAGAGTTTTAGGTTGGCTTTGCTCAGAGCCCCAAAGGATACATCATCTATGTCAACCACCAGGATTAGATTTTTTCCTTTATCTTCTATCCTCTGGCTGATGACTCTCCATTTCCCGGTATTAATACCTGGGTCCATCAGCCCGAGAATGGTGGTAGTGTCTGTAGTGCCCAGAAGGTCAGGGTCCGGCACCCACATAGCCACTCTAGTGGTTTTAATAATTTCTCTATAGGGGCCTACCCTAAGGTTTGCCCCTTCCCATGGGTGGATGGTAGGCACCGTTGCCATGAGCCATTCCTTTTCAATGTTATGATGAGGGGGATTAATTCTTTGAAAGCCTGATAAGGGAGCTATGTTTTCTTTTCTTTCAACTTAGACTTATCCATTTTTTCCAGAGTGATTTGCTCTTGATACTAATTATTAGCTAAAACATTACAAAACGTATTGTGTTAGCCAATGTAGCAAAATTGTTAATAGTAATTGTGTTAAGAAGGGTGAAAATGTAAAAAAAAAAAAAAAAAAAACATTGATTGCTGAGTTTGGGGTTGGTGAGCCAATTGTTTGTGATATAGTGAAGACATTTTTGGCTTCATATCGGCTCAAATGAGGAAAACTATAAAAAGTTGTATGAGTCGTGAGTGGTTGGTGTCGCCAGCCCAAAGTCCAGATTTGAACCCAATTTAACACATTTGGGACCAACTTAAGCGACAAGTAGGTTGTTGAAACCCAGATCCCAACACCCTAGATAATTTAGAAATGGTTGTTTTTTGTGAATGGGAAAGAATTCCTCAGGATTTTACCAGAAATCTTTTCCAAGGAATGTAAAGGTGTTTAACAGATATGATTCGTGCCAGAGGTGGAAATATTTGGTAGTAAAGGGGACAAAAAAGTTTGTTTTTTTATATTTAGATTTGCAAATTTTTTTAGAATTAGAACATTTTATTTTTAAATGTCATTTTTACGACTAAACCTATTTGGATTGCAAAATATGAATAAATCTTAATATATTAAAATTTAAGGGTGGTGCATTTTGTCCATCTGTGTTTATGTATAATTTAGGTAAGAATTTTTAAAAATGCATAGCAATTTTTAATATTTAGAACTTTTTTCTTGTAATTGGAACGTATTTTAAATCCACTCTTGATAATTCAAATTATTTTTGTAGTCCGTTGGGTTTTTTGAATTATTGAGAGTCAACACATGAACTAATTTTTTCATTACATTTATTTCATATTTACAATTACAAATATTGTATTAATTAAATATTTTCACATGTGCTAAATTTGTCATTTGAGTCGCTTGTAGGAGAAGTGACAACACTCTTTCATTTTCAACTCATTTTTAAATTAAATAACGCAAATTCTCTCACTCAATGATGAAAGACAAGACTCACACTAATTTATTAGTTAAATATTATTAATTGCCTTCTTCTGGGCTCGTAGTTAGATGACAGTGGGATTGCATATCTATTACAGTCTGGCGGCAATCCCAAAACAACAACTATTCATTAACAACAATCATCACACTAAAAATTGTTATTTATGTCCTTTTTGCATTTTAGACATGATTTGTTGAAAATTGTGTATTATTAACTTTTGTAGAGTAAAAGTAGAGATATTTCCATAAGAATATAACGGGCAGCCCTGCTAGTATAACAGTGCAGAGTGCAGAGTACATAATACAAAATATATACAGAAATAATCATTACAACATTAAGATAATTAAGTTAATTGCATTATTAATTGTATAAAATGCTTAATTCGGTAAAAAAATTTAGAATATTTTTAAGGAAAAACAGTACCTTAAGTTCTAATAATAAGGTGCGTGTATTATGTAATATTTCTAATATGTTAATTTTTAGATGTTTGTATTCTCTGATCTTACTGATCTGGTTATTTTTTGTTTTGGTGTAATAGACAAACTGTGTGATACGTTCAACTTATAGATAGATCACTTGCATACCTCCACAAAATATCTCCCAGTTAAATAATTATGTTACAGTGGTAAATTGATTATTAAATCAATGGTAAATGATATATTGATTATAAATATTAAATTATATATATTATGAGTCATAAAAAAGACCGATTTCATTTTCTTGTAAATTATAATCCACTATATACTTTGTTTTTCAAATCTAATTAGATTTGATACCACTTTAATCCATAGACTATACTAAAAATGATCTCGTCTTGCCTTAAGTTTTATCTTAGAGTTTGGTTATACAACACGATGGTAAAATTGGAAATTTTGGTAATATTACGCCATTATTGGAAACATAAGTTTTCCGTCGCCAAAACAACCCGTTTGGTGCGGCAATTTAGAAAAGAGGATGCTCTCTGAACAGACATGTGCAGATGGTTCCAGAAATTTGAAGTTTCGAAGGTGACATCAGCCTCGAGAGGAAAGAGTGTTCTGGACGAAAATCATACAATGAGGATGCTCTGCGGGACTCTGTTGAGACAGACCCAACAAAAAGTACTCGGGAATAGGCAAGACAGATTGGACCAAACCACCATAAATCGTCGACTGCATAGCTAGGGGACAGTGAATCGCTCATTAAGAGTGGTTCCTCATTGAGCAGGCACGATGCAGTGTATATTTGTCAACATCTTTTGAAAAACCCAAATGACCTTTGGTTTATCAAAAGAATAGTTACTTGCGATGAAAAGTGGATATATTGGAGGAATCCCCCCCAACAAAAAAAAAAAAAAAAAAAAAAAAAAAATGGCTTGACTGTATTATGAGTTCATTCTATAAGGTTGAACCATTGATCCAAAACTTTATTGTGAGCAGTACAAAAAATGTATGATGCTTTGGCTGATGCTAAGCAAAAAAAAAAAAAAAAAAAAAAAAAACAGAATTAGAAGGAATTGAGTTTCTCCCTCATCTTGTGTACAGTACCATTTGTTCTGGTACATGGCTCATTATTTTCAAGGATAACTTTTAATTCTCTGGATGAAATCGCATTGCTTTGCAGAATACTTCTGTTCAAAACCCAAAGTGGTATTCTGAAGAAATCCAACATCTGCAAAAACCAAAAAACACAGTGGTATATACTTTGAATATTTAATAAAGTTTCAAAATAAAATTATTTTTAAATTCGCAAGGAAAACGGATATTTTTTTATGACTCGCCCTATTAATATTATCTACAAATTTCCTTTTGTCAAAAAAAAAAAAAAAATTGTTTTTAAAACTCAAATTTTAAACTAACTGAATACAATGACCTTATAACAGAATATTAACTGGGTAAACTGGCCAGCAGTGGAAGCTTACACTTAATCTTAAAAAATCCCAAATTTTTGCGATTCACAAAGGAGGCCCACTTGCGAACAATGTGAAATAAATGGAAATTAATTGAAAAAACAATGTATAAATGTTAAGACGTTATCTTAACCACCAGTCTTTCTGTTATCCCACACTTACTGGAGGGTATACTTCATGAAAAAGCAATTAATAGAGTGTGGTAAAATTTCCTTAACAAGCCACTAACTCTTTTTAATAAATATAAGGTGTTTCAATTAAATTGTCCCCCCATATCTTGATATGGAGTTTAAGTTTTGGGTTTTGAGGCTTACTAGGTACTTGATAAAATGCTTTATTTCTTTATTAATTGTTTGCCCCTCTCGTATTCCCAGATTATTTGCCAAGGAAATTATAAACAAAAACACATTTTGATTCAAAATTGGTCAAATCTCTCTTGGAAATATAACTCTCCGTTTGATAATTCACCTCTGTACATCTTTTTCTGGAAGGGCCAGTTATCTATTTTATTAGCAAGAGTAAGTTCAGCTAGTTGAGAAGAGTTCTCAACACGTACCGCTTCTACTATGCGTTTTTCTCTCTATCCTCATCTAAACCCAGGCTCCCTTAAAATGTGTAGCCTTCTAGCTGACCATTAAAATGGATTATCATTTTCTCAATTAACATGGATTTTTAAATTATAAGGAAAACTATAATAATAATTATATACAATATAATTTAATTTATAAGGAAAATCCATTCTAGGGATGTAGAAGAAATGTTTCATTTCTTGGGTGTGTGTTTTAGGTATTCTGACTAGTGCCATTCCTTTTTTTGGTAAGTAGTGGCTTTATGCTTCTCATCTATTAGAGTTCCTCAATTCTACAATAAATTGTTTCCCTCTCTGATTATGCTCGGGCTTGCCTGGTCTCTTCGATCCCAGAGTATCTAGTTTCAGTTATGTATTTGTTCACTTCTTTTAAGGTTATTTTTTATTTTTGTAACTCATTTTATATGTAGTTTTTCTTTTCTACAATCTGCTCAACCCTGGCATACGGTTTATTACCATTCCGTATATTGGAATATGCATTTTACTTTTAACTGTACCCACATATATAGGTGCATTGTATCTTTTTGTTTTTGGTTGAAGGGTTCTACTACTTTGGAAAAATAATGAGAACAATAGTAATTAGATATCATGTTGCACTAAGATTTATATATTTGCTTTTGCTACTAGAGGAGGAGAAAGTGCAGTATATGATGCCTAGAAAAATTATAAAGTCTTTTTCTATATTGTGTGGATTTTATTCAGGGTTTTAATGGTCAGTGGCCAAGGAGAGTATTATCAGGAGTGCAGCCAACAGGCGCCATTCATATTGGAAACTACTTTGGTGCTGTTGAAAAATGGATAAAAATGCAGGATGATGAAGATGTTATACTCGGCATTGTTGACCTCCACTCTATTACTCTGCCACAGGTTGAGCAAGACATCAGAGTCAATGCAAATGCTAATACATAATTTTCAGGACCCGACGAAACTTAAGTCTTCAATCCGAGAAATGACAGCTGCCCTCCTTGCCTGCGGAGTAGATCCTAAAAAATGCATCATTTTCCAGCAGTCCAAGGTAAGAATAGGATTATTCATGTGGAAAGGGAATTTCTGTTCAATGTTAGGGAGAATACTTAATTAGGGAGTATGAAAATGAGAACTTAGTTACTTTTAATGGCCTCTAACTCTGAATCCTTTATCCTTTTTATGAGAAACACGAGCCTCAGAGGTCTTGATTGAACCTGAATACAGCCCATCAGGTGCCTTTTTATAATAAAATTTAATTAAAGTTTGAAAACAATTTATTAATTACACAAGAAAATAGTAATTAAAATAAATAAATTGCCTTTTTAAATTTAAATAAACAGTAATTTCATGCAAACCGTTTGCCAGACCATTTAGGACAAGGGTTACTTGTTCAGGTCAATACAACAGGTACTCACTGTTTATACAGTCAATCCTCAGTGGACTGAAACACTCTGTTTTAGATAATCCAACACTTTTTAAATTCTTTTGAGGATCGCACACTTATTTTGTCCATCATCTACACAGAATGGACTTGTTCACTTCTAGACTCGAATGTCTCTCCCTCATTCTCGAGATCCTCTTTTTATTTTTTACTCTTTTATATTACTTTTTATATTATATATATTTGCCAATTAATTACTTGAGTAGTTACATTTTTAATAAATAAAAAAGGTTTCAAAAATTACTTATTTATCTATTTATAAAATCGATGATTGTATTTATCCTTTGGCATTATTATCAGTTTTTTTAAGCTTAAAAATAACATTTAGAAGTGTCGTAGGTTCCTCAACATGCAATGCTCGGTTGGGTACTTGGAACACTGACAACTATGACCAGACTCTATCATTTTCCTCAGTATAAAGAAAAATCCTCAGTTTTAAAAGATGTACCGTTGGGTTTATTTACTTACCCTGTCTTGCAGGCGGCTGATATACTTTTATACAAGTGAGTTTTTTCCTTCTTTTCCATTTTTCTTTTAATCCTATTTATATGTACTTTAGAGCAACACATGTTCCTGTCGGTGAAGACCAGGTCCAGCATTTAAACCTTGCTCAACATTTGGTTCACACATTCAATAACAAATTTGGCGTTACTTTCCCACAGCCCGTTTGCATTGTTGATGGTAATTGTTTTCTTAAAAACTGCAAACATTATTGTATAAAAAAATCATTCAATTTGACAGACAAGTATGGAAGTGGGAGGATTAGAAGTTTAAAAGAGCCAGACAAAAAAATGTCTAAATCTCATGTGAGCACTAGAAGTAGAATTGAGTTAACTGACTCTGCAGAAGAGATAGTTAGAAAAGTAAAAAGAGCTGTTACTGACTTCACTTCGGAAGTCACATATGATCCAATAGGTAGGCCTGGAGTTGCCAATTTAATAGATATACACTGCCTTGCTACTGGTAAAACCCGAGAAGAAGTTTGTAATGATTCAAAAGGAATAGATACTGGAAAGTAAGTGTTCATATATCCTTTGGAACATGTAAAGTAAGTTAATCCAAATATTCTTTTAGATACAAATCAATAGTTGCTGATGCTCTAGTTAGCAAATTTATGCCGATTAGGGGGGAAATTTTCAGAATCCTAGACTCTCCCGATTACATACAAAATATCCTTGAGAAAGGATCTGAGAGTGCAAGAGAAATTGCTGAAAGCACATGGAATGAAGTTGTACAAAAAGTTGGTTTGGACTCATTTGTTAGCGATGGACAAAAAGTAATTTCAGTTGGACAATAATAATAGTATAATAGTGATTCAAAACATTATAAATTATTTTTTCCTCACTAAAGAACAATCTGATGGACAAATAATTGGTAGGATAAACTTCTACATAAATTCAGACTAAAGAGGTGAGGTAATGATTTTCTGTCTGCTGTAATGTAAGTTATATGACTGATATAAAAATATAATAAATAAATTATGGCAGTTAGTTTTTATATGATGTATTCCTTGTAAATTTAATACATCCAATTTAATTGGAGAAAAAATTAAAAATTTACTTTATATACAGAAAACTTTATGCAAAGTTATAGAAATAATTTGTTAACTACTTATTTCAATCATAAAAATAATTCGTTTTTAATATTTTATGTAGATATCATATTATTTTTTATATTAAACTTACCATACTAGTTACTTTCAGGGGTTTTATAGTTATTATTTTTAGCAAAACTAATTATTATAAGTACGCTATAATTACAAGTAATTTTTTCAAAAATTTTGGTGAATTGAAAAATGTTTTTGGGTACTAGTTTCCTATTTAGTTTGGTTCAAAGCCAACGGTAAACGTTGTATATATGCTAATTGAACGAGAATTAAGAGAAGAAGCATTGAAAAAAGTGTTAAAATAAATGTTAGAAGAAATTTCAGTTGGAAATTGTGGTTAAACTATCAGTGTCAGTAATAATACATGGGGGGGGGGGTAAACGAGTTAGAAATGTTAATGTCAGTTCACCTGCTGTAAGGTGAAACCTTTCTCTAGAACTTCTCGAAAGGCACAAAACAGCTCAGTTAAGTGTAAAAGAAATCTCATCAACTGGTCTGAGCAACTTAGACTAAGATCTAGTTTTCGGATGAGTCGAGGTTTGTTTGAGGTCTTCTGATGGCTGAGAGAGGGTTTGAAGAAGACCCCACTGCATTTTCACTCAGGAGAAGCTAAGGTGGGTGGTGGTGTTTTGCAGGCAGATCTATGGAAGGTCGCACAAACTTGGCATTATTGCTCAGAGAACTGGGTTACACACTTCGCTAGGCCACTTAACTACACAGAGGAGGTATTATCATCTCCTTGGCTGACCCAAATCTTAAAATAGTTGATGCTGCAGTTTGAATTTTACAGGTATGCTATAAAAAAACCTATCAGATTTACTAAATTTTTATAATCAGATTTTTGAGAGAAAATATCCTTGGGAGCTTTTAAAGAGGGAACAATTTTTCTTCTGTACAAAAAAATGACAAATGTGTATATAATTATTGAGGCTTTACAATTAACACTACCTAAAATATTATCTTATCTGCTCCAAAATACAAAAAACTTTTTAAAACTGGTGAAACATCTAAAACTATTAGTTAGAGTTGTAAAGCCAAATGAATGGTATTTTGAATGAAGAAATCTTTGAACACTAAAAGAGCTATTGGATGGGTGGATGCAATTTTCTCCCTGCTGGTTTTGTCAATTTCAAATTTGTATTAAAACTAGGTAAACAGATCTAATGAAAAAATTATTCTCCCCAAAAATTTACCCTTGGTAGGATAGGGCTACAGGGATAAAGGGTGGTACAGTCACAAGTTGGCTCGTGCAAGGATGATCTTTCTTTAAGCCCTTTGCGTTTCTCTCTGTATATCACGATTTGTGTGAGCAACTAGAATGTGAGATAAAAGTAGAATGGAAGACAATATATGCAGACGATTTAGCTATATTCTACTTCATCACCCTTTGGGCCTGTAAAGAAATATAAACCTACTAGAAAAATTTTGATCTAAATAGTGGTTGGAAGTAACCTGAGTAAATATTTTTGTTTTCTTTACGGGGGAGACAAGACAGAAAAATTGAAATTGAGCCAATCAAATTTTTAAATGAATGTTTATTTCGGAGCTAAAACAGAAACCAATGCTGTGAAAGTAACACTTGATATGCCTGGAGGTCTGCAGTCAGCAATTCAGCAATCCTCTCTACCAAGGAAAATATTTCAATGACCCAAGCAGATTCAATTCTATGTTGCTCACGTCAGCGGTTACCATGAATTGATTGTTAAGTTTTTCTTAAAGTCTGAGCAGTTTTTCGGGTTCATCAAGTCTTGTTATTACATGTACTTAATTGTTAAAATACAAACAACTTGAACTAATGAACATAAATGTAAGGGGTTAAAAACCAGTGTGTTTATTTTACAAGCAAAAAAAAATATTTTTATTTAAAATTAATTAATGGTAAAGTTGCAGTATTATACAAAAATTCTTTTTTAATATACAATTTTTTTTTAAGTTGATTTTTTTGATTAAGTTGATTTAAGTTTGATTGCATGATATATTTTAGAACACAGTANTATATATATATATATATACATAAACATTACAATCCATACAGATGTAGTATCTAGTTTCCTTTCACTGACTATGTTTAGAGCCTATGACACAGACCCTGATAAAAGTTGACTTTTTGCAGTGATATGAAATGGCATTCGGAAATCATCGCTACTGCTCAATTCGCTTTCAAATGTAAATACATTTTCATTTGAGATTTTATTGTGGTAAGACAGGGTAGCAAAGGTCGTGTACGATATTTCTTCATTTGTGGACAATTTATGATCCGAAAAGTTACCCTCACTATCTATTGATTGGGGATGGATGAAAGAAAGGAAGAAACAAAAACTGAATGTTTTTTCCATATATTTGTTTTAAAATGACAAACATTTCGTGGAAAATTTGAAGACTGAATTGAGTAATTTGGGATAGCGAATTAGAACTTCATGCTAAGTCTAGCACAAAATGTCAAAAAGTTGCATGAGGTTGAAACAATTTATTTTTCCTCTATAAATAATTACTGTGGGGTTTGCCCTCAATCCAAACATAGGCTTGTAGAAACATACCCACATTAGCAACATTATTTCCATACATAATAAGGTGAAGTAAAATACAAATATTTTAAAGTAATGGAATTTATTCAAGTTAGATTTAAAGATCCATTATTTTTATTCAACACATAGTAACATAACACTGCTTCCTATACTTACTTTCACAATAAAGTTTAAATAAAATGATTTCAATGACTTTGAAAAGTACATTAAATTTTTATTATTTTAGAGATGAGTTTTGATAAACAATTTATAAAGCCAGGTAGATGTTTAATTTAGATAAAAGAAACCATTTTAATAGATTATTTTTAAAAACTTAGTTTTTTTTAAATAATAATACTAATTTAAATACATTATCTATACCATCTCAATAATTATGCTGTCACACCTTACCTGAAAACTTATCAACAATTACAGTTTGACTTAATAAAATAAAATCTAAACAAATATCTCTTACATATTTACAAGAAGAAAATAAAGCATAAATATTCATTTGTATTGCACAACAGTTATAAAACAATCCAATAATATTTTTTAAAGACTAGTTAATATAATTAACATGCATTCCTGTCTTTTAACTTTTAAGTGGCTTACTTATGAACATGTCAAAAGCAAAAATATAATGATTGCAGAATATATATAGGTTTTTAGATATGATTAAGTACAATTAACTATTTTATTTTTTAAAAAATTAAGTGAAGGATTGCAATGCTGTTATAATGAGGATATGATATATTTATCTAATAATCATTAGTGCGAGCAATTTTTATCTAATATAAATAAGAAAATGTTGATTATAATTTTTACAAAGGCAATACTTTAAATTTTAATGTGCGAGTGTTTCAAAATATTAAATTCATTTAAGAAAAAAACAGGAGTATGGAAGAATATTGAAATTAATTTCAACAAATATTATGTAATTGTCCTTTTCTTTCAATATAATGTAATCATGTTGGGTAAAAATTTCACATACAGTTTGTCCAAAAACAACAAACAAAGAGACAAACTGGGCGAAGAGCAAAGTTGTGGACGAAGGATCTTATTACTTTTGGTATATTTTGTTTTATAATTAACATTTGGATTGAGTACTTGGTGCCCTTTTGGTGCAAGTTCACACATCCACAACCATCTTTTTATGAATGTCTGTGTTCCCAACAACCTGAAAGTTAAAATGTGCCATTATTATTTGTGTACAATTTTACTAATATTTTCCTTTTGTATTTTGAGTTTATTTCTTGTGGAATTTATTTTTATCCTTTTGAAAAATACATCTTGGATATGGTGTGGAATGGTTAATTCTCCAGTTATACATTAATAAATAATTATATTTAAACAGGGAACAAGCCACTTAGGTACTTGACTGGTAACAGAGCTCCAAGCATCCTACAATCAGCATCAGAATTCTCATGAAAATGTACATTTGAAAAAATGCACAGGCAGCTTGAAGTTAAACGTGTTTACACTTGCAACTAATAAGCTCCTAGTAGTTTAATACTGAAATTTTGAAGACTAAAGCACTCTTTACTTGTTTCTTTGACAATGATGCAGTATTTGCTACAGCTGCAAAATTCCCAAAAAGTTTCCCAAAAACATCACAAATTGCAATATAAATCAAAATCGTTCATTATGATAATTTTGGTCTGCCTATCCTCACTGGGTTGGTCTGTCAGACAAGTTCTGGCACTTCACAATCTTCAGAGACCCAAAAGTCAAATGCCAAAGTGCACTTGATAGAACAACCAAGATAGGAAGACCACACATAAAAATCTATAAAAGTATAATATAAATACATTCCGTTCACAAATTTAAAGGAATTAATGTTTGACCAATGAAATGTAAATAATTTTTTTTTCTTGGCGCTTAGGGCTTTTGGGTACTCCCACAAATCCCAATCTAATTCTGCCCTGTTAAGGAAAAATGTTCTATCTACTACTTTGATAGTTTTGGAATATTGGGTTTTGAAGTTTTTCATGCTGAATGTCCTCAGTTATTACTTTATTTATTTATTTTTTATTTTAGGCCTAGGACTCATTTTTGAAACAACTTTTTAAACTTCACTTTTTTTTAAATCCTCAAAGCCTTTTGTATTAACTTACTTATTAATTCACCCTTATTTTATGATTTTTTGGTTTTTAAATAAAAAAAGGTTGCTATGTTAAATTTAACTAATAAAGATTTGAGATAATTACTTATGAAAAAGAACATATCTGAAGGTTTTTTTTACAAATATACATTTTTAAACATATTATTTCTTTACAATGCAATAGTAACTTAACGCATCGAATCTCATATTTAAAATAATACCACTGGATTTTTTTTCATTTCCTTTGTTCAATCCAATGCATCTCCCCACTAACTGATATGTTTTATGTTTATGCAGGAAACGAGTTTTCGTGGCTTAAAACAAGTGGAAAATAACAAAAGCGGCACACGTTGTTATCTAGTAACACAAGCACTTTTTATTAAGATACAGTAAAATTGTGGAAATACATTGATATTTAAAATCTAATATTTTTAATATTTCTTGACTGATTTAAAACGACTTTATCATATTTTTCAAAAGGAAACATACCTAAGAAGACAATGTTAAAAAAAAAGCGAAATGGCATTTCTTCTTAGCAGGGTAAAATTGTTCTTGGTGTCATTTTTTATATTAAAAAAATCTAGATTTTGAAAATGTATCAAAACTTAGTAGTTCATATTTGAAAAAATGAAATTGATACTAAATTTTCTATTACTGTGACATTAAATATAGATATTAGAACAGTTACTTTAAATCTTTGGGAAAAATTATTAAGCTATAATTAAAACTTTTTCTATAAACCTCCCATCGTTTTCGAGAAAAGTGGGTGGTGCAATGAAATAGAGACCCGGTATATATTTTCCATCTGAATTGTGTAGTGTATGTACTGCAATTTAATTAAATTGAATATTACAATACCTGTATTGTAATATTCACTATAATTAATGATTCTGAGATTCAGAAGATAAAATCCCTGCCTACAAAATGGATGTACAATTTAACTAACAACTCATAAGAATCTCAAACTGTCAGTTTTGAAAACCCAGAAACTTCACTTGTAAGCCATTCTGTAACTGGAATTTTATTAGTTGAATGTAAATTATGAGGAACATGCATGTTAGTCATTCATTAATAAAATATTATTCTATTTGTGCATGTGTGTCTGTGCTTTAAGTTAATAAATTCTTCAATCATTCCAAAGCCTGAATGATTTATTCTGAGAGGTTTGCTTCCAGAAAAAATTCAAGTAGGAAACCTTTTTTATTACTATTGTTACATTTATATCCTGAGAATCCTCTCCCACTTTTCTAAATAGTTAACATACGTAGGTCCCAGGGCCATCTTAGCTTCAGTCACCAGACTGGGTCATAAGATGGGGATAAGAAGCAAAATTGTATCGATTATTGAAGGAAATGGTAATCATGCCAGTCTGTCCATTTTTTGGTGGTTGGCATCAAGTGAGATTTAAGAAGAAATAACCACTAAAACGTTGTTGGGCCATGGTAATTTAAATAAACACAATACTATCTAGATAATTAAAATGTAAACTAACTGGGTATTAAAAAAAAAAAAAAAAATCTAGAACAATGGAACATTTAACACAATGAGTGTGGAACATCATACACCAAAATATTTCCTGTACTTCAATAATAGGAAAATTTTGAAATGCAAAGGAAGACATTTCCCACATGTGAATGGCTCATTTCAGCAAGTTATCCTTGAAGTATTCACATTTGTGAGTGTTCAGTAAACATATTAAAAAGTGGTATAATATAATAGTATATAATCATTATACGTTTATAGTGGTAAACATATAATCATTACATTGTGGTTATTCAAAAATACTTATTGTAATAATAGTTAAAATACATTAACATTAAATTAATTGATTTAAAAAATAATAAATATATGTCAATATTTTTATTAGTTTATCTTTAATTTAAGACAAGCAAAACCTCTGTAAATGTTACAAAAATTTATTTTATAAATTTATTGTTAAATCTTGCTTTTATGAGATTAGATATGACCTATTTCCAGACAGTAAGAGCTGTCCCATGGCCTGCGGGTACTTCAGGGTAAGATCTTACTGCCTAAAAGAAGATGTTTAAAAACACCTAACTAAAAAACAAATCATCTCTTCAGTAGAATAAAACCATGAATCATAAGGCGATAATGAAAATATGCAAGTTAAATCTTTATATCGTTTTGATTCATTTAAAACGAAGCTCTAAAAGCACATTGAAATTAGTATTGTCAATTTATACCTTTACAAAAATCAAGAAATTTAAAACAAAAATAGTTGAAATAATAAATAAATTTACCGAACAAAATTCATCAAAATTAATTTTTCCATCCTCGTCTTTATCCGCAAAAAGTATTGTCTTGTCGACAATTTGTTGTAATTGTGCATCTTTTAAATTGTTACCAACCATCATCTTCAAAACCTGTATGAAAAAAGAGTATTAGCGAACAAGGTTTGAGCAATTTACTTTTTTTTTCTTTTTTTTTTTACCTACCTGAAATAATTCACCATTTGATATGTAGCCATCATTATCCATATCATAAATCCTAAATGCAAACCTCAGCTTAGACTCTTTGTCACCCTTGACACTAAACTGTGAGACACCTTGAATGAACTCTAAAAAGGAACAATTATTAAGTGAAATAATATAAACAACAAATAAAATTTACCTTTAAAGTCAACTTCCCCATTGCCATCTTCATCAAAAATATCTATGACTCTTTGTACGAGAGGATTCTGCTGCAACTCAGGCAGTGACATGAACTCATCAATACTTAGTGCTCCAGAATTGTCAAGATCAAGCTTTCTAAACCTCTTCCCCAGTCTCCGAATCTCATCAGCATCAACTGTCATAATTTTATTACATAATTAATATAATATTAATTTCAGAAATTTTGTTTAGGTCTTTTAGAAGTTCTCCAACCATCGTGGTGTAACTATCCTGACTTGGGCTGTCATACCCAATCAGAGACAACCAAACTAATTTATTAATAAATTATAAATCTTAAATACTTTAGTATTAACCAAAAACCAAAAATGCAGCAAAAATATATAATTTATTGTTGAATGGGATAAAATATCTAATCTAACTAAATATTTCTTCAAGTGTGTCATTTTCTAAACTTGATGATAGGTGTTGGTCTGTGAGTCGATGAACTCATGCTTTACTGGCACAGACTCAGTAAGTGATCCTGGGCCGGTTTAGCACAATTTTCTAAACTGTTCAGATCTAAAGAATAGTTCCTGCCATATACAATTTACATCCAACTGGCACCTACCCATTGGGTGTTGTGTATGTTGGAGTCAGGCCAATTTAGAAAATTAAAAATTATCAACAAGAAATTAGTCTATTGCTCAAAAGAACCCTAACTTTTTTAGTCAATTTATAAAAATGTATTTTAATTCAAAGAATACAGTAGCCCTCACACTAGAATAGAAAGTCAACTATGGGATTAACATCCCATACTTTGAATGGATGTTAATCCAATCATGACGGTATCATGCTGGATCAGTCTGTCAAATGCGCTTCAGCATTTTGCCATCTGAGCACAACACATCAGTTGATGCAAAACAGTTGTTACCAATTTTTATTATTTTTTGTCGTGTTATTCTTTATTATAAATATACTCAATTAGCACATAATTTATTTTTTTGATGAAAAATTTATGCCATGGATTCGAATACACGACTTTCGGCTCAATAAGCTGGTGCTCCAACTATTTGTGCTATCGTGACATAGATCGCCCATTCAAAATGAGAAGTTTGTGGCATGGGCAATTGAAGTCATGGTTTGAATTCCATCTGAGATATAAATTTTACATTTTGAAAAAATCATGTATAATTAATTGAGTATATGTATAATTAAGATTAACATGATGAAAATGATAAAAGTTGATACTAACCGAGAATCACACCTGTGGATTGTACACAGTCCTACTAATGTACTGCAATCGTTAACAAATGTGAATTGAGGAATTCGAAATGAGAAGATTGTGGCAAGGGCAATCGAAGTTATGGTAGCTCAAAGTGGTTGGAGCTGTGGCGTATTAAGCTGAATATCGTGGGTTTGAATCCCACCTGTGACACAAATTTTTTATTTTGAAAAAATCAACCAAAAAAACCATAATTGAGTACAAAATAGTTATGTATGCAAGATGAGAGGCAGCCATAGGGCAAAAAGAGACGTGAGTGTTATTTGACAATACATTCACACATATCATTCTGATTAGTTGGTGGGGCACTCGATATCACTCCATTGACCTACATACAATATTGCCAATCTAATCTAAATTGGAGTCAATGGGGTAGTTTTATAAATGTACGCATTATTCAAGGGATGATGCTGATGCTATATTTCACCATCAGCTTCTCACCACTCACAACAATTAATACACACACTAAAATAAAACACGTAACCACCAAACACATGTAAATTTTTCCGCCAAAAAGCGGTCTAGAGGACCCAGAAACTCGTCATGCCCAAAAACCATTCTTAAATACGGCGGCATGCCTACACCCCCTCTATAAGGAACCAAGGCATGACAAGCCTATTATGTGGGACGCGTCGAACAACCTTTCTCTGCTTAAGCAACCATTTATGACCTATTCTTAATCAATGGACAATTCTTTGTTTCCAGCTCAGGTCCTCCAAAAACCATGACATGCAAGAGCCTCTCGGACAACCCCGCCCACCAATGCTGCCATCTTTCTTTAATAATAATACTGTAATGGTTCGAGTAAATAGGTTTAGTTTGGTTAATTGAAAAGTGAAATTGAATGAAATTGTAATAATAGTGGATGTTTTTATTTTGGTACAATTGAATGAATCTATGAATCCTTGTGATACATTGTATTAGTACACTCAATTTTATTAAATTTAATGCAAAACAACTCTGATAACCACACCTACAGAACTACCTACCATATTTACTAGTAAATCGGGTGCTGGTCTATTACGGTGTTATCAAAACTTATAAATACGATTTGTAATAAATTAAAGAATCACACTGTTAACAAATGATGAATGTTTAAAGAAAAATGTACTTACAGTTGGAACAGAGTTCCATCGGAAGAGAAGTTTCGTTTCCCTGAAACAGGGAAGACACAATAAAGAATAGAAAACGAATTTAAGAAATAAAAATTAATTAAGGTCACGCTAACAGGGATGAGATAAAACGTATGAAAAAAATAACTCACCATATCGGCAGGTGGATTTTTTGAACTATTTTCTTTAAAAAAAAAAAGCTGGCTAGTGTGAAAATTCGAACTAGACACAATATCTATTTTGGTTCAAAAACGCAACAATAATAGGACCAGCTGTAATACTGAAGAAAAAAGTATAAATACAGTCTAGCCAACCACAGGCTCAAATCGATATTTAGAATGACAAAATATTTCTACATAAAACTAATAATATATACATAATACATATGTACATATATACATAATATAATAATACATCACCATAACACGATAATAGCTGTTTTTCGTAATTATAATTAAATTAATTCTTTATCATCATTCTATAGACTTCAAGAAGAATTATCAAAATTTTCTTTCTCTAATTATATTTTTAAATTTCTTACGTTGTTTTTCAGCTCTAGTTGTATTTTAAATTAATTAACTAATAAAAAATTGGAGTTTCATTTACAGTTACAATTTTTGCCATGGCAAATGATAATGCGTTTGTGTACATGCTGTAACCAAATTATCCCAACTAGTCTTCTTTCAATTAAAAAAATTAAAAATGTCTTACTAAATCAAAACTAGTAGTTAAATTACGATCTCATCACTCTTTTCATTTTATTGCGTCCTCAGGTGTCACCAAGGTCCATACTACTTTTCTATTTAACACCTTTCATCAGGGATGTTACTTCTGTTCTTAATGACACTAACTTTCTTCTATTTGCCCGTGAGCTTAAAATTTTCTAGAAAGTACAATATTATAATACAAAATACAAAGAAGAAAGTACTATATTAAATAACCTAGAAAAGTGTCTAACCAGCAATTCTATGGCCCTAAACAACAACAATTGTAGCACAATTGCATTCAGCAGACAAATATACCTTATCCTACCCATATTCAACCACCAGTAGTACAGAGTAAACATTAAAGATGTGTGTGGTGATTAGTGACCGTTAATCGATTACTAAATAAATATCATTAAAGATATTGGTGTTCAGAGTCAATAGTTCCAATAAGTGCTCTTTCTGCAACAGGAAGGCTCGAGAAGAATGAATGAATAATAGTATTTATTTACATGGAATACAACAAACTCAAAATATGTTACAAAATACTTTACGGCATGGACAACAGTCCGTCAGCCGGAGTTGATGTGAGCAAACACAGAATAATAATAATAATAAACATACATGAAATAATTAAATTAAATTAGTCTATGAACGTACTAAAAAATACTGCGATTAAATTAAACAAACTTACAAAAATTAAATAAATGAATAAATCAAGAATAATAAAAATAAAGCAATACTATAGAAGAAAATCGAAGAAATAGTAATAATAAAAGCTAACAAAATAAAGAGATATTGTAAAACATTAATAATTAAAGTGTTGGACTAGCTCGAATCTGTAAGTCCAAGCTTGGCGAGCAAATCTGGTGAGAGGACGACACAGACGGCCATCATTTAACATTTCTATGAGTGCGGGCCTGGCGCCAGGCCAACGTGCAGGTCGTGAATCTCTGCCAGAATCGAACATTCGGCGACAAAATGAAATGTGTTTTCCACCGCTCTGGAATTACATAGAGGGCACAATTCAACTACTTTTTCCATCCATGGAGTGTAATTTAAGAATAGCTCGAGAAGAATGTTTTCATTTTTTAGTAGAATGCCCAGTTTTAGCGGAATTCCGAGGATGACATATAGGCTTGCCCATGTTGACAAGAGAGCACTTAATCTCTTTATTAAATAACCCCAAGTCCTTAAATTTAGTAAAGTTTGCCATAGAAGCCTGGAATTACAGGAAAAAACTAGTTTTTTCTTTCAATTATTAAATGTTTATGTTGTTAATGTTCTCTCTATCTCTCCCTCCCTCTCACCCACCCTCTCTCTCTCCCTCCCTCTCTCTTATCTCTAACTTACTTCAACTTATCAATTTTCATATATCCATCAATAACCATCATTTAAATATATTCTGCAATTCCTTCAACTGCCACCAACTACCTTTATTATATCCCCATCAATAGACTGCACAGATTAGGAAATAAAATTTCTGTAAGGTTGAATATTTTTGGTTAAATGTTTCTCTTCGATAGTTTAAAAATTGTTTAGCAAAACAATGGATATTCTGTTTAATTACAAACTCTATATATCTTTTCTATATATTATTTTCTATATTATATCATTGTATGTATATGTTTGTGATTTAAATATGTGAAATACGTTAGTATGTGTAATAATATTAAAAATGGTGAGGCTGCCCATTAATAAATATACATATATGTTGTTAGATAGTGTCCACACAATCTATTATATTTATTATAGTATATTTTTTAAACATGAATGGCTTTAACAAAATAACTATCGGAAAGTTTAATTAGATATAACAAAATTAATCATATTTATATCAATAATTTTGATTAACTTTAAAAGAACTTGTAGATATACATTCTGTATTTCTAAGATTCTAAAAAAATGTGATTGTTATCAAAATAAATAGTATCACTTTTTACTCTGTTAATAGAAAGACTTGGATGATTTTTTTTTTCTTCAAAAGTATATAAGTCATGTAAAGTAACAAAGATTTGCATGTCATCTGTGTTGAAAATAAAATATTAAATATAAAGCACATGGGATCTCAAAATTATTTCAAGTAAAATTCTCATTGAAATTTAAGGGTAGAGTCGTGTACAAACTCAGGAAAACTAATCATCTTTAAGAGAAACCTCGAAATTACACAGAATAATGAGTTTGTAAAATCAAGCATCTTCCCATTTGTTTTCTAACACCCCACTATGACTGATTACTAGATCCCTTTCCAAAAGTACATATTTTATTTGTATGGGAGAAGTAAGGAAGAAAAGTTTGCCTCCCAGGCTTAGTGAATATTTTGGACGAAATGGGAACTCTAGCATCATCCATCAGCAGTGGCGAAAAAAAAGAAGACAAATGTGGCACCCAAACGGTATATTATATTATTTTATACTGGGTTTATTCAAAATTTATGTTGAATATGAAGGAAGCTGCAAAAATCTGAACGGCTGAGGCCAGAAATATGACGATGTTTTCATTTTGTTTAATAGAAAGGCGATTCCAAGATGAATAATCAGACTCTAAGAACTAAAACTATAGTATGTGAAGAGGTATTCCATGAAAATAGTGTTCCTTCTGAAGGAGGTAATTTAAATTATTATTATTACGCTTTTTTAATACATTTAAATACATAAATAAAACTATTGTTTTGCTTATAATGCACATTCTCACCTTAATAAATTAACAAAAATACTTAATTAAAATTAAGAATAAATTGTATCAACTAAATGAATATTTTGTTCGTGTTAAAAAAAATTCAATTTTATATTAATTTTTCTTAAATGATAATTTAACAATTTTCTCGGCGTTTAAAAAAGTTAAATTATTTTCTAAAGTAATGCAAATCTTGGAGAGTTTATATTTTATATTTTAAAAAGACATTATGTGATGAAAGATAATAATAGTTTTTATAAATAAAATTTTTTAGAAGTGCTTGATTATGCCAAAAAAATTGGTATAGATCCAGAACGTGAGCCTCACCTGTTGCCAATTGCTCTCAATGGTCTAATGCAACCATTGCCACAGGGCTGGAGACCATGGTAAGTCCTTTGGTATCAGTGGACGCCAATTCGCTCAATTAAACAAAACTTAATTATGTTAAAGTTTTGATGGTACACTCAAGCGGTGGTATTATTACAATGACATCACAAAGTCCAGTCAGTGGGAACATCCTCTGGATGACGTTTACAGGAATTTAGTCAAGCGTGGCCGCAGTGAGGGCTACTGCTTGATGGGTGCGTTACATCACATATTCCATTATTGCCAATTCTCAATGTTTGAACATTGCAGCTAATGATGAAGTGAAAATACCAAAAGAAGATATAAAGAGTTTCGAGGACATTTCTGAACATTCATCTGGGAAGGAAAATAAGCTTGATAATTCTGTTATGGATTTAAATGTATGTTGAAGATTGGAGTTATAAATCAAATAGTACATGTTACTTATATCGAATAAAAATAATTGATCTAAACCCGCATGGGATAAAACATTAAAATTACATAAATTCAATATTTCTTGAAATGTATTTAGATGGGAACCAATTTGGAAAGATAAAATTTTAAAAAAAATAGGTTCTTTAACAAGACAAAGTGGAAAATAAGGATGGAATGTTTCATTCCAAAAAAATCCTTTTTTTTTTTTTTTAAAGAAAACTATTATATATTTGATATTTAAGGGAACAGACAAAGTGAAGGATTCTTATCCAAGAACTCATCAACCCTTATTATTAAGGAGAAAACAATTACAACTTAATGTCAATTCCCAGCAGTTTCCATCTCTTCATGTTGCTAAACTTATTAGCAAAACTAGAAAAGGTCTGTACATTATGTCAAACCTTTCTTACCAAGTAGTTTTTAAATGTATTTCTTTTAAGCAGATGATATAGAAGAGAGAGGAGAAAGCAAAGTTTGTAGAATGGCAATATGTAAGCTAGAGAACAGTCCTCCTCATTATGCTAGTCTTCTGTCAAAAGAAAACAACAAAACATTCCAGCCACACCGAAGAGTAAAGACTCCAGTGCACACTCTTGCACCTCAAAATCTAAGTGACACACAAATCAAAGGGGCCATTTTTTCCTCTGGCCCAAAAAAGTTAACACGTTCAAGCCCTATTCAAGGTACCTTTAAATATTACAATTGCAAGTGAAGTTACTATGATCGTTTTCAGATATGAGCAATCCAAGTGACTCTCCAAAAAAGAAACTGGTTAAATTTACTGATTTGGGACGTAAATCTGAAGGCACTAAATATAAACTTTCAGATAATGAAAGTAGTTTGTCGGTTAGTTTAAAATATTAATGATAGGTAACCAAACCAGTAATCATACTTTATTCAGTAAATTTCAGGAGGAGGAATTCGCCTTTGAAGAGAAGAAAGAAAATTCCAACTGTAAGGAAGTAATTAAAGCATTTTATAATAAATAGTAAATTATTTCATATATATAAACGCACACACACACACAATTATTTTTGCCTTCAACATGGCTGTTAGTTATTTATATTTTAAATAAATTATATAGATAATTTTAGACTGTTTATTTTCTTTGTTAGATCACGCTGAAAAATTGATAGAAAACAGTGGGGTTAAAATGATCAAAAAGTCAATCATACCAGATGGTGGAAACAAGTTTGGCTCGGCAAAAAATACAGTTACAAAACATGGGGTGAACTGTATGTTGGATGAGGAAAGCGAAGGCAAAATTGAGGATGTAAGAAAGCAAAGATTATCAAAAATGAGTCCATCTGTCCATTCCCCTCTGAAAAACAGCATCAAAGAAGAGACGACAAAAGGGGATTTGTCAGCTAGCGATACCAACATGATGAACATTTCAACAAGTTTAAGTAGCAACAGTACAAGTAAAAAACAGCTGGATCCTGAAATTGCTGACTTACGTGATGCAATAAAAAATATGGTCAACTTTGACAATACAAAGTTAGACTTGGCAAGCTATGTTAAAAATAAGTCAAGCACAAAATTAGCAATGTTTGAAGAGAAACTTGCAAAGGAAATTCAAGAAAAATTGACTCAATTAAAGATGCAACAGGTAAATAAAGCTTATTTGTATTGCATATTTCTACTGTAATCTTTAGAAGTAATGTGATCAGAATTGACTCTTTATCTATTATTCTTACTGTTGTTCTTCAGTTAAACTAATTAATTTCTACCACACTACAATCTTTATTTACTTGTATTGATTGGTTGATTGTATCTGAATATTGTTTTTTTCCTTTGAATGACAGATTGAAAGAATGAATAAATTCAAGTATGAACTTGAAAAACAAGAAGAATCAGAAAAAGGGAAACTCCAAAAAGAAATAGATAATAATCTAGAAAATCTTAAGATAAGTTTGAACATAGAGAGAGAACTCAAAGAAAAGGAAATAAGGTAGCATTATCAATTTTTTAAACACAGCATACATAAATTAATGGAATAAATAGAAACAAATTATGCATTTTTTACTTATTTTATCTTACCTCATTTAATGTCTTACAAAAAATTGGGCTAAATTGTTAACATATCCATCTTATGCTTACACAACTTGTAAAAAACTTATCGTTTCAATATAATGTTAAATATTAGGCTAGAACATAAGTTTGTAACATTTTTCGATTAAGGAGATATTATCCTTTGTTTTGATTCATCCAGACATGCCTAACAGCAATTCTCTCCAGATAGGCTAATGCTAATGTAAATGGCTCATTTTTTCCTTGCTAACAAAGCCACAACAGTACTTCATTAATTCAGTGGCTACCTAAACAACATCAAGGAGTTCATTACCCAAATGAATGCAAGTTTTGGGAAGAAGAAATAATGAAATTACTCAGAAGATGAAAAAAAGGTAGTACAACAAAATTGGTAATATGTTTGTATTTGATTAATTTTTTTCTACAAATATTAATGTCATCGAACTTTATTTTTGAAAATGCTACTGTTATTTGTATATTAAATAAATGTTTTCAATGAGCATTCATGACAAGTGCAATTCAGCAATTAACCTCTTAATAAAAAGTGCTGGAGCTGAAATTCAAGCCTGAACTGCCTAATTTACCTTATCTGCTCCTAAGATTTCCCTTATTCTAAGCTCTATAAAATAAATATAAATTATAATATATATATATATATAAATATATAAACTACTAAGTAGTGTAATCATTTACTGGATTACTGCTTCCCCCCTCTTTAGAGGAGTTCATCATACATAAAGAAAGAATCATGAGTTACTCAGCAGATAGCAAAAGGAGATGTAATTACATAAGTAGGTCATATTTATCAGTTAAATTTATTTATACATACGAGAATCTGAAGTTCGGCCACAAAATGTTATAAACTTATGTTACAGCCTAATATAATATTCAGGGAGACCTATACCAATTGGTTTAGGTGTCAGCATCTCACTTAGCCATGGATCACATGGTCAAGGGTTCGATTTCCAACATCACCCTTTAATTTTCTTCCTGATGCCTTATCTGTGAAGCAGTTGGATGTTGAGCTACCTTGTACAAATACTAATTAAATACTAAAAAATATATATTATATATTTAAAAAATATCTGTGTATTGGAATTTGACTTTCTTAAGACAGTTTTGGTGTTGATGGTAGCCTGAGATCAGAACTCCATCTTGTCTGTCCTGCCTACATTAGGTTCCAGGTGTTAATAGCTAGATAATTTCAACCCCCCAATGTATACAGTTTTTAAACTTAGTACATTTACACCACTCACTCTTAAATACTATATTTTCTATTTACATATCATTCAAGTAGGATGGTGAGTACTCGATGTAGTATAGGAAGGTTCCTGTCATGGACAATATATACAGGAAATTTTTTGTTTCATTAAAGTTTAGATTAAATGTTAGATTTCAAACAGAAGAGTTATTTTTATAAATCTTTCAGAAATGAACACGAAAAAGCAATGGGGGAGCTCATAGGGAGGCTTGAGGCTGAAAAGGCCAATCACATAGCTTCAAAAATGATTGAATACAAAGCAGAAGAAGATCAACAGATTACAGACATTAAAAATAGAGGGCTGTTGCGAATAGAGGAAGTAAAAACATTCTTTGAAACTCAGGCTAAAGAAATGGAAGAAAAATATCAAAGCGTAATTTATTTTAAATTATTTTTATCATTATATTGTGACATATTTTTAAGTTTTATAGATAAAGAATGTATCAATTTATTACGAATTTGAAAAGAAATGGCTAGTCGTGGGTAAGATAAAAAAAAACTTTTGGCCTTCATGTTAGTACTTCAATATGCACATCATTGGGTTACTGGTTCTTGACCACCCTAAAACTACTTCCTCTCCTCATTTATCTGCAATCATTATAGAAAATCAAAGCAAATTTAATGCCTCTTTCAGTGATTCTCACCAACTTACAGAAAAATTGGGTTGTTAGCACATTAAAGTAATTAATTTCATAAACTACAATTTTTAATTATTTTTATCAGCCTATTGAGGACTATGATTGTTTTATAGATTAAAGATTAGTTGATAGATTAATTTATAAGGAATGTATAAAAAATCTAATAATATTAGGCTACTTACCTGTGACTATATTTTTCTTCTCAAATTTATTATAATTGAATATATAATTCAATGTAATTTATCAAACTTGTACAATGTATTTTCCATTCGGTTTAGAACAGTCTGTTTTTTAGGAAGTGAAAAAACTAGATAGTGAATTCACTGATAAGCTTAATAATTTAAAAATTGCCAAAGAAGGTGAACTGAAGGAGGCTGAAGCTGAGTGGCAAGAGAAAATCAAAGCAAATTCCATACAGCATGAACTACTTTTTGAGTCTACTACTGCTGAGCACAAGAAAAATATGGATGCTCTTCAAGAAAAATTCCAAAAAGAGGAACAAGCATTAAAACAAAGCAATGCTGAGCATAATAACGCTCAGGGACAAAGCAAAAAAGAACCAAATACCTTGATTTTAACTATGTGAGTGCAAAATATAAGGGTAGTGTACAAATTAAAAACATTTTTCAATGCAGGGAGTTTGAAAAGGTGAAATGTGAAAAACGCATAATTGAAGACAAGTTTAAAATGTTGAAGGAGAAATATTTGCACTTAAAAAAAGAAATTGAAAATGCTGTAGAAAGAAAACTAAAAAACAAGTCTAGGAAAAAGAAAGAAGAACAAAAGTATGCTTTTTTGTTTAAATTGTTATTAAGTAATTATGTTACATTAGCAAACATAACTAATGTAGCATATAATAAAATAAACACAATATATTGCACCCATATGATGAAACAAATCTTTAAATTTAACTAATTAAAATTTCCAAAGTAAATCTGATCTATAAGTTTCAATGATAAACTGTTCAACAATCCAAATGTTTAAATTCATTTACAGCTTTAAGTATAAGATTCCTTATGAACAGGTCACATGTTGTAACCACAATTCTGATTCTTGTTACTTTTAAATTGAAAGGAAGCAGTTCTTAAATTTTCAGAACACTTGTAGAAGATTGGTAACATATTGTGGCCAAAAGTTGCATCCCTTTGCAACAAAAGGGGGTGCTACATTGCAACATGGTACACGTGCCTCAATGAGCACCTTGCCTTAAGGCATAAAATACCACTTAGAATAATAATTAATTGTTTAAAAAAATTCAACAATTTTTTTCCCAGTTAGATTATTATTCACTTTTTTGTATTAATGTCTATTACATCACTATTAATATGTAACAAAACTGAAAAACAAGAAATAATTTTGCAGGTTTCTTTTTTATGTTGAACAGACACAAACATTTGTATTCTAAAATGTAATATANATATATACATACATAAGAAAGAAACCTTAAAATCTTTCAAAAGAAGTAACCTTCTTTAAAAAAAAACAATTAAAACCAGAGTTAATTTAAGAAACAAGTAACCAAATTAAAAGATATTAAGATGTACATACTTTAGTCTAGAAATTCCAGAATTTAGAGGATAAACATGCTATGTGCTTAAATAACTATATCCTATCCTAACCATATCCCCACAAAAAATGCGACACTAAATTTAATACATTTCATGTTTAAATTTAATTTAAACTACATGCATTGCATTTCATTTTACCATTCAGCCTTGGAAAGGAATTGAAGGCATATCAAGAGGAGAAAGAAAAAAGAAATGATGAGAAAGAGAACAATGATGAAAACCAACTGAGTTTGCCCAAGACACCCACAAAACCAGGTACTCAAAACGAGCCATCCTCAGATGACCAGTACACTTCTCTTTCCCTTACACTTCCAAACATTGAGCACATCAGCCATAGTACAAAGATGAACAAAGTTGAAAGGAAGAAGGTAAAATTATTGGAGAAAAAAAAGCTAAGTCGTGGAAAACTACGGTTGGAACATAGCCGAAATCGGCCAAGCAGCATCCTATGTAAGATGTCGCACCAAGAGGAAAAGGCACCTGCAAATTCACAAGGAGATACATATATTCATTACACTTTTCAAGGGCAAGGTAAATTATTGGATTTTTATTGGACCAAGTTAATACTGCAGTTTAAACTTTTTTTTAAAATGTTTCTTCAAGGTTGTAGTACTAAAACTGAGAATGATTCCTACATTCAGAAAATTATTCAAGAACAAGAGGCAGTTCGCAATGCTCGAGAATATCTACTGCAACAAAAACGTGAAATTGATGCGAGGTATAACATAATAAGGAATAACACTTCAACAATGCAGGAACTCCAGCAGGTAATAAATTTAGTCTTTATCCGTTGTAGGTCTTAACCACTTTAAATGTGAGATTTTTACGTGATGCCTTTTCATATATTTGCCACCAATCATTTTTTGATCTATCAGTCCCATTTTCAAAATTTTGTCAACTTCAGTGTCACACAGGCTAAGATTGAATGAGACCGAAGAGAGTTAAATGGTGAAATATGACATAGCAATCCAGATGCAGACCAAAAACGATTGATAACAACCAAATTACAATATAATGTGTTGTGTATTTTTTTCGAATTTTCCAGCAATTTATTGTAATCTGATGAGGTTTATTATACACTTTTTTTATTTAAAGAAAACAACCACTCAGTGTTATATTTACCTTGAAAGTGTACTCCAGGCAGCACAGTAAAATAAAAGGGGTATATGAGCTGCACTCTCAAAAGTTAGGCTATTCAAAATTCCTATTTTAACTTCCCTGCAATACCTGATTTTGACAACGTTCTGTGAACAACCACATCTCCCCCAAGTTTGAGGCCTGCATTGGCGCCTCGTATATGCATCTCTGCCCCACCGCACACCACACTTCCTTTTTTCGGCTATTTTGAAATTAAATTTCAGTAATTAAAAATAACATCCTTGATGAACTTTGAGGTTTTAACATTTTTTATTCTTGGACTGGTTTACAAAAAAATACACAACATACATTACATCACAGATAATTAAACTAGCTAATAATAAGTAAATGACCAAATTACATTTTAACTGTGTCAATGCCTAGTATATTTTTCTCATTTTTTATCTCAAGGCAGTATTAATGTAATTTTTGGTTTAAAAAAATATATCATTGTGATAATTTTCTTAAGTTATACAAAGTATATTATAATATATATCTGCTGATGTTTTCAGCATATCTGCTGATGTTTGTGGATTTATTTATTAACCATATAAAATTTTAAATTATAAAACTTACAATGTAAAAAGGTAGATGTTTTAGTACTTTTAAATATTGTACATTAGTGATAAAGACGCTAATAATATTATTACATACAATGTATTCTTTTTAAAACAACATATACATTCCAAATTGTGCTAAAATATTTGTTCTATCCCATTATGAATGTAGCAAGACAGAGATTTAACGGAAATGGAAGCGTCTCTTTATAGGACTAAAGCCCTTTTAGGGGAGAAGATGGTCCATCTCAGACTCCTTGGACAAACCTTTACCAGAATAATCCAAGATACACCCAACAGCCTTGTTAAAGCTAACATTCAGATGGATAACTCATTAATTACCACAATAAATACTCTCCCTGGTAAATAATTTTTATTATTATTAACTTATCAAAATATATTTATGTTGTTTGTTCAGCGGTGGCTGATCTTGTAGGAACTGATAAGCCGTATGTCAATTTTTCCATAACTAAACCTGAACAACCAATCCAACGGATTGCTCCCAGATCAGAAATTGAAAGTAAACTTAAAGACATGCAGAATTGGCTTGAAAAAACTGCTCCTAAATGACATTAAAATGGTTTATGACATACAAGTTTTGTGTAAGTTTTATTTACTAGTTTATTATTTTACCAAACAAATAATTCTATCAAGAAAAACTAAACCATGAGTATTTTAGTTTTGGTCAAGTAACCCTAATATTTGTTGCTTTTGATTTTTAAATTAAAAGTCAATGTCATAAGTGAAAAGATTGATTTATCTTATTTATTTTTTATATAAAGTTTTAATGGATTTGGATTTTGAATTTAAATAGGCATAAATCTGCACATGTACATACATACAAACAAACATGTGCTGAGTTGAGCCTATTCACTTCTCGCAGTCCACTGACAATTACAGCTTTTTTCATTTACAATAAATTGCTGGCAGACGCAAGAATCCCTCACCCAGGGGCTAGACCTCAGTCTTAACTGTCCAGCCATTGTGGCTGGGCTCGGGGGGAGGGTTGCTGTCAACAGCTAGCCTAATTCAGCACCTAACCCATTTTTACTCACATTCAATCTTAAATACATTCACTCTTATTTACATGCCATTTACTCAATTAGGGTAGTGAAGTACTTGACATTCCTCCATCACCATTTACACAATTATAAAACCGACCTAATTGAGGAGGGTCAATGGCCACTTGATATTCCATCATCGACCTCTCACAACACACATTCATACTAATAAATACATTCACTCTCAACACAAGCATGGTATACACATTTATTATTGTATACAATAGAACACCCTGTTTCCTCTAAGAGCAATTCTCGAATAAGGTGGCATTCCTGTGCACTCTCTGTATGGACTATGAAGCCAAGGAATTGCACCCTTCAATTAGGGGATAGGTGGGACCTATCAAGCAACATTCCTCTGCTTGCTGGACACCTGTGTCAACCTTGCATGACCTATTCTGTAAGTTTTAATGAACCAAAAAATTCAATAAATCATAAAAAAATAGATTAATTATGGAATTTTTCTCAGTACGTTTATATTTTACACATACTAAAAATTAATTTATTGTAATAACACTATAATAATAACTAATAACAATGGATAGGGGGACATAGATGGATGCAATGGTTTAGATGTTGACATAGCGCTCATCATAAGGTAAAGGTCCTCAGTTTGTATCCAGCAGCCCTAACTTCAAACACGATATACCTACAAATGAGCTTTTTTTAAAAAAAAAAAAACACATCCAGAGAAAAAAAAAAATTAAAAAAATAATTTTAATTTAAAAAAGTATTTTTTATATTGATTAATTTTTTCTTACTAATATGTTTTTGTTATGCCTAACTGATTGAACCAAGCACTTAATGGCCTTATGAACTTGCATATAGCAGAGTATGTATGTATTTGTTTCAATATATATTAATATAATAGTATAATATAAATAGTTGGAGGAAGGGGTGTGTGGAAAAAAGGGCTAAGGGTGATGGGAATCAAACCGATGACCGTGGGGTCTACAAGCCAAGTGTCTATCACGCTGATCACTTGGCTACCACCCAAAAGCTTATAGTTAAAACTTGAGTAAGTGTGAGATACATTTTATATAATTAAATTAGAACAAAGTTTCTGGATTACGGTGATTTTTGCCAGCTAAAATAGTATCTATCAAACCTATTATGGTTGTTTCAGATCATAGTCTGCCAATAGGTAATCAAACAAACGTGTCTACTGCATGCACACGGATAATTTCTTTATATTATATTATTTCAATTCCAAAATGGAACGACCCAAGATTGACATTAGGACTTACTAGAAAAATTAAAAAATACAAACTACCACACTACGTGCAATCACATTATTTCTAGACTTTTATTTAACTTGTAACTTAAACAAAAGAGAATTATCTTAAAGATCTGTTGGGCAAATAAAAATGTATATAATTTGGGCAAATGAACTATATTTCTTGGTATTTTTCATGTTTGAGTTACACTATATAGATATTAAAAATTGTTGGCTTATGCGTTGATTACTGACTTCTTAGTTGTCTAGATACAGAGTAGATCGGATATCTCCATGTTCCAAGAATAATCCAAGATACACCCAACAGCCTTGTTAAAGCTAACATTTAAGAGTAGTCACACATTTTCAGTTTGGATAACTGCAACCCCTTATCTCTCCTCACCTACTGATTTTCTCTATGATTAACAATTTAAAATTCAACTGAACCAATAATTAATTATATAAAATTAATTAAGCAAAGTGAAAGCTATTTTAAAATTTGAGCATACAACTCAGGCATGTCAATAAATCAGTGATCGTCAGACTGGATTATTTATTGCTTTCACTCTATCTAGTACGGTTTTGTTATATTTAAACTATCTTTTACCCGTGTTTTTGTCATGTGGGACTCTTTTAATGTACCTTTCTAATGCGATGCAGAATGCTTGCATGGCTTTCTAATATAATTTCTCAAATTCTTCTCTTTTACTGTCCACTTCGGTCTAAACGTGGTAATAAATTATCCATCTGATCCCCCTAGGGATGGAATTTCAAAAAATCCTTTCTTAGCAGGTATTCATGTCATTGTAGGAATGCACTCAAAATTTCAGCCCTTTGATCCAGCAGTTTGATCTGTGCATTGTCTATCAGTAAATCACGGAACCGTCATTATATATATATATATANATATATGTATGTATGTAGAGTGGAACATTTCTTTTATGCCACATGAGTTGATGCTGGGTGTTGGTCTGCTAGTCAGTGAACTCATGCTAACCCAAAACCAGTTCAGCATCTGTGTTTTTAGGCATATTTCTTTTTTCAATAATGACACAATAAATAAAAAGATGTACTTTCAAATATATCTTAATAAAAAACAATCAACACCATAAATATTACCTTCAAAATTATTCTTCACGTTTGATTTTTTTGTACAAATTGTTAATTTATAAACTATTTAAATATATTTTCTCTCAAATATTTTAATTCTTCTATGCTTTCTTTTATATCACTCATTGCTTCATGCAAATATTTTTTATCGTAGGAGCACTTGTACCAACAACTGAAAAAAAAAGAAAAAGAAAAAAAATGTACACAAATTCAATTGATTGGCCTTACCTAGAAAGAATTTTCAAAGAGCTAACATCCAAGAGACGATAATGGGCATGGTTGACAAGCTCAGGCATGTATTTCTTTAAGAACAATACATCCATATACACAGAGTTGCCAGCAATGTAGCATTTGCCTGAAAAATTAAGTTGTTATTTAGTAATTCCTTTCTTTTTAATTTATATTTTTGGAGTTTGGGTAATATTAAGCTTTTCCAATATATAATATCGTTACATATAATAATTTACAATGGGGCATCGCTAGCTGCAACGGTTAAGACATTGATACAGCGCTCATCATTGTAAGGTAAAGGTCCTGGGTTCAAATCCAGGGGCACTGGACATACTTACAAATAGGATTTTTTTTTTTTTTTTCAAAAACAATGACACCCCAAGGGTTGATATGACTTCTGCTGTTGAGATCCCTTGTTTAAAAAAAATGACACCCCAAGGGTTGATATGACTTCTGCTGTTGAGATCCCTTGTTTAAAAAAAATGACACCCCAAGGGTTGATATGACTTCTGCTGTTGAGATCCCTTGTTTAAAAAAAATGAATGTTTTATTAAATTACTTATTCAATTGATACTATTTATATAATATTAATTTTTAATAATGTTATGGAAAAGCGTAATAATATCACCAAATCCATGTGGAAATAATGTAGTGTTAATAAATTTCTAACTTGCTTACCTTTTTTGGTATGTTTTCTGACAAAAGTTAGGAGCTGTTGTTCAGCTTCTTTAATAGAGCTTTTACTCTCAAGACATGCCTGATATAATCCAGTCTTAAAACAAAAAATACATAACATGTCATAATGCCAGGGGCTGTTTTTTATTCCAGTAATACCTTATGATGGGTCTTTTGGCACCACTCATTCATTTTTTCTAATATTTCCTTAGGCTGGTGAATTACAACACGTAAACCTTCAGACATTTCATTCAAGTTACTGTCAGTAACGATGCATGCAACTTCCAACAAAGTATCCACCTCATGGTTTAGTCCTGTCATCTTTGGTGCAAATAATTGTTTAAAACAAAGAAACTTTAAACTTTTTGTTTTGATACTTTTTTTACTTGCCTCACAATCTATCCATATGAACTTATAAGATGTTGGCCAGTCACTTCCCATAATTGAAACTAAAACAAAAATTAGATTTTTTTTTAAAATATAATGTTCCAACTTCAAAGTATTATTTAAATAATAGATAAATCATGTCATCATTTGCTTATTCATGTCATTCTTACATTACAATATCTAAAACACAGCATTTAATAATCTTATTTTTCTTAAAACTCATAAAATAAATTATATTGTTTACTACCTATTATTTTTAGTTGGTAATAATTTTGAGTTTCCTAGTGAGGATTATATCATGATGGATGTGACTATTTTTTCTTTTATGTAACCCCTGTCCACCCTTGGTTTACTATCAAACGGTCATGTGTATTAGCTTGCTGGGCTAGATCCTGGTGTCCCCATAGGTTATCGCTTCTTCCAGACTTGCCTTTTTGGCCATTGCTTGAGGGGGCAGAACTTTAGTGTATGCTTGTTTTATGCATACATTTTATACATATTTAGCCTGATTATATCATTTATCTAGAATCTAGACTTTTCCTAGTATTTTTGTTTACAGTAAAATTAAATTTATGCTATATGAATAAATAACTAAGCTCACCTAGAAGATATCCTAAAATAGTAAAACAAACTTTTCTTATATTTTGACCCCAACAGTTTCAAGAAGGAAAAATCATAAGTAAAACAATCAATAGAAATTCCATATGGTATTTAATAGTCATAATTGACCATATTAATTATTTTAATTAATTACATTTTTTAAATCTAAAGCTTGGTCGAGATGAAAAAGCTTGTGTCATGAGTGGGATTCAAATCCACTAGTGCTAGGGGGTAAATCAGTGGTGTATTTAGCCCAAGATTGTAAGTTCGAATCCCTTTTATGACACTAGCCTTTTCATCTCGACCAATACCTTAGATTAAAAAATAAAATTAATTAAAATCAATCGAAAGTTGTTTTGGTACAATGATATAAACTCTGTGAGAAGTGTAGTATGAATATAATATTTGTATTGCATGATAAAATACAAATTGTGAATTTAATAGATAAAATTAAAAATTTGATGCTTATTGATTATAGACTAAGATCATTAAACTTGCACACATTGCATGATACTTTCTAATCGCCAATTTAATTTTTTTCTCACTCGCACTTTAAAATTATTTGTATTACAATTGTTTGTATTTTATTTGTTCCTTTTGTCTTGCTTTTCTTCTCTTTTACATGTTTACTTACACACAAATTTGTATTTTTACCTATTTAAATGTTATATTCTAATTTTTTATTCTTTTCCCCCCCTCTTTATATTTCATACTTGAAAATCTTCAAATGCTCTTTGAGGGAGGGGGAGTGTGAAAGAAGAGAAGAATAAATATATTGTCAGGTCAATCAACGGCTGATGGACTGGAATAATTCCAAATTGTATATACTTGTTATTTTTTTGTATTATACCTATATTTAGGAAATAAAGTATTATTATTATTATCATTATAAACTTAACAGCTGAAAACAGTACTCGTCATCCTCTCTACAAACATTTGGGTAGTGTAAGCAAAAATGTAAATCCAAAATAAAAGCAAGTTGGCTAATAAAGGTTAGAAGTAGTGAGTTAATAAATATTGTTTAGTTAAATAGCATAAAAATGTGCCTGTTGAGTGACTGTGGGGAGGATGAAGGTGTTTATCATTCTGTTGCGTTGTGCCCTATCCTAAGTACCAGCTACTTTATTTTAATAAATCTAGAATATTGACATTTCCATAAAATCCTCCATAGTATAGACTGTCCAGACCTCCTTCATTCTGTTTCCTTCACTGTCCCAAATTATACCACTAGTCCTGCCAAACCTTCCACATTCCTTGCCTAAACGCCGATTTTTTCAAGTTCACTAAAATTAACCAGAATACTGAAAGATGCCAATAATTCACAAATAGATTTTTTCAACTGCTCAATCTCCGATATTAAAAGACAATTTTCCGAGAAATTTTTCCAAAATTAATCGCCAGCAATTTTCCTTTTAAAAAGATAGTTTCTACTCACAGTAAGTGCGTACTTACTACTACTAAAGGATTGAACTCCGCACTCACTCCACCATTCATCATTTCCAGTAACTCTTTTCTTTTTTTGTATTTCCTGTTAAGCAATATTATTCTCCGTTATATTTTTATATAGGTATATATATTTTTTCTCTAAATTTTACATATTTCTATTACTCGCTATATTATATTTAATGTATGGGTGTTTAGTGACCGTTAGTTAATGATTATTCGGAGATCGTGAGATGCGGTCTGGTGTGACGTAGGTTTTAGAAAAAGCACATACGGAAAACAAACATTTTTAGCCCTGAAGATGATCTCAATAAAGATCAAAACGTTGTAATGATAAAGAAGATGTTTTCTAAAACCTACGTCACACCATCTCACGATCTCTGAATAATCATTATATTTAATTTAGTTTTCAATAATGTTAAGTTTAACATGTTCATATTACCATTAATAGTATATTGCAAAGTAATTGTAATTTGATTAATTTTTTCAATATTTTTAGTATAATATGTTAATGTACTTAAGAAAATGTTTGTATAATTTAATTTAAATCTATTATATTTTTACTATTTCTTATAAGTATTAAATGGGCTCTGCCCGAATGTAAATTAAATAAATTTATGTAGTTTATTGAATATTTAAATGGAAGGAACTTGGCCGTTTAGTTAAATGCTGTCGAGCAATACACATACAATTTATTAATTGAATTTAACTTCTCAAGTGTGTACCCTATACCTAAATAAGTATTTGTTAATGGTCATTTTATTAAAATGTTTCCAGTGTAATTTTTTTTTTTGAATCACTATATACAAAGAATTTTACATAAGTGTACGTATAGAAATATTTCACATTTAACAATTTGAGACATCATATTGACCCCTTGGTTTTATCAAAGTATTCATTATAGGAGAAATTGTTACTTAATAAATATCGTTATAATTTAAAATTAATTATCACACTAGATCACTGATATTTTTACATTATTTACACATACATGGCATCAGACATATTGCTTTTTTCCTCCTAGTTTGAAGTGGACAGCACTTTTGACTTAAAAAGTCCAGAAAGGAACTTGTTGAATTGCCTATTGTATAGTCGGGATTGTGTATCTGGTTGTTCCTTTCCTTCTAGCACGTGGAATAAAGAAAGGAATGTATAATATTGTACTTGTTAATAAAAACACTTTTATTATTATTATATATCGCTTTATAACTTGATGCCAAGGGGATAATAAAAAGTGTTATTCTCTTTTTTGTAAATCCTGATGCCCATTTTATAGACTCTAAACCAGCCCGGCACTAATAAAAACAAAGAGTGAAAGTTTCATCAAAATCAGTTCAGTAGTTTTATGATTAACACATATACGAACATTGTATATATAGATTTAGTATATAAATGGAATTCGTGGGTATTGTAAATTGGTTTGACCCGTTGTCTGCAATTCCACAACAGGTAGGTGTTAAGCATACTGTTTATACAGCATTTCCATTTCTATTTGAACTTTTCCCAAGTCAAGAGTAACCATTAAAAATGAAATGTAGTTACTTTTTCAAAAAGATGGTTCTGCTCACAAATGTTCTTTTTTTTCTAAAAAAGGTAATTGCCTTACTCACCCACCTCAAACCATTTCAATAAAATGTAGCCCTTTCCAATGCACATTTGTGTGCTTTACAATTCAATTTTTCCAATTAATTCTTACACTTAAAAGAAAGTTTACCATACAGTGGAATAAGTGAAGTTGGGGCTTCATAATTCACCGGGAAGAAAGATGCCAATTTTGTTTTTGTTTCAAAACTTTTATTAGCACAAATATACAGCTATCTATTGTAAATTTATTTTTAAAAAGCTATGTTTTTTATTATTAATCATAACAGTTCATTTTTACGAAAATGAAAAATTTTTTTAAAGCTGATTTTTCTGAGGAAGTACAAAAAAACCGCTTAACAACAATCTCCATGTGGGTAAAAAGTAATGTGTATAACACTCACATTTTCGAGATGGGTTCGGAAAAGCCAGTTTTTTAGAAGCAAATCTGTTTAATATACGAAGTATCATAATAACATGCCAAATCCGATGTTCTGAAACAAAACAATAAAATAAAATACAAACAGACAAGCTTGAGTGTTTACTGCAGAATATACAAAATTACAAACAAAAGAAACTGCTCACCTCTTGAATTCTAGAGACGGAGATACATCTGATCTCTAAAGAGTAGAGTAGGGGTGGACGCGTCACCAGTCGGGTAACCGTCCGAGTTCCTGTTATAAGCAGAAAAGTAGGGTCGGTAATTTTTTATTCTGCTATATTTCTGAATGCAGTACTTTTTCCACTATTTTCCATTTTCTGTGCTGAAATTTGTAAAAATATGAAGGTCCCAGGAACTGGAGGAGTTTCCTCCTGAGTACTGCAGCTGTTTTGTACTTTATCCTGGCTCCATTTTTGGGGACTCGCAACACAAGTGTGAATTTGAGTCCCCGGTGTTCTTCCATCGAAGAAACTCATTTTTTGAAGGGAGTTGGGACCAAATTCAGGGTCGCTGAGATCTGATCCCGGTCCTTCCATTGATGAGTGCCGTGTCAATTTCTTTCAATTGCGGCCACCGGTCCCCTTAGGCGTCAGAAAAAGTCCAGAGTCGACGGTGGGGATCAAACCCACGACCGCGGGCTACTAGCCGAGAGTCTGACGCCTAACCACTCGGCTACCGCCCCTTTGAGTTAACCTGCAGCAACTGCCCGCCACCAGCAACTCAGGAGAATATGGTGCTGCGAGCGCCTAGAAGAGAGTATACACTTAAGCTTAACTACTCCTGTATAGTGAAGTTCTTATGTCTTACGATACTAGATACTCCAAAATTACAACTTTGGCGATAATGAAGTCTAAAATTTAACGGTTTGCATACTGATTTGAAAAGTACAATTTCCCCCCTTCCTCCAATACTTGGACAACTTCTGTGACTGGCACAATTATTTTTCATTTCTTATTAGTCAAATTAAAAATCAACATCACGAAGAATGCCGGTCGTCGGCTTCTGGACAAGAGAGTAAAGCAACATATCTGATTGCAAAAAACCTAAGCAAAATCCTACAGCACTCGCTACCCACCATCTTGAACACCAACACAATTTCGACTTCAAAAATCCAAAAGTATTACACACAGAACAAGACAAACATAAATGTAATTTCTTAGAAATGGTTTATATCAACAGAGATAAACACAGCATTAATTACAGAACAAAACAAACCTAAACGTAATTTCTTAGAAATGGTTTATATCAACAGAGATAAACACAGCATGAATTACAGAACAGATACATGTAAACTCAATCATTAATCAAATTCAATACAGATAACATCGTATTACATTCTACACATCAAATATTTTTCACATAGTCTAATTTCCCAACAATTTAGCTTTCCTTTTCCTATTTATCCCTTTCTATATAATCCTGAAAGGATAATCTGGCCGAACCATTACCAACACATTTTTTCCCTTCATCGGCTCTTTTCACCTCAAAGAAGCCGACGCCTTATACAAAAATGTCTTTTCTATACCGACTTCCTTCCCCACCCCTTCTAAATCCAAGTATATAAACACAAAATAGCAAAATCTCACTGGCACTCTCAACACGCAAGAATGGCACAATTACACAGAAGACAAACACTTTGAGTGAGTAGAAATTGATTGAATATATAAAAAATATATTTTACATTGTATAAATTCACTTTTCCACATACAAAATGTATTTGTTAAATGTAAACAATGTTTGTAAATCCCAGGCCCTGAAGATGATCTCAATAAAGATCGGAACTTTGGCACGATAAAGAAAATGTTTTTCTGAAACCTACATCACACTAGACCGCATCTCACGATTTCTAAATAATTATCGAAGTTATGTAATCCGTTATAATAAAAGTCCAAAAAAAAACTTTATTTATAATAACGAATACAATTTTATACAACAAGTATACCGGCCAACAACTAGCATAACACTGCGTCTAGCATAAGACTAAGAGTAAGACTTAATAGAAGACTAACGGAAGACTGTCGGTCCTAGCGCCTGAGCCCTATTTATATGGAAGTGAAGTTTGCTGACTCAGATGCTGTGGATTCTGGAAGACGGTACCATAACTTCGATTAACGGTCACTAATCACCACACAGTTCTATTGAAACTGTATTCCATTTCTTAGCGGAGTGCTCATCTCTGGGTGAGATTCGGTTATTTCATCGCGGATGTTTCACTCTCCCCAGAGTTGATCTGTCAATTCGCAGCCCTTAATTCGTTACGCTAGGCATGCATAGACTTATAGATATGAGTAAATTAAGGAATTTAATTAGGGATGGTTATTTCAGATGACCCCAATGTGCAGGAGGTACTGGCGTCACTGGGGAGCCTCCAACTGCCGGGAAGGAGCGTTTATTTCGTCTGGGTTCCCGGGCATGTAAATATTAAGGGAAACCATTTGGCAGATAAAGCTGCAAAAGAAGCAGCCATTACAGGCCTTCAAATCAGGGACGTCCCAAAGGGTGATAAGATTGTAGTTTACAAGGGTCAATGGTAACAGGTCTGGACTAATATACATGAAATCTAACTCCGGGAAATAAAGGAAAAAATGTTGATTTGTATTGTTTTCTTTCTTTTCTTTCCATTAATTTCCGAGTCTACTATTATTCTTATTTTATTCTGTGTTTTTTCCTTTTTGATTGTTTTACCAACGACCTCTGGATTCTGGAAGACGCGTCCAAGATCCATGTCCGCAAAATTCATTGAAAGCACATTGTCATTTTTCTCAAGTTCAATAAAGCATTATTATCAATTCATTAATCTTTATGTAAGGTATTGGTTGAGATAAAAAAATCAGTGTCATGAGCGGGATTCGAACCCACGACCCTCGGCTAAATACGCCGCTGCTCTACCAAGTGCTCTACTTGGCGTATTTAGCCGAGGGCCGTGGGTTCGAATCCCGCTTGTGACACTGACTTTTTCATTTCAACCAATACCTTACATAAAGATTAATTTATTGAAAAACGTTATTCGGCCAATCGGACCACGAACTGTAATTAATTATTATCAATGGTGGTTAATGACCAAATTCACACCATCTTTCTCCTTCATGTAATTTGTGGTGGTTGTGGTTCACTGGGTTGGTTCGAATTTTTTTTTTTGGAACGCAACCACCAAGGGTCATGGTTGTCCCAATGACTATCTCACTATCTGAAAGGTACACGCGCAAGACGCGGGATATATTCTATTATATTACTTCTTTTATTCATTTATCCATTATTTATTTTCCCCTTTTTGTTCCCACCTTCTTCCTTTTAATATATTTTATTAGCACAAAATAAGGGATAAAGAGAAGGACAAACAATGTGAAAAGCTCATATTTTGTCAAGTAGATTTGTTGTTTTAGAAAATTAAACAAATTGCGTATACTATCGTGTTATCGTCTAGTATTTTTTGGATGCTTGTAGGCAAGGAGTGCAGAAGTCTATGGGCTGTGTATAATGTGCATGACGTAAGTATATGTTTGATTATGATGATCTGATAGCACATCCGCAAATGGGAGGTGCTTCTCGCGCCACCAAATGACTTTTAGTGGGTCTACCGTGTCCAATCCTCAACTCTGCAAGAACCACTTCTTCTATTCCTGTATGAAGTAGGCCATGCTTGTACAGAGTCCTTTATTTCCCGGAGTTAGTTTTCATGTTTATCAGTCCAGACCTGTATCCATTGACCCTTAACTTTTGACTTGTAAACTGCAGTCATAACACCCTTTGGGACGTCCCGGATTTCGAATTGGTTATTTCGACTGTTCAGATCTAAACTGCCTTAACTGGAATTTTTCTCGCTTTTTTTAAAAGGTAGAAATTGAATTGGATATTACGTTATTACTCGAGTTGAGAGATTAGACTGAATCTAAAAATAGGGGAACTCCCACACCCACCGGCTGTGAAGATAGCGGAGTGGGTCAATTGACGATTTCCTCTCTAGCCAGAGGGAGGGGGGCGCTGCGGCGAGCGCTTGACTCCGACTGGCGAGGAAGTGGGCAACACCGCGACCCTGTTTTGTGGACGTCACGTCTCCTGTCTCGGCCGCCATATCGCACTCGACCTCTCGTTATTTGTCTTCAAATTTCTAAAAGGGATTTCCTTTGCGATCCCGACTCATTTCTTCTCGAGGTGCTTTTCCACTCCGCCTGGAATTGAAATCGGACGTCCAGACAGAACAGAGCCTCCGAGGTAGGAACAGGACACCGCTTTTCTACTTTTCAGTCTGACCACACCCATTTCTCGCCTTTCCTTTAAACTAATGTAAGCCCTTGTCTTCATTAAACGTCAAAGGCAAACACGACAAAATCGATAAGTTTCATCCCGACACAAATAGCACGCTCACTTCCGTAATTATGCTTACATAATAAATGCTTACTAGTTTTATGTTTAAATATTATAAATAGATTCTAATACTTGCAGACGTTCAAGTTGTGTTACATTTTTTTGTCGTTTGTCTGTTGCCATTCTTATCTTTGGGTGTGACTGTGAATGTTCTTAAAAATTAGATCTGTTGGAAATTAATACCAAACACTTAAAGATTTATAAGTAGTTACGCTAATCGTAGTAATGTTGATTGATTTTATACTATATTAACATACATTATTAATTATTGTTGAGTGCATACCGTTAAGAAACCTAGAATTTATTGAGAAAATAATCTAGTCAAAAAAGGGGCACTTTTTGGAAAATATGGTTCTACTCACATACTGTCTGTTTAGACATAAATTCCATCAATGAATGGGCATGTAAAAATTCCCTAGCCCTCAATCCATCAAAATCCACCACCATAATTATTAGGTCCATAATTTACTCCCCAATATCTACCTCTCATGGTAAAAAAACCATCCCATTCCTTTCTGCTCCTTTGTTAAAAACCTAGGAGTAGTCTTTGACCAAAATCTTTCCTGGCATCCTCACATTTCCCAAATTTGCCGCTATTGTATCGCCTCCCTCAGCCTATTTTGTCGGTCCTGACACCTTTCTCCACCTGCGAACTCCTTGCCTCTTCCCACGTCCCTTCCTTGATTACCGCTGTGTGGCTTATGGCCGTCTCTCGAGGGGGGAATGCATGATTGAAGCAGATTATAAATTGTTGTGTAAGATTTGTTTCTGGCACCCCACCGAAGTCCCGGGTGTCGGGGTTATATTCCCAACTTTCCTGGCTCTACCCTCTTTTCATGCACAGTATTTCCTAGGTTTCTTTCTTTTCCCCAAACTTTACATCACCCATTCTCTCTAGTTCAACTCCTCACATCACACTCGCAATTGACCTTATCCTTTTGTAACATACAACCCATACTTTCAAAAGATCTTTTCTAATCCAAGCCCCTAAACTCTGGAACTCTTTCAAATCCCACTTGTATAATCACCTCCTCTCCCTCCAAACAGAGACTTTACGTTAATATTTGATATTTTTGTTTAATATTCTTGTTATTTTTCTTAAAGCTTGCGCCTTGTGCCAATATTTTTATTTCCTATTATTTTTAATTTCATAGAAGGAACTTACTTTATTTATTTCATGTGTATTTTTCTTAGGGGACACCAGTCCTCAATAAAGTTATTTTTCTTCTTCTTCTTCTGTAACAGTTTGTTAAGGTGCATAAACACTAAGCAAATCTTGGCCAATGAAAGGCAATATATTGGCCAAATGTTGGGCACCAACACATTGGCCATCCTTGGCTCACGTCAAACTAATGGGTTGGGGATAATAATTCGAATCAAAGTTGTCTCTAAAAACAAACAAAATTTGTAGACTTCATCAGCACCACTTCCAGTTTTGTTTTCTTCTCTTTGTCTTTCACGGTGAAAAGATTTCAATAAAGACGATGGAAAAAAAAAAAAAAAAAAGAATAGAGTACAAGTAAAATAAATATTTTTTAAAAAAGTAAATAGATTTAATAAAAAATTATGTTGATCCACTGAAGTATTTAATAATCACTATAGGTATAGCTTACTTCTGATGAAGAGGGAACAGACTATCTTTTGTCCTGCTTGATTTATTATTATCTAGATTACATGTAATAAATAAGTACAAGTAAATAATTAAACCATTTAATTACAAGAGCTGTTTAAATTTTTAAATGATATTATTGTATTCCTCTAAAGAAATATAATTTTATATCGAGTCCTGAAAATTTGCCAAACTATAAATCAAAATCACTGCACAATTTTTGTTGATAATTACCAAATGAAGCCACAAAAACTATGCGTATGAATGAAATTGTGAGGTTTCTTTGTGTTGCCTGTTGGTTAAATGTAATTACCGAGTGGATGATTGGTAATTACCAAATTATACACTACATAAAAAAAAGGAGGTCAAATTTTATTGTTAATTTCAATCAATCTGCAATTTTATCGTTATATTACTTACAACATACATATTTTATTGTGACCTAAATTAAACGATATCTAAAATTCAGGAGTGTTAATAAAAATGTTTAATTATAATGGTTTGAAAGAAAATTTACTGAAACATCGAGGATCATTTAGTGAATGATTAAAATTTGATTAACAATTTTTGTACCTAGTTTTGCTCTTAATAACATATTAAGAGCAAAACCAGGTAATAATTGTTAGTTAAGTTTTAATCTATCACTAAATGATTTTCTGGTGTTTTGATGGATATTCTTTCAAGACATTATAATTAAATAAAATAATTTTTATTAAAACTCAGTAATTTTTAAACTAATTTTAATTTTGGTTTACATTAAAATAACTATGTTGTAATTAATATAACAATAAATTTTGTTGAAATAAGTAACAAAATAAAAGTGTCGGATTTTTGTCTTTGAGTATGTGAAAGAACGCTATTCAAAATGTGCTGTTTCACCCTTGATGATGAATAATACACTATTTTTAACTACAATAAGTAATCATTTATTTCTAGGCAGATTGATCCTCACAAAAAATAATTAACAGCAGCACAAGATTTTTAAGTATCTGTTTCAATAAAGTAATGGTTTTATTAATCAATTCATATATCAAAATGAACTTGATTCTTTGTTGCGTTTTAATAATTTAATTAAATTCAAAGTTTTTAGATTTTATAGTTATATAAACTAGAAGTGTAATATTTTTTTCATCTATGATTATGATGCAAAATCTTAGATGCCTACATTACTCTACCTACTACCTTGGCCTTCTACTACACTTTGCGTACTTCAAATTCACAAACTTAGTATTTTTTCATGCCAGGTGTATTTCTATACACCATTTTAAATATGAGTTCTTTGTGAGGACACTTTTTTTCATATACTCATTAACATTCAATGTAGTTTTAAGTGAACGGGCTTAGTCAAAACTGTTATGAGTCTCTTGTTTAGACAAATATTTTTAATAGTTTATTTGCTCCCTTCATTGTTAATATTTTCATTCCTAAATTATAGACATTATTATAGACTCCTATGGACACATTCTTATTACCCACAATCAAACTTTTCTTCTTAATATTTTTTTTATTGGCAAAAAAAATTTAATGGTAATGTTTTGCAGCTGTACTCCGGAGCAATGGATCCTACTATAACACCAAAGGAGGTGAGGATTCTTGAGACTGCTGACGACATCCAAGAAAGGAGAGAGCAAGTCCTCAATCGCTATGGTGACTTTAAGTCGGAAGCACGAGCGAAACGACAAAAGTTGGAGGACTCAAGAAGATTCCAGGTATTAAAAATACTCTGAAGATTGTACATGTTGAATATTAATGATTTGAGTTTCACAGTATTTTAAACGAGATGCAGATGAGCTTGAATCATGGATTAACGAAAAACTCCAAGCTGCGTCTGATGAGAGCTATAAAGACCCAACAAATCTGCAGGTAATATAATGTTGAAAAAGACAGTCAACAAATCCATAATTTTTATTTTAATTAATAATTATAATTATTATTTTAGGCAAAAATTCAGAAACACCAGGCATTTGAGGCTGAAGTATCAGCACACAGTAATGCAATTGTAACACTTGACTACACTGGATTGGAAATGATTAATCAGGGACATTATGCAAGTGAAACTATACGACAGCGCCTTGATGAGCTTCATAAGTTGTGGGAGCTCCTTCTTTCAAAGCTTGCTGAGAAAGGAATGAAACTCAATCAAGCCCTTATTTTGGTGCAATTTTTGAGACAATGTGATGAAGTTATGTTCTGGATTAAAGACAAGGTAAATAAACGACCTCACATTTATTGTAGTTCTAATGGAATATAAGAAATCCACCTTACAGTATTTGGTGCATTTTGTATGTGCAGGAAATGTTTGTGACGACTGATGAATTTGGACAAGACTTGGAGCATGTTGAGGTTCTCCAAAGGAAGTTCGATGAATTCCAGAAGGATATGGCCTCACAGGACTATCGTGTTACTGAAGTAAATGAGTTGGCCGACAAGCTTATGTCTGACGGGCATCCTGAAAGAGAGACTATCTTAAGGAGAAAGGAAGAGCTGAATGAGGCCTGGCAGCGTCTTAAACAGCAGTCACTCATGAGGCAAGAGAAGCTCTTTGGAGCTCATGAAATCCAACGACTGAATAGAGACGCTGATGAGACTGTAGCATGGATTGCCGAGAAAGATGTAGTTCTTTCATCTGATGATTATGGGCGGGATTTAGCAAGTGTGCAGACTTTGCAAGTACGTATTTTCCTAATCTAATTTAAAAAAATAAATAACATAAATAATATATATTTATATACTCTAAAGCGCAAGCATGAAGGAGTTGAAAGAGACCTTGCAGCTCTAGAAGATAAAGTTTCGACTTTGGGGAAGGAAGCTGACAGATTGTGTGCTATACATTCTGATCACGCAGAGCAAATTCAAGCAAAGAGAGCCGAGATTGTTTCTTACTGGGAGAGACTGACAGCGAAAGCTAAAGAGCGAAGGCAGAAGCTTAATGAATCATACTACCTCCATAGGTTCTTGGCAGATTTTCGTGATTTAATTTCTTGGATAAATGATATGAAAGCAATAATTTCCGCTGATGAATTGGCAAAGGACGTTGCAGGGGCTGAAGCTCTCTTAGAACGACACCAAGAACACAAGGTATGATATTACACATTCACACATTCAAATTTAACTAAAATCTATTATACATTCAAGGGAGAAATTGACGCAAGAGAGGACAGTTTTAAGTCAACAGCAGAAGCAGGTGAAGTGCTCTTGCAGAGAAACCATTACGCTGCAGCTGAAGTAAAAGAAAAGCTAGCTATGCTTGAGTCGGAGAAAACAGCATTGATATCACTTTGGAATGAAAGAAGACTCCTTTATGACCAATGCATGGACTTACAACTTTTTTATAGGGATACAGAACAAGCAGACACTTGGATGGCTAAACAAGAGGTACGTACAATATTATAGTTTTTATTGTCATTAGAGGTCTAACCCGGCCAGCCAAATGGCAGTAGAGTGTAGAAGTATTGAACTACTATGATGATATTGCTGTTTTGGTAGTGGGAAGGTGTCAGGAATTCCAGGGTGGTAATGGGTCTGTGACTATGTAACTACTAGCCAAGAGGGTGATATTTTCACTATAAATAAAAAATAATCAATTTTCTGTTTTACAAATATTAACACACACAATGCAGCTTACCTTCTAGCAGGTTATAATTTAAAAAGTAAAATTTAAAAAAAAATACTGCCAGTAGGAGGGTTGAAATTGAAATTCTAGCTACTTGTTAATTCCTCAATGTCAAAATAAATTTAAACATTTGCCATCAACATTTGGCTGCCATAAGGTTTTTATATCTTTATTGATAAAACCCCACAATTTGCATTTATTAACAAAATGACATATTGCATAATTTCACTTTTAAAGGCATTCTTGGCTAATGATGATTTGGGTGATTCTCTTGATTCCGTTGAAGCATTGATTAAGAAGCATGAGGATTTTGAAAAGTCACTTGCTGCTCAAGAAGAAAAGATAAAGGCTCTTGATGAGTTTGCTACTAAATTGATCGAAGGCCATTATGCTGCAGATGATGTGTCACAGCGAAGATCATTGGTAATTTATAAAACAAACTTCAAATTATTATTTTATTGTATACAAGTAATTGTTTACAAGGAATGTTTTTCTTTTAGCTTTTACAAAGAAGATCAGCTCTTCTTGAGAAATCAAGTGAACGTAGGTCCATACTGGATGACTCTTTCACGCTTCAACAGTTCGAGAGGGATTGTGATGAGACCAAAGGGTGGATTAATGAAAAACTCAAGTTTGCCACTGATGATAGTTATCTTGATCCGACCAATCTTAATGGAAAGGTTCAGAAACAGCAGAACTTCGAGCAGGAACTCAATGCCAATCACTCTAGGATGGAGGAGATTACATCTACAGGGCAGGGGTTGTTGAATTCCAATCACTATGCGTCAGGTACATACCTTCCTTATTGAACAAATAATTTAATAGTCATCAGAATTTTTTTATATTCAAACCCATTAAAATCTTATCAAATGCTACGTTTGTAAGCACGAAGCCATTTTCATACCTAGCTGAGAAACATTTCATAATGACATTTTTATGAAATTTTATTATTAAAGATCATTTTGGTTTGCCTATCATCATTGGGTTGGCGTGACACTTTGAAATTTCACTATTGTTCGAAAAGTGACCAACCTAGCGAGGATAGACAGAACAAAACAGAACAAAATGATTTGGCGACCCAATTTTAGGTTCATCACCCTGCAGTCAACATAAAACCCTAACCAACATTGAATTGAAAAATTTCACAATCTCTTTTATGTACTCTACCTTGCAAATATCTCAAACTTGCTGAGTTTAAAATTGTAGAAATTCTTTAAATCAGCCCCACAACATTTAGCAAGATACAAGTGTTCATGACATTTATAACATTATTTAAATTTCCGAAAACAACCCCCACTATGTTTTATATAGGTTTCGTCTAAGCAATACCTATTTGTACCTTCTTTTCAATATCAACAACTTTACAGTGATTACGTTAAATATTGTAAAAAACTTGGAGCTTCGTGTCTTACCAGTCTGGACTCCCAGACTTGTAGAAGCACAAACATACTTGAGCCAACTGGCTACTGAATTTTTGATTCTTGATTCTCGAATGCTGGTTTTTTGAATGCAGAATTCATTGGTTGACATTTTCTTGTATAATTTAACACAATGTAACATTGGAGCATTGATTGAGGAATGTTCATGTAACGCTAAATAATATCTGAGAAACACAAAGGAACATTGGTTTATCGTTGGCAGATCATTCAAACAGTGTTCAGGGATTATTCGAGTGTTGTTTGTTATTGTTTGAAGAACGTTTGGATACCGTTTGTTTGTCGATCCAGCATCAATCAAGGGGGTCGGTTTTTCGTGATATTTTCAGGTGGTTAGGCCATGGCTAAAGCATGTTCATGCTAAACTGTTGCTACTTTTTGTAGATGATGATTCTATTCACAAAATTTTTTTGTTTAACCTATTGACTCTTTCACACTTAAATAGTTCAAGATGGATTGTGATGAGACCAAATGTTTGATTAAGGAGTTGTAAAAAAAAATGTGAGTGGAACCATCAATTAGAAAATGTGAATCTACTCACCCAATGTTTACTATTTCTGTTAATATTTTTCTGTCACAATTAATTAAAAAATTGTACCGTAGATCGTATAAGCTCAAGAATGGAGGAGATAATTAAGTTATGGGAATTGCTCGAAGCAGAAACTGAGAAAAAAGGATCAAAACTCCAAGAAGCATCTCAGCAGCAACAATTCAATAGAACTGTTGAAGACATTGAACTTTGGTTTACAGAGATAGAAGGGCAACTTCACTCTGAAGATTATGGAAAAGTTAGTTATCTTAGAATATAAATATGAATTCTAAAAAATATGTTTTTATATAAATATATACACTTTATTCAGGATTTGACTAGTGTTCAAAATTTACAAAAAAAGCATGCTCTACTTGAAGCAGATGTTGGCTCTCACCAGGATCGAATTGAAGGAATTCGTGTGGCAGCATCACAATTTGTTGAAAGGGGACATTTTGATGCTGATAACATTAAAGCTAAACAGGTTATTTTCTCACTGTGAAAACTTGCGTGATGAATAATTTATTTAAACGGTATTGCAATTCTAGGAAGCAGTTACAGATAGATATGCAGCCCTTCAGAAACCAATGAGCATTAGAAAGCAAAGACTCTTAGATTCCCTTCAAGTACAACAATTGTTCAGAGATATAGAGGATGAAGAAGCTTGGATTAGAGAGAAGGAACCTATTGCGGCATCCACCAACCGTGGCAGGGACTTGATTGGGGTGCAGAATTTGATGAAGAAACACCAGGCTGTATTAGCTGAGATAAACAACCATGAGAGCCGCATCTCTGCAGTAAGCCAAGCTGGTCACCAAATGATAGCAGATAATCATTTTGCTAGTGATGAGATCAGTCGGAGGACTAACGAGTTGACCATGCATTGGACCCAGCTCAAGGAAAAAGCAGTTCAGGTGACTACAATGAGATAATTTTTTAAAAATCTTATTATTTATTATATTCCATAGATTGAGACAAAAATATTCATTATTAAAATAATAAATATAATTAAATTTCAACTAATTATTTAATTGTATGTAGCGCAAAGAAGACTTGGAGGATTCGTTGCAAGCCCATCAGTACTTTGCAGATGCAAATGAAGCAGAATCATGGATGAAAGAAAAAGAACCTATGGTCGTGAACCAAGATTTCGGCAAAGATGAAGATTCGAGTGAAGCCCTTTTAAAGAAACATGAAGCACTTGTTTCAGATTTAGAAGCTTTTGGAAACACGATAAGCGCTCTCAAAGACCAAGCAGAATCATGTAGAGTAAGTAATGTGTTTCTTATTTTCATTCTGATATTCATCAGAATTTATTTTAAATGATCAGCAACAAGAAACACCTGTTATCGATGTCACTGGAAAAGAATGTGTTATGGCTCTTTATGACTATACTGAAAAGTCACCCAGAGAGGTCTCAATGAAGAAGGGAGATGTTTTAACTCTTCTTAATTCCAACAATAAGGTAATAATAATAATAATAATAATAATAATAATTAATTTAAAATAAAATAATAATAAATAATAGAGATAAATATATAACTTGTAGGTGGGGAAAACTTTACAAAATATGCAGTGCTGGGTAATATCTTGTAATAATAATATTTGCTCCTTTTTAAAATATTTTTTGAGGGGTTGCATCTTTGCACATAAACCAATAATGTTGGAGACCATGCATTAAATCCTTGAATAAAGGAACATATTAACTTTAAAAAAAAAATTTGTTTGTGATGTTACGAAAAATATAGAAATTCACTGTATATCTTCATAGGATTGGTGGAAAGTCGAAGTGAATGACAGACAGGGCTTTGTCCCAGCCGCATATGTCAAGAAAATGGAGGCTGGTCTTAGTGCCTCACAACAGAATTTAGCCGATAGTAGCTCTATAGCAGCTAGACAGAATCAGATTGAAACTCAGTACAAAAATCTCCTTGACCTTGCCAAAGAACGACAGAACAAGTTGAACGAAACAGTAAAAGCATATGTTCTTGTGAGGGAAGCTGCTGAACTTGCTACCTGGATAAAGGACAAGGTATATCACCTATGTGATTTTATTCTTTTTCAATCTTCACGTTACATTTTTAAAATATACTACGTTACATTTTTTAAAATATTACTATGAAATTTGCAAACTTGCAGGAAAATCATGCTCAGGTTCAGGATATTGGAGAAGACTTAGAGCAGGTAGAGGTTATGCAAAAAAAATTTGACGATTTTCAATCCGACCTCAAAGCGAACGAAGTTCGATTAGCCGAAATGAATGAAATCGCGATGCAGTTGATGACTCTAGGGCAGACAGAAGCTGCTGTTAAAATTCAAACGCAACTCAAGGTGCATATATTTTTAATGTCTTTTATTTTGGGCCGTTATCATTTTAAAGGCATTTACAAAATAAATAAAAATTGTAGGATTTGAATGAGAAATGGACAGGTTTGCAACAATTAACTCAAGAGAGGGCTACACAGTTAGGCTCAGCTCACGAGGTACAGCGATTCCATCGAGATGTGGATGAGACAAAAGACTGGATTCAGGAAAAAGAAGAGGCTCTAAACAACGATGACCTTGGAAAAGACCTTAGGAGTGTGCAAGCACTCCAGAGAAAGCATGAAGGGCTTGAAAGAGACCTCGCTGCACTTGGTGACAAGGTGATTATTTACATTTTGATTGAAGTCAAGGTTTATATTTTTTTTATGTGCATTGTAGATCCGACAACTGGATGAAACAGCAAACAGGCTTATGCAGACCCATCCAGAAACAGCAGAGCAGACTTACGCAAAGCAAAAGGACATAAATGAGGAATGGACACAACTGACAGCTAAAGCCAATTCGAGAAAAGAAAAACTTCTTGATTCTTATGACCTTCAGAGATTCCTGAGTGATTACCGTGACCTCATGTCTTGGATAAATTCTATGATGGGTTTAGTGTCTAGTGATGAATTAGCTTCTGATGTCACTGGGGCAGAGGCCCTTCTTGAAAGGCACCAGGTAATAATAATTAAAGCTAAGTGATCCCTTAAAATTGATAGACTTGAGGCCGCGTTCTTTTGTTTAAAAATCAAAGAATAAATACATTAAAACAAAAAAAAATAAAAAAAAGACTAGGGTTCAAAAGTTCATTTTGTTTTTTTAGAATTACCGCACAGAGATAGATGCACGCTATGGTGTCTCGCAGGTATTGAAATATCGCCAACTTTAATGTGGTCTAACTGTTGTTTGTTTAATTTTTTGTTTTTTACATAATTTTTTTCCTGATAAATATTCATTTCATAAAGTTTAACATAAAGAGAGTATGAAGATAAAGATTTTCAATCTAAATTTTGTTTTATTATTTTATAAACCGCTTATTGGAGTGAAACTAAAACCTATGTTATTTTTGCATAAGTATTTCTAAAATGCATCCTATATATTGCGTTGTTGCTTACAGCTTCTACATATATACATATATATATATATATACATACACATACATATACATANTATATATATATAAATGTTATACGTGACAGTGTGACAGTTACATTACTATAGGTGTATACTATATGAAGGTACTACATATATGCATCAACTAAGTGGTAAAATCTTTAAATAAAATCAACTAAATTTTTTAAAGCCCATTTGTAAATATGTCGGGTTCAAACCTGGAACCTTGGATGATGAACGCTGAGTCATTGCCTTAACCATTGTGATGATTATTACCAATATATATATATAAACAAATATTCAGGATACAAAATGTTTTCTTTGAAAAAATAATTTAAATTAAAACTAAAAATATTATAAATCTCAAGAGTCAGCACTTCTACTTATTTAATGTGAAAGTTTAGAATTAGCTGTCATAATTTTGAATAAAAACTAAAATTTTTTAAATTATTGTATAGCTGTACAAATACAATTAATTTGAGGATGTTTATTTAATTTTTTTCTGCTTCTCTAGGGCCTGGATTGCGAGAAGGATGCAGCTTGATCAGTGTTTGGAGCTTCAACTGTTCTACAGGGACTGTGAACAAGCTGAAAATTGGATGTCAGCTAGGGAAGCTTTTCTTTCTGCAGAGGAAGTTGATTCCAAGGGTGACAATGTTGAGGCTTTGATTAAAAAACATGAAGACTTTGACAAGGCCATTAACGCCCATGTTAGTAACTTTAACTTATTAAATTATCTTTGTTCAAATTGTATTATTATGATTTAATTTTTGTTTTATTTCTGTTTAGGAAGAGAAAATTGCAGCGTTGCAAACCCTTGCTGATCAGTTGATGGCTGCAGACCATTATGCGGCCAAATTAATTGATGATAAGAGAAAACAGGTCCTGGACAGGTGGCGTCACTTAAAAGAAGCGTTGATTGAAAAGCGATCTAGACTCGGCGAGAGTCAGACACTTCAGCAATTCAGTAGAGATGCAGATGAAATGGAAAATTGGATAGCTGAAAAGCTACAGCTGGCTACTGAAGAAAGTTACAAAGACCCGGCGAACATTCAATCCAAACATCAAAAGCATCAAGCATTCGAGGCTGAACTTGCTGCTAATGCTGATCGAATTCAAAGTGTGCTTGCTATGGGTCAGAACCTAATTGATAAACACCAGTGTGCAGGGTCAGAAGATGCTGTTCAGGTATGTTGAATTATTTTTAAAATGTACAGTTGTATCAATATCTTTAAGTTAAAGTAACAGTGATTTTAATAATTTAAGTAAATTTAAAATTTAAATTGATTAATTGGACAATAAAATATACAAATAACAAATTCAAAAAAATAAGCCCGATTGTGGTTTATTTTGAATCATTTTTATCCCAGTTGATTAACGTTCATTAAAAAAAACTTTTAAAATGTTATCCCTTATTTAATTGCCTCCCAATATATGTATAAGTAAAAACTTATTCGTTGTAGAAACGACTTGCTTCAATTGCTGACCAATGGGAATTTCTCACTCAAAAGACAACAGAGAAATCATTAAAGCTGAAAGAAGCCAATAAACAGAGGACCTACATAGCTGCTGTAAAGGATTTAGACTTTTGGTTGGGAGAGGTGGAGAGTTTATTGACTTCGGAAGATTCTGGAAAAGATTTAGCCTCAGTCCAAAACCTCATTAAAAAACACCAGCTTGTTGAGGCTGACATACATGCTCATGATGATAGAATTAAAGGTATTTATTTTATTACAGTTTAGGTTTGAAATATTACAGTACATAAATGCTATGGAGAGGATCGACCAGTTTTTTTCAATGTTGAAGAGGATCAGGTTTATAGTCGAATGAAGTTATAAATTTATGCCAACAATTCGCCAAGCTTTCGCTACATATAGTCCAACATTAGGGCACTGCTACTGAATTATATGTTACATATTTGAGAAAGACGACTATTTTTATCCATTTCACAGAACATTTGGACCTTGTGTATTTTTTGAATTGTGTTGTGGTTTTTTATGTTAATAGACTAGTTCTTTTGGAGTAAAGTTGATTAGATGAAATTTAAAATAAAATAGTTTAGCAGTTTTTCAGTTCCCACGCCACGAATGGACTGATGAAAATGGGTGTCACACATCTGGTTGATGTGACTGATTTATGCTGTCCCACGTCACATGTTTTGTCTTGTGACAACCCTTCAGCACTATATAACTCAATTGTCATTATTTATTTGATTGGTTTTTCAACTATTACAACTTGATGTTTTCCTGGCTCGTGGACTCCCATCTGGGTCTGTGACACGTTTCGACATTCTTATTTATTTGTCCAATTCTGTAATTATTGCAGGGCTATGCTACCCTGGTTTGTGAGGAATGTTGCATTGCTCCTGTCTGTGCTGTGACACCCTTTGGCCAACTGCTTAACTATTAAGGAGTTATGTTCCCAGATTGGTGGGGGACGTCAAATTGTTTCTGTCCTAATATGGGTCATTGCCCATTCCAATTTACAGCCTTTTTTATAACCTTTTTTGATCTTTTAAACTATCTTTTTTTGTTCTTACTTTAACAACTAGAACTTATTCCAAGACAGCAGGGACTGGCTTACAGCATGATACAAGATTTTTTTTAAAGATAGTTAATATTTTATTGGCCAAATATTATTTACATAAAAAGATTTTCTAATTAAATTACAAACTAATTATTAACAGGGATACAAATTAACATCCGTAATGATTTTTAATGTATTGATCACAAATCCCGTTACACAAATTAAACAGCTAATTATTGGTTGGCCAAGTATGTGCACTCGCATAGGTACACCTGATAAGAATCTGCCGAGAGTCAGTTTTTTAATTGGAAGGGGATAAGGCAAGCTGTCCAGCTATTGGCTGGCTAAAATCGTTTGGGTGTGTGCGCTCATGTCTTAATGCTCAATAAGTAAGCACCGACTAAAGGTTGACTCGCATTTTACAGAAAGTCAGTGTCAAGTAACTTATGATACATAACATACTTGTGATAACATTCACATAGAGACATAACGGAATGCAATGTTAATGACAGGATCCATCGAGAATAGTTTCAAATAAAATTTTGACGTGACATTCCGTGCTGTATCATCCTGAAAAGTGGTATTTTATGAACTCTGTTTTCAATTTTACTTAAAGCCCATAAAACTGGTATTGAGACAAGTATTTATAGAAACATATTTCATCATTCTTGAATACTTTAAGTAGGGTATGGTATTCTTTCCATGATTTCTTTTTGTAAGTACTTTGCATATTCATTTTCTTTTTTGAACTGTATTGCTGTCTTTTTCTTACTTATCCAAAATAATGAATTCATTCCTAATTTTTTTCTATTAATCTGGCCATGATTACAAAATATGTTATAGAATGGGAAAAATAAATAAATAAAAACCAATCAGAGCAAATATTGATGGTGGTGATTGAATGTAAAGCGTGTGTTGCCAGCAAGGGTTTGTTACGTTGCTGTTTGCTGATGTCATGTCATTCTGTAATAAGTGAATCAACCTTAAACTGTTAACCATTCAAAAGTTTGTTGTGTGGGATCGGTCTTAAAAGACGGTCTATTATTCTTGTTATTGATGTACTATTAACATTAAAATGCCTAGTTACTTATGTTAATAAGCAACTAAAATCTATTGCACATCAAGTCAATCATTACAAATTGCTTTCTAATAAAATATGTTAGATTAATTGTTAATTGAAGAGAGATATTTTATGCTATTGCAATACTATGAATTCATGAAAATGTATTATTTATTCTCAGATATGAATTCTCAAGCAGATTCCTTAATTGAAAGTGGGCAGTTTGATACAGCAAGCATCCAAGAGAAACGCCAGTCAATAAATGAACGTTATGAGCGTATAAAGAACTTAGCTGCTCATAGGCAAGCCCGTCTTAATGAAGCCAATACTCTACACCAATTCTTCAGAGATATTGCTGATGAAGAGTCGTGGATTAAGGAGAAAAAACTTTTGGTTGGCTCTGATGATTACGGCCGTGACCTCACTGGGGTGCAAAACCTCAAAAAGAAGCACAAGCGGCTTGAAGCTGAACTAGCTTCACATGAACCTGCCATACAGGCTGTACAAGAAGCTGGTGAGAAGCTCATGGATGTCTCTAATTTAGGAGTACCAGAAATTGAAAAGGTTTGTGAAGCATAACATGTACAAAGTCAATTCAGATATAATCCCCCCCAAAATCTCTACTTTACTTTCAAATCTTCCAAAAATTAGTACAGTGATACTTTTAGATACATACTAGGTAAATTAACTAAGCTCGTAACTCAAAAGCACAAATCAAAAATCGTTTTTCCCATTGAAATTAATTGAAATGAGATTAATTCATACCAGCCCTCAAAAAATCAATTCAACTCGATTATTTATTTCCATTTTTATAATTATGGTTTTTTTAAATTAATAATGATTGTATATAAACAAAATAAAACCAAATAAATAAAAAACAAATGTTCATGTAAAACAGAATCTGAAGAAATCAACAGATTTTTGGTGGAGCCTATTGGCTTATGCATAGCACAAATTAAATGCTTCACTTCATTGCTTATGAAATCAAATCAACTCCATTATTTATTACCATTTTTTTATAATTATGGCTTTTTAATTAATAATTATTGTATATAAACAAAATAAAACCAAATACATAAAAAACAAATGTACATGTCAAACAGAATCTAAAGAAATCAACCGATTTTTGGTGGAGCCCATTGGCTTATACATAGCACAAATTAAAAGCTTCACTTCTGTTTTGCGTAATTAATTGTACAAATTAATAATGAATTATACTATGCACAAAAATTGCTAAATAACTGCAGGCACATAAAAAATAAGGCAGAAAAACACAAAATGGAAACTAAATACAACAGAAATACTTCTGCAGTGGGGTAAACTTGTGAACTGAACAAGCAATAGAGTGGGGATCTGAGTGACATGGTGGTTGTGACATCACCATAGCACCATCTCAAATTCTGGCTTGTAACTCAAATTTTGAAATATTGATGTCTCGTATCTCAAAAATTTACATGCTAGGGCACTCATATCTCAAGGTACCACTGTATATAAATTAGTAACTTTAAAGGTACAAAATAATAAAAAAATAATTAAAAATTGACAAATGTCTCTTCCAGTGTTAGACCTCATTAAGGCCATATAATTTCCTTATAACTAAAACATTTTGTGTGCTGCAGAGGCTGAAATGTTTGAATCAAGCTTGGTCAGAGTTGAAACAGTTGGCAGCCACAAGGGGACAAAAACTCGATGAATCTTTGACATATCAACAGTTTTTGGCAAAACTTGAGGAGGAGGAAGCTTGGATTAGGTATAAAAGCTTTATATTTTATATTTACTTTAAAGATGAACAATTTGTTTTTAATTTCTGCTTTAATTCAGTGAAAAACAACAACTGCTCTCTGTGGAAGATTACGGTGATACAATGGCAGCTGTTCAGGGGCTGCTTAAAAAGCATGATGCTTTTGAAACTGATTTTACTGCCCATCGCGATCGTTGTGCCGATATCTGCAATGCGGGTCAGAGCCTTATGGCAGAGGGAAACCACCATTCTGACAGTATTTCTCAGAGGTGCATTCAACTTCAGGTAAATCGCTTCTTTCGCCGTCGTATCATTTTTAAACAATAACGCAACAATTTTTTTTAGAACAAACTCGATATGCTGTCAAGTTTGGCCGGACGAAGGAAAACACGTTTGATGGACAACTCGGCATACCTACAGTTTATGTGGAAGGCTGATGTTGTCGAATCTTGGGTGGCAGATAAGGAAACACATGTACGTTCAGAAGAATTCGGAAGGGACTTGTCAACGGTCCAGACATTGCTTACTAAGCAAGAGACATTTGATGCGGGTAATTTGATTGCATTTACCACCGTATTCACTTTTAAGTGTGATTTTATCAGTTTAAAAGTAAAACTATTTTTGCTTCTTAGGTCTCTTAGCATTTGAACATGAAGGTATTCAGAATATAACATCATTAAAAGATCAATTAATTGACTCAAAACATGATCAAAATGATGCTATTCTCAAACGACATGCTGATGTCATGCAAAGGTCTGATTTTTTCAATTTTAATTTTTTAAATGATTTTATCTACTTACCATTATGTTATTCAACTTATCAGATGGCAAAAATTGCGGAATGATTCCAATGCAAGGAAGCAGAGGCTTCTACAGATGCAGGAGCAGTTTAAACAGATTGAAGAATTGTATCTTACATTCGCGAAGAAGGCTTCTGCCTTTAATTCGTGGTTTGAAAATGCCGAGGAGGACCTCACTGACCCAGTCAGGTGTAATTCAATCGAAGAGATTAGGGCATTACGAGATGCCCACTCGAATTTCCAGGCCTCGCTTTCTTCAGCCCAAGCAGACTTTGAGGCCCTAGCAGCACTCGACCAGCAAATAAAGAGTTTCAATGTTGGCCCAAATCCATATACCTGGTTTACAATGGAAGCTCTTGAAGACACTTGGCGCAACCTTCAGAAAATAATCAAGGAGCGAGATGATGAGCTTGCCAAGGAAGCCCACCGCCAAGAGGAGAATGACAAACTCCGGAAAGACTTTGCTAAACATGCTAATGCTTTCCATCACTGGCTTACTGAAACAAGGTGATTAATTTAGTTGTCAACAATAGTTAATATTATTAGATCTACTACGAATTATTATAATAGGTAAACAATTATAAAATAAGAAAAATGTATTCATTGTCTATGCTGGTTATTTTATCTGCAATTTATTGAATATTTATTCATCAACAGTTTGAGTATCGCCATAGTCCTGGTTTTCTTATTCTTACAGTGCATTTGGATGTTAGTAACCAAAGAACTAAATTTAGGTCAAATAAATATATAATTGGCTAAGGCTAATGATAAATATAAGAAAGTAGAAGTTTATTAACAACTATATTATATAATATATTTTAGAATTATTAATATTTTATTTTACACAGTTATAAGCTTTTTGTGCATAAATATACAATTATTTTTCCAGGACATCAATGATGGAGGGATCAGGTTCGCTAGAGCAACAACTGGATGCTACCAAGGTAACATTTCCTCATTTAATATCAAATTTATCACTGCAAAAGTTAGTAAAATCTTAATTTAAAAAATAAATAAATAAAACAGGCTTGTAAAACCACTCTAGCATAAATTTTTGCTTTCTGGATTATTTACACAATTTTTTATTACAGTCTGCAATTCTTAGTTAAAGTATGTAATTTGATGAACATGTATATATTTACATATTTACATTGTGGGAAACAGATAATTAATATTATTCTCTTGTTTATTCCTTCCTAGTTTATTCACTTCACTGACTACCCTTCTGAAAGTAGGTCGTGAAGGCCATTTCCTCTTGAGACAGCTTATAGGGTTATATGGATGTGTTCTGTTGGACAAGGCTTGGGCGAGATTATTGGGGAGATGGGAGAGATTTTTGTGGAACTTGGTACATTTTTGAGGAATTATGTTTGGATAAATAGGATTTTAAGGTCATTGTGGAGACATAATATGGAGCATTTATAATTGATCTGAGGACTTAAGATTGAAAGCGTTGGATTGAAAGGCTTGCAGTACCCCACAGTTCTATCACGTATGACCCAACTGGCAGTAGTAGCGTTTTGTAAATTGTAAGTTTGTTTTTCATGTTTATGTTAGAATGTCGTCTTATAAGTTTGTTGACTAAACCATAGTCTGTTTAGGTCTTGTAATTTCAGTTGTATATGGTGATTCCATGAAGTGTGAGTCAAGGTCGAACCCAAGGTAACGAATGCAGGCAGATTTAGGATAGGAACGTTGTTGTAGTATATTGTAAGAAGAGATTTGCTTCGGAGTTGTATACATGTATACAAAATAATATAAATACATTATGTAGTATATTTTCCTACATATTCTTCTACCCTAGAAATACATTTTTCCCATTGGAATACTCCCAGTGTGGAGGATGTTCCCATTCATAAATATTCTTGGGGCATTCTTGTAGTCATTGGAGCACAAATGATTCCACACTTCATTGTCAAAATACTGGCCTCCGTGTGCTTCCAGAAAGATAAAAGTCAAGAATATAAGGTGGATGTTCTAATGTTTTCCTATCCTGCTGCATTTTTGCCTTGTGGCATTAGCCATATGAGGCCTGGTGTTGTCAAGTATAAGAATGTCACTTCTGCCAATTTTTCTTAATATTGGCATTAATTGGGCGTTTATTGTGGAGAAAGTTAACATGAAAAGTTGCATGCTGCCTCAGTCATACATGTCTTTTGGGGTCCAGAAAATTTTTTGAGCCAATAAAAATGTAGGTTCTTGGCAGAGTGATGTCCCTTTTAATTGCCTCAAAATGTTGGTTGGATTTACCCCGTTGGTCTGATGATAATGATAATAATCTGTTGCTCCACGGAGACGCACTTCTTTTTCATTCACCTTTTAGGTTTTTACAACCCTTCTGACAATTTTACTTATGTTTGATACACCCTTGTACCTGAGCAATGAACTACTATGTCCAAAAATTATAATAATTCTAGCAAAAGTTCCTTTATTTAATTTTTAATACATTTTTTAACCCATTTAACTAATTTTAAATGATTAACAGAAAAAAGCAACAGAAGTTCGTTCAAGGAAGTTTGACCTTAAAAAAATTGAAGAACTTGGAGCGACATTGGAAGAACACTTGATTCTTGATAACCGATACACTGAGCATAGTACAGTCGGTTTAGCACAACAGTGGGACCAGCTGGACCAACTCGGAATGAGAATGCAGCACAACCTCGAGCAACAGATTCAAGCCCGTAACCACTCTGGTGTCTCGGAGGATGCCCTGAAGGAGTTTAGCATGATGTTCAAGCATTTTGACAAAGAGAAAAGTGGACGCCTTAACCAGCATGAATTCAAGAGTTGCCTACGAGCACTGGGTTACGATCTACCCATGGTAGAAGAAGGCCAGCCTGACCCGGAATTCCAAGCTATTCTCGGTAATATTTTTCAAATTGAATTTACTCATTGCATTCAATTAAATACCTGTTTTATATCAGATTTAGTGGATCCAAACCGGGATGGCTATGTGTCGCTTCAAGAGTACATGGCATTTATGATCAGCAAAGAAACTGAAAACGTGCAAAGCTCCGAGGAGATTGAAAATGCTTTTAGAGCTATCACTGCTGGAGACCGTCCTTATGTAACCAAAGAGGAACTCTATGCTGTGAGTCCTACTTCACAACTCGGGCTTTTATCGTCTTTATTTATTTTACAATATATTGTTTTGTTGTCGACAGAATCTTACCGAAGAGATGGCAGATTATTGTGTAGCAAGAATGCAGCCTTACGTCGATCAGAGGGGTGAAAGGACAATTTCTGGAGCTCTCGACTACATCCAATTCACAAGGACTATCTTCCAAAACTAAAAGAGGCACATTTCTACACATTATTTTAATTCTCACCAGAAATTTTTTTAGTTTATTTATACATTAGCTGATTATACTAAAAATGCAATTTCACTATCTTATTCTCTTTTAAAAATGTTACTTTTTAGTCAGTCAAAATATTATTTAATCACTGTTAGTGGGCAAAACGCATTTTATATATCAAAACAACCTTTATTTTATGTAAGTTATTTAGTGAAACAAAAGTCTAATTAATATATTTATTTTTTTAATTAAAATATAATATTTCTGCTTTGGCTGCAGCTCGAAATTAATTCATCTATCAATCGTTCAAATCCAAAAAACATTTTAAGATTGCATTCTTTTGAAAATAAAGTTTGCCGATTGTTTATATTCTGCTTTAATACCTTTTATCTATCCTACCTAATGACCAAATTGAACATTTATGTGAAATATCAAGAAATAATGCAGATGTTATTTTTCAAATGCACTCTATCTCTAAATATATTAAAATTTAATGTACATTAACCCGGTATCTCGTTCATATATGTAGCAGTAAAAATGTAAAAATATGACAAGTTAAAACAAAAATCCAGGGGGACAGAATAGCAATAAATTATTGTGCTATATGTATATTTTCAGATCCCATTTTACTGGATCACATGAAAGTGATCACCTTTATTCAACTACCTTGTGATGGGTTGCTCTGGGGGACCGACCCTCACAAATGACAAATTGGAAGAAATTTCCAATAAAGGAAAATGGAACAGCCAATTTCTTGGGAGTCCTTCCAAAATTTGCCAGTTTAAAGAAATAGAAAAGTCTCTTTCCCAAGAAATTTTTTTTGGTGGATAGACCAAGAAAAGATATGGGAGAAAAATCTCATAATGAAAAAAGAAACTTTGGGATATGTAAATTTTATATCTTGGAGAGTCAAATATTCATATGGGTTGGCTCTTCTTCCAAAATCGTCATAAAGATGGTAAGACAAGTAATTCAGGTCTTCACGTTTCAAAACATTAAAATCCACAAAGGATGTATTTAAGTTAAAACTAGACCCCCCCCCCACCAAAGCTCACTACTCCATAGAGACAAACTCTGACCAGTGCCACTCAACTAATGACTCACTAGTTCATACTCAGTCAGCCACTGACTGTATCTACCCATTTTGTAGCACCGGATATTTGCAAACAAAAGTCTTCTCACGACCCAGCCATTAACAGAGGATCCATCCTCGGAGCCATAAGGTTATTATTAAAATTAATTAAGGTTTTTAGTTGAGATGAAAAAAAGTTAATGGCACGAGAGGGATTCGAACCCACGACCTTTGGCTAGATACGCCGCCACTCTACCACCTGAGCTATCGTGACCTCGATCCGCTCGGACGTAGGTCGTGGGTTCGAATCCCTCTCGTGCCATTAACTGTTTTTCATCTCAACTAAAAACCTTAATTAATTGTAATGATTTAATTGGTCAAGCGGGCCACGAAATTAGTGAATATAATGAATTAAAATGAAGTACACTTCATTAAAGCTCTCTGTCGCCATTTCAATTGTTGTCGAGAATCCAAACCGATTACACGACATTTGAAAAATGGCAAAAGGAGGGAAAACTCATAAGGGGGGGTTGAGATGGGGAGTTGATGTCCGAGCGGATCGAGGTCACGATAGCTCAGGTGGTAGAGCAGCGGCGTATCTAGCCGAAGGTCGTGGGTTTGAATCCCTCTCGTGCCATTAACTTTTTTTCATCTCAACTAAAAACCTTAATTAATTGTAATGATTTAATTGGTCAAGCGGGCCATGAATTTAGTGAATATGTTATTATTAAAGTGGAACTCAAAGACAAGATAGCCTGTGTCCTGTAATCTTCTACCTCTCCATATTTTAATCCATTTTTAATCTTCTCTAGAGCTAATTCCGACGGGGCTATGAAGGCCAATTTATACTGGTTTACTGTCTGCTCAAAAACGTAAAGTAGAGGCACAGAAGCTGGAGTTCTTGGGATGAAAACAAAGATTGGACTGACGAGTGACAGGTGAACTTGGTGATGGTGATGAGGACAAGGAAGTGGGGTTTGTGTTCCCTAGGCACTGCAGCCTTTTGACTTGTCACTTCCTAGTTCCCTAGTTCAGTGCAATAGAGTATAGACTCAATCCTTCTCAGAAGTATCAGGTCATTGACTGATGCTGCTACCATTTTGTTCTCTAGGTTTTTTCTACAAATTAGGTTAAATCTCCATTGAGTCGTTGCTTCGCATTCAAAGATGATATGGGTGGCTGTTTCCAACTCATTCCTAATCTGCAGATGGGATCATTGTTATAGACGGGTGAACTTAGTTAATTATGCTAAAGTTTTACAGTCTGACATAGCATTTGAGCACCAGAGAAATAAAAAAGCAAGGAACACCTTCCCGGTAGGTAGCCATTTTCTCTGACAGTCAGGTGGCACTAAAGGCTGTAGTCTCATGAGAGGTGAAGGCGAAGTGTTTGGAACTGCATGGAGGCCCTGAGGGAAATCAGCGATACTAATGACCTGACCCTGGGCATGGGTCCCTGGGGTCTAGAGGCAATGAAAAGCTTGACATGTTGACTAAAGAGAGGGCCTCTCTGGGTTCTGAACCCTCCTTTGGCTTAGCATCCTGCCACAAAAGAGGATAAATAAAGCATCTTAAAATGGCTGCTTAATGAATCTTAAAACTTGTGGAACAATACCACAGGCATGAGGCACGCGAAGATTCCTCGTGCAAGGTAAAGGTAAAAAGCGTATGGAATTTATGGAAGCCAGTGACCACTGATCTGACCTGACATGGGGTCTCTTGGCATTCGGGACATAGAAGCAAATGAGAAAGTGGTCATGGTCAAAAAATAACCAATATGATTTCTCAAGGCTCTGAACCCTGCTGTGGCCTAACACCTTGCCTCAAAAAGGACATCCCAAAATGAATCCTTAATCCAAAACCTGGTAGAACGGTAAATTCCAACAGATTCCTAGAAGGCCATCCAACTTACAAAGGATAGGCATAGAAGAGGCGGCCACAAGGCCTACTGCACCTCGACCTGAATGGATCTGTTGTGCTCCCCTGTTATTTATAACTAACTGGCCAGCTTCAGGTCATTAATCAGCCTCCACAGCTTTGCCAGCGGCTCCTTAGTGTAGGATCTTGCTTATGGTTTTTCTTGTCCTAGTTGCAAGAACCTGCACCTATAGGTCAAAGCACCTTCGCAGAAAAATATAATGTGCTCGCGGTCTTCCTGGTAGTATCTGTACAGTGTTTCTTCTGTTTGTACTACTATCCAGTACATGTGCCTTCTTAAGTGGCCGTGCCCTGTCAGGAGTCCAACCAGAATCCTGGTTCGGTTGCGGTTGCCTTCCAGTAATTCTTTTGTAAGTTTTGTGGATGGTCCTTCTATGAATCTCTTTGTGCCTGTATTATTCCACAGGTTTTGGACTCATTAAGGTCCCATTTTAAGATGTATCCTATTTTGTGAACTTAAAAGGAACAGAAGAGTAATTAGGATTCTAGTCGGACTCCTGCAGGGCATTTCTGCATACGAAGGCACACGTAAGAACTAAGAGGCATTTCCTAACGGCCACTGTAGCACCAGTGTTGTACCTATTTTATGTGGTGTAGGAAAGATAAATAGATGTTCATGTAGCATTCTTCATTAAACTCAAAAATAAATGTTTGAATTGAAAAAGAATCGGCATGAATCAATAGACACGGTCTTGTGCTATTTTGTGTACAAGATATGAAATATAACCGGGAGTAGGTTCACGGATGGACAAATTGGTGGGATGTCGATCACTTTGTAGATATGTCCCAGCGGGTGTTGTCCGACGTGACCGGGGTGCTGAAGGGCCTGCAGAAAGTCGCTTCACAGGGTATCAGACTCCAGGAAAACTACGTGAACAGGATTTGGGCCAACTCGAGCTTCAAGGCAGCCGCTTCGGATGTGAAGAGTGTGCTCCTCGATAGACAGACACCTTCAAAAAATGTAGGTTTGAGTAAGTACCTCGGCCGAAACATGTCATCGGTCTCGTTGATTTTTATTTACATATAATAATTTATATATAACTTGTATACATACTTTTTCTAAAAAAAGTTAAGCACGTTGAATCCACGCATTTATCTGACTTGTTCCTTTCCAATACTTTCCCTGTCTTTTAGGCCTTCAGACATTTTTTGATTGATTCAACTATATTGCCTGGTTGATTCTCACTAGTTTACTGCCGCCAGGTGCTGGTAGTAAAAGTATATTTCAACCCCATTATGTTGAGTGGTCTAATTATTTTTTTTTTCTAAGGCCTTGTTTGTCATAACAAAGTTAGTATCACGAGCGGGATTCGAACCCATGATATTTGGCTCAATACACCGCTGCTCTTACCACTTGAGCTATTGTGACTTCAATCCACTCGGACACCAACTCCCCATCTCACTCTACAATATTATTATTTAGAGATTGTGAGATGTGGTCAGGTGTGATGTTGGTTTAGAAAAACATTTTCTTTATTGTACCAACATTTTGACCTTTATTGAGTCGCCATCAGGGCTCAAAGTGTTTGTTTTCAGTGTAGATGTGTCATTCTTGTGGGTCATGTTGAGAGTGAGAGTGGCCATTAGAACAAACCCAGGTGGCTGTTTCTCTCAATGAAAATAAATTCAGGGTCTTGTGGCCCCCTTCTTACCACAGCTCAGAAAATGTTCAAACTTCAATTCGCACAGGAACATGTGAATTGGACATTGTAAGAATGGGGATGAATTCTCTTAACAGATGAGGTGAGAGTTGGCCTCAAATCTTCAAATGGGCATAATTTCATATGGAGACGCTCAAATAGTCTCGTAATTGTTGCTTCATTGTCATCGAACAATTTGTACAGGGAAGCCAGCAATCCACTGCTCAGGCATACCCTTCTGTACCTCTCTCATTCCAACAGTTTGACTACAGTAAAACTCGGCATATAAAAACAAGGAGGCTTGTGTGCCATCTGATACCCATGGGCAATTGGTGTGTGTACAATCTTAATTGTCTTATTCTTGACAGTCTGTTGATGTGGCCCATTGTCCAGAGTCCACTTTTTTTCCCCGAATGCAGGGCTGCTGGATTCAAACCCAGGGCCTTTACCTTACAGTGATGAGTGCTGTGTCAGCGCCTAAACAGTTGCGGCCATGGATGCCTCCCAGTTCTATCCTTAACATGAGCAACAATACAATGTCTTAGGGCTCTTTTTGCCTCTTTATCAGCCTCCACATTTCCGAATATCGTAATGTCCTGGTATCTATATTTCATATAAGAGGGGTTCAAGCTAAAAATATATTTTTGAGTTACCTTATTTAAAAGAGGGTAGTAGGATGTGGACAATGTACTAATGCCGAATCCGATAGTCAATGTGATTTCAATCTTGGTATTTAAAAATTTGTTACTAATTAGATTTTTCACTGTTGGTCAGTAATGTACATTTAACTAACAACTGAATTCAACATTTTAACAATTATAATTGTTTCATTTTAAAATAATAACATTTAAATTAATTATACTTTTTAAGGCCTTAATTGAAATTATAAAGTTAGTGTCACAAACAGGATTTTAACTCACAATCTTCAACTCAGTATGCTGCTGCTTTAAACACTTGACCTATTGTGACAAAAGCTAGTGTCATAAGTGGGCTTGTGTGCTGGTTAGAGCAGCGGTGTTTTGTGCTGAAGGTAATGGTTTCGAATCACACTAGTAACACTAGCTTTTTCCTCTCACCCAAGGCCTTAGATAAAATGTATAATCAATTAAAATTTAATACAGTCAATTATGCGTATTAAATAATATATATATGTGCTAATAATAATATGATTAATTTCTTCTTTCCTTTTAGATTCAGCAGTTAGCTGTTGAAGCACTAGAGAGAAGTGCCATGGTCTATGAAGGTGTTAAAGCTTTTACGAATTATTCCCAAGGTCAGAGAAACTTATAATAAGTATTCAATGTTTTGCTTTATTTTATTTTAGCTATTTATAATTTGTCTAGCTGTTTAACTTACAGGACTGTCAAATTTTAATTTAGGATCAGCTAATGCTGAGGTCCACGATTCAAAACTCAAAACAAAATATGGTGAAAAAAGTGACCAATACACAATAGAATTGACTCCACAACAAATTGAGAATGTTTCAAAACCAACGGATGTTATAAATCGACAAACAGCGCCAAACCGACAGCTCACTCAGACTGTAAGTGTCAATTTTTTAGATTCAGTCTATGTTATGAACACACATTCGATAATATATTGTATCGCCTAGCTAAGTATACAGGCGAGACAAAGGAAAGTTCCATCGACGAGACTGGCAAGAATGGTTTCTTTTGGAAGTCTTGCTGCAGGCCTTGGGATAGGCACAATGGCCGAAATGACTAGACGGACACTTGGCTGGAATGATCTACAAAGTGAGAATCCCTTTTTAACTCATGCAAATGCTGAACGGATTGTCAACACCTTGTGCAAAGTTAGAGGTACAATTATTGTGTTAAAAAATAAAATATATTATTATAGATAATTGTACATTCAGGTGCAGCCTTGAAGATTGGGCAGTTGTTAAGCATACAGGATAGTAATGTAATAAACCCCACTCTTCAAGCAGTATTTGAACGGGTCAGACAGTCTGCCGATTTCATGCCCTATTATCAAGTTGAGGTATGAATGTACTGTTTTAAAAATACAATTTATATCCCAATTTTTCCATTTACAAAGAAAGTAATGAAAAGTGAACTTGGTCCGAATTGGAGGGATAAGTTTGCCGAGTTTAGCTTGAAGCCTTTTGCAGCAGCTTCAATCGGACAGGTCCATTGGGGGAAGCTGCACGATGGAATAGAAATCGCTGTAAAAATTCAGTACCCCGGAGTTGCCGACGGTATCAATAGTGATATAGAAAATTTGGTGTCTGTCTTGAATCTGTGGAATGTGTTTCCTGATGGTAATTTTATTTTTTTGCCGAAAGAAACCACTAAATACTCATAAATTAAGTATTTGCATTGCATTTTAGGCATGTTTATTGACAAATTAGTTGAGGTCGCTAAGAAGGAGTTGGCCTGGGAAGTTGATTATTTAAGAGAGGCAGAATGTACAAAGCGTTTTAAAGACCTTTTAAGCAACGATAATTCATATTTTGTGCCAAGAGTAGTAGGTAAGATCTATCATACCCATTGTTATAATTACATTTCTGTTTTAACATTTCTATGCTGTATAGATGACTTATCAACAAAGAAAGTTTTTGTAACAGAGTTAATCGAAGGTATCCCAGTTGACAAATGCATAGACTTGGACTTTGAAACCAGATGTCATATTTGTTCACTCATAATGAAATTGTGCCTACATGAACTTTTTGTCTTTCGTTACATGCAGACAGATCCTAATTGGTCTAATTTTTTCTTTAATACAAATACACAGAAGGTATGTAACTTATGAACATGTTTGTACATACAAAAAAAATTATATTTCATTATTAACAAATCAATCTTCAGTTCAATCTTTTGCTTTATTTATAACTAATTAAATAATTTATAAATTAAATTAACCATGCGGGCGCACGGCGGGACCTGGTCCTGGTCGGCCGATCCCGCTCGACAGTAAAATGAAAATAAAAAACTTCATGGGTAATATGCTAGCGTACCCCCCCCCCAAAAAAAAAAAAAAAAAAAATTAACCATATATTGTGATTTAGTAAGGTTATTTACATTTAAAACAATTTTTACAATGAAACCTTATCAAATTGAATTGAATCTTTTATGATAAATTGATAATAATAGACTTTTAGGCATAATTTTGCAGATAGAAAATTGACATTCCTACACTCATTAAAACATAAACATTCAATATATAATTATAAACTTTTGTAATATAGTGGAAACCCATTTATATGGACCCCAATTATCCGGAATTCTGGATTATCCGGACCTGTTTGCTAAAATAATTTTTAAAAATTATTTGGAGATCGTGAGGTGCGGTCTGGTATAGTAGTGTATAGTGGTATAATCCCACGATCTCCAAATAATCATTAATTAACGGTCACTAAACACTTTTTACAAATTTTTCATAATTCTCAACGTATATATATTAATTTTTAAAATTCATAATTCCACTATGAATTTGTCGTCTGAAATTTGTAAAGGCCACCAAATCGCCCTTCCACTACTCATACGATCGAAGAGGCCGGAGAGGCTGATAGTCACATTTTTGTTTAAAAAAAAAGAAAAGGTATACTATTTTAAAATACAAGAAATTGTTGTAACGTGTTGTTCATATGTTGGGCTTCCATTGAATAGGATTTTTTATTATGTATACTTTTATTAGGTATTTTATATGTATAAATTTTTCGAGAAACGCTTGTCCAGACTTAAACAAAAATAAAACTAATAACTATCTATTACTTTAAATGTAACCTGATATAGGAATAAAAGTGTTCACTTTCATATGTTTTTTTCCATTTTTATGACACGATACTATAATCTTAATACTAATATATATAAGATATGTAATCACTGTAATGAGGCTATTAAACATTCATACCAATTTATGCATGATAAAGATTTTATACTGGTTTGCATAAATTTAGATTACAAATGTTTATTGTTGTTTGCTCTAGCTTGTGTTATTAGATTTTGGTGCAACAAGGAGCTACAGTAAAAAATTTATGGACGAGTACATTAATATTATAAAAGCTGCAGCAGATAGGGAAAAGGAAGTCGTCCTTGAAATGTCGAGAAAAATGGGATTTTTGACTGGCTATGAATCTAAGGTGAATTGAAGTGTTTTAATTTTCACCGAGTTAAAACATTGCAAATTAATTTTACTGATTATTTCATGTTATATTTAGTGTAATGCTATTTAAGATATTAAAATTAATCAAATATCACTAACTGTGAAATAGTCATATGTCATTTAGACTTACGATTTAGTATTATGTGTTAAACTTCTTACAAACTCTCACACTTTGTTTCTAAATAAATCATCCCATTTAATTCCGCCGGTCGTGGTTCCTTCTTTCTTTCACTACTCATAAACTCCTTGTCTCCTCCCTCATCTTTCCTATCTTCAACTATAGCTGTGTTGTTTATGGTGGACTTTCGGAGGAACAAGAAAAGCGCTTGAGAAACTAGTGGACAGTTATGTTTGATTTATTTTCATTGTCCATCGAATGACCAGAGTCTAACAGCTATATTCAGACCTATCCTGGCATTATCCATCTTTCCGTAGCGAATATTTCCTAGGCAACTTCCTTTATCAATCCATAACTTCAATTCAAACCATCCATCCATTCTCTTAAAACCTGTTCATCTTCCAATGACCTGTACCTTTCTAGTCATAAAACCTCCACATTTGAACTAGTTCAAGTCTCAGTAAAGCTGCTTCCCTTGCCTCTTTTAAATCCCTCCTGTACAAACACCTCATCTCCCTCCAAACAGAGCCAACATAGTCCACAATATCATTAGACCCTTTTACTACATAAGAAAGTTTGTTTCTTTCCTTTTCTCAACAAGAATTCTCCTTTTTTTGAGTTTATGATTGTTATTTTTTTAGTTGTTTTGAGTTTATGATTGTTATTTTTTAGTTGTTTTGAGTTTATGATTATTATTGCATAAGACAGAATATTCTTTATTACTACTATTTTACCCTAAATTATTATTATCGGTAGTATTATTTATATTTTTGTTTTGTATTATGTGTTTTATATAATTTTATTTCACCATGTATTAACATCAAATCTACATTAATTCAAGTGCCAGATTACTTTTTGTGACCTTGTTATTCTTAGGGGACTCTAGTCTGAGAATAAAGTATTTTCTTTTTTCTCTTAAATAATGGCTAATGTATATTTTCTTAAAGTAAATTTTATATGGACAGACAGAATAAAGTTGGTTTTTGAATTAGATATTACAATGTATGTCATTTATAGTTATTGTTCAGAGCAGTTCAGCTAAAATGCTTCTTTTACATCGCAATTTGTCATTTCATACAAAACACAATAAAAAAAATTAATTGAAAAATTGTTGAGATGAACATTACGTAATTTATACTTTTAAGGCTATGGAGGAAGCACATGTGGAAACTGTCATGATACTCGGTGAGGTGTTTAGTGACGACGAAGCTTTTGATTTCGGCCGACAAGATACGACGAAGAGAGTAACAAAATTGGTACCCACCATCCTCAACAACAGATTATGCCCACCCCCAGAAGAAATATACTCACTACACAGAAAATTATCGGGAGTTTTTCTCCTTTGTGCCAAGCTCAAAGTCAGAATATCATGTAGACCAATGTTCATGCAAATATACAACAATTACAATTTTGAACCGATTGTTGAGTGACATAGATTTTTTGTTTGTTTTTAATTATAGGAAAAATATATAAAGTAATGTGTAATAGATAAATGAAATTAAGAAGAAGAAAAAAAAAACAAAAAACAATGCATTGTCTCTTTACATTATAATATTTGTACATTGATTAAACAAACTTCTTTCCAGTGTTTTACTGTTTTCTCTCCTTCATCCACTTTTCATTGCTTACAATAAAAAATGTTTAAAAGAATGCGTTAAGTCCTCCAATTTTTTATTTTAGTAATTCTTTATAAAATAGAACTTGAAATGGTCAAATAGATATAAATACAAATAATGTCAAATATCAAAAATATTCTATGACTAGCAAATTTATGGCTGATATTTTTCTACTGGGTCTGCAGGGTGATGAACCCCCGAGGTAGTCAGCCCTAAAAGATTCAAAATAAGTGAAAAATGACAAAATACAACCTTTGTATAAAATCCTTGACACTAGACTACACTGTAATGAGATGTGCAAAAAATTTGAATATTGAAAACTAGTAATGACAAAATACCTTTTTTTTTTTAATTTATAATATTTACAACATAAATTATAGCAAATTAAGTATACAGTTTGAAACACAAATTAACCTGTCAGTAAAATTTAAAAATCAATATTTTTTTAAAGCTCGTCGTATGAGTGTAAGTCTTTGTTTATGGGCATCAGTGATAGATGATCGCTTGTAAGGCCTTAGTTCATCTGTTCCAAAACCAGGTATCCACATATTCCAATTTCTCTCTGAAAAAATCAAGATTGATATTGATGGATGTATAAAAAATAAATAAAACATCAAATTATTAACAAGATAGGTATGTTTCTTCATTATTTTTATTACAGTATCGATTTCAGGGTGCTGCCTGCTCCTCTTCAGCTTTTTATAAAAGTATTATATTATAAAGGTAGCATGCCAAAATCGGTACTGTAATTTTAAAAAATCAAGATTAATAAAAAAAGATTAATCTCTGTCAAAGGACAAGTTCATTAATTAGAATGCTTAGCAGGTTTGAACAAATAAGTCAATTTCTGTTAACTGATTTCCTAGTTTCATGATTCTAAATATAGAAGAAAGGGTACTCTCAACACGACACACAAGAATGGCACAATTACGCAAAAAACAAACACTTTGAGCCTTGAAGATCTCAATAAAGATCGAAACGTTGGCACGATAAAGAAAATGTTTTTCTGAAACCTACATCACACCAGACCGCATCTCATGATTTCTGAATAAGTATGACACAAAGTTGATTGGTGTCACTAAAGCAGTCTTCAGAGAAGGACATATGAGCCAATTGGGTTTGTGTAATATCAGTTCAATTAGAAGATTATTAGAATGTACAAGTTCAATTCTTTTATGAATTTCTTTTCATAGTGAGGAGGCATGATGAGTGCCTCCAGGTCCTCATCGCTGGTCTTCGTGACTCGGGCTTTCAGGTCGCAGTTGAGGCTCCCCAGCGGGCACCGGATGGGTCTAGTCTCTGGCTGGATGTCGTTGCCACCGGCGAGGATGGGATAGTTATCCTAGACCCAAGGCGGAGAAATATGGGGTACTGAGGGAAGCCCTCATGGAGTTGCACCAAAAACACCACTTTGTAGTAGCTGGTGTTGTAGTGGGGGCAAGAGGATGCATACCTGGGGATACGAAGGCATAAAAGAATTGCTGAGACTACTCCCCACCCTCTCCCTAACGGCCTTGAGGTCTTCGCTGTCCATTGCCTGCAACCGTATGGATTGCGAGTGGAGCTTCTCAGCGACCCATCCAGCGGTACCAGCTGTTGAGCCACCTAAAATGGCGGAACTGGCTTGTTGACGGGACACATGTTTGGACCCGAGGTGCAGACGAAGGAGAGGTCAGTCAATAGGAGATCCATGAAAAACTGGTGAATGGGTAAAGTGATAAAAGATAAAAAGATATTCTAGTCGCACACTCAACGCATGAAAGAATTTTTTTTTTAAACAGCCAGCTCCCTTTAAGATATAGAAGTAGAGTAAATAGATAGCTAGGATTCAAACCCAGAACTACAACGATTATGGATAACACGGTCTCCCATTCACATTATATTGATAAAACCAATATACCTAAGTGTAGTTGAAGATCTTTGACCTCTATTGTGTTAGATTTTCGATGTTTGGCAAGCAAGCAAGCAGCACTTATTGCAGACTCTACAAAGTCATCAGCCATCTGTAATAAAACATCTTCTACCTCCTCATCTAATTGCTCATTGGGGTCAACCTCACGAACTAAATCTTGAAGTTTTGACCTTGTAATCATCTTAAAAAAAAAAAAAAAATAAAAAATTAATTTCATGTTATTAAATTTTATACAATTGATCACAGACTTGAGTGGGCTCCTGTGTTTTGATACAGTTTGCATTGACATTTGTTGTTATTGTCTGAGGAATTTGCTGACTAGCAACTAGAGTGTTAGGAGAACCTGTGACAATGGTGTGCCCGGTGCCAGCTGAAAGTGCATGCACGGCTCCTGAGGACACAGTGTGTGTTGTCCCCGTGGAGAATGTCTGTGCATTCCCTGTCGAGATTGTGTGTGCCACTGACAGTGGAATTGCAGAGCCATTGTTCAGTGAAGGGTTGATGCCGGTTGTAAGAACCGTCTGCAAGGCGCCCATGACTGGCAAAGAATTCACAACTGTCGGCTGCGTCTGCTGCTGTGATTGAGACTGTGAGTGCGAAGGAGGCTGTTGCAAGGCTTGTTGCAGTTGTAATTGCTGTTGTTGCAATTGTTGAGCTAAATGCTGTTGCTGCAGCTGTTGTTGAAGCTGCTGTTGTTGTTGTTGAAGTTGCTGCTGCTGCTGCATTTGTTGTAACTGTTGATGTTGTTGAGACATTATTTCACTGCTTGAAGAAACCGTAGGAGAGGGTGTTCCCTAAAAGTATAAATTTTTCAACGTAAAATGAGAAAATAGAGAAAACAAAAATCTATAAACTAAATGCTTAATAAATGTGGCTTGGAACGTATAGACTTAATAAATATGAATAAAGTATAAACATTTAATTCTTTACCTAATTATTTACTTTTCTAATTACAAGATTCACAGTGATGTTAATACACCAATAGTAGAGTTTAAAAAAATCAATTATGTGAAATGGTCGTGTACATAACCTTGTATATTGTATATTAAAAATAAGATTTTAGTTTACAATATTAAAATATCAGTTACAGCTAAATATGTTTAAAAAAACACTAAATGATAGCAACTAAAGCCAAAATTCATCAAGCCTTCTTTTAAATGAATATTAAAAATAAGATCCAATTCCATGCCACAATGGTTTAAGTGTATTATTGCAATGTCACTAGAATGTAAACAAAGAAATTAGCCATGCAAAGCACACACATGATATGAACCAATCGATCATATAAAATAGCATTGAAATATTTCATGACAGCTATCAACCAGAATAGCGCGTAACATCATAAGCACAAGTTAAAACTGAGAGTCCAAGAATAGATCTGATGAAGGTACTTTTGGACACAGGAAAATATCTCTTGCAGGCCATGTTTTGTTGTGGAGTCTGGTTTTTTTTACTTTTGTACTTTCTGTTCAATATGATTTTATAGTTGGTAAGACATCTATGTTATTCAATTAACAAAAATTACACTTTAATTAGTTTTGTTTTTAGAGATAAATTGCTGTACCATCAATAGTAATGTTTTACAAACTTAACGACCGAGGTTGGATTCCAGGTGCTTTCAATAGCAAGGTATAATTCAGCACGTGATGCTTCCAGTTCCAACATCCAAACGCATTCACACTCTCACTCATTCTTAAATATATTCTATTCTATTTACATACCATTTACTCAATTAGGGTGGTGGAGTACTCGACATTCCTCCTTTACACCTATTATATAATTAACCTAATTGAGGGTTGATGGGGAACTCAATATTCCACCGTCAGGCCTCTCACATATTCATGACAATAAATACATTCACTTTCAACACATGCTAAGTACACAAAACTATCAGTACTATATACAATAAAACAACTCTTTTTCCTCCAAAAAATGGTAACAGGAGAACAAGATACTCACTACTGTGCTCAAGCACAATTCTCATATTAGGTGGCATTCCTACACGCTCACTACATGGAGCCAAGGAATTGCGCCCTTTAATTAGGTGAGATACATCGAGCAACCATTCTCTTAATGCCGGCTCTAAATATCAACCTATCCTTAATTGGGTGAGAATGATCTCTCTTCCCAATCAATTCATAAATCCAAACTCACTCATTTCACACTGTCACTCACTCTTAAATACATTCTTTCTAAACTAACCTAACTGAGGTACTCTTATATTCCACTGCTGAACCTCTCACACTACACATTCATGCTAATAAATACACTCATTCTACACACTCACTATGGTATACAACAATATCAGAGTTATATACAAAAAACATGTTTTATCCAAGGATCAGGACCCAGGATACTTGAGGCTGTGTTCAAGATCAATTCTCTTATCAGGTAGAATTACTGGAGCTAAGGAATTTCACTCTTCAATTAATTGGGACATCAAGCAGCCTTTCACTACATGCCAGACACATTTGTGGGCTTTGTCCGAAAAGTAAGTGTCCTAAGGTTTGTCCCAAAAATAGTTGTCTGTTAATTATTAATTATTATTTCAAATTTTTATTCAAAGATAATAACAAAGACCTTACATAAAAGGAATAATTAATTGAAAGAAGTAATTTGATCAATTAGGCCACTAAATATAAATAATAACAAATTTAAATATGAGAATAATTTATAGTTAGTTGAATAGTTGTGTTGTTAAAATACGTTTTATACATCACTACATTTTTTTAAATCAAGGGGTCGCAACATCAGAGGTCATATGAACCCTTGAAGTGCCAGTGTTTTGGAAAAAAAAAAAAAAAAAAGCCCATTTGTAAGTAAGTCAGATTCGAACCTAAGGACAGTGATGAGCACCGTGTCAACACCTAAATTGTTGTGGCTGCCAATACCTCTAAGATTAATTAAGACATTAACACAGTTAAATTGCAAATGGTTCAGAGTTAATCATGTGCCCAAGTCAACTTGACAATTATTAAAAACAATTCAGAACACCATGCAAGCGCATTTTTATGAATGCGGAAACATAAAAACATAAAGATATCAGCCTACTCATCTAGAAAAGTAAAAAAAATAAAATAAATAAAAAGAATATAATTGTAGAAAACTGTATATATACACTGAACTGTTTTCCCCTGAACAATCACATGCCAATTTTATAGTATGTACAGGAAAACTCCAAATGAAAAACTTTGAAATGATGAAAGAAAGCTTGAGACAAAATTGATCTATTCCACATCCCAAAACACAAACAATGTTACCATGAAAATTTGTTTAATACGTTTACAATAATTACAAATCTTTGAAAAAAAAATATATATATAAAAACTATAGCCTGTGTATTTCTATTTATCTGGCACAGCTTTAGTTTTTGATCCACCAGTGCAACAAAAACACATTGTGCACAACACCCCCATTTTGATTTATTTAAAGAATGTGCAATTTCTATTTAACTAAGTCAATCCTTACGTCTTGAAACATGTTCCGGAATTGTGGAAATTTTTCTACATGATGAGGATAAGGCCACATTGAACTCAATCTGGGTGTTTCCTAGATGAATTACAATAAAGTTTTTAATATACTGCTCCATCATAAGGTTATAGCAATGAAACACAAAAATCAAATGCCTTAAAAAATTAAAATTAATGGGAACTGTTTGTTTAAAATTACATAAGGTTTACATTTAGGGTTTACATTCTCATAACCTTTATTCTTGGAGTATAATTTCTGCACACTTCCAACTTATGTCTATAGCTGTGAAATCCTGTAATCCTTTGTGCTCCCTTGAAAGAAGGTTTGGAAATTAAAATTCGTTATGCCAAAGTTTTCTTCCAATTACATTTACAACTTCTTTACTAACAATTTGCATCAGCAGTAAAAATTATTAGCTTGCAGTACAATTTTAATCATGAATAATCTAAATCTTGTATGATCTGGATGAAAAACCAAATTAAATTGTTATCTGAGCTTTCAACCTATTTGAAGGCCATCATCAGGCAAAACAATCTTAAAGAGTGTACAAATTGACATAATTAAGTTTTTAATATATGGAGTCAAATTTCTTTTACTCAATCCCAACATTGCTAAGGACTATTGCCCAGTGTCTATCTTCAAAGAAATTTGAAACAATCTATTTAAAAATTAACTATGTCAATTTGTACACATTTTTAAGATTGTGTAATTAAAAAAATAGTAAAAAAAATATAGTTAACATCCACAACAAAAAAATAAATAAATAAATTAAGGATGAATTTTAACAACAGAGCATAAGAATCATTGGAAACATTAACAACAATGAAATAAACTATGCAAAAATGAATAGGGAAATTTGTAATTTATTCTTATTCGATCAATATTAAATAAATTCACCAATATATTCCTGTAAAAAAAAAAAAAAAAAAAAAAAAAAACATTGTTAATCCTCATTTTTAATAATGGATTTACTTAAGAATAGTACACATGAAGATTACTCATTTTGTAAACAAATACCTTTTCTAGTCTTTTCTTCATTTTAATCCAGTTTTATTCTCTTTAATCATGGGAAGACATCTTGAACCAGACGTTCGCCATATTATTGTGAAATGAGTCACCGAGGTCACTGGCAAGTGATATTGCCGAGGCTGTTGGCGTGTCTCAGAGCGTGGTCTCCCAGTATTTAGTCCGAATCTGAAAAACTGGAAATGCCAATAGGAGGCCTGGTAGTAGATATCAGTGCATTATGACGCTATAGTGTCTTTATTGTGATAGCAGAAGAAACTTGAACTCCCAGACAGAAACATGACTCATCAGTAAACATAACAGCATTCCAATTGTCGTTCTCTTCTAGGCACTCCCTGCACCATGTTCTCCTGAGTTGCTGCAGATAATCTCAAAGGGGCATATGTGAGACCAACTGTTGATAAAGGCATTGCCAAAACATTTTATACTTCATTTAAGATCTGGCGGGCACTATGGAAAGGGTTACCTCTTGCAGCAATGACAATATTTCTGTCTTCCCTTAACATTGTAATGCACTGATATCCACTACCAGGGGCATTCTTCCACTACTAAAGTACTTCCAGTCTCTCGGAATCAGGCTAAAGCCCGGGAGACCACGCTCTGAGAGTAACTGCNCACTTGCCAGTGACCTCGATGACTTATTCCCACAATAATATTGCAAATTTCGGTTTGAAGATGATGTCTTTCCCTGGTTAAAGAGAATATAACTAGATTAAAATGGAGAAAAGACAAGAAAAGGCGTTTGTTTACAAAATGAGTAATCTTCTTGTTACTATTTTTAACTAAATCCATTATTAAAATTTTTGTTTTGTATTTTCTATTTTGATTTATCCAACTAACAAGAATATATAGGTTAATTTAATTGAATAAGAATGAATTACAAATATCCCTATTCATTTATGCACAGTTTACTAAATGATGGTACATTCGATCCACTGAATCCAATAAACCCAGTTTTAATATTAAGACATAGATGGTTTTCTACAAAAACCATGCCTCCAAAGATCAAAAGGGCAACATGACAGATATTGAAATACTCTCTGACTCAAGCAGTCTTTACTGTCGGAAATCGTACTGTCGTTCACTACAGGAACTCAACATTAATAGATCATGCCTCAACACAAAACAGGATAATTGGCAATGTCCAACTAAACAATTGACAAGATAGAGAAACTAAAGTGATAAATTAGAGAAATATATATTTAGATACAAGTAAAATTTAAAAAGCTGTAAAAAAAAGCATTTTAGAAAATTAAATTATAATTATATCATGCAAGAAAAATATATATTGACTTAGTGAAAAGAAAGTTTTACTTGTTTGTTATAAATTCATACCACATATTTGTTTAAATCTCCATCGGTGTTTTGTTGGGAATTATGATTTTCCATTTAAAAAAAAGCTAGAATAAGAATATAAAAAGAATTAATTAATAAAAGTGTCACAGACTTATCTATCGTTGTATTTATCAAGAATGTACAAACAGTAACTGCAGAAAATCCTTTTGCTATGTACTACAAATTTAATTAAATCAAAACAAGACACATTGAAAAACTACATTATTTTATTATCTTTTTTAATTCGACAATTAATGTAAAATAATTTAATACAGTAGATTCCAGATTTGACAATTGTGTGACTTTTCTTAACGAAACCTTGTCAACAGTTTTGCCATTTAGGTGTCTGACATGTATGAAAAATTCAATAATAGACTACTTTCATAATAAAAATTAATGAATGGTTTATAAAAGCACTGTACTTATAACTGTAACATGCTGCATTTTGAAATACAGTAGACTCTCATTACAAGTATTTTAGATTTAGCTTTCGTCTTTTTGTGAAAGGTATTGAATGTTCTTAGGGCTAACATTTTAAACTCATTTTCTTACCCCATCGTTCTACAACATTTAGGGCATTTTGCAGATTCAACACAGTATCATCAAATTTTCTATTTATAATTGTTATCTGGTTATCTACTTTTATTCTAAGTAATTAAGAACTGTTTTAGGTAATCTACTACTAGTAACCATAGATGCCAAGATAGTACCCCTCATTGGGGGCATCCTTGGGTAAGTGAAATCTATGTAGTCTGATGACCCTGCTGAGCGCTTCAACTTCTTAACCATTGTTGAATGGTTACTATCTTTTATTCCACGGTTGCCCCCCAATTGAGTTCTAGAGGAGAGTGTGATGTGATGAATCACAGAAAAACAACTGAGCGTAACATGTTGCAACCATTGTCATACTGTTCATAAGTTCACACAGAACATTGATGATAGGCACATGTGTTACAGAAAGTGTCTGATTGGTATGCCGATAGAAGAAAATGCTTTGAAGTCTAAAATTCGACTAATAGGTGTCTCCTATTATTTCGCAGTTCTTGTTATCCTACTTTAACTTAAATGATTTAAAGCAAACCCCTCAAAAACTAAATTAATTGTATTAACAAAGAAAAGAAACACAGAAATACAAGGCCTTTGGCTATAACATAATAAAAAGTAAAATATCATCAATGCCCACAGAAAGAATACTTGGCAAATCTTTTGACTAAAATGGAAAATGGACCATTGGCTATATATGAGAGTATAAGATCCAAAAATAACCTATGGATCACTAATCTGGACAACAGACTGACCAACAGCCAAAAAAGGGACATCCCCGTGGTACCAGAACCACAGGTACAGTGGAGTGTGCTTAAGTTGGAACTTAAAAAATCACTGGAGAAGAACTCAAGCACTGGGTAAGGATTATAAATCTTTTAAAAAGGAAAGCGAAGGAACTCCTCTCTCTAAAAATTGTAGGCCTTTACCGGCCTCTGTCCTCTTACCTATCATCTAATGAAGATGGGCAGAGCAGAGACAGAAACTCTGCCAGCAGAAACCTGAGACACTGGCACTTATCCTTTATGAACGTGAAGTGTTGACCCAGTTACGGTACATCCACTTCGGTAGGCAATTTCTCACACCAAATGAGGTCAAAGGTGAATAGACACCAAGAGGCTTAGTCTTCTTATAGGAAAAAGTCCACTTTCCAAGACATGGCTATAATTTATAGGGGTTCCACAATAGATCTATTTAGGTGGCAGTGAAGCAAAGGATTGTCTTAATTATAAATAAATTTTTAAAAAACCTGGTGGATAAAAGCTCGTCAGAAACAAACTTACCAAATGTTAGGCAGCATACAAAGATTGTCAAACACCAAATACCTCAGGAGTAATGAAAACAGCCCCCTCAATTGCCCTAGAAACTCTACCTCCATTGAAAACATTTATACAAAAAGAAGCTAGTTAATGCTGATTTTGGATTGAAAACAATCAACTGGTCAGGAACTAAACTCTTTGAACACACACAATAATTAATAAAATTAAATACCCATTCTTAAAAATAGGTACTGACTATATGATCCCAGAAACACTCTTTACAACATCCTGTACAATCTCAACAGACCACAAAACAGAAAAATAAATCCTCAGATTCAGAAATCTCTGTGTGTGGAAACAGAAACTACAGAAAAAACTATACCTCAGCTGCAGCAATGAGTTTCACAATTGTTCATCACAATTGGCAGTAATTTGAGAGCTCACACTTGCAAAATCCATATTCGCTGTTTCTGCTCAAGCTAGGTGGTTGGGCAAATCTTGTGTACACATAGGCACTCTATTTGGCAAACGCTGACTGCAAATGTTCAGCGGCAATCGGCATTCAGTGCATACTGCATGTCTGGAGCCACCTTTAGAAGAAGGATTGAGTCGTTTGCACTGAACTAAGGAACTAGGAAAATACAATAAGCCAGAAAGCTGGGGAGCGTAAACCCCCAATTTTCTAGTATCCATCATCATCTCGTTATCCATAGAGATGCTCGGTACTCCCCTGTGGATTACCACAGTCTACTGTACATATATCGTAAATATTTGATAAAAGCGTTTATCAACGCAAATTAAACATTTTAATTTACTCGAACGACAAAACCAGCAGGTAGTCATAACAGGTCAAAATAAAAACGACGAACTTTTAGTAGTAGTAATTTCAACATTGTCAAATATGAAATATCTTAGCTTTTGTCTTTGAAAAAGTGTTCGTCGACTGCATGTAAACGTTTAGAAAAAAACTACTTAAATTAAGATTTCATTAAATTGTTTTAATTCTTTTGATATAATTGCCGTTTAAAAATATAATAAAATTTAAGGGATTGAAAATAAAAGCAGGGAGATCATTTTAAAAGCAAGTAAGGATAATCTGAGGTCACTTACGATCGGGAATAAAACAATATTTTTAAAAAAATCCAAAACTTTACACTCCAAACCTGAATTTCGATCCGGTTTGTAGGTCTTGTTTGAGTTTTGGTTTTTCGTTTCTGGTTTGAGAGACCTAGAACGGAGAATTTTCTTTCCGCCGGGAGAACCGATTGTGAACGATCAGTGGCCAGGACCCCAATGGTCGAAAGTCGAATGGTGACTGTTTTCCTCTCATAAACCTCCCCGTCGTTTACGACGCCGCCTTTCTCGATTTGTCTACACTTTCGACCAGACCGCATCGTAACGACCGTTGTAAAATCGACGACGAAAAGCCCCATCGTTTGCCTTTTCGGGCAATTGAAAAAAAAACAACAAAAAACAGAGAATTAATAATATTATAAAAAATAGGAAATTTGACAACAATTTACCCCGTTGGAGCATCGATAATTCGATACTCTCGAAGTTTACGAGGTTTCATTTTTGTTTATTTATCAATCTGGTATCTAATTATTGTTCCCAACATCAAAAAATAAATAAAACATTTGTAAGTATAGTATTCATTAAATCACGCATGGAAATATATACTGACAATAGAATAAATCGTGTAATTTAATTTTAAACAATAAGCAATAAACCAAAAACAATTTTATTTATTTCTTGTTTTAAGGTACAAATATGGCTTCAAGTCTCGTACATGAACATATTTTAGGAATAAATTTAGTTCTATAAACATAGTAAAATAATAATAATGTGTGGTGATTATTAGTAACTGTTAATTGATAATTATTCCGAAATCATGAGATGCGGTCGGTCTGGTGTGATGTAGGTTTCAGTAAAACATTTTAAAATTTTTTAAATTAAAACAGCAATATCGCACTGCCACTCAACACGACCCGCAAGAATGGCAAATTACACAGAAGACAAACACTTTGAGGGAGTAGAAATACTTTGATTGATTACAATAAAACATAGATTTTGCATTGTATAAATTCACTTTTTCCACATCCTACATGTATTTGTTAAATGTAAACAATGTTTGTAAATCCCAGGCCCTGAAGATGATCTCAATAAAGATCGAAACGTTGGCATGATAAAGAAAATGTTTTTCTGAAACCTACATCACACCAGACCGCATCTTACGATTTCAGAATAATAATAATAATCAAAAATAATATAATTTACAAAACAATAATTGATGTATTAATCCATATATGTTTAGCAGTCATAATTGACTGTATTAATTATTTAAATTAATTATACTTTTTATGTATGGTCTTGGTTGAGATGAAAAAGTTAGTGTCTCGAGCAGGATTTGAACCCACAACCTTCAGCTAATACAACGCTGTTCTAACCATTTGAACTATTGTGAGTTCGATCCACTGACACCTCAACTCATCTCAACCTCTCATCACTCCTCATCTCAACCTGAACCTTTCGAATTTTCCATATTTTCAAATGTCGCATAATCAGGATTTGATTTTTAGCAATAGCTAAGACCAGGACGTCCCAACCTCTTGAACTTCTGTGACTCGGCCCTCTGATATTAAAAATGCAATAAAAACATGATTAAAATAATGTGGTAGTGTTTGTGGATCAGATCAACAGAGAAGCTCTTATGCAAAGAGCACTGTCGATATATGGCCCTGGGAAGATGTAGCTCGTATAAGAGGGTTCACCCTCACATGATTAAGCATAGGCTGGTATATGTCTGACATATACTTGATGTGTCTAATTGAAGAATGCAATTCCTTGGCTCCATATATAGAGGATATAGGAATGCCATCCGATATGAGAATTGTGCTTGAGCACAGCAGCGAGTATCTAGGTCCTCTGTTATGATGTTTGGAAGAAACAGGGTTGTTATATTGCATGTAGTACTGATAGTTTTGTGCACTTAGCATGTGTTGATAATGAACGCATTTATTGGCGTGAATGTTGTAGTGTGAGAAGGCCATTGGCGGAATGAATACCCCATCGACCCTCATTTAGGATAGTTATATATTAGGTGTGATGGGGGAATATTGAGTACTCCGCCATCCTAATTGAGTGAATGGGTTTGGATCTAGGAACTGCATGCCTTAGGTGCTGAATTGTTGACAGCCTCTGAAACCCAACCTTGGTAGCTGGATGGGTATGACCAAGGTCTGACCTCGAACTGCCAACACCCGAGTAGATGATTCTCGAGGCCTACTGGTAATATATTATAAATTACAAAAGTGGAATTGGACTGCTAAGTGTGGTAGGCTGAACCTACACATGTGTGTTTATATTTCCATACATGGCTTTTCTAAAACCAAATCCAAAAATGATAATGACAATAATATGTTCATTAAAATATTAATAATTCATAATCGAATGATGAAACCAATTATGAAAGAAAATCAGAAAGAGAAAAACTGTAAAAGGAAATGGGAAAAAGAAAAGGAAGAGGGAAGAAAAAGGAGATGATTCATATCGTTTTAAAAAATTAAAATTTGCCAAGGACCTGAAACAAGCCAGCGAGGAAGCAGAACATACTTCCCAGGGAAGCAAATTCCATAGACTTACTTGCCCCTACAATCTGAAGGATAAAGAGTTTTGAATATAGAAGGTGGGAGGCTTGGGATTGGTTGGGGTGTTTGGATAAGGAATGTGGAAGAAGTTGATAGATATTGAGGACATTTATTTGATTTAATTGTAAATGTATATATTGAAACTAAGTTTATAAGTGCTTAGAATGCCAAGGTTGTTGAAGACGTTAACACAGGAAGAAATATGATCTCCTGATATATGATCATAACAATATCTAATGCAGGAATGATAAACAATTTGAGGGCGATGAACAGATTGACAGTTTAAGGAAAGTGGAAAAATAAAAAATTAGCGCTTCAGTAAGATGGTATGGTATGGTATGGTAGAAAAAGATACTAGGAAGTGGGGTTTGCACTCCCCGGGCACTGCAGCCTTCTGGCTTATTGTACCTTCCCAGTTCCCTAGTTTAGTCAATAGACTCAATCCTTCTTCTCAGAAGCATCAAGTCATTGNGGTTGGTTTTTGGGGTCTTCCTTTACAGGTTCCCCCGGTGTTTTGTTTTGTACTGTAGGTTTTTCCATGTAGTTCCCACGAGTGAGAGGGATCTAAAGGTCCGCGCCCTCTCTCCGGTGTAAGGCTAATTACTCAAGGGTGTCGCCTGGTGCCCTTGAGGCTCCTTTATTGGCACAGTTACCCCTGTGCCATTCGTCCATCGGCACGGATCGCATAACACCTTGGATTTGGGCTGGAGAGTGGGACTAGGATAGGGTGTAGGGTGGAAAGAGGGGTAAGGTGTTGGGTTTAGGATTAGGAGGTGTCAGGTCCAGCTCCTGTCCCTCCATACCCCTCTTTCCGTTTGTTAGTTAACAGGGTACACCCGCATAAGCTTCGTGAAGGTGGAAAGTCGGAGTTGGGTATTAGAGGCTATTGGAGGCGCATAGTACCATTCGTACCCCGCTTCAGTAAGAGAATAAAGGAAATATCAGGGATTTAATAAGGAGAACTCTTAAGTTTCTGTGGAGTGAAAAAGCTAAGCATCAAAGAGAATAGAGGCTTCAGTAGACCTTTCTAATAATAGAGCTCACGTGATCATGCCATGTGTGCTTGGAGGTAAAAATAATTGTTAACTTTAGGACAAAAATTAATAGTGGAGCCATTGATATGAGGTGGGGAAAGGCAATTATTTATGAATGGGTTTATTGGAAATTAATAAGGACTGGGATTTGTTAGGATTTAAAAGAATGCCGTTATGATTGACCATTGATTGAGAGAACAAAAATAACAGTTAAGCAGAGCTTCTAAGATATTATTTGCAGGACATTGAATAGAAAGCTGAGTTATAGTTATGCTTTGTGGAATGATTGCCGATCGTGCTTTCAGTTCATCATCAATAGTTTGTAGATAAATATAATCCATAAGTATTTATTTAGAAATCGTGATAAATAATAATAAATATAATAATAAATAAATACTAATAAATTGAATAATCCATAAGGATGTTTTTTCACATATTTTTAATCTGGTATGTGTATTTTAAATGGATACGTTTTGTATTTCTTTACCTTTTAAAGGAACTCGATGAATGGACAAAATAAATACTATTTATTAAAAGATTTCTTACTGTAAATACAAAGTACTGAATATTATGAAAAGCATTAATTGTTATGTGTATGTTTAACAAATGGAAATAGAAAATTGAAAAAATGAAGCTGAGGTTCTTCAAATAATTCTGAAGTGGGAAACGTTTTAGAAAAAGAGTAAGAACTAATTTTATTTGATAAATTTTTGTTGTATAATTTTTAATTGGATTAAATTAATTTGAATGATTTTAGACTATGGCAGGTGGAAGGAGAAACTTGAATCGCTCTGGTGCAAGCCGTCAACAGCCTTTGTTTCCTTCTGATGATAAATCTAAGTAAATAAAACAGTCTAGATTGAGAGAATGTCGTGAGTTATTGTTTGTTTCACAAGTAGGGTCAACGGCCAGATGGATGGATCGAAGGTTGTATCGCCCAAGCACATGCCAATGCCCTCTTTGCCACAGGACGGTAATATAACATTTGAAGTTATTATGTTTTTCTTCACGTGTGCAGTAACTTTCCTGCAATTTCTTCATCTTTACCGGTCCGTGTGGTGGCTGCCCAATTCGTACACTAAATTTGCAATGGTGAAAACTATAAGTTCAATGTCAAAAATAAAAACAAAATTTTTTTAAAAACTATATTTCACCATTTTGCAGAATTTTTACCTTATTGATCCATATATTGTGGCTTTCATATTGACCATACTGACAAGGAGGATTCTGTACACGGTTCTGCGACGACTTCTTCTCGTTTGGACTCCCACACACACTTGGCCACTTGTGGAACATATTTTAAGGTTCTATTTTTGTTATTTTTTTTCCAATTGATTTTATGATTAGCAGATATTTCCAGACTTGTCCTTCTTTCACTGGTAGCCAGTATCCTGGTCTGGTGCACTTATTACATCATGCGGAATCACAGATTTGTGAAGATCTTTTATCTTTGTTATCCGTAAGTTGTTCTTACATTTCATGCTAACATTTAGGAATATATGCCTTGAATCAGGTGGAGAGATTCACGTTTTTTGTTTATGTTTTAGTATTTCAATTTATACAACTTTATTCGGACTGGATGTAAATCCATTTTTTGATGTGATGGCATTGCCCTCTGATTTGTGCAATTATAAAAATCGATTGATAGGTAACTTTAACCAATTTTTTGTTTGTTTCAATCCTAGAATATGTTTTGACTGTATGTAAAACCTTGTAGGTAAACCTTTTCATAGCTGTTCTTCTATACCACAAGCTATACGAGAAGAAGTTGAGACCCTCAAAACTGATTTCAACAACAGACTAAAACAGATATTGTTTAGCTCAATGTTGAATGCTTATTATGCTGGTTTTGTGCCGTGCTGTTTTGCTCAGGTTTGTATTGAAATTTCTGTGTGTCATTACTTTTTTTTCATGCTGAACTGGCATTGGGTCTCTTATTGGGTCCAAATTTACTCACAGTTTGTTGAACTATTCAAATGTGTTTCAGCATTGCACCATCTTCAGTGAGGTACCAACTATCTGTCACTTTGTCGGTCGTGAGTAGTTCAACAAATCTATGAGTGACCCAGTGTCAGTTCAGCATGAGTTTACCGTCCTGCTGATCACATCCAGCATCAACGTGTTACTTTTTTTGTGTAAATTGATTTTTGTAGTGATTGTTAAGAATTATTGATTTTGGATTTGTTTAATAAAATATTGTATTTTAATGTAACTTGTGATAACCATTGAATATGATTGTGGTGTTTCGTATCGGTGGTGATGGGAATATCGGTCCATGGTTGTTTTGTAAAAAAAATATTTGCCAAGATTTGAGGTCGTTTTCTTTCCAAAAAAACCATTGACCAATATTCCCATCACCACCGATACGAACATCACAACTAAAATATTGTACATATATCAAATTCACTAAATTATAATGGAAATACAGGCATACAGGAGGCTGTGCCGAAACGTAGTTTTACTCGCCTCATACCCTGCCTCTTTGCAGGGAATGATCAAGTCTTTACAACAGTACTGCCTCAGATGGAATTTAAGAATAAATCTAAATAAATCTAAGATTGTTCAGAAATGGGGGTAGACCTGCGAAGAGTGAGAGGTGGTATTTAGAAACTGAGGAGATGGTGAATGAGTATAGGTATTTGGGAATCTGACTTACGCCGGTACTGTCAATGAACAAACATTACGGATGCGGTGGGTAGAGCAAGGATGGGACTAAATTCTGTCTGGAGACCTCTTATAGACAACAGCAATATTGTGTACCCGACTAAGCTAAGAATATTTAACACAGTCAGCAGGTCTATTTTATGCTAAGGAGCTCAGGTTTGGGGAGGAGATGTTTGAACAGGTAGAGGGGTTTCTAAGGTTCTTCATTGGGAGGCTGTTCAGACTGCCTCAGTACACCCCCACAAGCTGAGGCGGGTCTCCTGCCGATTTTTCTCTACACTATAAAACTTCAATTTGATTACATAATAAGAATTTTATCCCTACCAGATAATAGACTCCCGAAGATCTTTGCGAAACAGATTGTAGATAAAGAAATGTATTGGTTTAAGGAAATAAAAAATTTAATTTCCTTAGACCAGAACAATATCGACAGAGTTGAACTGGAGGGATGGTTTGAGACTAGTTAGACGGTCCATTTATGACAATATAAAGAGAAATATTACACAGCTATGACCAATTCAGACAGTTTCCCACTCCACGAGAGCTTCTATTCATATCCCCAAATTATCTAATGGATCTCTCGCTACCCTTAGATAGCATGTGGTGGATAATTAAGTGTTGGGGGGATCTGTTTAACTTAAACTACAAACACTTCAAGCAGCAGGATATTAACTGTGAAGAGTACAGAGAGGGAGGATTTGTTCTATTTGGCAACTTGCCCTGCACTGGCCACTGCCAGGAAACAATATTTTGGTAGGGAAACTCTGTCTAGTGAGATTCTGCTAGAATATATTAATGGCAAGGATTGGACTGTGTTGGTAAATTTCTGCAAAGAGGCTTATTCTCTTAGAGCCAGAATCAGAGGCACCTGGTGAGGGTGGAAGCGGCTTCTTTTGTTGGATTCCCCTGAATATGTGAAAAGCTCATCTTCGACCTGAATATTGTATCTAAAACATTTATTATTTGTTTTGTTTTTCACTATTATCTCTTGTGGTAGATAATGTACTTCATTATTATTTATTTTTACTTTTATTATTCCATTTACTTTACTTCAGTTTATTTTATTATTGAGTTATGTGCATTATAGGTAATCATAAATAAGAGATGTATATATTTGCAATCATGTTTCAGCTATTATTATATAATTATGTTCTAATATTAAATTACGGAAATTTTTTAAGAAAGTACATATTCCTTTTGTAAATATTAATTATAATTACTTGTAAATACTAAGAAGAGAGATTTTAGCTACATAAGTTTATGTGCTAGACTCCCTCAGACGGTTTTAAACCATGAGGAACGTCTTTCTTGCTCTGTAAATTTTGCTGATTTGTAAATTTTGTATATATATTAAAGAATAAAGACATATAGTATTATTAGTAATGGAAATACATCTAGGCGAAGAAATAATAAAATCTAAATAATTGTTTCAGAGTTATTTATATTATGATGTTTATTGGACAACACAGCACTTCACATTTGTGTGGATTAGCTGTTTTACAATGTACATAGTTCATTGTTATCCATTGAGGTATTGATGCTTTAATTAATAACACTTTGTGTATGTTAATAATTTTTGTATAATTTCAGCTATTGTGATACATTACATCGAGCAGCACTTCATCTCGGGAAATGGGGCAAGATCGAGGGAAGAACATGTCATCTACCTTCTCACATGTAAAATATTTATACTAGTATACAGTCATCCTATGAAAATAATTTTTCAGAAACTAATAATGATAATATGCACTATGAGTGACCAAGAAAATATGTACAATGGAACCTCCATTATCCGGGTATTCATGTATATTTATACACATATGTACTATGTATACATGTTTATATTTCATGTAGTAACAAGTCACCGATTTGGAGAACACTATGCTTTGTCTTGTTCCTATGAAACTCCCACTGGTCTGTTCACATTGAGTTAAAATTAATTTACCTAGTTCTGCTTCGTTCTTCATTGAGACAAGTCCAAAATATTACAAAAAAGAAAACGTGTTGTTGTCATGATAAAACAAAAATTGGAAATTAATACATGTGGGTAAGGGTGAAAATGTGAAAAAATTAGCCACAGAATTTGGAGTTGGTGAACCAACTGTTTGAAATATTATGAAGAAAAAAAATACGCTTGACATAATTGACATGACTTACGTACATAGTAAATTACATAATCATTAACTTTTTGTTTTAGCTCAAACAATTTTTTTTTAAATTGGAAAAAAGAATCTTAAAGATGTTTGAATAATTTATTCACTTCAATTTTTATATTATTTAACATTCACTTTTAAGAAGTTTTTCCAGTGGTCAGTGTTATGTCAATGTATTCTCAAAACTATTCACTTTTTTTATTAATTTTTTGCATTCAATTTTTTGTTTGTTTAGGGAATTTACACTCATCAGCAACCTCTCCATTTTCTTATTAGAAAAATATAAATAATAATAATTTTTCATTGTTTTTAAAATAAAAATATATATAAAATTAAAATTTTTTTGAGGACTTTTTTTGTTTTATTTAAATTAAAACATGGAATTTACACAAATCAGCTTCTTATATTGTATTAAATTTATACTTTATTAATATCCAATACAAATACATATTACAATATGGATATTAATAAATTATAAATTGAATAAAATGTAAGATGTAGATGTTGATGATGGGCTAAATTCCCAAGATGTCCAAAAGTAATATATTTACTTTATTTTGTTTTTACTTACTGTATACTTTATTTTGTTTTTATATATTTAATTTACTTTATTTATTTGTATTGCTATATTTTCAGTTGGGTGGATTCAACTTTATGGCAGCAAGGAGTGTTTGTTAGGCATTGCAAAGAGCTGTATAAATCTGTTGGTATTTCAAATGCAGCTGAGCCCGGAAACAACACGCACAACCGATTTTATGTAATTCCTACATGCAGTAGATTAAGGTTGCTGGAGCTTGACAAATGATTTGTTTTCAGTCACTATTCATCAACCCATCAGTACTGCTGTGTTCATTGGTCGCATTCCAGCTTTCACTAGTCATCCTTCAGTTGGCTATTCTTATCCGCACATCCGAGTGGTATCAACTGATTTCTCTTTCAATACTTATTTTTGTTAATTACTACACACTCTTCAAGCTTGGCCGAGACTATCTTATTTGCTGGAGGCTGTACGCTGCTGAAGCCATGATCCAAGACAAGTCAAATGACATTTGTGTCAAATACAAGACTGGTTAAAATTAGGTTAAGCATTTTAAAAAGTTTTTTTTTTTTTTTTTTTTTTTTTTTTTTTAAATTTCATTTTACCTTATTAAATGACAAAGGCTTTAACTTTTTTAGTAACATTTTTTAATTTTATTTTAGAAACAAATCTTCAAAATCTTCAAATGCCTTGCAGTGTCAAAGGATAATGACGAAGGCTGTTACTTGACTGAAATAAGTTTCCAAAACTGAAGGAATTAAATTTGTGTTCTTGTTGAAACGTTCTGTTCTAAGTGAATGCTTTTAGCTTATTATTATGATCTTCATGTAAGGGAAAATGTACTTTTACTTGATTGTAAATCGATGGAGTGATTGTATTAAATGAACACCTTTTAAATGATTTTGTCGTAATATAAAACCAAGTACCTAAAAAATAACCATCAAAACATTCTTGATGAGAAGAGTTGTATGCGTTTGGGTTGAAACCTTGTGTCATACATTGTATCTTAATAAATAAATTTAAAAAAAAGTTATGAGAACAAATATTCCATGTAAATGACTTAAAAGGGGTTAATAATAATTTTCTTTTGCTACAACCCTTTACTTCTTGATATGTAAAATAATACAAATGACAAATTTAAATTCGAGTAGTAGAAGTAATTATTTCGAACACCCTTTGTAATTCCTTTGCATGCAAACATCATGTATACATTCCATGCAGCATGGAGAAATAATCAATTTGAAATTAGAATTTTGATTAGGTAGTTAGACAATTATTTATCCATGTGATATTTTAATCTCAAAAATTTTAGACAAGGACATCCTTGCCGCATGTGAATTATTTGTACAGTATAAAGAAGCTGTGGTAACAGATTTCAATCAATGTAAATTATATAGAAATAAACAAAATAAAATAGTCCAATTTCATTTTTTACATTATTCACAATAATGGGAACAATGTAACATTGCTCGTATTATTTATTTTATTTTTTTAATGCAAAGTATAGATGAACTGAAAAATTTGTAGAAATGGTGAATGATGGAGTGAGTGCTGTGTTCAATCCTTTAAAAAAAAAGATAGTTCTTACTCACATTAAGTTGTTTTTCGCGGCATGGCTACACATGGTTTATGGCTATAAAGCCAATACAAAAACAAAAAAAGTTGTTTTTTACGTTCCGGATTACGAGCTCTTAGCTCATCATCAGGTTGAAGGATTTCTTCAACCAAGACTCTTGACATGTATTGCAAAAGTGAACCCGCTGATACCCCCGCCAACGCGACGTCCCAATGAGAAGCTGGTTTTTTAATGACGCTCAATTTGAACGTGCGAAAAGCAGGAATTATAACACAAGTAAATATTATTGTTCGGGCGCACTCCGTCAGCGAAGCGCCTGATTTGTGAGGTACACTGTATCCCTCTATCAACAACCCATATCATCTCCAAATCCCCCAATCACAACACACTTCCCTCCTTTCCCTCAAAAATTCGTCCCTTCCAGCCTTTTTGGATCTCTTCTGCGCCAGGCCGCCAGCTCTCGGAGCGAGCACACCTTCTGTCGCCCTATCTCCTCAAAGTGTTGCGCCATAGTATTTAACCACCTTGTAAGATCGCCCGGCTATTGCTTTTCTATGCACATTTATCGCCACGCGAATGTCCGCGTATTGACATTAGAATCAATCATCCTTACCTCCGTGTGCATCCCATCTCCCGACCATGGCCCCAAATCTATCATTGCCATAATATCTCATCTCCCTTTATCCATCTACTATAATCATAATCCCACGAACGAATCCAGCATCATTATCCCCGAAGACTACATCATCTCACTTGCATCGCCACCTGGATTCCATCATCTCATCACCATTGCCACTTGGATTTCATCATCATCATCATCATCATCATCGACGCTGTAGGAACCAGGCCGGTGCACTGGCGTAGTCATCGCCGAAGCCGAACAATGCGCGATATCGCGTTCGGAGACATTCACCACTTTCCGGCCTTCATCGCCTTCAGAGGGATTCATCGCCTTTAGACCGTCATCGCCTTCTCTCATCGGCCATCTTGTAAGCCATAGAAATTTCATTAAACAGTGAGTCTTCAATTACTCCTTTCGTTCATTATTTATTCCTTCATTTAATTCTTCGTAAACTAACATCTATTCAATCAGGAATCTTCCATTGCCGTTGGTGCCGAAACAATATTCATATTAATTTAAACTTCTATCTCCGGCGGTGTTCGTCGGCGCCATTTTGTATTTGGCTGCTGGCGAACAATTATAATGGTAAATACTGTAAGAAATTGTGACGAGCGGTTTCCCCGAGCGCGGCTCGCGGCTCGCGGTTCGGATACCGTCGCTCTCTAGGGCGTTCGGAGGGGGTAGCGAGCTACTCCACTCTAAGCCCGTCAAGCCTTTTTGGGGTAAGATGTGCCAGGTTGCCCGGGCTCGACGGGTGAACACCCTTTTCTTATTTGCTGTTAGTTCAGGCCAAGGAGGTTTGGGGAAAAGACACAAGAATTGGGACCAAACAATCAAGTCCCTTTATTGTTGTGACTAAACAATTCCCAATATGTACAAACAAAAATAGTGTATAATTCAGAGACAACCCTATTACTGGACAATTATTTCTAGATACTTATAACTAGTGCTCTTACTACTAGGGGCTTAATTGTTGGGATAGCCGTATTAAAAGTAGCCGAAACCGCCCACTGTTCTCCAAATCTCCCGCCCACCAATTGACAACAGTTTGTACTCACAGGATCCTGACGGATAGTCGGCGCGGATTCTACGAACTAGGTTGCTTCGACGTTTCACCCGGCGTCTCCCTCGACGTTCCTCCAGGCGTCTCTCTCGACGCTCCTCCCGGCGTCTCTCTCGACGCTCCTCCCGGCGTCCCTCTCGACGTTCCTCCCGGCGTCTCTCTCGACGTTCCTCCAGGCTTCTCTTTCGACGTTCCTCCCGGCGTCTCTTTCGACGTTCCTCCCGGCGTCTCTCTCGACGTTCCTCCCGGCGTCTCTCTCGACGTTCCTCCAGGCGTTTCTCTCGATGTTCCTCCCGGCGTCTCTCTCGACGCTTCTCCCGGCGTCTCTCTCGACGCTCCTCCCGGCGTCTCTCTCAACGCTATTCTGGGCGTCTCTCTCGACGTTCCTCCAGGCGGCTCTATCTCGACGTTCCTCCCGGCGTCTCTCTCGACGTTCCTCTCGGCGTCTCTCTCGACGCTATTCTGGGCGTCTCTCTCGACGTTCCTCCAGGCGTCTCTCTCGAACTCTGGGCGTCTCTGTCGACGTTCCTCCCGGCGTCTCTCTCGACGCTACTCGGGGCGTCTCTCTCGACGTTCCTCCCGGCGTCTCTTTCGACGTTCCTCTGGGCGTCTCTCTCGACGTTCCTCTGGGCGTCTCTCTCGACGTTCCTCCAGGCGTCTCTCTCGACGTTCTTACCGGCGTCTCTATCTCGACGCTACTCTGGGCGTCTCTCTCGGCGCTACTCTGGGCGTCTCTCTCGACGTTCCTCTGGGCGTCTCTCTCGACGTTCCTCCAGGCGTCTCTTTCGACGTTCCTCCCGGCGTCTCTCTCGACGTTCTTCCCGGCGTCTCTCTCGACGCTAGTCCTACGGTCCGCCGGGGCCGCCCCGACCGTGACAGCACTCCGCTTACCGCCTCTCTCTTCAATTCCTGGCCGTCTCCATGGAATTCTCTCAACTGCGGACTCCCAGACTCGGACTGCAGTCTACCCCGAACTCTACTCGGACTCAACCCGTATTCTCTCGGATTCTACTCTCTACTACTCACTACTGATTGTCCCGTTGACACTGGACAAGACTGATTTCGGATAAGTGCCATATGGGATTTTTGAGATCGGTGTGTATTTCGTTTTGTTTATATCATAATTCACAAAGATTAATATACACACCATGCGCAGCCCTCTGAGAAGTCTGCCACTGTCTCACCACTAAGGTCTTGTTGACGTTAAATTATAACGTCACGACGTCACGTAACTTGACGCCAACTTATTTTGATTGCATATTCAAGTATATTTACTTAGAAAAACAGACTGAAATATCTAAGATAACCCATATAAAACAGGTTTCAGCAACAGTAGATGCACAAGGGGAATTCTAGAAAATAATGGAGAAATTGTCTAAGTTGAATCTAAGGAGCCAAAAGAAATCAATTTAGCTCAGATTCATAAGTTGTTTGTCTTAGAGAATTCTCGTGGTAGAGAAAATGGATAGAACTCTTTGAGAAAGAATACTGTAGACAAGGACTTCAAACTTGAAAAGCGAAATTTCAAACCATACGTTTACTTTTGGAAGGAAATTCGTCAGAATGGTGCAGATCGACTCTGTCAATTAACTTTGCAAGGAACTTGAACAGATAGACGTGATTCTTTTCTTCAGACGTGGCATTCAGTACAATATGTTTATAATGTTAGATATATAAAAGGTTCTGCTAGACTATGCACTAAAAAAGGAAAGGTTGTTACTAGAAACTCAGCAATCTCGGTTGTATCGCGTATCAATCATACTGTTGTGAGCCTTCCATTTTATATTCAATATCGCTTTGATAAAGAAGAAATAACCACAACTTAAAAACTTATGAATAAACTTAATAGATTTACTCAGGTTTATCGAAAATCAAAGAAAGCTGTAAATAAACCAGTCGCTACTTTTAGAAATGCTGACAAGTCATCGAAGATCCATCCTTTGAATATAAAGGCTCCAAATCAAGCGAAAAAAAACACGTCCTATTTGTGAATCATTGGCATACTGGCAGGTATCACTCGATGGAATGGTGATAGGGTTAATCTGGTTAATATTATACATGATCAAGGATTAAGCATGTAACCTACAGGATGAATAAAAAAAGAAGTTACACACCACTAATCAGATTTTGAGTTTACACTAAAGAAGTTAGGGGAATGTATAATAGTGAATCTAATGAGACATCGATTAATTCACGAATTCTAATAAATATTAAATGTAAAATATTCAACAATGAACAAATATTTAAAACGATTAGTGGTGTGAGCAGAAGCTACGAGAAAATAATATCACCGTTTAAAATTCATAAAAAGGAAAAATAAATAGAAGCCTATGTAATCAAGAATGACAATTTTTCCTATAATATACAATATTACAAGGTTTAAAGGTTATTCAGCAATTTCACTTGATTTGAGAGGACGAATTGAAAAAGTTTCGGAAGATAAAATATGTAAATATAGAGAAAATATCCCACAAATCAAATAAAGATATCATTCACATATATTATAATGAACATAATGCAGAAAATGGAGTTCCTAATGAAAAGGAACTCAAACTTTTGAATATGATTAAGAAACATACAAATGCATTTGCAAAAAGTAAATATGGTGTTGGCCAAGTAAAAATCATAAAGCACATATCAATAAATATCTGTCAAAGAAGCCTTATAGGTGTTAAATACCAGACAAAGACCATGACGGGGTCGATCTAGGTCTATAGACGAGAGAGACGATAGATTCATCGTCATCACATTCTACGAAACTGCAGCATTATAGGAAATGAGATAAGAAATCTCATAAGCCAAGTCCTACAGGACTGTAAGAAGAAAGTTCAATGAAAACAATTCAAGGCTCGGCACCCGGCTGGTGGACTCTTCTTACCACATGATGGCATTTCCTTGGAAGCGAGCATCGAATTGGTTGTGCGAGGAAGATCTCTAACTTTACAGAGGTACTTAAAGACATAATTGAAGTACATGTGCCATTTTCTTTCTAATGCAGGATAATGCTAGGCATAACAAAGCATGTATTGTGGATGGCTACCTAAATAAAGTTGGAATTGAGTGCTCTCCTGTGAGCTGGTGTGGCCAGCTCGAAGTCCAGATTTGAACCCAATCAAACACATTTGGCATCAACTTAAGCTACGAGTACGACGGTCAAACCCAGGTACAAACACCCTACAAGGATTGGAAACGGCTGTTAATTTTTTTAAGAATGAGGTAATAAACATTTTCTTTTTAAATGACTTATTTTTACAACCAAACTCAAATATGGTATGAAAAATGTGAATCAGTTAAAATTTAAGTGCGCTAATTTTGTCCATCGGTATATAAGTTGTCTAGTGAATGCTGAAGAGTAAGACAATCTTCTATACTAGAGATGGACTGAAATAATTAGATTGTCTGCAAATAGTAATGAACTTACAGAATGAAGACTGGAAGGAAGGTCACTGATAAAGAGAAGAAACAGAACTGAACCCCAGTTTGATCCCTGAGGAAGTCCTGGTCTTGGTCCCGAGTAGTAAACATCGTTATCTGTTTCGTTTTCAGACCTATAATTTGCTCTTGTTTAAATTATCAAATTTATTCAATTTTGAATTAACCTTAGAATTGTTTTGTGAGTTAATGCGTGATACTCCAAAATAAAGTATGCCAACTGAATCTGACGGATTTAGCCCAGTCCTACAGCGAAAACATTCAGCCATACGCCGTCGCACTGATGAACGGCATGCAGTTCTCAGCTCGTTGAGCCACACGAACTTAATACTCGGAGAGGAGCAGCCCACTAGACCAAAGAGGACTGGACGGAGGCGACGAACATAGCCAAACCAGAGAAAATCGGTGGGCAGTTAATGGGTTTCTCCCTTACAAATCGCCGGGTGTGGATGGGATATTCCCTAGACTACTACAGAAAGAGCGGGAAGTATTAATTGGTCTCTGGTAAGAATCTTTAGGGCCTCCCTAGACTGGAGATACATACCCATTGCATGGAGGAAGTTGAAGGTGGTCTCTTTGCCAAAAGTGGGTAGGGCCACAGATCAAACACCTAGTTCATATAGACCTATCAGTCTAGGGATTGTTTATGCAGAAGACATTAAAGAAACTATAGATAACCAAATTAGGGACACAGCACTGAAAAATAACCCACTCAGTGCTAGGCAATAGGCATATCAAACAGGGAAGTATATCTAAGGCATTAAATGACAAGGAAATAGCCTTGGTATATAAGGTCTTCCATGGACATGAAAGGGGCGTTTAACAATGTCACGACCAAATCTCTGACCTATGCGCTCAGTAAAAAAGGGATCCCAAAATCCCTATGTCAATGGGTGAAAGAACGTCTAGGGAAAAGAATAATTTAATAATCTATCCTGGGCAACACTACAATAAGGGCGAGAACAACCAGAGGGTGTCCTCAAGGTGGTGTTCTGTCACCATTACTGTGGTCAGTATTGGTTGATGATCTCAAAGGCAACTAAAAGGCTATCTGACGAAGGCGTTTTAATTGATATGAGGGTAGTCGTGAATGGATGCTTTGCCAAAGTCATTAAGAGAGGGCACTATATGCACTCAACATAACATCTTCGACCAAAGACTCATGGAATCAACAACTAAACAAAATCACACAAAGAGCAAAGATAGCCACTGACAGTTGGGGACCGAATACAAAGATTAGTTATATATGGCTATACACAGCGGTTGTTAGACCCACGATAGCTACGGATCAGTGGTTTTGTGGACAAACAGCCAGGCGGCACTGAAGGCAATTGCCTCATCGGCAGTAAAGGCAAGAGTTGTTTGGGACTGCATTAGAGACTTAATGAGGAGCTCAAGATAAAAAAAGAATTTCTGATTCACAATAAACTGGTCGCCGTGAGCAGGTCGTAAATAGGTCGATTCCTACATAATCTAATGTAAATTAATCCTACCATGACAAAGTGACGTAGACTTTTTTAATATGTTGTGAAAGGGCCAATTCAAGTGATTTGATGCTGTTTTGAACAGCTTGCCAAGCACTGCCACCCGAGCACTTATGGCTAGTTTTCTTTTCTCTAATTTTGCTGTAAACTTTGTAGTTGACTAAAGCAAGTTCAGTATTGTTTATATATACCATCATGAAGGTAGGTTTTAGTGGAAGCCAATAGATCATATCATCCAAGTGACATCACTGATTTCAATAATTTAGTTTGGTTATCCCATTAACGTTCTGATAGAGAAAGGAAAGATTCAATCTATTTAATGACTTTTTTCTAAAGTACTTTTGTGATATTGTTGAGTCGATATAGTTCTTAAAATCTGTTGATGAACTTAAACTCTGTTGATCAAAACACTAAGTCATTCTCTCTTTCACCTAGTCTCTTGTTTAGGTTGGATCTTAGCAGTCTGAGGTATTCTCTCTCCTTAACAATCATAACTTTTCTAATTCTAACATTTTTAAATGGCATTCATTAAGCATGTTTTGTTATTTCAAAATGCGGAAAACCATGTCTCTATTCTCAAAAATAACTTTGAGAGGTGACATTTTGTTATTAACAGGCTTACCAAGATGAAATGTAGTAGTCACTTTGGAATCATTTCCACCAAGGGCATTAAGAATATTTGAGACCATGTACTTATCCACGGATTTCGTTTCTTCAATATCCGTTCCAGTTGGTTCTGGTATATTGAAGAAGAGTAAATTGTTCTTGATATTACGCTCCTCCATCTTGTAAATTATGTTTTCTTGTATCGGAATTTAATTGTCTCGCAAATACAGCTGTTTTTTGATTACGTAAGCTTTCAATTTGAGATTTGAGAACCAAGATAAGGGATTTTAATGTTGGAGCATCTTTTAATCTTACATTACAGTCTCAACAGAGTAATTTTAAGCATTTCTTTCTTTTTTTTTAAAGTCATGAACCTTGCCTCGGTTGAGGTTAAACCAGAGTACTTGGAGTGGACATTCCGGAGTATCAATCACAAATATATGTACATTCACTATTCAGTCCAGAATAGTTGAATCACAATTAGTGCACAATCTTTCATTCAACATGTTTAGATTAATAAAAAACTTGAAAAAACAGAACAGAGCAAATCCAAAACACACATTGTCAGTACAACAAAATGGGATTAAAATCCCAATTGAAATTTTGTTTGAAATTACAACATACACAATTGGTCTCAAGGAGAAATGAGATTTGTATGTTTGTAAATGGGACATTGAAGAAGGAAACGTTCCAATGTTTCATTTGCATATTTCACACTATGCACATTTCATTACTTTTTAAACATGAGTGTGAACTGGCTTTTTGGTTGAAATGACCCTACAGTGAAACAAGAGAATAATTAAATTTTTAAAAAATTGCGTTTCGCTTAGTTTATTAAATTAATACACTTAAAATTTCTTACCTTTTACTCTCAAGGGGAATGTTAACATTAACAGGCTTTATCTACAAAAGGAATGATCAAAATAAAAAAAAAGAAATCAACCTGTTTATCTGTTTACAATGCAATCAAATGAGAAAAAGTTCTATTACAATGAGTCTAAAAGAAAAATTGTTGAACTAGGGGTACATGTTTTTTCTTTTAAGTTTTAACCTGTGTTGAAGGTGCAATGTCTTTTGTTAAATTAGGTCAATTATTGCAGTGGTAGAGAAGTGGCCTACAGAGTGAAAGACCTGTATATTGTATACCTAAAAACCCCATATATTATATATCTAAGCCATCTAATTGATGGTCGATGGGATACTCAAAATTCTGCCATCGGCCCTCTCAACTACACAACCACTCTAATAAATATATTCAAACAATATACATAAAGAAACGCGAAAATAAAGTATCTATAATATACTATACACAATAAAACAACCCTGTTTCCTCTAAGAATCGTAACGAGGTCTCTAGATAGTCACTGCCATACTCAAGCATAATTTTCAAATTGGGTGGAATGCCAACATGTTCTCTATCTGGAGACAAGGAATTGCACCCTTCAATTCAGTGGGACACATTACGTCCTTTTATCCAACCAACACTGAATATGTTTCCTCCCGGGCATGGGCATGAGTACTCACTCCACCGACCAAACGGAATGAGTGTACTGTATGGATGTATTTAAGTTGTATTTAAGTGTATAAACGTATTTATTTGTATGAACGTGTATAGAATATAGACTTAGTGGGGGCTGAAATGACCTAGATGTCGGAAGCCCCAGAAGAAAAAAAAAAAAAAAAACACTGAATATGTTGACAAATATGTACTGTTAATTAATCTAACATCTAAACAATTTGACAGGATATCATACTATTATAGTTTTATATGAAAAAGACAAAAAAAGAGGCAGAATTAAGAAGTAAATAAATATTTCCCACTAAGTGATGTTTCCTTTTTTTGAAGATAACTGCTGGCAGCTGAATAACGTTCCTCTTGTGTACTTGATTTTGACTGGACTGTACAAAAGAGTAAAAAATAAGGAATTAGTTCAAGCAGGAATATTTATAATTGGAATGGTTTGAATGAAGTATGTTGTACAACTAGTTTTTAATTTAATCATGGTATCACAGTTGATAAAATATAAATAAATAAAAAATTTAAATTTAATTCAATTAATAATATAAAATCGCCATAAGAAACAGCTTTTTTTTTTTTTTTTTCAATTTATATAAACTAACAAAAATAACATTGGATTTATCTAATGTTTTTAAAATATTTTTTTCCTAAATTTCTTTTTTGGTAATGAATAAATAAGACAAATAAATAGAAAAAGTTATCAAACCTTATGCATTTGGGCACTAGTCATAAAATAATACACTTGAGATATTTACATAGAATAGATAATTAAAATACTGTTAAAGGAATGTGATAAAGGAATTATTGTTGTCATAAAAATACGAACATACTTTAAATAAATAAGAATACTGAAATCAATCAAATCTGATAAATTTTATGGTTTACAAAGCAGTTCATATACCATAAACATTGCTCATAAATTATAACCAGTTCATTTTTAAGTCGCATAAGAAGTTAAAAATGCACTATGTTGTAAAATTTGCTTGAAATTCAATAAATACATAACTTTAGAAGTTTTTGATTTAAAACAACAAATTTACTCAAACAAAATTTAACATTATTTTTCGTTTTTTGGTTTTTAAAAGTGCAAAGTACACCCACTTATTGAATAAATATGTGTTCAATTCATGACAACATATGCTATATACAATTATAATTGCACATTCATAAATGAGTGCATACAATATACACTCGAATAATTTATACATAAATACAATAAAAATAAAATAAGTAAAATAATAATTTCAACTGTAGTTACTAAATATAACAGTATTACATAATAATATACAGTATAATATTTTAAGCCGTACGTTCTGTTGTGGTGGATGGGCCATCATTTTCAGTTTTTTGCTCGAAAACTTGTGGTTTCACTGTAAACAGAATATTATGTTCATTTTATATGCCACATTACATTTTATCATCTGACAATTTAAAAAAAAAAATCTATTGTAACTATTTCTACTTTATTTACAAAACTGTAAAAATTGTGCAATGTAAGAAAATAATTATTTGTTATGTATAGTCACTAGATATATTATAATGGATAAAAATTGTCCGTAACGTTTTTCAATAATTCAATTTATCCCTTTTGTGTTTGGAAGCAGTGTTTATTTGGTCGAGAAAACTGCACTTCAGACTGCTAGAATTTGGGAGCTTTTTTTTTTGACTGGGGCTTCCGGCATCTATCTATATTCTATTTACACTTTCAAACACTACATTCATACAAATAGTACACTCATTCCGTTTGGTCGGTGGAGTACATGATAATCCTCCACCAACCTATACTCAAACTAATCTAGATTGGGGTCGATGGAGTACTTTTATAAATATTCCGCCATCGACCCTGAACACACACACTCATAAACTCTCAACATTCGAGGGGCGATGATGACGTTATATTTCACCCTCACCCCTCGCCATTCACGCTAATAAATACATGCACTCAGACAAAACATAGACACACAACACATAAGACATATTATATACAATAAAAAAAACCAATTTCCCCCAAAAAGCAGAATAGGGGACCCAGAAACCCACTGCAGTGCTCGAGTACCATTTTCGGATTGGATGGCATGCTACACGCTCCCTGTAGGGGGCCAAGGCATGACATGTTTCCAGTATATGGGACACATCGAGCAACCTTTCTCTGCATAAGGGACACCTGCATGGGCTTTGGCCCAAGAGCAGGTGCCCGTGTGTCAACCGTGTATGGCTATTCTCAATCGGATAAGGATGTTTCCTTGTTTCCGGCTCAACTTCTCGGCGGGCTATCTACGAATCGTGCTCTTGATGCACAAAAGCCTCTCGAACGATCAGGCCTAGTGAGCTGTATTGTCTTGGTGCTTTAAGACTACCGTCCACAAGTGGTTTGCTCTGATGATAACCAAATTCAAGGTTTTGTCACAAATAACCCACACTTAAAGAAACAAGACATCTTGCAGAGACACTGACTGAAGAGAAGTACTTGAGACGGACTGCAAAGCTCTATTAACCTTTTTGGGATAAGTGACAAGTAACCTTATCCTCGTGGTTTTTTGCTTTCTAGGAGACACACACAGGAGGTTGTATCTAGAATACCTGAATTTTAGTTTTTCATCATTTAAATTCACAGTAATTTTTGTAATATATATATTTTTTTATGCTTTTGTTGACCTTATTTATATATGTTTGTTTACCTCTGTACTTATATGTATGTATGTACAATATATACATATATGTGCAGAGTTGAGCTAAATAAATCAGTTATTATAATTTTTCTCCTTACATTTACTTACTAACATTGTGAAGATAATATCCAAGGAATGTACTACCAAATTTTGAATGTGATCGGTTAAAAATAAAGGGAGTAAGAGTGATTCGAAGTGAATGCCCTGAAATTCGATGCATACTGGGGGTCAAGTAACGGTCGAGGATATAGGCAGGGGAACGCTTTTTAGCATCCGAAAATCAGACATGAAAAGATTAATGGGAAAAACTTTAATTCACTTGAGGACTGCAGAAAACACATCGAGGAGTTAGTTAATTGCTCAATGACTTGGGTTGGGCTGATCCCAGTGTTCATCGACCTGGCCAAGTTGAGTTCTTATTAGGAGCCAATCTCTTCCCTGAGATTTGGACAGGTGAAATCCAGATGCTCAAACCCGATACTCTCAAAGATACGCTTGTTGTCCCTTTCTTAAACCCCCCTCGGATGTCACAATCATAGGATTCAAAGACGCATCATCAGTTGGATTTGCAGATGCGATTTATATCTTTACAGTCGATGACATTGGAAATGTTTCCCTCAACTTGCATACGTTAAGACACGTTTAGCTCCATTAAAACCCCTAACTATCCCTCGACTTTAACTGTGCGCTGCTCTCCCTCTAGTGGAATCCAATTCAATAAATCATTTATAGAGAAATGGAATAACCACAAATGTTTCCTTCTCTCTGATTCTGCAACCTTTTTATCCATGCTTTGGATGTCATATAGTTACCTAAAGGTCTTTGTTGCCAATAGAATTACCCACATTCTTGAGTTGTCTGATGTCAGTATGTGGTACCATGTGCGTTCAAAACACAATGCCTCAAAAACCTGAACACTTCTGGGAGGACGGAATTACAAAATTACATGGACATAAATTAAATTTGTTCAAGTGCCTGAAATTTTCATTGAACTTACCTTTAAAAGAAAAACACTATGGACTCAGAACCTGACACATCCACAATACATCCAATAATAGAACTAACAACCCAACCCACGCAACACCAAATTTGCAAATGTGCATCTCTAATACCTACCTGCAAATCTTTATAGCACATGTGGATATATAAATATATACATTTTTTAAATCTGTGTGTGGATATTTCAGAATTAAATGAATTTACTGGTAATTCAACAATAATTTTTGATCTATCAACTTACCTAATGCTGACGGAAGAAACCAGGTCATTATACCGGCAAATATGCATGCAATTGTACAAGTAAGAGCCAAAGTATAAGTGTAATAAACTGTATTGTTTCCAGGAGCACTGTAAAACAAATTACAACACATTTGTAATATAATGTACATAGTATTTAGACATAATTAACAAAATAGAAGTGAAAGTGTGCACTTACAATGTTTGTATTAGCATTATAACAATTCCGCAGGAAAGTTTGTCGACGAAACTCATTAATCCATATATAAAAGCGCTGTTTCCAGTATCTGAACCAATCAGATCTGATACTATTGCTAGGACAGTAACCAGCATTATTGAACTTCCTCCACCTATAAGAAACACATTTCTGCATAATATAAATAATGAAATTTACCATTCAAAATATTCATGTAAAATATGTAACCAACCTAATAAAACTGTTATAAAGTAAATCAAATATGTCTTAAAAAAATCACTGGAGTCAAACACAATCCATATAGATGCACTTAATCCTAGCAATGCCCCAACTGTGAATGTTATCTAAAGAAGTAAAATTTGATAAATACAACAATAACAATGGAAAAAACTATGTATCACTTGTACTTTGAAAACTGTAATCTTAAACATTCAAAGATAAAAACCAGCCACTCGTATTTTGTTGTTTATTTCTAACTATATGTTTTTTTATTATTATATTAATTACAACATACTTATTTTAATGTAAACCAAATTAAACGAGGTCAGAAATTCATTAAAACTGGAACATCATTTAGAGATAGAATAAATTGTTACATATTAATGTATTTTGTTTTAGTTTTGTTCTTAACACGTATTTCCTCCTCTGGCCTCAAGGAAGGAGGGCCTTAATTCTCCAAGGAATCGAGTAAATAAGTGACTGGATTTCATCTTGTGAAACAGAATCCTTCAATAAAAGCAGTTTGAAGCTGTTCAACGCTTGTTGGAGGCTGTGAATGATATCTAACTTGTCTCTTTATCATGCCCCATAAGTGTACTATAGGATTTAGTCAGGAGAACGTGCTGACCAATTCATTGTTGTAATCACTACATTCCAAAGATCCACTCTGTATGATAATCAGCTCGGTACAAGTGTGGATGTTGATTCCACCCTATACCATAACTGTCTGTTTTTGAAAAGGATGTGACTTACGCATGGCACATGAGGCAATGCATTCTCCATGTCTTCTCTACACACGGTCCTGGTCATATGACGGCCACAAACCAAACCGGCACACATCTATGAAGAGAACAGCCCCCACTGTTCAAGTGTCCAAGCTAGATGCTGATTTGCAAATTGCCTTTCTACTCGATGTCTCTCCTGTAATAGAGATCCTGATATGGGATGTCTAAAGACATTTCTCACGAAGCCCTCTGATGACTTTATGAACGTATAACGTTTTACGAGTTCATCCTTACTTTATGAACAATTTGGAGTTGAATACATTTCAAGGAAGCTGTCAAATGACGTTTCCATAGTGAGGTACGAGAAATAAAACTATTGTCTCTAGATGTTGTACATCACAGTCGGTATGAGACTTCCGGTGGATCTATAATGCCGTATACCATTGTGGATGGCAAAGCGCGGCACACCGAGGACTTGCACTTTTTTAGCCAAAGCATCTGCTCGGGGGAGACTTCTCGACTTAAAACCATGCTTTTATGGAAAGGATGAATTTGATCTAATTTTCTTTATTTTTAATCTAAAGAATGTAAAAGGGTTAGTAACACTCTATAAAGGTAAACAAAAAGTTATTAACATTGTATTTACGTTTTAAGTCCACTATTAATATACCTAATTATTATGGAAAATAAACAAATAAATATAAGTGTCTTTTTTTTCTTTTGTGTCTGAATGTATATTTGATCAAAGTGCTATTTTGTGTATAATTACTTTAACATATTAACTTAATATCGGAATAGTATGTGTATTAATTACCTTTTTGCCTAGGTACATATTCATGACACCAGACATCAATGAAAATACAAAACTTGATATGTACATGACAAGAGGGCCGAGTGCAATGATATAAGGGTCCAATTTTAATGACTCGTGTAAGTAAATTGGAACGAAGGATTGGATAACATTGCAATAAATCCTTGTGCCCATGTATACTGCAGCTACATGATACAGTAGCCATTTTTTAAGCCAATAACCATGGGATTGTGGCTCTATTGCTACTTGATTTCTTTCATCATCTTCAATAAGGGGTTCATGATTCGTTTCCTTTACAGTAAAAAAAAATATGAAAGATGATATCCCTCCGAGTGCTAATACAGCGGCAACCACAATCTACAAATAAATAAATACAAATGAGTTTTTATATACAACCACATTTTAACTGTATGAAAAAAGTTCCTTACCTGAAAGAGGCCAACATCATTTTTATTTAGAGTCGAGTTAGAATTAATTCTAAGTACTATGAACGCCATGATATAGACAGCAATATTTGAAATAACAGTAAATGTATTTCTGTAATTAATATTAAATATAAGTAAATATATACACATTTACATATTTTTTAAACATTGTATACTATATATATATATATATTGAAATCTAATATGCAAAATGCACTTAACGATGTAACTAACTGGCTGATGAATAATGGATTCAAACTATCTGAGACTAAAACGATTGCAGTCCTTTTCGCCAAAAGAAAGCCCATATCACCTCCCTCATTAATGATAAACAGAAAACCAGTTAGATTTTCAGATTCGGTATGCTATTTAGGGCTCATATATGACAAAACTCTGAACTGGTCATATCATATAAAAGCATTGAAAGCTCGGTGCAATAAAGCATTAGACGTTCTTAGAACTGTTAGTTCCACCTCGTGGGGTGCTGACAGGATAAGTATGCTTAGGCTGTACAGAACAATAATACGTTCAAAATTGGATTACGGCTGTAATGCGTACGGCTCAGCTTCTCAGAAACATCTAAGCATGCTAAACAGTGTACATCATGCAGGCATAAGACTAGCAATCGGCGCTTTTAGGTCGAGCCCGGTAAATAGCTTATATGTCGATTCGGGTGAACTGCCACTAACCTATCGCAGAGGACTGTTAGACGCAAAGTTCCTAGCCTCTATTCTGTCTACGCCTTAGCATCCGCTCAATATCTTCTTTCCGGCCAAACGGCTCATCCCCGCAGAAGAATACAACAATACCCCAAGAAAACATTTTCCAATCCGTGCCTCTCATATAATCTCAAAATTTAGATCATCCATCATAGACTTTAAGAAAATTCAAGACAGAACTGCAAGTTGCTCCCCTCCTTGGTTATTCCCTAAACCCAATATACATTTATCCCTTACAAAACTCCCAAAAAATACAACACCTCCCATACAATACCAACAAGAATTTTTGAATATAAAAAGTAATTTTAACAACGCCACATTCATATACACAGACGGATCGAAAGGCCTGGATGGAGTCGGGGCTGCCTTTGTATGTGAAGAAAGAAATTTCTATTTCACACTTTCACCCATTTGTAGTAATTTCTTTGCGGAGTTGCTTGCCATATATAAGGCAGTTAACATATGCGATACCTCGAAAAAACAAATAATAATTTGCACTGATTCCCTGTCCGTTTTACACACCATTCAAAAATTTTTCACCTATAATATTCTAATACAAGGAATATATTACGCTTTAAGGAATCATAAAAATTCGGGAGTAGCCGTAGATTTTATGTGGATACCTAGTCACTGTAATATTATAGGAAATGAAAATGCTGACAAGGCTGCCAAAGTCGCCACAGCCAAAGGACTCAGGTACAACGAGATCTCACGTAGTGACCTTAGCTCCATGATANAATGTTTGTAAATCCCAGGCCCTGAAGATGATCTCAGTAAAGATCGAAACGTTGGCACGATAAAGAAAATGTTTTTCTGAAACCTACATCACACCAGACAGCATCTCACGATTTCGAACGAATAAGTGTTACATAATAATTTTGCAACATCAAAAGAATTTAATCCTACTCTTGGTTAGAAAATAACAATAAACAAGCCAATAACTTGAGATTGCTCCATGTTGTCTAAAGGATGATGAACTTGAAATCTGATTGTTATCAATTATTTGGGCCAGAGTTGGCATTCCACCATCTTGGGGGCACAAGACCAACCCCGACTTCCATGCAGTGCCTCCCCTGGGAAACACCTAAACGTTGTCGGCACCTCACAAGGGCAGGCACATCGAGGCAAGCTAGAAGGGGCTATGGCGACCCTAATCCAAGTTGTGAAGTGAACCATGATGAAGGATGAATGGCACTGGGATGATAAAAATACTGTCTCAAATGGAGCCCTCAAGGAACCAGTCAACACCCCCTTATAACCAGGCTGACCTCGGCATGCGGGGCTCGCTGGGGCTGACATCTTATATCCTTAGTTACTCGTGGGCACTATATGGAACCTACCACACCAAAAAATCACAAACACCCGGGTCAGGCCCAGAGGCTACTCAACCAGGCAGCACTGCCAAACCACAATACGCCTCCTCCTTCAAGGTAAAAAACTTGGAGGAGATAGAAAAACTCTCAGCAGGTAAGATTATCAAAGTCCAGCAGTATTAAAGGCCCTAACCTAAAAACGTTGACATGTTGGCCAAAAAGAGAGCCGATATGGACTCTCTCGTTCCTGAATCCTACTGTGGCTTAGCATCCTGCCACAAAAGAGGATACATCTTAAAATGGATCCTTAATGAGTCCAAAACCTGAACACAGAGATTCATAAGAGGGCCATCCACAAAACTTACAAAGAATTACTGGAAGGCAACCGCAACCAAACTTTTGATTGTTTTGTCAGATGTGTTTCGTCATTTCACCATCTTCACTGAGGGGGGGGGGAGTTACCCTTTGGACTGACTTTAAATATTAATTAATTAAGGTTTTTAGTTGAGATGAAAAAAAGTTAATGGCACGAGAGGGATTCAAACCCACGACCTTCGGCTAGATACGCTGCTGCTCTACCACCTGAGCTATCGTGACCTCGATCCACTCGGACATCAACTCCCCATCTCAACCCCACCTTTTAAATTTTCCCTCCTTTTGCCATTTTTCAAATGTCGTGTAATCGGTTTGGATTCTCGACGACAATTGAAATGGCGATGGAGAGCTTTAGTGAAGTGTACTTCATTTTTAAATTCACTACTTTCGTGGTCCGCTTGACCAATTAATAAATGACAATTAATTAAGGTTTTTAGTTGAGATGAAAAAAAAGTTAACGTCACGAGAGGGATTCGAACCCACGACCTTCGGCTAGATACGCCGCTGCTCTTCCACCTGATCTCGTGCCATTAACTTTTTTTCATCTCAACTAAAAACCTTAATTAATTGTCATGTATTAATTGGTCAAGCAGACCACGAAAGTAGTGAATTTAAATATTAATTTACTAAGTATATAGTAAGAACAGTATAGTATCATGTCATCTAACTTAAACATTGGTTAACATAAAATTCAAGATATTGTTTTAAGAGTGAAAGGAACTCAATGTTTTCTCTCATTTCAAATAATTTAAATTATAATTTCTAGTTATATTGCTTTTTTTAGTTCAACAATTATGACTGATATTTCTTTTGTTGTTGCAAATATTAGTAACTTGAACAAGTAATGAAACGTTACAGTACACAGGTTACAAATTTAATTGCCTGATAAGAAAATCCTTTGTGATTTCCTGCAAAGTTATCTACAAGTCAGTGCTAATTCGAAAAATAAATACGTCAGTTGTTGCTACAATTAAAATATCACGGTTATTTATGCTAAAAAGATATGATAATTTCACAGAAACGACTTTACTGATATTAGCTTGAATCATTGTTCCTAATTGAACTTAACCCAGCTTTAATGATATTGTAATTAACCCCTAAACCCACAGAATGTGCAGATTAATCTAATGAATATTATTTGCACTGTTAATAATAAACTTAATACTTACCTAAGAGATAAAAGATTTGTCCTCTCACTGCTAATGAACGTTAAATCAGTGACCAGCGCAAGATGAACTGTTTGAACAGCGGCCCAACCAAATTGAAATATCACAACAAAAAACGAGTAATATAACAATTGAAAGTATACACTGTTATTTTCAAAACCAATACATGGGGAATATATAAATGGCATCGAGATTAAGACAAGTAGTGTTCCTAAAAACAAGATCAACAAATTAGATTAAATAAGTACAGCAAATAATATCATTGTGTTCAAAGAGGTAAATTAAATTTCACATAAAACTAAAACAAACATTTGACATATAACAAAAAATAGTGAATTAATACAAACTTAAAAACTGTTATTTCAACTTACCAAGTGCATACCAAGATTTCCGTTTTCCAAGGGCACTTAAACAAATTAGTGATGAACGATCTGACCATATTCCAATTGCTGGCGTAGCTAATGCATCAGCGATTTGTCCAATGAGCATAATAACTCCAGTAAAAACACTGGAAAATCCAATAACTAAGCTATAAAATATGAGTGAGTATGTGAACCATAATGCAGAACAAAGATCATTTAGCAAATGGCCCATGCCATATCCGATCACAGTAACCCTTGACAGTGGCGGGGGCATTTTGGCTGAAAAAAAGGAAAGAAAAAGAAAATTAAAATTTGTGTGACATAATTTTAAATATAATTAATTTGACTATGGTATAAAACATATTTATAATAATTCGTCTAACAATAGAAATTCATCCATGTAAATTAGCACTTCATTTCAAATCATTCTGTAAGATTTGATTAATGTTGTATCCTTTATTTTAAAAAAAATAAAGGTTTTATTATTTTATATTGAATTAAAGCATGTCTGACTGAAACAGCGAGGATAGTTATACCGAAATAATCAAAAACGACTAAAACATGTTCAACACTCCGCAGACTCCAAGAGAGCGTCTTACAAATCCATATTCCATGATACTCCATACGTGGCATGGTTTTGTTTATCAATCTTACATTTTATGCTTATTTGATTAAAATTCTTAATGAGTAACAAAAAAAAAGCTGCTCCGCATCTGCCTGATGAGGGACACAGCCCCGAAATGCATTGCAGTCTCTTTTTGAATCAGACTTTTAATCTAATAACTTGTATAAAATACAAGATTGATAAATAAAATCATTCTACATCTATAACTAGGTAGTGGACTGTGGTGGCTGAGCGGTTTGGGGGTCTGACTCATATTTGTCACATTAGTGGTTCTTGATTTGAATCATGACAGAACCCATGACTTTTTAATTAATTATAGTCTGAAAAAAGTGGTTTGACCCTGCACCCAACCCAAGTCGGATGTTAATCCCTTTCCTGTACGACATTTTACATCTATAAAATAAGAAGCAACAAGGAAAAGAACAAACAAAACTTAATTAGACACTGTATGTCACTGGGCTTTTATGGTTGACCTGTTTTTTTTAAAATGAGCCTATGTATAAAAATTGATCCTCACTATATTCCTAGCAAAATCAACATAACTATAAATGCTTGTTGTGATAAATTTATCAAGGAAAACATGATTGGCTTAAATAAGCGAATTAATAGACTGAAACAATGTTTTAACAATTTTTTGTAGGAAAAGTTACAAAACTACCTAAATTGAGCTTCGGGGACTGTGGCAGCTGAGTGGTTAGGGGATCATAATATCTAATTTGCTTAAACAAGCGTATTGTTGAAAAATAATTTTAAAAATTGTAATTTAAATTAAAAAGCATTAACATTCTACTCACCATAGTATATCTTTTTTGGAGGCATCAGGGATGATTTAAATTGTACAAAATGTATTAAAAACAAGAAAGCTACAGTTACATTATTTCTGAATATTGAAAGTGACCATCACATGATAATTACCATGACAATGAGTATAAAAATATATCTTGTTGTCCAAAATTGCTATAAAACTAAAACACGTGTTTTATGTTCAAGGTGAACTAATGATAGCAACGAAATTTTAAAAAAATAATTTTTTGTTGTAACATTCATTTATGTTGAATAATAAAAAATTGGTCTTGTAAATTGATTCTTAACAACCACCATGGTCTGCCTGTCTGGGTTACACTGTCAGACTAATTTCGGCATCTCGCCACCTTCGGTGTGTCAAGGTAAAGGTAACAAGTCATGAGCCGCTCGCCCTATTTATATCCCTTAAGTAAAATTCAGGGTTTTAACCGTAAAAATCTCTTATCCAGATACAATACTAAACATGGTGAAATGCTTATCATGTCTGACAGACTGAAGATGGGTAGACCAACATGATCGGTAAGAATCCAATTACAGGTTCATTACCCCGCAAGGAAGGAAATTTGATGAAAAACTGTTATATAAGTTACTGAAATAACTGGCATGTGCTAAATGAAAGCTCAATTAGAACTTGACTTTTTCAATTTATTTGTCTAATTTTTTATGGCCTTATGATTTTGCATATTATCTGGAGCATATATAACATATATTTTACTGGGGGAAGGGGAGCGTCAATAAAAGAAAAGGGGTGACGGTGGGAATTGAGCCCACGACTATGAGGAGCTGAGAATATATCACGCTGGCCACTCGTCTACCGCTAGTCCAAAAAATAAAAGAGCAGCTTTTTAGTTTGATAATATATACCAGTATGTCAAAATATATGTACATAGTTAAAACAACCGAGTAACCTAATTTTTACAATAGATGGAAGAAAAATGAGCCAAATTCAGATTGCTTAAGGCAAAGAACATGAAAAACAGTACATATTCTAATTAAGGCCCAATAATTTTTTGACTTTTACAACAGTTTTATATGCGTGCACATATAACAGAAGACTTGGTAACGAATGTTAATTTAAAAAGATTTATGATTTCATAAAATATACACTCCTACTGCCAAATTAAATCAAAGATAACGAGATATCTGCCAAAGAAGGAACACTCATTAACATTGACAAAAGCACCATGTGAGAAGGGCAAAGAAGTATTTAGTTCATTGGTTAAATTTGAACAAAGAACTCATCATAATAAAGAAGTTGAGAATACAACTTTTCTTGGGGGGGGGATACACATACAAAAATGGCTAAATTCAAAACTTTTCACCAAAAACAAATAAAAGAAAAAACCTGAGACCACAAGTTGTAATAAAACCATGGTTTATGGGGCAAAAGAATAGAATATGGCAGAAAACAAATTAAATTTACTTACATGTAAAAAAATTAACCCAATTCAAGAAATTTGGAAGCAAAAGCACCTAGCCACATCATCGAGAGATCGCCATATTTAAAGACGAAAATATTCAGTAACAAATATCTTAGCAAATGCAGCGACAGATTATATTTACAAATACAGGATAACGAACACACTGTCATACACATTACGTTTTCTGTCACTCACATTGAATCAGCAGTGAATCATCGGAACTCGTACCAATGTGAACAATGAAATTCATGTATACACCACGTGCAAAATTGAACAAAAATTGAAATGAAAATTATCAAATAGTAAAACTAATTCTTACCTGCTCATCTGAACAAATGTGAAATGAAAGGAAATTGTGAGGGACGCCGGTAAACGGCCACGCAGGTCAAAATACGACAAAGATGCCGACGCCGTTATAAGACTGAACATAAAAGTTCGCAAAACGTTTATTTCTTTGTCAGGGTGTGGGGGATCGTAAGGAGGTCCTTTTCGCCTTTTAAGCCCAGTTCAGAACATCGCAGTTAATTTTACATCGCTAGGTCTTCATATGTGAACAGTGGCGTGAAATGTGGCTACTTAAGTTCAAAAATAATTTAAAAAGTTTATACCCATCGAATATATTTTCTTTTTTTTTCTTGAAATTTACTGATTGTCAGAACTTTATTTTAGTCCTCTGCTGAAAAGTACCAAGCTATCTTCAATGACGTTTCTAGGGGTTTTACCAAAGTTAACAACCCGCTTCTGTTAGCCAAATTAGCTGTTCATGGTGTTGTGCAAGCCCAAAACAAGAGTAATCAAACACAGTAGGGAAGTACTTCGGTCTTTCAAGATGAAATACATGCCATCAACATGATCACAATGTGCTTTAGAAAATCTTAAAAGAGGTTACATTGGCAAAAAAATCCTCATAAGATACGATAGCCAAGCAGCTATTAAAACATTAGCATGTAAAATAATCACATCAAAATTAGTGAATGCATCCAATACACAACCTGGTGGTAGCTTGAATTCCAGGAGGATGTGCAAGACCAGATATAGACCCTGACTCTATTATTGGGATATCACAAACATAGAATCCTCCATTACAGAATGGATCCAAGAAAGACAAAAGGAAAAGTGGATAAACACTGTAAGCTTATGTTAAAACAACCCTCACCAAGACTGGCAAACAGACTGTTTCAGTTACAGAGGGTTAAACTCAAAGGAATGATAGGACTACCGGTCACTGGTATCTGAGAAAACATCTACACAACATGGGCATATTCAATGATGACCCCATTTGTAGGTTATGGAATGAGGAGGAAAAAACAGCCACACATATCATCTTTGAATGAAGCAACAAAGAGACATAACCGGGAGATACAAAGAAAATCCAGCGAAAGGAATTGTAGCAATGAAAGCAAAAACCCCACTACCTATTATCCATCATCATCATCTGTTAGCCAAATTAGCTGTTCATAGTTTCTATGGCACTCTAGTTTTAAGTTAGAAAACGAATATGTTAAATTAAAATCCTATTATCATTTTCCTTTTCTTGCATCATCTGGAGTCCCACCAAGGACCACACTTAGGCCACTTTCTAGTTAACATCTTCATTACCAATATTTTCTCACACTTTCTCCTATTTGCAGATGACCTCAAAATTCCACAGAAGCCATTCTGAATGTGACTGCTTTTATTTACAGTCCACAATAATTAACCTGAAAAAGTGGTGCATCAATAACTATATGACATGGAGCATTACCAAATGCATCATCTCTTTTAGCAAATTTAAATTTACCCTACCCTTCTCATACTCCGTGCAAACAAATTATTATTCTTTATCTGTCCAAGGATTTTAATTTTTCCATTTCTACCCTCCTAACAACTTCCCTTGTCCATTCCCTATTAGAATACTGTACCTCAATTTGGTCCCCACACTACAACACCTACAATAAATTAATAGAGCAAATTCAGCACTAATATCTTAGGTAAATAGGCTGCAGCAAAATAGGTATATCCTATTATGTTCCCAGTGACATCCGGCATCATTTATTTATTCTATTTTATATATACTATAATATGTGAATAAATTAGCTAAGTAACATCCGGCATCACCAACTAAGTTTAATTTCACTTGAATCTCGACCTGTTCCTGCTAACTCTACTACTTCAACTGCAACCTGTATCATTTTCCTATCATTAGTCTGTACACACTTTTAAAAAAAATTATTAACATTATTGACTCGCTCAGCCAGCTCAGAAATTGCTTAAAACCTATCCTCTAGTAAAACTCCTAACCTCCTCCCTACCTTACCTTTCACTTTCTTATTTAAAAGTTAAATGATGTTATTATTCAATTTGACATATATACTGATATTTTATTGTATTAAATGTTATTACCAATATATACAAGCTCAAATCTGCACAGAGTAAAGCCTATCAGTTCCCCCAGTCCTCCAACAAACCCACCCCAGGTGTTGGCAGTTCAGGGTCAGGTGGTCTTATCCAGCTAGTCACTGAGGTTGGGCTCTGGGGGCTCCCAACAGCTAGTCCCCCCTGCAGTCTCCATTTCCAAACCCATTCATACTCATTCCTAAATACATTCTTTCCTATCTACATACCATTCACTCAGTTAGGGTGGTTGAGTACTTGATATTCCTCCATTACCCTTTAATTAATTTGGTCATATTATATAACTAATCTAATTGAGGATCGATGGTCACTATGAATTCACACTAATAAATGCATTCAGTCTCAATATTTATAAAAGACATAAAGCAAGAAAAAGCATTAAATACTATGTACAGTAAAACAGTCCTGTTACCCCTAAAAATTGGAACAGAGTACCCAAATATTCATTACCTTGCTCAAGCACAACTCTCCTATCAGGTGGCATTCATAAACGCTCTCTATGGAGCCAAGGAATGGCACCCTTTAATAAGTGGGGCACATCAAGCAAACTTTTTCTACATGCCGCTAATGTTAATGCAAGGTTCGGCCCAAAAGGAAGGTTCATGTGTCAATCTCGTATGGTCTATCCTTATTAATCAAATGAGGATGACCCTTCTCCAAACAACCCTTCAACGACAGCACTCTTGATACGTGAGAGCTCTTCTGATCCAGTCCACTGACGCTACCACTTACTTTTTTTTTTATTACACTGTTCGCATCAGGGAGCCGGATCACGGTGGTTATGTCCAAAGGTTGGAATGACCCGGCCTTAGCCACCTTTTCATTACCCTCCCGATTTATGAGACCGGAGATAACAATCACCATTTTGCCAAGGCGCTCCAGTTCATGGTATCTCTCCAACAAATTCATAGTAATCACGCTGAGGTAGTCGGTGTAGACGAGTTAAGCAGAGCCACCATTGTCTTGAATCACCCAAAGCACGTGCCAACACATACTATTCCTCTATACAAATGCTACAGTTGGTGGCAACAACCATGAAATGTTATTATTTTAATTTTATATCTTTTAGATTTTAGAAGTTTACATATCATTCTATCTTTGATTTTTTGTAAATTTAAATTATAAACTGTTATCTTTTAATATTTTGTATATTAAAAAAGGGTGTGGCTGCTCACCAAAATAAATTAAGAGTACAAAGCCCCAGGAGGTCATCACAAATTATCAAGATTATGAACAAGTTCCTATGGAAAAACCAATAGATTGCAAGGGTACATAAAATTCTTTATTTACAAGTATATCTGCACTACTGGAATTAAATTTATTGTTTGTTTGGCTAATCTCATCTAGATTGTGAATCTCATCAGTACAAACAATTAACACTGTTATCTTGTTGTGATAATTAATCTTGGCTGATTTTTTTTGGAATATGTTGCAGTATAATATATTTTGTCAACAAAATAGAGAATTAAAACATTCTATCTAACTGAATTTTTTTATTTTTAAATGATCAAAAATTATAAACAATCAACACACTTAAAATATAGAGAACCCATGCAAGAAATTAGCACACATCATATTTATTATATACATAGTTTTATAACTATATATCTCTAAAATAGATTTTAATAGAAAATGTACAAATTTAAATTTTTTTTAAAATGTATTTAATACTCTTGTATAGTCTCATTTATGTATCACAAAAATGAGAAAAAAAAAATATATATATATCAAATTCTATAAGCTTAAGTTATTTTCTGAAAGGTAGGCAATGGACAAATTACATATTACAAACACAATTACAATGTGAATTGTAAGTCACTACTACCTTTCTCTTGCAGTTGGTTCATTTTGCCATCCATTTTGCACAACACAAATGATGTTCACCAGAAGAAATAACAAGAAGGACTGAAGTCGTAAATCATTTTCTATTCATTATTTTATATTTATGATCTTATCAGAAAAAAGAGGAAAGAAAAGAAAAAGAATGATAAAAAATTCAAAGAAATGAAAAGTATGTAAATACATTAACCGCTTATTTTTGACAATTGCCTAATCCCCTGAACTAATCAATCTGAATAACATTTTAAGGCGATTTTACACCGTTTTAATGGTGTCAATGGATTCATAAATCAAATCATACTGAGATAACGATACTTTTATCAGAGAAAAAAAAGAAAACCCTTGTAAGTTATAAAATCCCCTATAATTATGCTTTATTTCCTATTTCATATAACATTTTCTTATCCTTTATATCTTTGTACATAAAAGCCGTAACATGCTTGAAGAGGCCACAAACATTTCTTTATATGTCCACATGTCAAAAGGCGGCTACAAAACTAGAAAACTGTATCCTATTGAAATTTAAAAAGAAATAGAGAAATGTATCACTGCAGCTTTACATTACTTTTTGATCCAAATCATCCTCACTAACTAATAAAATAATATATTTTATATCAGACAGTGAAGCAACATAACTTTGCAATAATGAACTCATTAAGAGTTTAAAAAATGGCTAAGAAAGAAGAGGACTCACACTGTTGTGTTAGTTAATTGATGCAAAACAGGAATTACTGTGGGTTAAAAGATTATTCATACATATATGTATTTAGTCATCTTAATTGACCGTATTAATTATTTAAATTAACTATACTTTTTATCTAAGGACTTAGTTAAGATGACAGTTGACATCACTTCTCGTAGCTCGTAGGCAATTCCAGCATTTGGGTAATTTACAATCAATTATCAGCAGGCAATGAACTATCCGTCCGGCCATTGAGGTTGGGCTCCATGGGCTATCAACAGCTAGGTCATTTCAGCCTCCAACACAATCAATACCTAAATCCAAGCCCATTCACACTCTCATTCACTATTAAGTACAGCCTTTCTCAATTACCATTCACTCACAATCAGTAATGGTCGTCTTTCTCTATTACATATTTATATAAGTAACCTATTCAAGGGTTGATGGGATACTCAATATTCTGCCATCCGCCCTGTTATATTACACATTCATACCAATAAATACATTCACTCTCAAAACACACTAGGGGAGACAAAAATATCAGCATTATATATAACCTTGTTTCCTCCAGGAAGAGGGACCTAGATACTCGCCGCTGTGCTCAAACACAATTCTCGTATTGGATGGCATTCCTACACACACTCTATATGGAGCCAAGGAATGGCACTGTTCAATTAAGTGTGACACATCGAGCAACTTTTTTTTATAAATGCCGGACACATATGCGGGCTTTGGCTCAAAAGACTGTGACAAATTGTCAACCTTGCAAGACCTATCATTAATAGGGTGAGGATGATCAGGCCCACTGACACTGCCACTATCTTTTAATCATGTTTTTTATTGACTTTTAGCATCAGGGAGCAGGACCACAGTAGTTCAGACAGGAGGTTGTGATATCCCAGCCATAGCCTTCCTACACACTTTCTATATGAAGCTCAGTAATGGCACCCTTCAGTTAAGTGTCACATCAAGCAACCTTTTTCTACGTGCCAGATACATACATGGGCTTTGGCGCAAAAGTTAGTGTCAAAGTCAACCTCACATGACGAATCGTTAAACGGGTGAGGATGACCCTCCTTCTATGAGCCAGATCCTCCAAGGATACACAACTACATACCATATACAAACAAGCCAAAGCAAGTTCTAAATTTAAGTAGACACAACAAATCTTAACTCTAATGACATTGTGATAAGGTTTAAAGCTGTTGGGAACATTAATGAGAGTATGCAGAGCTGCGGCTGACATTTGAGAAAAGATGTTGGACATCCCTTGTACTATGATTACTCAAATCAAAGGATGTCCAATGACAAAAGAAATGAGAACACTTTGATTGTAAAATTGTGCTAAACGCTAACCTTTTTCTCCTTCCTTTTGGGTCATTTTGGCGTTCATGCACATCTTCTTGTCGCAAGACGATGTTCACAACCTCAGGCAACAAGCGAGATTGATACATCATTTCAAACAATAGTACTTTAAATTATTAATCCCCTTATCACAAATAATGTATTGTGATAAAATATTTCAAGTATAATACATTTTAATTATTTCAATTAACATACAATCAATTAAATACCGATAAGATTATTGGGTGAATTCTTTTCACTTCTACGTAATATTGTAATGACTTTGTCTTTATATTTGTACTCACCGGTTTTTTTTTTTTTTGTCTGGTCCTCGAAAATCAATTACTATTGTTTGTTCTTATCTGCCACGAGTGTTCTTAGTGTTTGTATCTCACCATGGTCTGCATGGGTCGACCACACATTATCATAAATACATTTTCGAACTATTGTAAATTTGCACTGTTGGAACGGGACCTCTTTTAATCTCTTGTTCCAAAAATGTCCTATCAAAACTAAATAAATTTCGACCCATTTTGACGTAGTCAAATCTATCTTGATAAAAATTAGATAGTGGGTCAAAATAGGTCCCCTCGGCGTTACAACTTGCGACCGAGGTACTCGGCAGCAACCCGGTCTTCAGCAGGACACGACACAGACCAAGTCCGTGACGGACTTCGAAGAAAACGATGACGTTATTCCTTTTCCTGGTGTTTTCCAAATTTCGAAGCCCTTAAAAACCCAGAATTCGGAAAACCCACCGCGTTTGAAACAACGACCTCGGATCGATCCCCCACCGCTGTGGGGCAGCCACACTCGTGACTTTTGCTCTCATGTATTACGTAATATATTTATTTCATTACTTCGTGCCTCTTGAGAACAAGAGACAATGACGAGAAGAAAAAAATCGCGATAAATTTAATTCAATGACGTTAGCCTCCTGAAAGGGGTTAAAAATGTTACATGTTGCGTTCACCACTCCTACTTTCCATGTCATGGAAGTTTTTACAACCTGTACAATTGTTTCGTTAATATACAGCGTAGCGTCACCAGCAGTTGGTAATTGCTGTCATTGCCATTTAAATACAGTGATCAACACTGATCACTTTACTGGGTCCGTACATTCTCGTTGGTGAAATGTTCGGTGAGAGTAGAGTATAGAGTAGAGATGGGCAAAAGAATCGAGAATCGATTCAAAGAATCGACTCATCTAAAAGAATCGATCACCCAATCGATTCCTTTAACTGAGTTGCGATTCAGTTCAGGTAACTGGAGGGGACGGATACGTCACACGTTTCCGGACGATTCTTTTTCCTGTAACAACTCTTTTTGATTCTTCTAAGAAAATCTTCAACTCCCGGAGTCGGATTTCAACTCTTTGATTCTTTTGATTCCTCAACTCCCGAACTCCCAGTTTGATTCTTTCGATTCCTCAACTCCCGGACTCCCAGTTTGATTCTTTCGATTCCTCAACTCCCGGACTCCCAGTTTGATTCTTTCGATTCCTCAACTCCCGTCTTCTGTTTTCTCCGCGGGCGAAGACATATTTTACTGAATGTTCCCAAACCAGAACCTTTCGACCAATCAATAAATTGATAATTAACGTTTTTTAAATTAATAAATTACCTACTTTTCCAACTTTTACAATTTTATTTACAATATGCAAAATACCGTATAAGTAATAAATATGTATAAATAAATTACAATTAATTAAGGTTTTTAGTTGAGATAAATTAACTAATTGTAATATATTAATTGGTCAATCGGGGCACGAAATTAGTGAATTTAATGTATAAATAAATTCATTCAATAAATTTTCTGTATGGGCTGTAAATTAATTAAATTAATGAAATTCATTTAATCTTTTTGCTTTTATTTAAAATGTGTAAACACTTTAAAAAAATTATAATTTTATAGCAAATTCATTTACATAGCCACCTTCGATTCCTCAACTCCCGGACACCCAGTTTGATTCTTTCGATTCCTCAACTCCCGTCTTCTGTTTTCTCCGCGGGCGGAGACATATTTTACTGAATGTTCCCAATCCAGAACCTCGCGACCAATCAATAAATTAATAATTAACGTTTTTTAAATTAATAAATTACCTACTTTTCCAACTTTTACAGTTTATTTACAATATGCAAAATGCCGTATAAGTAATAAATATGTATAAATAAATTACAATTAATTAAGGTTTTTAGTTGAGATAAATTAACTAATTGTAATATATTAGTTGGTCAAGCGGGGCACGAAATTAGTGAATTTAATGTATAAATAAGTTCATTCAGTAAATTTTCTGTATGGGATGTAAATTAATACAATTAATTAATTTTTTGCTTTTATTTAAAATGTATAAACATTTTAAAAAAATTATATTTTATAGCAAATTCATTTACCTTCCATTCCTCAACAGTTTGATTCTTTCCAAGACCCAAAAGCTTCTGCTATTGTCAAAGTTGATAAATATATAGCAGAACCTCTTGTGGACTTGTGGAGAGCACTGACCCTATGGTTTGGTGGAACGATAGGCAAATTCTATTTCCTAATTTGTATAATCTAGCCTTGAAAATATTGTGCATTCCTGCAACCTCTGTTCCATGTGAGAGAATTTTATCTAAAGGGGGTCAGATATGTACCAAAAAAAGGTCCCGTCTGACTTCATCAAAAATTGCACAAATGCACTTAATCAAAATAAAGATATGCTTTAGAGTAAATAATAGTTAAAACTCTGAAGGTACAAAGTTGGTTTACTATTTTGATTGGAACATGTAGATTTCATAAGTTGAGAATTAAGTTTTAAAAAAATTAAACGTAAGTGATTTACTCTACTGCCCTAACTGAATGAATGGTGTAAGTATGTAAGCTAAATGGGAATGATTGTATTTAAGAGTGAGTGAGAGTGTGATTGTATTACTGATGGCATCATGCACTGCCAACAGCTATTTCATTTCAGTGCACTGAAAAGACCTAGATGTTGGCAGCACACAATATCTGGGGTAGGTGATTCTCAGGAGCCGTTGGCAATCTGTTGTGAAACTGGAACTGTCAGAGTGTCGGTGGACTCTGAGAAGTGATAGGCCCAACTCTGCACCTGTGGGTAATGTGCACACCCGTCTGTGGATTTGTGCCTATATAAATCAGCAATCAGTTAATAACATATTTTTTATATCTTACTTTTTTTAAATTCTTATAACAAATGTTGTTACACCCAAAAGTTGTTTCGGGTCAGAGCAAAATTTATCCCGGTAGCTCGTCGGGAGTGGGGGGTAAGAGTGGAGGGGCAATACACAAAATATATTAAAAAAATAAAATAAAAACAAAATATTAAAAACCAAAGAAATATTGGTGAGTTGGGCGCCACCCCATTTTATGCGTCCAGAGTAATGGGGAACTCCTTTAAGTAAAAGTATATTTTTGTTTGTATTCCAAATAAATTTGATAAAAATAAATAAATAAATCAATATATGAGAGGAAAGTAGTGTAATATTCTCTATAAAAAAATATAAATGATTTACTTTATTCCACGGCGGAAGGCCACTAGGCTTGGGCCAGGATAAAGCCAGCCTACACGGCGTGTCCTGATCAGCAACCTCACCTTTTCCTTATCGCATTCTAGTTCCCTCTGCTTAAATGATTGTTTATGTAAGTTATCGGATATTATCAGATTGCAATGCTAAGATGCAGGTGGCATTCTCAGAATTGCAATCAGCACTCTCTCCCACCAGGGAAACGTAATTGTTTATAATTTAAAATGTAAGAACATTCCTTGCCTAGAAACCAGTGAAGTCACATCATTGTAATTGGTAAACTTAATTATTCTTTGTCAACTGTATTTCGCAAATAAAGTTTTTAAAAAGGAATCAACCAGCGAAGTTGACTTAATTTGTATTTACAAGGTACCTGGCCATGCAAAATAATCAAGGCAAACAAAAAAAAGTAGATTAATAACGAGGGAAATAAAAAAAATAAAAATGAGAATTCTCTTAACAATGGGGCGATTTATAATTCCTAAACAGAGTAAAATTAAAATAGGTACTTGTTTCCTTAATACTATAAAATAAACCATAAACCAGATCTGGACTAACTTAAAAAAAAAATTAAAACTTAATAATCTATTGTAAATTAACAATAATAAATCGTTAAAACTAAAACAAACAAAAATTCCTTCTTCATGCAGTCTTTTCCGTGAACCAACAATTTTACTTGGGAATCGTTGATCCAGCCACAACCATCCGCCGAGTCCTCCTGGATTTTAGTCCTGCCGAAATCCGCTCCAAATAAAAGAGAAAATCTCCGGAGAATCGGGGCCGCCTCTATATCCTTTCAGAAAACCACGAACGGACAGTCCTCGCTCGTCGCCGTGGTCTGGTGAGGAAGGCGCCCGGTGGAAATTCCAAAAATGGAAATACCTACGAAGAAAAATCCGGACGAGCCGTTTTCCGGAGAATCTCTGTCAGTTGCCCATTCGTAGGTGTTTACCGCACTGTTCTCTTCGGCGACCAATGGCACGGTCCAAGCGATCGCGTTATCGCTTAATCCCCGGCACTAAATACACGCTCGTAATAACAACACTCATTGCTGATTTTCACCAAATTTTTTTTTTAACTAATAAAAATGTATCCATCTTATTACAAGGTTACATACCTCCTCACAAGAAAAGGAAGCTTATCGAGGCGAGAAAATAAAAAAATAAAAAATTGATTTTGGGGCAACAAAAAAACCACTTTCCTCTCCTACAAACATGATATTATAAAACCCTATTTTTTTTGTCACAATTCCTTCCCCTTCCTAAAAAAAAGTAAAAGAAAAAACTTTCCCTATGGCTCTAACTGATCAAATTATCATTCACTCGACACTTTTCGAATTTGGGAGCTAACTTAGCTGCAAATCCCTTTGAGGCGTCAGATAGCACGTGGGTTCTCTTCCAAACAATGTCCCCCACATTGTACACCTGAACACGACGGCGTAGATTGTATATGCGACTACTCCTCTCGTAAGCTTCTTTTAAACGGCCTTTCACTTGTTCATATAACATGGGAAGGTTCGATAACTTTTCAGCCTGTACTCCATGATCCATTTTCGCTGGCATATCGTCCTTGTCAGAAGGCAGATCGGAGTGCTCCTCTCCAGTTCGTGGAAGCTCTCGACCAAAGTTTAGGTATGCTGGGGAGTAACCCGTTACCTCATGTACAAGCCGTCTGTACGGCGAATGCAAACTTGGGTAGTTCTTTGTCCCAGTTTTTATGGTGCTCTTTAACATACGAAGCCAACATCGTCTTAATCACTCGATTCGGACGTTCCCTTGGGTTAGCCTGGGGGTGATAATAAGGTGTGTACCAGACCTTGACCTTGTACTCCTGTGCCTTCTTCTGGAATTCGCGGCTCTTAAACTGAGGACCATGGTCACAAATCAGAACTTGTGGGACCCCAAATCTCAGGAATACCTCTCGCTCGATCTCGTCCGCAACCTTTCTCCCAGTCGCTGTGGTTAAGGCGATCATCACCGTGTATTTTGTGAAACAGTCCGTGCAGGTTAAGATGAATCGCTTTCGACTCGATGAGCTTGGTAGTGGCCCCATAATGTCAGCAGCGACCATTCTCCAGGGTGTAGAGACTTCTCTCTGAAGGCTCATTTCTCCGGGGGGTGCTCTTTGAAGGGGTTTGTGCGCTAAGCATGTTTCACATCGCGACACATACCTAGATGTGTCTGCGGCCATCCCCAGCCAATAATACCGTTCCCGCAGCCGCTGTAAGGTTTTAAAGGAGCCCAAATGTTCGGCTAGAGGACTGTCGTCGTTCTCCATCAATACGTTCCGGCGAAGAGCTTTTGGGACAACCGTTCTCCAACCCTTTTCATCTCCCAAAAGTTTCCTCTTGTCGACAACCAATTTTTTTAGTTTGACGCCATCAACCTGCCAACATGGATATTTTTCCGGAGCCCTCTTTACCTTTTCCAGCATTCCCAAGTACTCATTATCTCCTATTTCGATTATGGCAATAGTCAGTTCAAACATTCTTGACAGCGCGTCTGCTGCGGCGTTTTGTTTCCCTGGGCGATGCTCAATCGTAAATTTGTACTGCTGAAGTCTAAGTGCCCACCTGGCTAACCTCCCTTGAGGGTCTTTAAGATTATTAAGCCATCTAAGAGCCATGTGATCGGTAAGAACAGAAAACTCCATGCCCTCTAAGTACGGACGAAATCTCTCGATTGCCCACAGGACAGCTAAGCATTCTTGCTCCGTCACGCTGTATTTCTGCTCGCCCTGGGTCTAGCTGCGACTCGCGTAGGCAATTGGTTTGTCGCCATCCGGAAATGTCTGATATAGAATTGCTTCTAGGCCACTCTTTGAGGTGTCCGTCTGAAGCTTAAAGGGTCGGCTGAAATCCGGACAAGTGAGAATAGGGGCAGAAACCAACCTCTCTTTTACATGCGTAAAAGCTTGTTCCTGTTCTTCTGACCATTTCCATCTTCGCGACTTCTTAAGGAGATCAGTAAGGGGTGACACCACCGTTGAAAAGTTTGGCACAAACCGCCTGTACCAGGACGCCAGACCCAAGAATTGTCGCACTTGTTTTATAGTTTTGGGAGACTTATAACTCAATATGGCTTCCACTTTGGCAGGGTCAACATGCAGCCCGTTCTCATCGACTATATATCCCAGGAACTTCAGCTCACGGTGGCAAAGGTGACACTTTTCCCAGTTAACCGTGAGGTTCGCAGCGGCCAGCCGCTTGAACACTTCATTCAGAATTTTTAAATGCTTCTCAAAATCTGAGGTCATCACTACAATGTCATCAAGGTAGACAAACACGTGTGGTTCCAAATCTGCTCCGATCACGTCATCAATTAATCGTTGCCAGGTGGCTGGTGCATTATGGAGGCCAAACGGCATTCGCTTGAATTGAAACAGGCCTCGATTCGGAACGGTGAAGGCCGTCTTTTCCCGGCTTTCTTCCGCAACTGGTATCTGCCAGTAGGCGCTTTTTATATCTATCGATGATAGGTACCTGACATCCCTCAAGCGATCGAGTATATTCGAGACATAAGGAAGGGGGTACGCATCTCTTTTGGTTACCTGATTGAGCTGTCTAAAATCAACACAAAACCTATATCTTTGGTCAGGCTTTTTGACCAGGACAACCGGGGAAGACCACCCACTTTTAGATGGCTCAATAATGTCATTTTCCAGCATCTCCGCTAACTCCTTATCCAAGACACTCTGGATAAATGGTGAGACTGGATAGTACCGCTGTAATAGGTTTGTGGTCTCCCGTATCGATGATATGTTCTACCCTGCTGGTGCATCCTAGTTTTCTTGGTTTGGCAGAACACCATATCCGCGTTATCTTATCCAACTTTTCTTGTTTTATGGGAGAAAGTAAATCGTGGCCGATAATGTTTAATGTTTGCTGAGAGGACAATTCGCCAACTTCTTCTGCGAAATTCCAGGTTTTCCGATTAATGTCGGGTACAATACGCATTCTGTTCCAAAAGTCGACTCCAAGAATTAAGGAACTAGACAGTGCCGGCACAACAATAAACTCGATGAGTTTTATTTTCTCTTCCAATTGAACGGGAAGGGTCACCTTCCCCATTGATTCTAAATTCCTTCCATCCGCAGTGCGCAGTTTTACTCTGGACACTCTGTCAAGCGTCAACCCCAAGTTGCTAAATTTCTTCCACAACGCTTCACTCATTATTGACCGAGATGCTCCCGAGTCGAGCAGTCCAAGGCAATCATTTCCCATTATCTTCAGTGTGATGTACGGTCGGGTATCAAATCGACCCGAAAAATGTTGCAACGATTGCAGTTTTCTTCCGGACATCACTTCCTTGACGACCATCAACCATTCTATCCATTCAGCTTGTGTCGTGAACTTGGGGGATTCTTCAGACACTCGTTCACCTAGTGCTGACCCCGGGAATTGTTTCCCTGGCCTCGGCTACAACGGGGGCACGTTTTCCTGTCAAATTCGAACTAATTACATTTTTTATATTAATAGAATTAGTCTTAAATTCCCGACCTATCCTCACACTTAGTCCTAATCGCAATGACCTTGCACTCTCACTCCTGGCAAATTCTTGATAAGGCTCCCTTACGTCTATAGCTGAAGAGGATCTTCAAGATGCTAACCAGTCAACACTCCCAAGATGGTGTAAGATGCAACTAATGTTCCAATCATTTTGGAAAAGTTGGACACATGAACCTGCAAATACGTATGAAGATGCTAAAAGGAAGCAATAATCTGCAAATCCAATAATGGCCTTTAGCAAGAATCTGTGAGATGTATCCAGGAGCTGGTGGGTTAATTATGGTGGTGACACTAAAATCCCAAAATGTAGTCAACAAAGGATCAACAAAATTTGTCCTGTGTCATCCCAAATAGGAAGTGAAGATTCTCCAGGAGAAGAAGAAGTTTGAAGTTTTCTTTTATTTTAATTTAATATCAAAGTTATATTTATTTTAGTTACTACATTGATTTTACAATTACAAGTTCTTATATTTTATAGAGTAAGCCCACATAACACTAATTAATGAGCTCACAATCTTTTTTATAATTTATGATGATCTCTTTTTATGAACAAAGCTTCCATGAATTTATGTTTTTCTATTTTAACAATTTTCACATTTTCTTCCCAAAGCTTTGTTAAGAACTCCCATGTGTATCCTTTAGACCTGGGCTTTTCCTTTCCTAGGAACAGAAATTTTGGCCTGCATAGGCATTCATACCAACAACTGTTAAGTTGTTTCTTCTTCATTCTTGTAAAATCTGTACAGCCTTGTTTATGCTGCTCTTATATACATGTCTACAAAGTCTGCAATGTTCAGACAGCACTCCTACTATCATCCTAATCCTTACCTTCCTAAATTTTGTATTATACCATTAGTTTCTGTGATGGCCCTTTGATGAACTTTTTGCCTCTAACCTGAAATACAACCCCATCAATCACCTTTTTGGTTAATTTGGTATGTCGCAAAAGCGTTCCTCATCAAACGATTCCAGGAAACTCTTTGATAAAAGTTGATGCCTAGATATTTCACTTCTTTAGTGAAGGGAATTACAATTAAAGCTTTATTTAGCTCAAGTGACTTAAGTCCTTAGTTCTTAAGGACCTATGTTACATAATATATTGTCTATCAGATGACTGATTAATTGATATTGGGATAAATGGTACAATAAATTTGCTAATAACTTTCCATTTTTAGCATCCCGAGGTACCCCAGAAAAATACAATTTAAATAACACACGTATAAGATTTTAAATTTACAAAAAAACAACAACTCATAAGGTGAGCTAATTTGCTCTCAAGTATCAAAATTGTTATAGTAAGGAATAATAAAATAGGAAACATTTTGGATACATAATTCTATTAAAAACAATATTTTTATTTAACAAAAAATGTACTTCTCTTTGGTCCTTTGACATGTCACCATATTTACATTCAAAAATTTATAAAGAGTTAATATTATCAATATTGTTATAAAGAGTTAATAAATTAATAAAGAGGAAATATTATCAATATTGTTAGATTAGTTAATCCACTTTAACTTGCATATATTACAATTAGAATCGTTTTTCTTAGCAGGAATGAGAAAAAATTACTTAAACATTGATAAGATTTTATTCACAAAAGTTCTTTAATCAATTTAATAGGTTTAATCTTGTTTAATCATAAAAAATTCAAAAAATATCAAAAAAAATATTACAAAAATAATTTTACTTTTGATGTATTCGACAATACACATGTCAAAAACTTAGCATTCTGTAATATTTTAATTAATTTGTGATCTTTGAAGAAAGACAAAATTCAAAATCAGATAAAAAATAATTTATTTAGACAATTATATTTGATCTTGGCATTGGATATAAAATTAATTTTATAGGTTTATTTTTATAGCAATATTTTAAAAATCAAGATCATAACAAAGATGGGAATTTGGACTTCATTGACTTTTCATTATATTAATGTGCTAACATTTTACACGGTCTAGAATCATAAAAGTTGTACATTGCATTCTCCTTCCACACAGGCATAATTCAACAAAGCTTTGTGTGTATTATGTTGAATAGAATAGAATAAAACTTTGGAAGAGAAATTTCTCCGGTAGCCCCACACTGTATGCTACTACGTAAAATGTCATTGGTTTTAATATGTCTCATAGTTCCTACTTATTCTGTTTAGCTTAAAGTACAGTTGTTAATTAGAAAATGTTTAATGCATGCTGCTTGTTAATGAATAATGAAATGATACATTTTAATCTGCATGTTACTTGTACTAGAATTAATGAATATTTAAATTTATTTAGTATGTAATTATTATGACAAGTTTTTTAAATAAGTTATGTAATGTGAAGAGGAACAATTTTTTTAAAATTAAAAATCCTAGCAGTATTAGACAAGCTACTTGAGTTAGGTTTTTAATAAAACGTAAATAGTATATTTTATTTTAAAAGCCTTTTTTAGTGGTAAACATGCTTTATAAAGATTAACCAGTTCATTTGATTCTAGCTAAAAAATCACTATTAACTTTAAAACAAAAACATGCAAAATCACATATAAGTATTAGATCCAGACTTTTCATTGTATGTATACCATAAAAAAATTATATATCTAAATAATTCATGTACAAAGTTTTGTCTGTGTCTGAGTCTTAAAAGAAATAAATTAATAATAATGAAAATACTTGAAACAAAACAGTTTAATGACTGAATGTACAACAATAGTTTTTATATAACGTCAACAAATTATTTTTGTTTCATTTATTCAACTCTTCCTAAGGTTTATAGAGCATAAACACAAAAGTGATCAAAGTTAATTTTTTTAATATAAATTATAATATTATTTGTGAGATTTCTCTTTTGTCTGCAGGCTGACGAACCTGTAATTTGATCATTTACCAATCATTTTAGTCTACGTATCTTTGCTTGTAGACTAAAATGATTGGCAATGACTTGCAACCACATAGAGAAATATCACAATTTAACAAAACGTTTTCCCAACATTGAAGGTAACGAAATACCTAACGCAGCTGACAGACCAACCCAGCGAATGATCAGTGACTAAATTACAAATTATATTAACTGGTAAATATTACATTAAGTATATATTTATGACAACAATTCAGTAAATAAAGATCATGAATGGCCAGTAAATATATTAATATTTGCGCATATTTTTGAAAAATGTACATATATAAACGAATGTATTATTTTAAAAAAAATGAAGCGTTTATTGAAGGATAGGAGCATAAAAACAAAAATCTATAATGAATAAGAACTTGCAAAAAAATATGTTCAACAATTGACTGTTACCAGTCTCTGTGTTGAGCCTGCACATACTGTTTACTCAATGTATATGATTGTTGAAATGTGTTGAAAAACTGAGTCAACACCATAAGATTGCAGACCGAGAGGGGTGATCGGTTTTGTTTATATAAAACTAGTTAATCATTCACTCTTAGACAAAACATCTCTGAGAAAATCTTTGTCAATACAAGCATATTTTTCAAGATACTTTAAGCAGACTCTAAAAAAACTCCCACTTCCACATAACATGCAGCAACTCTGTTCAAATATTTATCTGACCATCATGTACCAACTTATATTTATCAGTACATAATATTCAGATGCAAGCTTGCTAAAATGGAATGCTTCAACATGCTGTGTGTTGTACATGAATCACAATAGGAGTGGAAAAATGAAACAATCCCACTTAAAATTTTAACTTTGATTAAAAATTTGTAATACATTTTCTTATAATTTCTTAGCAAAATGGTATTTAAGTATAAAATTCAACAATTAAATTTAAAAATCTAATGTCATACTGCTTGGATTACAATAATTGGCATAATATAACATATCACAGATAAATTTAGTCAATGACAAAGGCATTTAAAAGTGTGATAACAATGTTCACCCCCACAGTCCGTAAAGTTTAGTAGATAAGTAAAACATTATGCAAAGGTCCAATAAGACAATAGGAATATTATTTGAAGGCCACTTAAAAGTTTGTGGGGCTGCAGGAGCGAAGATCGCCCACAAAGTTTAATATCTTTTTCCTAAACAAACAAAAATTACATGAATTATTTATAGGAATATCAATTAGTTATTTAATACCAACCTTAGGATGGCTGTTAGTACACTTCTTTGGTCTTCGCCTAGGAAGCTTGTTGAAAAGAACTTTGTGACACGATAAACTCGTCGAGTTATAAATAATTTCTGTTGGAAGGCTGTCTATCCTTTTGTCTTCAATTTTGCAAAGTCTATTTACCACGACCATCACTAGATTACTGCAGTTTATAAGTTGCACAACATATGGCCTGGCCAAAAATATATAAACGTTATAGAGGAAAATATTACAAATTACATAATACATAATATACCTGCAATTTCTATGATGGTTGACTTTCCACTTTTGAAAGGGTTCAAGAGAATACAGCCCAACTTGCATATCACATGGTTGCGGCTGTGTCTTGTTAATCATCATTTTAGTAGCCAAACGTTCATTGGATTTTATCGTATGTTCCATATTTGCTGGTTCTGAACTTTCATCAAAGGTCTCTGATATCATTCCATCAACTAATAATAACAATTAAACTTTCATTACAATCCAATTGAGTGTGGACATACTTAAAATTAATTGGAGCTAGTTATCCAATTATTTAAATAACCCAGTTGCTAAATTACTTACGATCCTCTTCTATTGGTTGAGACAAAGCATATTGAATAAATCCGTGTATTTCTGTTTGCATACTTAACCAAATAAGTTGTGTGATAAACCAGTTCATAATCCAAAACATGTAGTTTAGTGGCTAAACATTTTTTTAAGTCAGCATAATTTAGAAGTAAAAACACTAAAACTGAGAAAATATTTTGATACATACAGTGTATAATCTGTTTGAATTGCTCGGCTCTTGTCTATTGTTTCTAAAGCAGACAGCTTGATAGTCATACATTTCAATTCTTCTGTAAACTTCATCTTTGACCAAATCTGTCATTACATTTTCCTTTAACTCTCCAAAAAATTTTCCTGTGTCTTTCCTGTCTTCAGAAACAATCACATACCCATTGTTATCTAAGACGTAGCAGTCCAAATCTGAATTGGCGCAGGTTTTTTCACAACGATCGCACTGTGTAGAGTAACAGAATTGGAATTTGAATATCAGAGGAAGCCTGAATACAATTTACCGTTGAGGTGATGTTCTTGAACAAAGCATGTAGAGAAGATTGAAGAAACTGGTATCCTACCACTGCAGCGGGTGCTTCCCTCGCATTGTCCTTTATAAATACTGCATGTGTGGCAGTTACAAGAGTATCATTTTCATCACCTAGTTAAAATAATTTATTAATTGATTTTTGACCATTTAAAGATAGAATAGTGAATTAGAAAGACAAACCTGCATCAAAGGGTACAGAATATACAAAGATCTGCCTGTTATTATGCTTATCGTTGACATAATGTTCAACAGCCCTTTTATACCATGTTTCATCAACAGCTCTGTTATGAATTTCACTAAAATGCCTTAAAACTCAAAATGGTTACAAATATTTATATTTGTTTATTATTTATATTCAATTTATTTTACACAATTTTTGAAATGAAAAACCACCCATGCCACAAATCCCACTTCGATTTCCTGTTTATTCCAATTGCAAGCAAACCGCGGCTTCATATAGAAGCACATTTTTATTACTGATTGAAATATTTATTTGATGGTCATGGGTTCAAATCGTGCCTGTGACACAAATTTTTCCTCTCAAAAAATTGTGTATAATAATATATTACAAATGTGCTTTTAAAAAAAAGATAATTTAAAAAAAATTAAGGTAAAAATTGTGTTGCATGTAAACTTGTTAAAATCAGTTTTTCACTTACTTATTTTTATTTTCACCTTCATTCTCTGAATTGGTGGACAAATCTTGCCATCTTGTCAAACCACTCCTTGTAGCCAAAAAAACCAATGATATCCCAAATCTTTGTTTCATCTCTTCCCTACCAAAATAATGAAGCATTAGTACGTGAATGCACTGTTGATTACAGATCCAGTGCAGAGTGTCTATACATATATTTTGAGTGAGTGTCAACATATATTTTATATTTATAGTTGACCATAAATGTTTATATATGTTCAATCTCATTACAGCAAAACATATTTTTGAAATCATTTCAAAAACAAGAATATTGATTGAATCAAAAATAATTGACTAACTTTATTAAAATGCAAAAACATCATATTGAATTCATTATTTAATTTATGGAATGTATTTTCATCGATTGCTTTTTATTATACTATCCATTAAAATATTAAAGAGATTAATAAAATTAGCAACAAGTATTGTAAATAATGAAAAATCTTCCTTTCAATACTACTTATATAATAATTATTAATTTTATTATTATTATTGTAAAATAATGCTGCCATTTTTTCTTAATGGTGTAACATAATCAACTGGATAGTTTGTATATAATTTACTATCACGAAACAATCTAAAGATTTAACCCTCAATGCCACAAGTAAATATGTGTTAATAAGCTTAAACTCTTATAATGGTAAATATTAATCTCTATGCTTACTATATTTCCACCTTGTTAAATACATAATTACAGGATTCACCAACATTATTTACATACATTGACACTTTTGAATGTTGAAAAATGAGTAACCATAATAATTGGGATTGAGTTTGTGAGTAAATCACGTTTAAGAAATGTGTTTAAGGGAGAGATGATACCTGTGGTATTAAGAGTTAAACAAAAATCATTCACTATTGGTCTGTATATTGTTTGTTCAATTAGTACAAAATACAAACACATAAACATTGTATAATTTATACATGTAGATAAAAGTATTAGTTGATTGAGTGATTTGTGTTAACCTAAAACAATTTACCATATCTGCTCCTGAAAATAATGGTTAATAAAATTACAATATTAATGGTTAGAATTACTTTTTGAATTTTTGTAACATCATATCTATCTATCCTAGAATAATGATTAGTAAGATGTGTTATTTAACAGGTTGTAAAATTTTAAGCACAGAGAGAACATTTTTAAAGAAATTTTTGATTTTTTTCCAATATGACGTTTAAAGAATAGTCACAGTATAAGAAAAACCATTCACTTTAATTATTAATTTATATTTTTTGACATTTATCAAGGGTGATAATTTTTCTGATGTGAAGATTCTTTACACATGCGGACAAAGTTTCTGGAGGATAAACTGAATATTTTACAATTTATCAAATGTTTGAGGAGTATACAAAGCATAATGGAACATTGAAATGTACATTTAGAGATTGTGAGATGCAGTCTGATGTGACGTAGGTTTAGAAACCATTTTCTTTATCATACCAACGTTTCAATCTTTATTGAGATCATCTTAAGGGCCTGGGATTTATGAAAATCTTTTAAATTATACAAATCCATATTCAATATGAATATGAATTTATACAATGATGTACACAGTATAGAAATTTAATGTTCAAAGTATTTGTTCTCACTCAAGTGTGTGTTTTCTATGTACACAGCCCCGGAAAATGAACTCAATAAAGATCGAAACATTGGCACGATAAAGAAAATGTTTTTCTAAACCTACATCACACCAGACCAAATCTTACAATCTCTAAATCATCATTAATTAATGGCCACTAAATATTACACATTGAAATGTATACTGCAAACATTTGCACACAACTCTCTTGAAATTGAAATCATGCAAATAGTTGTTTGTCTCAGTACTGGAACCAAGAAATTAGCTGATGCCTTTAGGGTTATAATCAAGATACTTAAAATGTTCTGAATTTAAAAAGTTCATTTAAATTAGTGGATTTTAATGAAACTGAAGAACTTAATCAAGATTTTGTTGTTTTGTTTTAAGATTTATAAAACAACAGCCTTACATTTTGTTTTTGAACATTATAAGTTATTAGGTATTGTGGCATTTGTTTCCAAAATCGGGCTTGCTCTCGTCTCTATCTTAATATTACTAAATCTTGTCAATTTCAATTCTTCAAATTTTACATCAACCATAATAACATGTTATTAACTTTAGTTAAGTTCCTGTTGGCACTATTAGCTCACCCATTAACGATGATTTTGTGCCATGAATCTTTTACACTATGAGAGCATAATAAACATGATTATATTTTAGCTTACTTTACCTTGACAACAATGCCATCAGCTTTGCGATAGGGCTTTATAATGCAATAGAACAGTGATGTTAGTGCAAGATAATGAGAAAAGTAAATGAAAAGTGCAGATAAACAAATAGAAAATCAATAGCAATAAGATGTAAATAAAAAATGAACGTACACTAGTTTCAGACAAGCTTGCACATAGGATACACACACTCACACATAAATGTTTGGATACTCTTGCTTACTTACCTCAATATAAAAACATAAATATGATACCGGTTTTCTTGATTTTTTAAATTTTTTTATTTAATTTTTTTATTTGGCAAAGTAATATTTTAATGAACTTAAAATGGAGGCATGAATTTAATCTGAGGTGAAATATTAATTTAGTATGAATGGTAGAATTCATTCTCATACCAATAAATTCTTGTTTGTTGCAACCTTAGAAGTCATTACTAGTTTCTTTCGCACATTAACGTACATACCAAATCATTTTTAAATATTTGACTTAAATAAAATAAAAACATTGTGTTATTATTAGAATTTAAAATTCTAATAAAAATTCTTTAAAAGGTAGTAAATTGTATAAGCATCATTTTGTTGGTTTTTCTTTATAACTTAGTACTTTTTTGAGTTATGTCTTATTCTACATTGTCATTTAAACTAACCAACAAGAATTGTAACTTCATAAAATTATCGCCATGAATTTGATAGTATAGTGCTTAAAATAAAAGTTTTTATTTTTTATATTGAAATATAATGACAGTGATTCAAATTTTATTTTATTTTTAATAAAATTAGTTAACCTTAGTATCTCGGCTCTTACCCTTTTTCTTCTGCAGTTGGTAGACTGATATTTCCTGAAAACCAGTTAGTAACTTTGGCATCATACACCAATGAGAGGAAAAGTGTTCTGTCACCTAAAATATAATTAAAGTTAATACAAATGAGTAACTTGTTTTGAAACAAAATATTCAAGTAATTCAGTACAGATTAACAAAATTAAATTTGTGAATGAATTGATACAGGGTTCCTTCCTTGAAGGTCTATTCATTATCTGAGTTTATGTATAAAATGTAAAACAAGAGTAATGAATAGGGAGAATATATTTATTAGCAAGAACGTTATAGTATGTTTGGGTGGGTTTATGTTGGAATATCAACAAATGCATCAAAGCAGTCTAAGTTATTTAGGTTTATATACATTTTCTGTGTGACAGGAGAGTAGACCCTACTGTATTATCAAAAACCTTGGTGACTACCCAATTTTGTGAATGTATTTATTTGTATGAGTGGTTAAGTGTGTATGGACACGGTCTGTGTGAAATATCGAGTACCCATAGACCTGATAAGCCAGTTAGGTTAACTTAGCATAGTGAATGCATGATTTTTACTGTGTGCGAAAGTATTTATTAGTGTAAATGTAAGGAGGGCATCAAGGTCCTTACTAACTAGGTAGGTTTAGGTTGTACATAATTTTATCGAAGTTGTAGGGGTGGGTTCTCAGCTTTATATCAAGAACTATTGAGACTGGCCAAACTACAGATTAGAAAGTCATTTAAATAGTATGAATGTGTATTTTAATTAGCTTTAATGGGCATTCTAATCATGTGTAGAAGGGTTGAACATCGAAGATAGAGATAATTAAAAAAAAGAAAAAAGCAAGATAGGCAAAACATGAGGAGCCAGTAATAGCTCTAGCTGCTAGCTGATTTGAACCCACGGTCTTCAGAACTGGAACCTTTCAATGTTCAATGGCAAAAATTAAAGCTATATTTGTCGAAACATTGAGAATTATTCTGAAGAATGGTGTAAATTGAATATAATCAGTTCTATAGTTCATTTACCAAAGATAAGAATTAACCTGAGCTTTTGTTAACGTTTGTTTAAAAAAAGAAAACTACACTTACAGAAATATGAAGTTCTATCCATTGAATCTGATTTTGATATATTTCCTGCAAAATATTAAAACATTACTGAATGGAAAAAATGCAACTGAACAGAATTTTATATCACTTGTTGAAAATAATTTTATGCATTATCCATAAGTTTTTGAGAAGTCCATTTTTTTATTTTTTTTTAAACAAGCTATTAAATAAGCTTTGTTGTATAGAATAATTAATTACAGCCAAATTATCTAATCCATAAAACAATAAACTATTTTTTATTTGATATTATTCTGTATTCAAATTTACAAGGATGTATTAATTTCATGATAATATGTTCACCTTGATGTTCAGGAGGAGAGCTATTCCTCTGCAATGGCCATTTCCATTTTTGTGATGTAGAGCGTAGAAGGAAATGCAATAACTCATCTTCAGGAGTTTTAAAGTTATGAACATCCCCATAGTGGTATTTACAGTAAAACCTTTCAAAAAATTCAAATTTTTAGCTTGTATAAATAAATTTAAAAAAATGAAATATATACTGTTACCAGTCAGGGTGTATTTTCCAATTTTTAACTTTGAAAAACTCTTCTGGTTTTGACCCTAAAATAAAAAAAATGATTTTGAAGTTATCCCTTACTAACATGAGAAAATAGATGAAATATAAGGACCTCTGACTGTACTTAATCTTTTTATTTCCACTTGGCCTTCAACTTTAAGTTGCCCATAACCGACTGGAAGAGCAACAACCAGCTCAAATGGAGTGCCCACAATCACATTGTAATAGTAGGATCTTATTCCTCTGTAAACTCTGCGCTAAAATACAACCATAACATAAAAATCTGTTGAATTTATCATAAATCATTTGTCTCATCTTACCAAGCCATCATAATGATATTTTACAGGGAACGATTCACTCCCATTTGACTGATATATTAACTTTTCTCTGAACTGAAGCAAACTGCTACTATAGTTTCGTGGGCTCGAATTGTCATCCATTATTTCAACATCAGTTATGTCAATATTATTGTAACTTGGCTTCAGGATTCCATCGAACTGAAATTTTTAGATTTATAAACAACTACAGTTCATTGTTTGTGATATAAACAACAAGCACATATATTATTAATTTTAAAGTCAGTTAAAAGTGAAAATTATTGCAAAAAATTTTACAAAGAACATCATTCCCCCATAATTTACTTATTAATGTAAGTTCAAATCTGCACTACTTACATATAAACACACATTTGCACAGTTGATCTTATCATTTCTCACAGTCCACTGGCTATTCCAGCTTTTGTAATTTACAATGAATTACCAGCAGGCCCCGAGAATCACCCACCTCGAGTGTTGGCAGTTTGGGGGGGGGGGTTAAATCCTTTTAAAAAGATAGTTCAGTGTTATCCATCCAACTGTCACGGACCAAGGCGTCCCCGACACAAGGAGACCCCGTAAGGGCAGGGAAGCCCCACTTCAACTGAAAGGGTCTCTGAAGTATTGGGCGAGTGAAGGCAGGTGCGCTCAGGCCGTCGTAAAAGTTGAATGTTGAAAAGTGAGAAAGAGAGAAAATCAGGCGAGAGAAATTTTTGTTGAAATAATACTGGTGTAGGGAACTCTTGTAAACTTGGTAAATATATTTATTTATTTTAAGTTTATCTTTGGTTTTCATTCATTTCATTATATTTGTACCCCTTTCTGATTCCACACTCGGAGATCAACATCAAGGGAAGAAAGGGTGACAAACTGGTAGCAGAGCGTTCCCATTTTCTCATCTTAGGAAAAAAAATAAAATAATAAAAAGAAATAAAGTTTAGTTACTGGTTAAGCCGTAGGCTAATTGTAATTGAAATAATTTAAAAAATTAAACTCTTAAATAATTAACATAGAATGAGTAACATAAGAGGAAAAATGAGAAAATTACTTGCCGACAGTAGCAATGTTTCACTCACCTTACAATTCGCTCCTGCAGAATATCGCCCGTTGGTCCGCTCCAAGGCCTTAGAGTTTTCCTCTGGGAATGATGAGGAAATGCAGTTAACATTGGCTTTGAAACATAAACAGTACTTTTCGGAAGATAATTTTCTCGAGTTGCAATACAGAGGAGAAATACTTTGTTGAGAGGGGAAAGACATTAACTAATTTTATGATATTGAGAACAACAAGGCGTCCGGCAGGAGAGAAAAACGTGTGTGTACTGAACAACTTACGGAAAAGAGACAAGCCTCACACCGTCCGCCAACTAAGCCTTTCATCATTTGGCAGGCCAATCAGAGGTCGGAGGCTTAAAATAAAGACTACTGAATTGAATTGTAATAAGACTTTTTAATTAATTAATTTTTAACAAGAAAATAGAATAAATTTCGCTTTGGCGTAAACATACCGCCCACCAAATCTGATAAAATTTCATTGTGAAAAGAAAAATGAACAAAGAGATAATACTACTTGTGGCTTCTTATGTTAAATGAGAGAATAATGTTACTTGTGATTAAGAAAATAACATAAAAGAAAACAATTATTTATAAATTATAGACTATGTAGGGTTTGTGTGCTTAAAGATTGGTAGGGGGCATAGCCAAGAGTGAACGAACACACCGTTTGAAGAGACCTCCCTTTGTCCGTACAGTAAACCACTCGAGTTACGCCGTCTTCGCCAGAATGGAGACTTTGAACGCGACCTATCGGCCACGACATTGGGAGGTGTTAATTTCCTTCACAAAAACGACGTTACCTACTTGAATTGAGTTAGTGGCGCTTCTCCACTTATACCGTTGCATCAAGGAATTCAGGTACTGTTGCGACCAACGACGCCGAAATGTTTGGCTCAGTTACTTCACCCCATGCCATCTGGTGTGAAGAGTGATATCCATCGGTGTCATGCGTTCGGGAACTGCTAAGAGAGGCCTTCCAACAAGGAAATGTCCCGGTGATAGTCTGAATCATCATCAGGATCCGGAAAAAAGCATACGGGACGACTTTGAGGACAGCCCCAATTTTTGCGAACAGAGACGAATACTCCCCAAAAGTAAGTGAGGATTCACTGATAACAGAATACAATAATTTTTTTTGTCGATTTTATAGTAAACTCCCAAAGTCCACCAAAATTGGGCGCATAAGGAGGGTTGAAGTGCCATTCAATACCCTTGGACGAAGCATGAGAGTAGAGTCGGCGTTAGTCTTGAGAAATGAATTGGTTTACTTCAGTTGACGGGCCGCACCAAGAAAATTGCGACCGCAATAGGAATACACGTTGGAAGGGATCCCTCGACGGGAAACAAAACGTTCGAAAGTGGCAAGGAAAGCCGTGCTAGAGAGATCGGATACAAATTCAAGAAGTACGCATTAAAGGTCTTTGCCCACTAGAACGTATCATACTAGAACCGTAACCGTACAGACACATGCAAATAAATATTCTTTACATCATTTAGTATTAGAAAATGCCCACTACACAGTTCCGTCACCGGCCAACACCGTACCGTGCCGTGCACGTTCAGTCAAAAATCGGCAGCCGAGAATATTTTGTGTCGGTCCGTTGTGCGCATCCGTCCTACTGTGTTGCTGTCCCATTACACACAAGTTCTTTGCATTTGACGAAGAGGTTTGTGTTCTATTGTATTGTGAATGTTTGTGTCTTAATAAAAATGGAGGATGAACAACTAATAGAATATGTTCGTAATTACGAGTTTTTATACAATTTACAACATCTAGTGTTTTTTTTCCTCTTCCTCATCAAAAATAATGGCAATCATGGCCAATTCTCGTATAGATAATGTTCTAATAGCCACACTTTATTTAACAAATTCACTCCACATAAGAAAACAAAAGTTCACAAACGACGCGTTTTTAAAAAAGAAATGTACGACAGCGACTGAAGCAGGACGGCTACGAAACCTTTTTACATACGCGTTACATACGGGTATAGAACGCGGTTCATCCGTTGCAGTGGGCATAGTAGTGACCGGAGTGTTTTTTTTCGTGCCTGACACGGTCCTTAGTATGTTACGTTCTAGTGGGCAAAGACCTTTAGTCGCCATGCATACAAATACGCAAAGGTACCCCTTCGTGACCACAGCTTTGCGGCGTGTGCTTGCCTTTACCATGAAGGAACCTGCAAAGCCGGTTCCAACGTTGAGAAAAGGATGAGCCAGTTGAATGCGACACGCGGGAATATACCCATCGGGGCATCTATGGTCTTGGCCCGATATTTGTACCAAAACAGGCACTGCCGAATCCTCTTGCGAATCAAAGTTCGAGAGGAAATTCCGCACCAGAGCTTGCACGGTGGCAAGATCAGAATGTAAAGAAAGCTTGTGATAATAGTCACATATTAACGTAGACAGATGGGCGTCTTTTGGAAGTGATAAGGGATGTCTGCTGGGAAAGGGAAGACGAGAATGTTTTAACCGTCCGCCCACCCTAAGAAAACCCAGAGAATCCAGAATGGGATGAAGAGCTAAAATGGGGGCGGAGCACTTATTTCCTCTCTGAAGTGAGGAAATGTCATTTTGAAAATACCACAGTTGAGTAATTTTGACACAGAGTTGAAGATTATGTTCGAGTTCGACTGTTGAAAGGGGACCTTTAATAAGCTCGTTGTTAATAGAACTGCGTTTGCAATTGCTATAAAACGCAGTACAAATCCCATGACTCGCAGTAGGTGCGATATAGAAGAGAACTTACCAAATGCATTCAGAAAGGGATTTTCTATTTCTGTGGTGGTCAAAGAAACCTTATACTCTTTGCAGTCATCCAATTCAGACATAGGAAGAGAATCGTCAAAAGCCTGGGGCCATTTAATCGGATCGAGCCTTAAAAATGGAGGTCCCGCCCACCATAGTGGATCGTGGATACGTGCATCTGGGTCTAAACCTCGCAAAGCGCAATCTGCAGGGTTTTCAGATGATGGTATATGACGCCATTCAGTGGAAGAGTCTAAAATTTGTATTACTCTGTTTGCGACAAATGTCTTTAGAATATGAGGGGGATTCTAAGCCAAGACAAAACGGTGCGAGAATCAGAGTAAAAATATCTGGAACGTACAACATTTAAATCTGGAAGAGTCCTAACAAGTTTTGCTAGAAGCAGAGCTGCACACAGTTCCAGGGCGAGGGATTGAAAGAGTTTTGAAAGGAGCTACTTTACTTTTAGCTTTGAGAATTGAGACAAAAAGATCACTGTTGGGAGCGTGAGCGTGTAAATACACAACGGCTGATAACCACGTTCCGATGCATCACAAAAGCTCGATAGACTGAGGGTGAGGGCGGATACATAAGTTGAGGAATACGCCATTGGAAGATCAAATCTATTTAATTAATGAAGAGTTGCCATCGAGAAAGAGGTTCATTCGAAAGGGGTTCGCCCCAATCGACGTGAGACGGCCACAATAGTTGTAGAAAACATTTGTTCCACAGTGGTAAGAAGGGTCAGAAATCCGAGAGGATCGAAGATACGAGCCACATAGGAGAGTATGGAATGTTTGGAAATTTTCCCTTGAAAGGCTTGAACAAAAAAGGCAAAAACCTAAGTTCCGGTCACCACATCAAACCTAAAATTTTAAATCCTTCTTCATTATTGAACGTTACGGAAGTTTCCAAATGGGAAGGAGGCAAGTCGGAAAAAATTCATCATTGTTTGATACCCATTTTCTGAGTTTGAAACCGCCAGTAGCTAATAACTGAGCGAGTTGTTCGCGAAGATATTTTGCTTCAAATAGGTCTGAAGCACCAGTCACTACGTCATCAACGTAGGTACTTTGAAGCAGCGCTCCAGCAGCAAGCGGGAATTCCCCCCCTTCATCAATAGCTAACTGATGAAGAACTCATTGGGCTAAGTATGCGGAGGGAGTAAGGCCGTAAGTGACCGTGTTAAGTTCATATTCTGAAACTTCAGAATTTAAAGTCGGACGCCATAACACGTGCTGATGCTGACGATCAACCGGATGGACAAGTATCTGCTTATACATCATTCTGATTTCGGCGCAAACATTGATGCGGTGTTGGCGAAAGGTAATTAAGATATCGGCTAAGTCCTTCTGGAGTTTGGGATCGCACATGAGGGTACGGTTCAAGGAATTGCCATTTGAATCTTCCATGGACTGTATACAGAAAAACTATCCGGTTCGCGATTGAACCAATGATTAAGCCGTTGGCTTATTGTAATAAAAAGAATTTTTAAAAATAAATAAATAAAATAAAAATTAATTAATTAAACTCTTAAATAATTAACAAAAGAATGCATAACATAAGGGAAAAAATGAGAAAATCACTTGCCGAAAGTAGCAATGTTTCACTCACCTTACAATTCGCTCCTGCAGAATAACGCCCGTTGGTCCGCTCCAAGGCCTTAGAGTTTTCCTCTGAGAATGATGAGGAAATGCAGTTAACGCATTGGCTGTGAAACATAAACAGTACTTTTCGGAAGATAATTTTCTCGAGTTGCAATACAGAGGAGAAATACTTCGTTGAGACGGGAAAGACATTAACTAATTTTATGATATTGAGAACAACAAGACGCCCGGCAGGAGAGAAAAACGTGTGTGTATTGAACAACTGACGGAAAAGAGACAAGCCTCACACCGTCCGCCAACTAAGCCTCTCATCATTCGGCAGGCCAATCAGAGGTCGGAGGCTTAAAATAAAGACAACTGAATTGAATTGTAATATTGAAATTTTATTGTAAATTGTAATTCACTAATTTTTAACAAGAAAGTAGAATAAATTGCGCTTCGGCGTAAACAGTTATGTATTAGTTTAATTAGAAAGAACTTTTTTTTTAAATAGGTGGTTATTAGCATTTTTTAAATTTTGTAAAGTAAATAACTGCATCTTTGAAATCTTTAGTGGTGAGAATTTTTTTTAAGTTTTCTTTATTCAATTTTGAATTTAACGTGCGTAGTGTTCGTACATAAAAGACAACGCTATCTCAGTTAATCCCAAGTAGCTTATCTAGCAGATAATCTTTGCGTAGTACAACAATGTTGAACAAACATATAAACAACAAACAGATAATCTTTTCATTAATTTAAACGAAAAAATTTAAATGACTGACTCAACACATCAACAAACTATTAAAACGAATTCACAACGTTTCTCTTGCCAAGCTGTGCCAAGGCNTATGAGTTGGAGTCGTTGGCCGTAGATTTTGCTCTAGAGAAGTTCCGAAGGAGGAGAATCGAAGGAATTCAACTACTAACCGACCATAGGGCAGTCTCTAGCATGATAAACATGCAGGATCATGGCGGGAGATTTGCGCGTTTCGCATTGAAACTGATGTTTAGGTATCAAAAGCTAATGCAACCGCCGACTATCTTTCGCGATTTCCGATAGAAGCGAAGGAAGAGGCGAATTAGGAAAGGGTGACGATCTTGCAGAAGCACAAGAAAGCGATCCGTATTGTTCAGCTATTATAACAGAAATCAATAGTGGTCTTATAGTCAATAAATATAATATGACGAACGAAATACTCCACTACGATGTGGGTAAACAAAAGTGTAGAGCTGTGATCCCTGATGCATTAAAGGAAACTGTTTTTAATTATTATCATGATTCGATTATAGGAGGGCATCTAGGCATTTCGCGTACAATAAATAAGATCAGGGAAAAATTTTATTTTGTAGGGTTAAAAAATTACGTGTCAGAAAGGGTCAAAAGTTGTTTAACTTGTGCCCGTTTGAATGTGCCTCAAACCCTACCTCACGGACTTATGTCCAGTTTCGAAGCAATGCGACCAGCGGAACGGCTGTTCATAGATTTGGCAGGACCATTACCGAAGAGCAATGGTTTCTCATACATATTTGTGGCCATTGACGACTTTTCACGGTTTGTCTTTATAACACCCATCCGAAAGCCTACTGCAGGAACTGTAATAAATGTTCTACAGGAAAAAATATTCAAACATTTTGTGTACTGGGGAAGCGTAGTCTCGGATAACGCGGCTATCTTTCATTCAATAAAGTATCGGAATTTCCTTATAAATCACGGATTGAAACCTCAGTATATAATATGTTTTTACCCAAATCCTAGTAAGCCCGAAAGAATATTACGTGACTTAAAGACAGCCATAATTGCATACTATGCCGAGGATCAGCGTAAATGGTCAGAAGGAATACAATATTTGCAATTGGCCCTAAACACAGCAAAAAGCTCCAGTACCCAATTTACGCCGTCCCAGCTTTTTCTTGGGCACCAGTTAAATACCCCACTTGAATTGCAGTGGGAAGTAACGTTCTCAGACGACCAAATCCCAACACAGGAAATGTGGAAAACTGCAATAAAAAATATAAGCAAAGCAAAAGCATTGAGTAAAAAATTTTACCATAAAAAACACATAAATGTGACATTCGGTGTAGGGGACAAAGTACTGTTCAAGGCATACAATATATCTGACAAGACACGCAATTTTAGTGCAAAGCTGGCGTTTAAATCCAATGGTCCCTACAAGATAGAGAAAAAAATATCAGATGTATCATATCTCATTAGGAACATAGAGGATTCTGATGACACAAAAAAGGCACATGTTTCACAACTAAAAAGATACATGACACCTAGAAAGTAACGTTATTTATTTAGTTTGGCTGATCCGCCCAAAAGAAGTAAATTTTTTTTGTCTTTTTGATGTGCATTTTCCACTAACTCAAACAGTTAATTACTAATAAATTAATTACTAAGTTAATTACAAAAAAATCGGTTTTAGCACACCTATTAGGAATTTTCTTTTTTTTCTTACTCAATTTTAGTGTTCACACATTCGATTTACAGAAATTCACAAAATTCAATTCGAATAACTTGGTTTTCATTATCATGGCCAAGGTCAACCTTTTATACAGATGACCTTCGCTAAGCCTTAGCAGGAAGCAATACCAGATATTATCACGTTGGACCTTCCGGAATCGGAAACACTATTTAATTTTGTTTATATAGTACATAATTTATATTATTTTTATCCTTTTACTTCACTTATTGTTACATGCAAACCAACATTTGAATTTCCACTTTGAAACTTGATATTAGCTCAATGTCAATCACAGATCCCTTTTTCTCAGTAAAGTCTTGACGCCACGCCATAAGGCATAGTGACCATCCCCAAACTTGAATGTAAATTTAACTTGATGCCAGCCTGCCCTCACTCTACCGATTCAGAGCACTATACCATACACTTCCATCAGTTGGACAGCATCAGCATCCCCGACACAAGGAGAAGTAAGGGCAGGGAAGCCCCACTCCAACTTGAAAGGGATTGAGCTCAGGCCGTCGTAAAAGTTGAATGTTGAAAAGTGAGAAAGAGAGAAAATCAGGCAAGAGAAATTTTTGTTGAAACAATATTGGTTTAGGGCACTCTTGTAAACTTGGTAAATATATTTATTTGTTTTAAGTTTATTTTTGGTTTTTATTCATTTTATTTTATTTGTACCCCTTTCTGCTTCCTCACCCGGAGATTAACATCTAGGGGAGGACACAACAATGAAGTTGGTCTCCATTGGTTATCAATAGTTAGGTAATATTAGCCCCCAACGCAATCAGTCTCGCATTCACACTCTCACTCACTTTTAAATAAATTCTTTCTTATTTGCAAACCATTCACTCAGTTAGGGTGGTGGAGATTCCTCCATCATCCTTTACACCTTTTATATAACTAACCTAATTGAAGGTTGATAGGGTACTCGATATTCCATACCCTCTCACACAACACATTCACGCTCAAAAATGCCTTCACTATCAACACATGCTAGGGACACAAAAGCACCAAAAGGCACCCATAGAGGAACCTTTCTCTGTATGCCGGACACATACATGGGCTTTGATTCAAATTAAGTGTCTGTGTATCAACCTCGCATTATCTATCCTTATTAATCGGGTGAGGATGACCCTTCTTCTATGAGTCAGATCCTACGAGGGCCACATATCAATGCTCTTGATATGTGAGAGGTTAGTTCTCAGCCTTAGCCACCTCGCTGTCTTTTCATTACCCTCCAGATCTAATCCCTACTATGTGTGCAAGTATCAAGACAGCAACCTCTGTTTTGCCAAAAAAAAAAAAAAAAAAATCCAACAAGAGGGTCAACACCTGTCAAAGCCTGTCATGGATAGCAGACACCACACTGAAGGAGTAGGTGTAATCATCATTTAACTTGTCTTACAAATAATTATGTAGCAGGCTTAATTATTACTTAAATGACAGTAAAGGTAGAGCATACCACAGGCCGTAGATCAGGATGAATCAAGATGTATCCATTGTTGGTTACTATGAAGGCATATGCATTTACACCAAGCTAGAATTATAACTTAAATTAATATTTTGATATAAGATTTGATCTGTTGAATGTGTACTTTACCAAATGCTGTGCAATAAGCCTTTGAATATCAGAGTTTGGAACATCAGTCCCTGCAACTCCCAAAAGATTTGCAACCTTTGTCTGAAACAGCAAGGATTTAGGAGTACTATGTGAAAGAGTCAAAATTAATTTTTCAAAAGATTTGTTTTTAAACAAATATATATGCAGTATTGAATTTAACCCACAATAGAAATTACAAACAGTAGTCAGCAAATTGTTGAACTGTTGAAACCTGCATGGATAAAAACTTAATATACTGGTTCACTGGAATTTCCTTTAGTTTCGATCAGGTTAGTTTCATTGATATTTGTTGTTACATGGAGGTGGGTATCATCGTTAAACTCCTGAGTTAGAAAGAAAATCTCCAACTTAACTGCTGGACATTTACTATGCTTCAGATCTAATGCGATATAAATAATAAAACCATGAATGTAAAGACTCCATAAATATGAGAAAATTGTAAAATATTTGAAACTGAGAAATTAGCTCATATTTAAAAACACTTTCATATAATAGAAAAATTGATAAAATTGTAAAAACAATCAAAATTCTTAACAAAATGTAAGAAATAAACATTATAAAGACACACTTCATTACTCTAGCCCACCCATTACACTTTTATTGATGTCACAACATAACTAACATTAACATAACTTATGTCCAAACATCAAAAGCTAATTTAAAACATTTTTTCTCAATACAATAACCTTAACAGTATTGACCTAATAATTTCATTACTTATTTTTCATTTATATTTTTCCTTAAATAATGTCTCGTTTAAATTAAAAAATAAGTTAATAAGGTTTTACATGTTTGCTTAATTGTAAAGAGATGTCATCACCATTGAAGTTTACAGTTTTGAATATAATTAAACTAGTGAAGACCTTCTGTTCTTTGGTATCCTTTACTTCTTTATTTTTTACTTCTTGTGGAAATAAAACACAACATAATATTGATAAACGTATTACATAACTGTAAAGTAAATAACATTAATATTTTCTGTTACATTTTTAACTTAGCTTTAAAGAATTCAGAGAAAGATACTTCAAATTTAATTGATATATTAATTTCTAAGAAACAACAGAGCAATGAGAAAACTATATTTATTACATTTACACTTAGAAATTGGTGCATTGAATCTGTCCTATTACTTATGTACTAAAATTGTTTATACAAAAATTTACAAACGAGTTTTTTATAACCCCATAAAAGTTCCTAGCTGAAGCCAATTTAGGTTATTAAAACTCATGCTAATCATCTTTCAAAAACATGCCTATACAAAGTAAGAAGAATCCTACAGTGAAAAAAAAAGACAATAGTGGCTACAAAGCAATTTTTTAATATTATCTCTTATTGCATGAGTAACAACATTACTTGAATTAGTTTGACATCTAATTACAATATATAAACTTTTTTTTTTTTTTGAGGGGCGCGAACCACCAAGGGTCATGTTAGCCCCGTATCTTTTAAGAGAATCCCCCTGCGGGAGGAAGATTGAGGAGCCAGCACACCAGAAGAGCGCACCCACACAACAACGCCCCAGCATGCCCAACCCCACAACCTACCCCCAGCCACAGGGAGTCCCATGTTACACATTGCTTGTTTATATTTTGTTGATTAGATTAGCTTCATTTAAAAAGTGAAACAGCTTTGTAAGTGTATCTTGATCATCCCCTAAAAGTTCAGGTAGTGTATTTGGTAAAGCGTACTTATTTCTGATACTGTCATATAGATGACATGATATAAGCATATGTTTTACAGTCACAGTCTCATTGCATAAATGACAGATCGGTGGTGGCTGATGAGCCATCAAGTATCCCTTGGTGGCTCTACACTGCCCGATTCTCAGCCTAGTGAGGATCGCTTCTTATTTTCTTCTAACTCTAGATGAGGAAGGCCACATTCGAACAGTGGATTTTATTTCCCGAAGCTTGTTATCTGTAACATCCGACCAAACCTTTTGCCATTGTGTCCATACTTTAATTTCTAAAGCGGAATTTAAATCATTCCTTGTGATCTCGCTGATTTTGGTGCCATTTACTGCAGCTTCTTTGGCAGCTCTGTCCGCTAGTTCGTTGCCTAAAATATTCATATGCCCAGGGATCCAAACAAAAATGACACTCTTCCCTCGCTGTGAAAGACACTTCAGAGAATAAAAGGCATTCTGGACCATGGGGTTATTTGAGAACGGGTGGTTCAAGGCCTGTAGGGCAGACATCGAATCAGTGCACACGACCAGTGTATTGTTTGAGCAATCAACATTCAGTGATTTGATTATTGCCGTCATTTCAGCTGTATAGTTACTCGCTATTGAGTTTAACGAAAATAAATATTTTCTATCTCCAACTACACAAGCTGCTCCCACCCCATGGGGGCCTTCAGAGCCATCCGAATATACGTATGGTGATGAGGGGAGCTTACTCTTGATAGTTAAGAATTCTTGTTTATATATATAGCTAGGAGTGTCATTTTTATTATGCATATTTAGAGTCAATATTACTTTTGGTTTTGGTAGTAACCAGGGAGGTATGACTGAACAAGTTTCTTTTTGCAAAGGTGGTATCATGAACTGTACATCCAGTAACATTAGCGATATTCGAGCAGAAAAAGGAGTCGGCTTGATGGTATGTTGACTATTATGTGGAGGGTTACCTCCAGGAAAAAAATAGTTAAGTGGGTGCGCAGGACAGGAAATAATTTTGGAAAAATATTTTAGATCTAACAAGTTTCGTCGGTATTTTAAAGGAAGCTCTCCAGCATCTACATGGAGACTGTTGATGGGACTGGACCGGAAGGCTCCCGTAATTATTCTAAGTCCGGTGTTTTGTATAGGGTCAAGCATACAAATTTTACTCGATGAGGCTGAGCCATATGCATTTGCCCCATAGTCTAGACGCAATCGCACAAGAGTTCTGTATAAACATGTAAGCCCCTTGCGATCAGCACCCCACGAACATGAGCTTACAGTCTTCATGATATAAACTATTTTAGGAATAAAATAAAGAATGAAAAAAAATAAACTAACTCAAGTTATTTTAAAATATATGAATAAGGATTTTTTTATTAAAGAGGTTTTGATAACATTGTGTTTTTTTACCCCGTTTATTTAACAGTTGTTTTTTTCATTTAATGTTTGCAAATGGGATTATCATTGAGTATAATAATTTTATTATGTCTTAAGTGAATCTTCATTTATTAATATACTTATTTAAAAGGAGAGATCAATTTTATCTTATAAGGGCTGGTTACAGGCGTGGGATTTAAATGGAACTTTTTTTTAATCGAATTTAATTCGAAAAATATTGAACACCAGTCTGAGTGTTCTTGTCAATGGGGAGTTGAACCAAACCAAAAAAGGAGTTGAAAAAATTTTTTTTTAAGTAATTTGAATAAATTATCTTTAATATGATTTTCTGTTTTGTTATGCATGTATTTCAAGGTATATATCAATCAATTTGGTGTTTGTATTACCTAGGATAAGAAAATAATTGCATGATCAAATTAAATAACATAAAAAGTCTCAAAAACAAAATGAACATTCAGTAAAGTAGGTCATAAAACATTTTATTGTGAAAAAAATTCGGATTCGTTTTAAGCACCCTTCAAAGCTTTTAAATGCACATTTTTATGGCATAAAATTGAAATTTTTGGGTTGGATTCGCATGGGACAGTTTTTACTTTTTTTAAATCTACCTAATTTCAACGTTATGACAACCATTGGAAAGTTGGATTATTCTAATTTCAGCTAATGTCTAAAAGATTAAGACTTTATGCCACTATAAATAAGAAAAATAAGAATGAAATCAACAAAAACTGTTATTTTATTTTTCCGGCTATAATTTATTTATGAAAGCAATGTTTGTGCCATTATGTGAGGTTTGTAAGGTTCTAAAACCCTGTTAAATTTTTAGTCGATCAACGGATTAATATCAGATTTATCACAATTTTTGCAATTAAAAAAAAAATCGAAGGCATTTCGTAAGAAAAAATTTTGAGGGAAAAATAATTTTTATTCAGGGGTTTTGGAGGTTGCAAAGAACAAAAAACAAATAACAATTTTGTTACATACTTAAAACAAATCCGAATTTTTCATTTTTTTTAAAACAAATTTTCCTGACCTACTTTATAAGAAGTGTCTTTTCATATATTTAATCTCATTTAATACAATCCTGTGTATTATTTGATTATTGTACATAAAAAGATAAATTGAATGTCTATAACAAACATGAAATAAATTACTAACTAAAGCAGAAAATTCTATTTAAAATAAAATTTAATTGCTTAAGATGTTTTTTACTCGACTACTAGGCCTGTTAGCAAGAACACTCAGACAAGTGTCTAATATTTTTTAACCTAGCATCATCACCAAAAAATGTTTTATTAAAATTGGTGATACCATATCCTTAGCCTCACCTTGTTAGTTTTTCTAACATTAAAAAATTGACATGACTTTTTTTTAAAATAAATAATGGTTAACAATGTATAAAAAAAATCTGTTGGGGCTATTGCCAAACCAATATTTAAAATTATGTTAATAATTCAAAATTTATCTATCAGTGAAATTTCTTTGTTGACATAGTAAATCATAAAATGTAAAAAATTGTTATTTCTACCAATGAGTGAATGTAAAGCGTTAGTCTGCTAGTCTGCTTACAGTACAGCCACTTTGGTGGATATTTCTCATACCAAAGGAGGTCCATGAAGAGGCACCAAGGAAAGTGCTTCGTTTTATAAGGAAAAGCTATGAGCTATAAGGGTTTCACAATATATCTCCTTAGGTTGCAGTGGAAGAAAGGATTGTCATAATTCTGACTGTCATAAACCATAATATGGTTGGTGCAGAATTATAAACTACTTTATTATATATATAACAAAGATATTTAAGAATCTTAAAAGGGGGGGGACTCTGTTGAAAGATGGTCACAAATTTTACAGCTTCGATGAAAGCAAAATGTACAGAGATTCTATTAATCAAATATACAAAAACATCTCTAAATGTCTCTGAAACACTCAACAAATTTTTTTATAGATAATGTCTGTTACATAATATACGTAACTTGTAGAGTTTTACATCTAATATTATATTTATATATATATAAATGTTATCAACGTTATTTAAAATACGTGTTTCAACATTTGATAACAACACTTCTACTATAATAATCTTTTTACTAATGAAATTAGCAAATAGAATATTTTAACCTACTTATAATATACTACTACTCTATTTTAAGTGCTCTATAACTATAAGTCTATATTTAGGTCTACAAATTATTTACCTAAAGTATTGGATCTAAAAATATAATTTAATTTAACTTCAAAGCATCCAACATGATGAATAATGTACGTAGTTCTATTTTCATTACAATAAAAACATTGTAAAATATGTAATTAAAAGTAGCTAATTACGCAACTATCAGCTGCTATATCATAAAATATATGCATGTGTAATATATTGTACATTGTTTTGGATTTTCTTCCCAATAAAAGACACATATTTTCAAATTATAATACCATCCAATTAAGCCTTTTCAAAGATATGTATATTTGCATAATTATTATATACATTTGTAAAATATTGAAACTAGAAATAAATGTCATTCTCTGATAAACCTACCTACCACTACTAACATGATAGTCCTACCTACTTACTTGTTTGATAAGTCGAGTGTTTATTGTATTATAACAGACATTTGAAACGATAACCCACATCAAGTGTTTCAACTTAAACTTTCAATTGCTTGTTTTTTCTGATGGAATGAGGCAATTTTTTCATTATATTACATGACATTTATTTTAAGAAATGGTCGCATTATTGTGTATCACTTCAATTGCCATTTGAATGCAAATGCCATTTTTGTAATCAAGTACAAATTCATAACCTGTATTTGAAAGAATAGTGCAGATTTCATATGGCTATTTATTAGCGATAGTGATGTATGATTATTACACGACAAAAATTTCAAGAGCTTTAAATGAATTAATTAAAAAATTAAATCAAAATAAGAGACCAATCTGAAAAAAGTGTTTTAATCAAGATTAGCAAACGTGCCTCAACAAATGCATAACAATTATATTTTATCTTGAAAAATGTTTAATTAAATTTTGGTAAACAATTAACCTTTCTGATGAAAAACATCAAACCACTTTGTTAGATATATTTAAATTATGTGTTATGTCCAGGCCAGGACAATCATTTGACAATTATTATGGATCAGTGGAAATGTTATGCATAAACATGCCATATCTTACTATAATATTTTTTAAAAAATTTTATTCAAATATGTATGTTTTGTAATTGACCTGTTTAATGAAATTCTGATCATCTTTATATTTTACAGGAGTCAACCTTTCATCAAATGTTTGCCTACTTTACATCTCAAACCAATTGCTTCTAATATTTTACTTTTACAGATTCTAAAAGATATATTAATGATTGCAATATCCATAAATAAAAGAGAAGAAATGTGCCTCAAATATGCAGGCAGATGGGAAAAACCACTTCCTACACTAAACCTTATTTGACCCAAACTGTAGTGACAGCCATGAACTCATGAGAACCTGTAGAAGACCTTTGGCCACATAAGCCAAAGAGAAGGATGTAGCAAACAAAACATTGCCCCGTAATATGGGGTAGTGTGAATGAAAGGGCTCCTTCAACAATCACCCCAAGAAATATCAACGCTCTGGGGGAGTGTGAATGAAGGGGCTTTTTTCCACAATCACTCCAAAACACATCAACTACTTAGGCTGTATGAATGAATTCAGGTATGTGAATGTAATTTATTATTGTGAATGTGTGGACCACTACCCCACTTACTCTGAGGAATATTGAGTACTCTGTGGCAGTGTAATAACAGATTCCTGGGTCCTCGATTGATCTTAATCCATCCAAATATTGAAAATTAAGAGAAGTTTTAGTGAACATAACAAGTAGAAATAAAGCTTGGTGAACTGGAATAAAACGTGGTGCCGTGGACAATGTACAGACAGACTGACTAAAATCATAAGCCTAACTTCCTGTGGTAACTTCCTTCCAACAACAGGGCAGTAGTAGACCTAAAGTAAGGTGGCTTAATTTTTTTCTTGGCACATAGAAAACCATATGTTGAGAACTTCCTTGCTTTTAATTTTTAAAGCAATCTTTCTACTTTTTCAAATATATTATGTATATTTTCTTTATAGAAGGTGAATTATCTGTGTTAAGAGCACCAGATAACTTCATAAAGTGCAATAGCTTCTTAGGAACCAAATCAAACCCGAAATTAATTTAGAAGTTCAACAAGTTGTTTACTCCTTAATTATGAATTTATTTAAGAAACAAAATGCTGACTAAATTATTGGTTATGATTTTTATTTATTCTGTGTCTCTCTATAAATATATGGAAAATGTACATGTAATCACACAAAAATACATATCAATGTATAACTGTTATATTATATAATATACCTTTTTGCTACAATCTAGACTACAATAAAACTATCTAATATACTGGGTCGGGCAACACTATATAAGAATTTGCTTATACCTCTCTGGTTCTTAAAACCCAAAATGCTTCGTTAATGAGTACACGCTCAGTAAGATTCTGTTGGCAGTTTTAAAAATTACTGTTAAATTGAGCAACATTGCAGATTTAGAATATAGTAGAATCACTACAAATTTATGCTCATTTTAGATAGTATTACCCAACAAAAATATATTTTTTTAAATCAAAAGTGTTAGTTGTTGCTTGAAAAAAGAATTGCATTTATACAAGTACACGAACAAAACAGAGTATATTATTTCAATACACTTTAGTTCTGAATAATTGTACTGTAAATAAATTAAATGTTTAGGATGAAGCTTCTTAAATTATCATTGCTATGTACTTACAGCATTTTCCCTCCGATCATATACAGGCATTGAAATGGATGTCATGAACTTGTATGGATGTAAATTTTCAGTTAGAAGTTGATGCTGAAATTTAAAAAAAAAGGAAGAAAGCATATTAAGTAATATTTTATATATATTTATGTATTTGGGTGTATGTTTATTTGCATGGAAGACAAATAACAATTGCTAACATTATATTTATACAAATATAAATTGAAAAATATAAAATTGATTCTTTCTTATTGATTCTCCCTTTGAGGTACCAGTCATCTAATAGGGTGGGGTGTCTTTGAATATAGAGCTTACAACGGTTGGGTCGGAGTGAGAAGAGAGGATGAACATGTCATTGGCAAAGGTGGATACGACTGTCAGCAATGTATATTTTAAAAAGGATCAGGCCAAGGATATATATGGGAACATGAATGTGTTCTGAATATAGTGGACGGTTATGGTCATCAGCAGTATATTTAAAAAATTATATTACTCAAGTCAACAAAACATATCAATTACAAGCATGAACAATGTTGACTTTTACCTGTTGTTTTCGGGCCAGACGCTGTTCTTCTTCTTCATCATACCTTCCTTTGTGATAGCGAAAACTTTGAGATCTTTCTTTTTGTTTCTTTCGTTCTTTCATTTCCCAAAGCCAATCCGTCATTTTTGGGTCCTAAATACATACATATTTGTTTAAAGTTGAATACAATTAAACTATTTACAACAAAATTTATACAGTGACATCAGCATATAGAGGGGTCCATATTATAGGGTGTTCTGTTTTTAACAAAACCATGGGTCTTGCCATTACTGGAACATATTGCAAAACTTGCTCTCTAACTTCTGCCATCGAACTTAAATGTACATAATATCCTATAGAAAAAAAAGCATAGTTTATGTTTTGATGCATTTAGTAAATAGTAAAGTTTTAGATAGATAGATAAATAGATCTATTTTAGATAAATAGATCAAAATAAGTACCTTGATTGGCACATGCCATCCATTTTACCTCCCGTACATCTGCAACTTCTTTTCCAATTAGGTAAGTGAACACACGTACAGGCATGGGTGGTGTTTTCTTCCAGTTATACTCTTCGAAGATTTCTTTAAAATTGTAAGGGACGCCATCTGTCACTAGCATAATAGCTTGATTGCAAGCTGCTCCTAGTTTTTGCTCTCTGTACTGTAAAGATAAAACTCATTATGCAATATTCAAAAAATTTATATAATAACTATTATATATAACTTTTATAATTAAAAAAAATATATATACCTCTTGAAGGAGTTCAAATGCTTTAGTCAAAGCAACTGTGAAATTGGCAATATTACTTGCTGGTTCCATGTTTTCCATCCCCATTTTCAATTCCCTGATGTTTTCCAAATTTGCCTTAACATTTATAATAAAAATAGACAAAAACCGTATAATGATATGTATAAAATTAGATTCAATGCAAAAAGATTTTACACACACACATATATATATAATTTTGCACAATAATATTATTTACCTGCACCAATTTATCTTTGAAGCAAGGTACAACTTCAATGGTGTCTTTCACAAATGTCATTATGTTAACAAAATCATTATTTCCTAGAGTGTCTAGAATATTATTAACGACATGGCGAGCTATTTCTTTACGTTGCCCCATCATGGAGCCAGAGTTGTCAACTAAAATTAGAAGATCTTTTGAACTTGTAGCAGCTTCAATGTACCATGATCGTGTTCGACAGTCATATAGATCAACTGGACTAGGAGGCACTTGTTCCCATTTCATAGCTGAAAAAATCAAAAGTTTTAATTATAGATTAAAATCAAAATTAATTATTATTTGATGATAAAAATTATGACAAAATATGATCCAATTATGACAAAAAATCATATTGTACCTGGAAATTGCCTCATAAAGCCTGATGAACTTCCAAAGTACTGCCATGAAAGTGATGGATCTTCTTTGTAGTTACCAATAAAAATGTCATCAAGATTTGCCGACCATTTGATTCCATGTATAACATCAGGAGCTGGAAAATTTACATTAATGTTAGGGGATAGTAATGCCAAGAGTCTGATACAACTTACCTCTGTCATAAACATTCGTCGGTACATGTACAGAACTCACACTTGTATTAACAGGAATATTAAAAAAATGACTGTTTGGTGTAACTATTAGTTTGTTCGGATCGTTTAATTCTTCTTTTCTAAATTGTTCTTTTCCTGTAGCCTTAAGTAGAGGTTCAAGGTTTTTTGAATTATAATATTGATAATCTAAAGGTACACTACCTTCTGCCTGAGAAGCCATGGCAGAGTTTTCCGCAGTATCCATGATTCGCTGTAATACAAAGATATATTTTAATGTGTAGAGATTAGTGACCGTTAATCGATATCTGAATAGATATATTTTAAATTACTCTGTAAAGATTTGAAATATATTAATTTGAAAAATAGATTTTAAATTATTAACAATCATTCTACTTACTCGTACTGCGCTTATTTTTAAGTCCATCATGTTTTTTATTTCTTGAGCAAGCTCTCGCACTAATTTATTTCCTTCTCTAACTTCAATTTTAGCTTCTCTAAAGCTCTGAAAAATAATGACTACATAATGCTTATTGTTCATGGTGTAAATCAATGGCTTCTATCAAATAATTTAATTAACAAAGCAAAATACTCAGTCAATAAAATTCAATTGCTAAGTACGGTACAAACTTCTCAACTTGATATTGTTTCAATTTACAAGATATTAGTAGCAACAATTAAATTTACATAGTTAATAAAAACTTGTTTCACTTACTTCTTGCACCTTGTTTCTTCTGGTTACATGGTCCCCAAAATGCCACAGCTCTGTTCCTAATTTTGACACCCATGATTCAACACTAAAAATCAATTTATCAATTAATAACCAAAAGTTAATGGCATACATTGTTTGAACATGTGTATATTTTAAAAACAATTTATTGGGGAATCTTCCTGAAAATTTTGAATCTTTCAATAATACTTAAGCTTCATGTCCAAGCTCGCCAACCTTATGGTAGTTGGGGGTTCAATGATGTGGGTACATGATGTATACCTTATCATAGGTTATGCTGATTGTTGTTGAAGTGCTTTCAAATTAGTAGAAAGGTGAGGATATGGGTCTGGTTGTATACCCGAAAAGACGACACTAGTACCACTCACAAAAAAAGAAAGCTTAACCTAAATGCACCCTTATTAAAAGTATAACTTTCTTAAGAGAAATGAAATATCTAGGAATATAAGTAGATCAAAACCTTGCCTTGAACAAACACATATAGACAAAGTAATAAAAAAGACTATAACAAGTGGTGATGAAAAATTTTGTAGTAAAACATGTTGTATAAATCCAAAAATATCCTTTTGGCTGAATAAGCAATATTTTAGCCTTTGGTCACATAAGGAGCCCTAATATGGTAGCCAAAAATGTTGGAAAAGAGATACAAAAGGGATTTAAAAAATTAAAAACTGGCTTCTCTTTGTACATGGGTAATGTGTATACATGCCCAACTTCAGTGGTGAAAGTGGCACAGGGACTGCCACAGTTGCATATATACCATAAGCTATAATAAATGAGATGGCTACAAAAATGTCACTCATCCACCTTCAACTACCTCTTACTCTCTCTCTCTTTCTTTTTGCTCTATTTCTCTCACATTCTCTCTCTCTCTCTCTCTCTCTCTCTCTGTCTGTCTCTCTCTCTCTCTCTCTCTCTCTATCTATCTATCTCTCTATATATCTATATATACATAAAAATTTTAGTTGGTAATTAAATGGGCAATGACCAGTAAAAGGCCTATTATTTCCTTTAATTCCTGCCCACTGAGAGAAAGAGATAGATAGTTATACAGATAGATAGATAGATTAGACAGACAGATAGATAGATAGATAGCTATACATATATATACCTATCTATCTATCTGTCTGTCTAATCTATCTATCTCTCATTGGGCAGGAATTAAAGGAAATAATAGGCCTTTTACTGGTCATTGCCCATTTAATTACCAACTAAAATGTTTTGGAAAAACTGAGACCAAAAGCTACCAACTTTGTCATGAAACAGTGACATGAAGCCAAGCACTACTTGGAAACAGTACAGCCTCTTTGGTAAGACACTAACGCCTGGGAAAATTAGCAAAGAGGAACTCCTGAAAGTGCTTAACTACCTTAAAAGCAATGCCCTTTCCGGCCTTCAGAAATAAAGGAGGGTCAATTCCATAATAGGCAAGGATAATGGAAATGGAGGAAGCAGTGGAAGAAGGTCCTACAGACAGAAAGGTGAGGAAACCAGTGACCCCAGAAAAAAGCTTCGTATTTGAATTTCCACATGCAAAATTAAACACCATTTATAATTTATTTTAAATATATTAAACATTTGATGAAAAATGTTTCATGTTAAATGCAAATTGCTTTAAAATTAGTAAAAAGGTGAGGATATATGGGTCTGGTTATCAACCTAAACTAAACCACACTAGTGCCATACACAAAGAGAAGGATGCTTAACCTAAAAGCACCTTTACAAAAATAAAAAAATAACTTTAGGAATTTTGACAGATCCTTCCAAATAAAATATAAAAAGATGGAAACCTGCCAACTTAGTTATGAAACAGCAAAGACATGTCATATGTAAGTGCAAAGCATTAGCCCGGAAGCCTGGAAGTACAGCCTCTTCGGAAGGACAGTAACGCCTGGGAAAATAAGCAAATAGAAACCCCAGAAAGTGCTCAACTATCTTAAAACCAGTGTACATTCCAGACTTTGGAAATAAAGGAGGGTCAATTCTATGATAGATATTTTCGGTAGCAGTGGAAGAAAGGGAGATTAGTCACCAGTAGTCACATACATTTTTGTCTTTCACTTTTTTTTAGTGAGAAATTATACTGTAAAAGCGCAATTTATCACTAGCGTTCCATTCTTAGAATTAAACACTGAATAAAATAAAACATTTCATAATATATATTGTAAGGGAAACGATAGTCATCAAGGACTAGCTAATAATCTAAAGGTACACTACCTTCTGCCTGAGAAGCCATGGCAGAGTTTTCCGCAGTATCCATAATTGGATTCCATGATTTATAATTTATTTTAAATATATTACATTTGATGAAAACTGTTTCATGTTAAATGCAAATTGCTTTAAAATTAGTAAAAAGGTGAAGATATATGGGTCTGGTTATAACCTAAACTAAACCACACTAGTGCCATACACAAAGAGAAGGATGCTTAACCTAAAAGCACCTTTACAAAAATAAAAAAATAACTAGGAATTTTGACAGATCCTTTCAGCTTTCTGAAGGGTGGACAGGGCGTCTTTCCTCTTGAAGGTATAATTTCCCTTAAACGGACCATCCCAACTGGGAATACCGCACAAAGGAGAAACCAATGTAGTCAATCAGGTATGGTCGTGCGATAACCCCCCCCCACGCTAGACCTTTGACCCTTAAGGGTCATTTAACAACGATCATCTCGATCCCCGACGGATCCCTCAGTTTAATATTTCAGCTGAAGAACTGATCGCGAAAGTCTATCCAGAGACTAAAGGAGTCTAAAAGTACGTTAATACGACTGCTCTAAATCCAAACGATCGGAGACTCGACAGTATATCGTCTGAAGGAGAAACCCTTAGAGAGTAGAGGCAAGTCACAAAACTCCGTTCTGACAAGGAAGTTAACAAACCGACCTTGCGACTTTTCAGTACCGCATAGATGTAATTATGTAGTAACGCCTTCTTGAAAAAGACATCCAACCCCATAGCGCGATAACTGTGCCTGGGAATATAAAATTCTCCAGATGGTCTACTCGACGTTAACGTTTAGTTTCGGATTAAAAAAACTAAAGGATTTTGTTGAATATAAACGGAAAAATACAATGAAGGTTAATGTTATGGCCTGAAGTTGACGAAGCAAATTGTTTTATAGTAAATAGTGCCAGTTAAAGAGAAAATCCTTTTTGCCCATCGTTTTACATTGACATTTTAATGAATTATTTATTGCAAAATAACTTTTTTTGTCAAATATATATAAAATTATTCGTTTAGAGGTGCATTTGCAGGAAGTAATAAGAGAAGAAGATAAAGGTGTGTATCATCAACAGTTAATTCTTGTATCATTCATGAAAACCTTATCTCAATTTTTGTATTTGTCCTATTGAACCACGAGGTCCAATAGTTAATTAGTTTCAACATACCTGCACATATAGGAAAAAATGCACTTTTAAAAATTGGGTAATTTTCATGTAAAACTACACCAGAAACACGTGTGCCGAGGTTTTTTCGACGCCCTCTAACAAGATTAAATATTAGTTTATTAAATCGTATACCAAATACAATGAAATATGGTTTCTTCAAAGCCAATACGTACAAATATTTGATGCAACACTGCATGGTCTACCAAGGAGGATCTATTATCCAATAAATTTTAAAAATAAAAAGTGGCTGTACAATTTTTAAAAAACCTTACATTTCCTTTGTAATGAAAGCCTGCCCCTGGAATAATGATAAATATATGAGGAACAGAGTCTTATAATGTGGCTTCATTTCTGGCCGTATGCTTTCAACGCTGAGGTCGAGTATTGACTGGTGGGTGGCCGGGCGGCAGTGAAAACACCGACGACAAAACATGCGCTCGCGCATTATCCATTTAATGAATTGATTACTTACTGTCAGTATGCAAAAGAAAAAAGCAAAAGAAAATATATATATATATTTGACTATTCAATTTAGCCCTTTGATTGACAGTTTTACATTATACAAGCCTGTGGATTTTTTTTAGAAGTTCAGCGCGAGACCAAGTTCAAAAAACAGTAGTGATGTGAAGCGGAGGATTCAATTTAACGAAAATGACTATAATATAACCTGTAAAGCTTTGTGAAATAAGCGTTTTAGTAGCGAGAACTTTGAAAAAAAATTTTTTTTTCAAAGTTGAAAAACACTTTGATTCTAAACTCCAAACCTAGAGACTAGCAAATTTCAGAAAACGTACTCCATTTAATATCCTTTTTCGTGGTGAAATTGTTTTTTTAATTACTTTTTTCAAAGATAAAGAAATTGATGAAGGAAAAGAAAAACACCGTGGTTGAAGGATAGTTAAGGTGGAAAGATTAATCGAATAAAAATTTAAAAAAACATTTAATAAATCATTCAAAATTTTCTTAAGTTTTTTATTTTATTTTCCACCTTATCAATCCGTCAACCACGGTTTTTCCTTTCCTCTATCAATTTCTTTATCTTTGAAAAAAGTAATTAAAAAAGCAATTTCACCACGAAAAAGGATATTAAATGGAGTACATTTTCTGAAATTTGCTAGTCTCTAGGTTTGGAGTTTAGAATCAAAGTAAGTTTCTCAACTTTGAAAAAAAAAATTTTTTTCAAAGTTCTCGCTACTAAAATGCTTATTTCACGAAGGCCTTATAGGTTTAGTATTGATCACATCTTATTGGAAATTTAACGTAGTTTTCAATGATATCAACGGATTTGTCCAAAACCTTTTAATTTTGGAGTTATCATTGTTTGTTTGAAGCAAGGTCGTGAAATCATTAAAAAATCAGAAAAATTGAAATAACTCCGAAACTGTGGAGATTCAGACCGTAGTTAATTAGAATTTTTTGATTCATTTATTAATGTAAATTCTACTTATAAAGTTTGTAACGAGTAGCCGAACACCCTATATAGAGAGCGAGTAGGAGTGCCACTATTTCTGAGAGTATTTCTATATTATAACAAGTTTGGTGAAAGATATATTCCGTACTAACTCTCATTAGAATGTATTTATAAGCGTGAATATGTGTATAGTACAAGATCGAAGACGGAATATTATTAGTACCCACGAACTGTAAATATTGCTTATACGTGTAAATAAACGGAGATGGAGGAATAGCCAGCACTTGAGTGAAAAGCACGTAAAAATAACATTCTAAGGCTCGGTTCTGCACATAAGTGTAAAAGGGTCATCCTCACCTGATTTAGGATAAGCTATGCGAGGTTCACACACGGGCAAATTTTTTGCGATCCAAAGCCGGCGTGTCCGGTTTGTACTTTGTAGAGAAAAGTTGCTCGATTTGTCCCACCTAACTGAAGGGTGCAATTCCTTGGCTCTATATAAAGAGCGTTTACGAATGCCACCCGATATGAAAATTGTGTTTGAGTCTTTGGGCCTACGGGTATTTCTGCATATATTTCCTTCCTTCAGTCGTCGAAAGGGTCAATTTTATCCTGGAGGACGAGGTCGAGTGGTGGAGCGGAAGCGAGGACCTAGAGGGTGTATGTGGGAGTCGTCCTATATGCCTTCGATATTATTAAAAGGGCCTTGCTCCAGAATGGATCTCCCCTTATTTTTTTAGCTTCCCTCCAGCTGCAACTCCGTGCAAGGCAATTGGAAAATAGACGCTCTTGTATGTAATAGAGAGAGCCGCCTTTCAGATCAACCCCCAGTTTGTTTTCGCTATCACCAGTTCTGGAATGGTCTCGCCCTCCAGTCTGCAACCAATCAAAGTAGAGCCATTTCGTATATAAGCAGGGTCATTGCTCCACGGACGGTAGACTCGTCTACTCGACGAGATCTAAGCAAATTCAAAATATTACCGACAACGACAGCAAGGGCACTCTCTTGAAGACCACATTCCAAAAAAGTGGACCTAGGATAGATCCCTGTGCGCATCCTATCGAACTATTGCCCATCACAATTCTGTGTTTGGTTGCAATTTTAGCTTGTCTTTCGTTGAAATAGCTCGAGACCAAATTGAAGATGTTTCGTGGGGTAGCCTTTCCTTTTCAATTCATTCAGAAGCTTTTCATCATATGGTTACTAGTTTTTAAGGATATATGTAGTGAGAAAAGTTGAGAGGAAGAGTCATATTTATTTGCAAGAATTTTATAGGTTTCGATATCTTGCCTTTCACTACAATCTTGAAGAGTTGTTAAAGTTAGGAATTTAATTCAGTCGACTTAGCTGTATGGCTTTAATTTTATGGAGCTTTTGGCATAACGTCTTTGAACTTCTTCTGCAAGTGTTACAATGAAAAATCAGAAGACAAACTTTTTTTTTGCACTGGGGAGACCAGACTCAGTCAGGCACGAGTTTAATGCTGTTTTGAAAAGTAGGGGCTCCAAATATTACTTGCAAACTCTAGTATACGTCGAACATAGGTAACATCAATTTCTATTTAACTTGGTATGCAAGAAAATTTCCTTTGTACAGGACATCTTTGAGCTTTTTGACATTGCTCTCCAAAGGTTTTTTTGAAATGTTGTAGAGGCCTAAGAAATACAATCAAGTTTGTACGAAGCCAACGATAGTGACGTGAGAATCCTGGAAATGCAAAATCAACACTAAACCGCAGCGATAGTCAGATGGAGGGGGAAAATTCGACCAACGCGGCCGAGAGCAGTTCCTAGTACATACTACATAGTGTGCGCCGTGCGGTCTGCGGAGCCGATGGTTCGGACCGATGATGTGGCAGATGTTCAAACGCAGTCGAGTCGGAAGACTTGGTAGCATGAGAAGGATGCTTGTGCACCAGATAACCAAGTCTTTTTTTTAATTTATGGAAGAAACTTTATTTGTACAATGGTACATTATAGTTATTATCACAGTAGATACTACATAATATCATACAAAAACAAATAAATGACATGAAACGTGTGGTGGGTAAGACACCCAGCGGCGTTCCTCACATAGTTTTCACAAAAATAGGAAGCAACGATTTGTACTACAATGGCAAATAAATTAATAAATAAGAAATAAGTAACAATAATTTTTTTTCACATTTATCTATTCAAGTTTTGTTAGCCAGATCAGAGTGCCTTTTATGTTTTAACCGTCTTAGATGTCTCGGGGTGGCTGATTGTTGGCGATATCCTGCATTAGTGGGTTAGGGTGTGACGTATTTTTTCAGTGTGCTGATCGTATGAGTTCTTTATTACCGTCTAGACATCTGGTATATCCAAGTCCCGGTGAATGGTGACGTTGCGTATGAACCATGGAGCCGCAGCTATAAGACGAAGGATGCGATTCTGAACGGTTCGGATTTTCTTTATTTGTGTATCTGGTGCCAAGGACCATATTGAACAGCCGTACTGCCAAATCGGTCTTATTACTGCTAGATAAATCAAAGGGGTACTTCCTAGTCGCCGTTGAACCTTGCGGGCCCTCACAAGGGCCGGTATTGTACCCAGGAAGGTCCCAACTATTCTGCCCAACCGGGAAGCCCGCAACCGTGAGCTCTACGGCCCAATACCCCTTTCAGGCAGGCGAGAAGGGCACTCCTAAGTGATAGGCTCTGTAGAGCCGGCGAGGAGGCTTTTGGCCCTAAAAAAGGACAGTTGAGTGTGAGGCAGAGCTTCCACCTGTCCGACTGTACCGAGCACCCCGGAGATCGTGAGCTCGTACGACCCGTGGGTCCTTTCTAGTCTTCAAAGTGGAAACCCTACTTCCTTGAGTAACTCAAGCGTGGCTCTGAGAAGAGCCGGTGAAAATATGGGCGAGATGTATCTGATGAGGTTGAGCCGAATTCTTCACAGGTCCGATGAACAAGTCTCTTCTTTCGCTGGATAGAAATTAGTGACTGGGTTTTTAGTTTTTACAAAAACTGTGTCTTGATCCTTAGTAGCCAGAGGTATTTGGGAGGTTTGATTTTGGAGGAGCGGGAAGTTACCTTGGATTCTCGTTTTTCTTTATTCAAAAGTTTTGTACAGTTCGTTTATGTCTCTATTAAAATTAATTTACATTGTTACTAACCACTATTATATTCTTATTTATAATTTATGATTACAACAGAAAACAAACAATCCTTAATTGAACTGGTAATGTGTGGCGCAATCCATCGGCGAACCTTCTGGCAGTTCTAATCGTTGGTCATTTCGTTAGGTGCCGCTTTCGTTGAGAAGGTGGTGGGTCACCACATGGCTCCCCCCGAAAGCGTCACTGCCGCGGTCTACACGTTGTACATGATCTTCTTCCGAACTATCCTTCCGGACCGAGTGATGAGCGTTGGAGTTGAAGCAGTTTCCTGCGGTCGTGACGACGGCTGTGGTGCAGGATCGGTTTCCGTATTGGTCGGCTGGGTGTCTGTTGCTGACGAGGTTAAGTCGCAAGCTAGATATGCTGGCTTCACCTTGTCTATGGATACGGTGGTTTCCCTGTCTTCCAGCCGTATTCGTATTGTCTTCTTGCTTCGTGCTAGGACTTCATATGGCCCCTCGTAAGGCGGTATGAGGGTGCGCCGTATTCCTTCAACCTTCAAATATACATGGCTGCATGTCATGAGGTCTTTAGGGATGAATGATGTTCTGGCTGGTCTCCGCCGTTCTGGCCTTACTAAGGCCATACTCTCTTGGAGTTCTCGTATGTAGGTGTCATGATCTCTTGATTCTTCTGACGGCACGAGGAAGTCTCCTGTTAGACGTAGGCTTGTTTCGAAGATCATTTGGGCAGGGCTGTGTTCCTCGGTATTGAGAGTGGAGCGGATGCCCAGTAGGCCAATTGGTAGGTGTTTTGTCCAGCTGTGTTGAGCCTGTCTTGCCATAAGCGCAGCTTTTAGTGTTCGGTGGAATCTTTCGACTCGTCCATTCGCCTGTGGGTGGTATGGAGTTGTCCTGATACGTTCCACTCCGAGCAAGGCTGAAAGTTGGCCGAAGAGGTTAGATTCGAACTGCCGTCCTTGGTCCGTAGTCAGGCGGAAGGGTGTTCCGAATCTTGAAATCCAGTGGTCGACGAAGGCTCTGGCGATTGTTTCTGCTTGGATGTCCGTGATCGGTATTACCTCTGGCCATCGGGTGAATCGGTCTACCATTGTGAGGCAGTATTGCTTCCCCTCAGAAGGCGGAGAGGTCCGACTATGTCGATGTGGACGTGCTCGAACCGGGAGGCCTGTGGGAACGATCCGAGAGGTGAGATGGTGTGCCTCGTGACCTTCACTCTCTGGCAGGGGGCACAGGTTTTTGCCCATCGTCCGATGTCTGAATTCATTCCAGGCCAGAAGTAGCGTTGCGTGACTATTCTACGGCTGCTTCTAATTCCCGGGTGGCTTGGGTTGTGGACCCGTTCAAAAGCCGCCCTCCCGAAGGCCGGCGGAAGGTAGGGTCGTGGGCTTGGAGAAGTTGTTTCGCATAACACGCCCAGAATCCTGACCCTCTCCAACTTGAATGATCCTCCGGAGGGAAAGCTTCCGTTTTCTTCTTCCGCTTGCTGTGCCGTCGCGAGATCATCCCATCCGGTGGGAGTATCAAGCTCATTTAGGAGGGAGAGAGCATCGGCTACTGGGTTGTCCTTTCCCTTGATGTACCTTATGTCAGTCGTGAATTGCGCTATGTAGCTGAGGTAGCAAGTACGGATTGGCGAGGCGTCGCTAGCCTCGTTCTTAAATGCAAACGTTAGAGGCGGCTCTAAACGGACTGAGAAGTGCCGTCCTTCCAAGAGAGGTCGAAAGTGTCGAACTGCCTTGTAAACGGCCAGTAATTCACGGTCGTACGTCGCATATTTTTGTTGAGCTAGGGAGAGTGCTTTTGAAAAAAATCCAAGAGGCACCCATCCCTCATTGTCTCGCTGCTGTAGCACGGCTCCAATTCCTGTGTTTGAAGCGTCGCAGTCTAGGGTTATCTCTGCGTCAGGAGCAGGTGTCCGAGGCGGATGGCGTCCTTTAAATCTTTCTTGGTTTTCTCGAACGCTTCCGAAGATTCTGGGGTCCAGACGACCGGACGCTTGTCGTTCTTCTTGCTGCCTTTTATGTATGCATTAAGTGTGCGTTGAGTTTCGGCAGCGTGCGGAAGTCAGCGTCTGTAGAAATTACCATTACGAGAAATCTTCGGAGGTCCTTTATAAGCGTCGGCTTTGGGTACTCGGTGAGTACGTCCACTTTCGCTTTTACCGGAGCGATTATGTCATTGTTTACGTCGTATCCCAGAAATGTCACGCTTTCTTGTCCGAATACACATTTTTTTACTTTTATCGTCAAGCCATGTGTACGGAGGCGGGTGAAAACTTCTCGTAGGTGATCTTCGTGCTCTTCTTCCGAGGTGGAGGCGATCAGGACGTCATCGATGTACGTAATAAGTAGGGAAGGTCCCTGAAGATGGAATCGATGAAGCGCTGGAAGGTCTGGGCAGCGTTCGAAGCACATACGAGTAAATTCAAAGAGGCCAAACAGAGTTGTAATTGCAGTTTTGGGAATGTCCGCTTCTGCTATGGGGATCTGAAAATAGGCTCGTTCGAGGTCGATGGTTGTGAAAATCCTCTTCCCATAGAGACCTATGTTCTGATAAATGGTATGGGTTATTGCACTGTTCTAACCGTCTTTTAACGGTCATCACCGTTATTTCCCTTTACCTGAAAAACAGTCTTACCAACCTTATTCTTTTCCCCTTTAATTATACCTTCAACATGTTCATGTCTCCGATGTTGGGAATTCCGTATCTGTCCGGTGTGGTTCTCGCATTTAGGCGGCGGTAGTCGCCACATGGGCATATAGATCCATCACTTTTCTGAACGATGTGGAGAGGGCTAGCCCATTGGCTGTTGGAAGGTCTGCAAATGCCCTCTTCCATCATCTGACGGAACTCTTCCTTCGCAGCTTCGTATTTGGCCGGTGGTAAGCATCTTGCTTTTTCGGCAATGGGGCGGCCTGCCGTTTCGGTGTAATGCTTTACATCGTGTTTCACGGTTCCACGCCAGTCGAGTGACCTGCTCGAATTCCCGTACGATGTCGTAGTATCGACTGTTTGCTGGAGTGGTCGAGAGGGCCACTATGATGGAGAATGCCGGGCGTCCTTTTGCAGAGAGGCGGGTTTCGCGATCAGTGATGCAGCGTCCCTTTATGTCGACGATGATACCGTGATGGCTCAAGAAATCTGCTCCAATGATTGGTTTTTTCACATCAGCGATGATGAATTGCCATTTGAAAGCTCTACGGAGGCCAAGTTTGAGGATGAGCGTTTTCGTGCCATGGGTAGCTATTTTTGTATCATTGGCGGCGGGTTACAGCTCATGGTCATCACTCGGTCTCGCTGCTGGTTGTTGTTTCATTCCTAGTGGAAACACTGATACAGCTGCTCCGGTGTCAACCAGGAAAGTTGTTCCAGTCGCGGAGTCAGTGACGAACAGGCGGGCCGAAATTGAGCTGGCATCGGTGGCAGGCCTGGCCCGAGGAACTGCCAACGAAATCAGTTTTTCGTTTTTCGCAGGGTTCTGTACACCGTCGTGCCTTATCACCAAACTTCCGGTGATAAAAACATAGGTTCTTCTGGTCCGGGGTGGCATCCCTGCTTCGTGAGGGAGTTCGTGGATGGCTTCGCGATCGACGTCGGAGCTGTCCCTGCAGAAGCTCGACTTTTTTTTGTCAACTCGGCCACTTGTTGTGACAAGGTGTCTACAGCAGTTTGTTGTTGATGATGTTAAACTCTCGACGGCGTAAATGTTCGCAGCCTCGACTTCGGCTATCTTATATGCCGTTATAGATAATTTGTCGAGGTCTGCGACGTCTACAGTCGCGAGGATCTCTTGCATCCTTTTGGGAAGAGCTCATAGCCACAGGTTCCGTAGAAGTTCCTCCGAGACAAGGCTCCCAGCTTTTTGTCTCATAGAACGAAGGAAGTCTGGCGGTCGTTCGTCTCCGAGAGTAGTCTGTTCAAGGAGCCGCTTAACTTTAACACTTTCACTTTCCTCGAAAGTGTTAAGTAAGCGAGCGTTCAAGTCTTCGTACGGTGTCTTGCTAGGATTCCACAGGATATCAGTCACTTGATGCAGTTGTGCCAATTCGAGATTGACGACCACCAGCAGATATTTAGCAGAACTTGATACAATTCTCGAAGTAGCGAAGACGGCTTCTGTCTGGATGAACCATAAGGCAGGGTCGCTCCTCCAGAAGGGCGGTATGCGTAGTACCGGAACCACGGCGGATACCATCTGTGATTGTTCGTGAGGCTGATTGTTGGTGTTAGCTTCATCCATGATGCGTGTCCACGTCGAGGGGTCATCAGTTGTTGGGGTCCTTCCGAGTCGCGAGGGCCGGTATCGTACCCAGGAAGTTTGTTGTAGTTGTTCTGCCCTACCGGGAAGCCCGCAACCGTGAGCTCTACGACACAATACCCCTTTCAGGCAGTGTCCTAAGTGGTAGGCCCTGTAAAGCCGGCGAGGAGGCTTTTGGCCCTAAAAAAGGACAGTTGAGTGTGAGGCAGAGCTTCCACCTGTCCTACTGTACCGGGCACCTCGGAGAAGTGAGCTCGTACAACCCGTGGGGGGTCCTTTCTAGTCTTCAAAGTGGAAACCCTAGTTCCTTGAGTAACTCAAGCATGGCTCTGAGAAGATGTATCGCAAGCTGATTAGGTTGAGCCGAATTCTTACGCCAGTCCGATGGACAAGTCTCTTCTTTCGGTGGATATAAATTAGTGAATGGCTTTTTTAGTTTTTAGAAAAACTGTCTTCCTTGATCCTTGGTAGCCAGAGGTATTTGGGAGGTATGATTTTGGAGGAGCGGGAAGTAGCTACCTTGGATTATAGTTTTTCTTTATTCAAAAGTTTTATACAGTTCGTTTATGTCTCTATTTACAATCTGCTGACAATTAAAATTAATTTACATTGTTACTAACCACTATTATATTCTTATTTATAATTTGATTACAACAGAAAACAAACAATCCTTAATTGAACTGGTAATGTGTGGCACAATCCATCGGCGAACCTTCTGGCAAATCTAATTGTTGGTCATTTCGTTAGGTGCCGCTTTCGTTGAGAAGGTGGTGGGTCACCACACATTTGATATGCAGGGGTATATTTTCGCTGGTCAGGAGATGTTTTCAGGAGTTCATCCGTGTTACAGCATTTTTAATGTGCACATCCCATACTAATTTATGATCTTGTTGTAGGCCGAGATAGCGAACAGATAATGCAAGTGATACGGGTTCTCCCTGTAGTTGGATGTCTTCGTTTGTCATATTGCGGCATTAAGTGAATTGTACAGTATGCGACTTGTTTGGATTAACTTTTATCCTCTATTTTCTGCACCATCCGCTCATGTCATCCGCGGAGTTCTGCAGCTCTGTACGGGCTTCCTGGCTGGTGTGGTATTTAGATAGTACAGCAACATCGTCTGCAAAGTGAACTATTTTTAGAGCTGGGTTGGTTGGGAAGCCACTCGAAAAAAGTATATAAAGAAATGGCCCAGCACGCTACCTTCGGGTATTACAGATATCATTCCAAGGGTTAGGAAGTAAGCTTCACCCTGTCATACAGAATAGGTGCGACCTGTGAGGTAGGACTGGAGTATGCGGTACATGGTATCAGAAATATATGGTTTTACTTTACTTAGGAGACCTGGGTGCCATACTTTATCAAAGGACTTTTTGGTGTCATTGAAAATAACCAAGTCGGCTGTTGAGAATGAGAGAGAGGGTGAGAGAGAAAACTGATACTGCAAGTACCCTTGCAGTTGAGCTGGTGTGGTCAGCTTGCTCCAAGTGAATATTGAGACCTCATCAATGAGTCTGAAGTCACCGGGCAGAACCCCTGCTTACGTACAGGGTTCAGGATTGCTGTACATGTAGGGCAAGATCATTCCTGACCAGTGGCCCCAGGCTTGGTAACTAACTACAGGTAGTTATCACAGTATATGATATCACGCTGTTAAAAATACAATAAAAATTATTATTAAAGCAAAGTAGAAGCGTCCATGGGAAGGATCGGAAGAAAACTTCTCATGTATCAACAGCACTGCTGGTGACCTTCGGAGGACCTAACTTGTAGAAAAGAGGTCATCCTAACCCCAATAATAAGGCCATGCAAGGTTGACAGCTTTTGAGCCAAAATCCGTGAATGTTTCCAGCATGTAGAGAAAGGCTGCTCGATCTGTCCCATTTAACTCACTTTTCATAGCTCTTTAGTGATTGTTGTTTTTGGTGACCCCGAGAAGTGCTAGTGTTATGGGCAGAACCATTGATTGAAGTTTGTGGATTGATGTCGATGCAGCAGAAGTCGTAGACTCAGTAGTGAGCAGAGCCTTGTACAGCAGGCAGCCACATCGATGAGAGTGTGAGGAGGATGCTGCGAGTACCTTATTGCTAAAGTTAGATCTTGTTGACATGTCTAAATTAAGCAGGTTGAGCCCCTGCTTATATACAGAGCTGCTACAAGCTCATAGCCATAGAGTCATTCTGAGGTTTATTCCCCAAGGCAATTTTGTCTCTTTGCGTAATTTTAACTAGGTGTGGATTCCACATAAGCTGCTGGCCTAGTTTGATATTTGTCTTCTTTGGAAAATCAAATTGGTGTCCCATTTAGAGTTGGGATTTTTAGGCTTCCTATCACTTTTCCTTGTGAACAGAAGCCTGCTTTCTAGGTATACTCCTAAATATCCGACTTTTGTGGAAGTAAGTAGTTCCTTGTTGTTTATGTACAGTGGAGGGAAAGACTTTTTTGTCAATTGATAATTTTTTATTTTATTATTATATAATTTTTTTAAATTATTTATAATATTGATCTATTAAAATTAATGTGGATTGTGAAACGTTGTGATAAGCCTGTAGTTTGGCAGTGGAAAAAAGACCATGATGGACAAGGATGTTAACTGTAATAATATAAGAGAAGCTATCAAATACATTAAACAGACAAAACCAGCCAAGACCATAATTTGTTCGGACAGCCTTAGTGTTCTGACGGCCCTGAAGAAAACGGATACTCCTGAAGATCCCATTTTTCTAGAGATCAAAAACATTTTGTTAGCTTGCAGAAGCAGTATAGCTATTCATCTTCTCTGGGTCAAAGGCCATAACAACAACCGATTTAACCAGCGGGTTGATGCATTGGCAAAAGCGGCTGCTCTATCGGGAAACGACATCAAAGAGATCTCTGTATCGCATAATAGGGTCTTATTATGCAAGAAATGGCAAAACGAGTACGAACCAAAAGCAAAGACATCTGGTACTCTGCCTCCCAACCAAACATCCAGTCTAAACCATGGTTTTCAAATGTTAAAAGAAATAGGAAATTCTTTACCACTATTTGTAGACTGAGGTTCAACCACAATAGACTCCCATCACACCTGCATAAGTTAGGAATTACACAAACAAGCAAATGCTCGTGCGACGATAACTCAACGGCGGATGCAAACCACATCATACTGGGATGCCCACTGAAGACTACCGGAAGAGAACACATTTTTAAAGCGCTCAAGAAATATAAAATCCCACTCCCCACCTCGGTAAACTTAATTCTAAACTATACGAACTTTATTGAAATACTAGATACCATATACAAATTCATCACCGATAACGACATAGATATCTAAGATGTATAACCATCCTTGAGGCATGTTGGCATCCGGGAGGGGGGCCGCGCGGGGACGGTTTGGCTGGGGACCGTTGGGAGGACATCTCTGCGCTCTCAGGGCGCGTTACGCTCCAGACTGGGTGATGGTGTTGGACTTTTCCAAGGGTAGCTTTACCATGTAAGGTTTTTATCCACCACCATCGGGAACAGTCCGTTACAAATGGAGAGCCCAGGTGTCCTTCCTGGCCGGTCTCGGGGGCCGTGCTGGCTCGGCGGGGGCCGCCTTCTGGGGGCTGGTAGCACCAAGCAATGAATGTAGATGGCTAGATGTACACTAGTTCAAGGCCAAAAAAAAAACAAAAAAAAAACTAATAATTAGTGAATCACTACTTGTGTTTTTTTCTTTTAATTTGTGTAGATGTTAAAGTTAGAAACAAATGTAAATCAACATAAATTGCTTTAATTATATTATGTATATTTTATAACGTGTTTGGCAACAAAGTGTATTGGAATAACTGAATATAATTTGACATGTACTTGGTAATTTTTGTTGAAGAAATAGTTACAATTTATACATTTTGTCTTTGGTAATAATAATAAAGTAAATTTCTGTTATAAAGAAGGTTTTTTTAATAAATAAATAAACTTATTCAACCACTTGCGTAGTTTTCACTTGACATCAATTTTAATGGTATACACAGAATGATAAACCTGAAACCGGTAGAAACTCACAGAACTGCCACCCCACCCAGGAGGCCAAAGATGTTGGTCTTTTTTTCACTTACTAGCCCTTCCAAGGGATGTGTAGATGTGCTACCACCTCCATATCCTTCACAGGTCCAGGAAAGAAGTGCTTAGGTCACCTGTTCGGTGTCATGGATAGGAGTCAGAACCACTTTACAATATTATTACATATTAGCCTCATAAAATTCCATGGGCAATGCTAGGATTCATACTCAGAACAACTAGCATGGCAAATATGAATTGTAAATAATAAAACCAGTTTCAATTTTTATTTTACATTTTACTTCAAATGACTAACTGTACAATAAATAATATACCTTAAGAAATGTATTTTATTACTAAAAAATTTGATTTTTAGGTACGTAAAAATAAATTTATTTATAGGAAAATAAAAAATTAATATTAAAATATACATTTGACACAAGAAAATAATTAATTGATCACAGATTTATTTTAAATGTATTATCTGGTAGACTATACAATATAACAGCCAAGTGATTATGTTGCTTCCGGCTATCTTTTAATGCATCCAAGATTTTGTGGACATATTTTTTATAACGGGAAAACCTGAAACAATAGTAAATATCCTTAAGAGAAATATAAGCAGGCTATTATCATTTTCTTTTAAAATGATAATTAAATGCTACAAATATTAAGGTTAATTTTTAAGAAATTATTAATAATATTGTCAAAGTATCAACTATATTATTTTTAATAGTTATTCAGATATCGATTAACGGTCACTAATCTCTACACATTATTTTTAATAACTTGGCCAGCACTTTACCAGTATGAGATTAACAACAGTTTAAAAAAAGTTTTGATGACCTCATTTTTATTTTATAAAAAAATAATGACCCACTATTTATGTTCCACTCTTAACTTATTATTCTTAGATACCTCATTGGTTTTAATTAAGCAATTTTGCAATTTTTATATTGAGTACATAAAATATTAGTTATTTATTTTAACTGTCAGCACATTCAAAATGATTATTCAAATACCAATAATATAACTAATCTAATTAACTTGTGAATGAAATTATTCATGGTGAGATAGAGAAGCAGCACTTTGTGTTATCATGACTTCAGTCCCTGAGACACCAACACCATATCAACCGACAACTATTTAAATTTTCTCTCTTTTTCCACAAACATTCCATTGCTAAATATGCAATGTTATAAATATATAAAAAGTATTAAAAAACTGATATAATATATATTTATATTTTTGCTGTCTTCAGCCATTCATAGTACAACTAAACAACAGCACAGAAAAAAAAGCAACAACAATTTATTTAATACTTTTTTGCCATGAAAAATAAAACTATATTAATAATGTCATTTACCTTTTAAGAAATGATTTTATATCATGCTCCCCAGTGTTAAGGTCAAGGCAACTAGAAAATGCTTTAAGAGCCTCATTTTCAAGGGAAACAGCTATTACTTCAACCCTAACTTTGTTTGAAAAGCACAGAAGAGCTGATGATAAAATATTGGAAATCTGAAATAGAAGAAATCATACAAATTATGTTTTGATTAATACAAAAGAACAAACTATTTTAAACATTTTTAGTCACAATCAAAATTTAAGAGGAAAACAACAAACTCAGATATTCCTTTAATTTTTAAAAATAATTTATTTGTGGCCTGTATATTTACAAATATGTGAGTAGTTTTGTTTCTCCCAGTAATAACATTGACACTATGACCAACACTACATGTAGAGAAACTAGCCAAAGCTGGCACTAAATATGATGGTTAAGGGTAAGTTAGTCTTGATATCATTGTCTTTTTTTTCAGAATTGATTTTCCGATGCTAACACACATTCCCTTGGTTTGTAACTTCGGCCACTATGTGACATCCCCACCAGACTGATTTATTTTGTATAGTGCAGCCAATTTAAATCACTCTCACTCCTTTTATGTTGTACCAAATACATTCAAAATTTGACAATACATTCCTTGGATATTATACTTTGGTAGTAAGTAAATAAAAGGATAAAAAAAATTTAGTCAAAACTTTATTTGACTCAAAAGCCTGCATTATGTATTTTAAAGCATAATACTCAAAAAACAAAATAATTACTGGTTACTGACTTATTTAGCTCAACCCTGCACACATATGTACATACATACTCATGAGTACAGTGTTAAAAAAATATATATATAAACAAGGACAAGAAAATCAAAAATATGTGCATTAAATTAGTTATCTGTTTATTATTAATTATTTTACTTTATTATTAATTATTAGAAAAATCTAAGTATTGACAAGCTATGAACCCTTGGCCACCACGCCAGTAGTTATCCCTATGGCAACTTTTCTGACACTTCCTGCTGAAAACTCTTCAAGCCAAAAAGGATTGATGGGACGTGCTTTCACAGTCCCTATGTGCACTGAACATCGGAATCAAGCCAGCTTTTACCCTTTCAACTTCTGCCTCATCGAGTAAGTAAGGAAATGAATAAATTATTTAATTGGTTATCTGTTTATTAATTATTATTATTTCCAATTTTTATGCAAAAATGGTTGAGAAGAAAAATTAGTGTCATGAGCAGGACTCGAACCCATGACCTTCAGCTCAATGAGCCACTGCTCTATCCACTTGAGCTATTGTAACTTCGGTACCTTCGAGACACCAACTTATCATCTCAACTGACTATTATTTGAATTTCCTCTTTACCACCAATATTCAAACCTCATAGCTTCATTTAGTTGCATTACGAAGTATCATTAGCAACGGGGAATTTTGATGTAAGAATAACATCTTTGATTATAATTATTTACTTGGTTATCTGATTATTATTAATTTTATTCCAATTTTTTATGCAGTTGGGTTGAGATGAAAAATTAGCGACACGAGTAGGAATCAAACCTATGACCTTCAGTCATTAGTAATTCTCAGAAGTAATTACTTCACTAACAGCTCCCGTGGCCACTTCATAAGTCACTGAGAACCGAATCCTGATTACACGCCATTTGAAAATATGGCAAAAAGTGGGAAAATTCAAACAGTTGTATGTTGAGATGGGGAGTTGGTGTCCAAGCGGATCGAAGTCATATGAGGTCATTATTGATTTGAAGAAGGAGATTTGAAGGATTTAATGCACTGTATAGTGGATGGTTTGGCGGAAATCCACAGTTCCACTTCATCTATCATCCAAAGACATTGTCTTGTATAAAGTTTAAGTTTTGTTTTCTTACATCTTGATGGAGGATTCCACTCAAAACTGTCTAGGTGTAGTCCTAAAAATGTTGGGGGTAAGTCGGTGTAATAGTCCTTGTTATTGATGTACAGTGATAAGCAAGACTGTTTTTCAAAGTATTGGTACATCATTTTCAGTAATATTTTTATAGACAAAAAAAGAAGTTTCTTTTTAATTTGTCTCAAAAGACTTTTTGTACAAAAAATACCTGAGACTCGTATCTTCGCTTTACACTTGGATTGAGCTTCTCCAAAGGGATAATATTAATGTTCAGTTTCTCTGATGTGGTGATAGAATTTCGAGGATCATGCTTCATGTGTGTTACAGACTCATTATTTTTATTTACAGTTTTGAGTAAATAATCTATTAAATCATTACAAGATACTTTCTTTTCAACATATCTGGAATTGTAAGTAATTAGTAAAATATTTTGTTCTTCAGTTTGATTAACTTGTAACTGTTTATTAGATGTTCTTTGACATACTTATCTTTTGTCAGTGCCATGGTTTTGTCCTTAACAATAGTCCTAACCCTTGCAAATGTTGGTTCTGCTTCTTTTAGAAGTACGATAACAGGAATATGTTGATCTTGACAGAAGTCATGTATTTCGTCCAATGTCTGAAATAAAATGAAAATTAACATTAAAAAAAGTATATATATATATCGACTATTCCTTAAATGATTAAATGGACTGCAAGTAAAACGTTTTTCACGCAACCGCACACGCATTGTGCTTTTAAGCNCAATTCATTACCCACAATCTTGACTCCAATTATCCTACCCAGAACAACCCCAAAATCTGTTTTTAATTTTTGTCAAGCACTGAATAAAATCTCTATTTAAATTGTTCACTAGTTTAATAACAAGCAAGGTCTTCACTTAACATATGAATGAAACAATTTATTTATTTTTTTTTTTTTTTACTTTATTTCTCTTTTTCTTTTTTTACTTCAAAGTGGTCGTAGCCAAGAGCAAATTTTTAACACATTTTATTTTTACTTGAAAATATGATCATATATGAGAATTAGTCATAATACTAATTTTATTTTAATCCATGAATGTTTAGCGGTCATAATTGACCATATTAATTATTGCAATTAATTTTTTTTAAATCTAAGGTCTTGGTTGAGATGAAAAAAATAATTAATTGAACTAATTTTATTACGACCCTTTTATATGAGCAGGATTTTTGACCAAAAAAAGTCGAATTTTAATTGTAACTGTAGTAGTGCATAGTGCATTAAGAATATTAGCTGGAACAGCCTCTTGACATACGAAAAGCATTTATTTCTTGTTACACAGTTTGTGAGTTTTAGAGGGGATGTTTTGTGACCTACATTATTTTATTTAATTATCTTAGTCTGTTATGCGATATCTTAGGCTACCAACAATGAAGTCATTTCAGCCTCCAATGCACTATGAGGGCCGATGGGGTCATCGATAGTCCATTCTATTAAAAATCAAAACAGGGGACCTAACAACCTACTCTCATGCACAAGGACTGTTTTAAAATTGAAGGTCAAGGCCTGGCACTCCTCAACCGAGTTTGACACAATGAGTGACCTTTTACTATAAGCGGGATACCTGCATGAGGTTTGCTCCAAAAGTGGGAATAGCCTACCATCAAATGGGTGAGCAGGATCCCTTCCTTTTGTTTCAGGCTGTTGGGGGGGGGGGGTTATCAATCAGTTGTACTCTTGACTCAATCTTCTTGGACCAACCGGCCCATTGACGGTGTCAACATTCTTTTATTACATTCCTTACTACTCATACAGTGTTAGCGGGTCGGATAACAATGGTTCAGTCTGGATGGCGAGACATCCCAGCTTTTAGAGCAGATGTTTTGTGGCTTACATTGACAATCTTTCCTTTATTGTTGTTTTTCCTTTTGCCATGTGTCCATACACGCTCCATAATTAAGGTACTCAGGTAACAATATTACCAACAAGTATTTAAAATAAAGGATCAAAGAATACTGGCTAACTAACCTAACCATCTAAGAAGAAAATAAGTCAAAACTGTATGTCAGCCAAAGCTAGAAATAGTTTAAAAATAAATTTTAATTTTCAAATCAAAAATTGGTGGACAGGATGTTATGGATAATTTTTTATGTAATGCATAAATAATTTAATTTATAATTCAAATGTAAAAATAAACAACAGTTTAATATTTAGTATATTCTTGATTCCAGGACTACTAATAGTTTTGTATTCTTTGTTATAGCTAAGAACAGGCTATGAACCTAAGTGAGCCATTCTTGAACAATACTTTACTCCTGAGAAGAATTCTATCCTTCGTTTAAAAAAATCTTCCCTTAGAACAGACAAAAGAACTAAAAGGAGAAATGTCTGAAGTGTTAGACCACTTTTTTTACTCACGAATACTTTGTATCCCAGTATGGTCTGGAAGAAAAAACAAATATAGAGTTACAGTCCTTGGTAATGTTGGGACTGAGTCTATCTTCAAAGAAATTTGAAACCATTTAATAAAAAAAAAAAAATGAATTATGCCAATTTGAAGACATCTTTAAGATTGTTTTGCCCAGATGATGACCTTAAAATAGATCGAAAGTTTGGCAGATAACAATTAATTTGTTTTTCATTAAATTTTTATGCAAAGAAAGTTGAGAAGAAAAACTAGTGTCACATGTGGGACTCGAACCAATGACCTCCGGCTTTATACCCCAGTGCTATACCACTTGAGCTATCATGACTTCAGCCTCCGAGACACCAATTCCTCATCTCAACCGACTACTCTTTAAATATTCATTCATTTAAATATTAAATTAATTGAACACAATTAGGTTTCGTTGTTTCTCATTTCAATCTTAAAACATTTAATTTCTTACCTCAAGAGTATTTACAAATAAAGTTCGGATCCCTGAGCGCCATAATTCTTTTATAAGCTTTATTCGGTCCATTGTCATTTGGATGGTGCCAAGAGTGCATATCAAGACATCGATTATTGTGATTTTCTCTTGTCCATTTAGCAATGTGACAAGCTTATCAAGATACAATGTAAAACCACAAACGGATTGATTTGATTTTTTCTCAACAAAAGGTGAAATTTGTCTGGAAAAAATTGTTATTCACAATACAAATTTTATAAATTTATAAAACGTATTTTACCCCTTTCTTTTGTAAGGGACATTACAGTGAATGATAAACCATTCTATCACTTTATTGGCCATAAAAATGAGCACATTATTTTATAAAATCTTTTAAAATAATAATTTGAGTAATTTCGTGACAATAACATCTAAACTGTAATTACATTACACAAAATATACTCCATCAATAGTATGATCACCTTAGTTCTGCAAGAAGTCTATCGTAGCGTCCACCAGTAATTATAACGTTGTTATCGAACCGTTTGGTCCTACTCCTCTGGTCGCAAACTAATTGGAACAAAAGACCAGAATAATTCTGCGCATTTGTAACCAAACCTAACTTTATTATAATTGGACACTAAAAACAAAATGTTTAAAATTAGCTTTCCATATTATAATCGTATAATTTATTATTTTGAAAAATAATGGTAATACTATTCAAATAGTATAAGAAACTTCATTATAATTTACCTAACTTGTATCTTTATCAAACTAACGAGAGAATAATGTTAACTGAATGAAAAGTTGCTTTAATAAATAACCACAACAAAGTTAGTCTCATTTCCCAGCTAGATGAGGAAGTTATGTTAAATCTGTTACCACCATGATTCCTAGCCAAAATTTTGGGGGTTTGTATAATTTGATTTTTTTGCTAATGTCAATCTTTTTCTAATTAAATGGGTGGACTATAGAAGTTGATACATCCTAACTGACTAAACATTAAAAACTATTTGAAATCACAAATAGTTAAGAAATATTACTCACAGAAAATTCTAAAATTTGGCAACTCTGAACGATCTGGTCAAGCTGTTGTAAAGCTGGTTTGCATTTTATAATAGACTCTTTATCTGTCAACAATTCTAATTCAGCTTCCACTTTATTCAAGTTGCCTTCAATAGCCATCCAGTTTAGCAAAGTACCAACCGAAGATCCCGAAATAGGTAATGACCTGATTTGAGTTTCAAAGTCAGATTTATTGCGTGCTTCTGCCTGAAAGTGAAATAAAGATAAAATGTAATTAATAAAATAAAACCCACAATTAACCAAATGAATGATTACAAAAATCTAACAAAAATGGGAAAAAGTAAAACATTTTTTAAAACCTGTTTAATTTAAATTATTATTTTAAAATTAATAACTTTTTTACAATTATATTTTTTCCAATTATTTTCATCCTTTGTAAATGCATGTAGTTCCCTACCATTAACAACACTTGCACCAAAGTCATGAGATTTTTTTATTTGTTTGTTCTTTTTTTAATCTATCCTCCTAATTCCACTATTAGGTCTTTCCTGAACACTGCAAAGTAACTTTCTTTGAAAATTTTCAACTCAACTATTGCTCATTTTAGAGATAAAATGATACCTGTGTCTATTTAGACCCACAAATCGGGGTCCCTTGTAATATTTTTTTACAGTATAATTTTTTCCCTCCAATTATAAATTGCTAATGTAAGACACTTTACTCACTCTAGTAGGAAAAAGGTTTAGCCCACTTAGTCCAACCCCTTACCCTTTGTCTACTGCCCTGGATTCTCTGTTTACTTCAAAGCTCTCATTTTTGAGTTTGTATTCAGTTTCTGTACGAAAGTGAGCAAAATGGATGCTAACTCTGTTTTTATACTTGCAGATGATATTTTGTAAGAGTTTCTAGGCAGGAAGAAAAACAAAACGTTTTTGTAACTCTGGTAATGATAGTAAATATTTTATCTGATGTGATAAATGCAAGCAATTCGTATGCGGTAAACCATGCATGTGTTGGAGATTCAAAACATAGTAATTAGGTAATAATGTAAAATAAAATAATGTTAATAAAATTTTATAAAATGTAAAATCATATAATGTACATAAATTAATTAGAGTTCGGGGTCCGAATAACTTCTTTTCAATTAATTAATCTTTATAGAAGGTATTGGTTGAGATAAAAAAGTCAGTGTCATGAGCGGGAGTTGAACCCACGACCTTTGGCTAAATACGCCGCTGCTCTACCATTTGAGTTATCGTGACTTCAATCCACTCGAACACCAACTTTAATTATATTAAAGATTGATTAAGGTTATATAAAAGATGCTACAGGGTACACAAACTATTAAAATTGATTCAAAATATAAAAATACTTTTTTTCCAGCTTTTATGCAATATATACCTTGGCCTTAAAAATTTGTTCGCATTTATCTCTATCTTTATGTTCGTCCAAACTGCTATGACTAAGCATTGTTGATATGAGCAATGAATGGTTTAAGTACAACACACAATTACGTTGCAATAAACTAGGGAATTCAGATAGGATCTCCCAAATCACAGAAAGTATTTCAAGTTCTGGCATAAGGTTGCCTGAAATTATATAAAAATTAATGACAAGTGAAAAAGAGCTATTAATATAATTGAAACTAATTTCATATTGATAAAGGTCAAAGCCTTTTATGTTTGTTTACTTATATATTTGCACTATTACCCCACTCTAAAGTACATATTTATGACCTTGGAAGTCATACAAACAAAATTTACAGTGCAAGTACATATAGTTATTTATTTTGATTTATTACTTTAAAAAAGAGCGAAATCAGGTCAAGGGCCTACAAAAATGATTATTTTGTTATTTGCAAATATGCTTCCTTATGAATATTCCATTGTTTTATTTTATATCAAGCAGGATGAATTTATACTGAACTGTTTTTATTTATAGATGAAATTAAATGAGTAATGAAGAATGATGAATATTTAGCAGCTTTTGTGTACGGCCAGCAAAAAAACTAAATAAACTAGACAAGGTTGATAAATTTAACCAACAACACATATAAGGCTTATTTGGAAGCATTTTAATGAGAAGTTAAATTTTTTATGAACAAAAATGAATAGCATAAATTATATTACACAAAATACAAGTTACCAGGTGTTGGAGTCACAATATCAAATGAACATTCATAAGCTTCTTTCGGATGAATTCCTGCAGGTTTTTCTCTAAAAACTTTATCAATGGCATATCTCTTCAGGTGAGAGACATGAGGATTTTGTATTAAATATCTGTAATTGTAAAGTATTAAATAACAAAATCACATAATATGGTATATATAAAATGATATGTGCATTCGCGAACCACACAACACAACACAACCACACAACAAAACAAAAAAGAAAGTGCATATGAAAAAAAAGAATGGTGAATCAAAAATAAATAATATACAGTTTCCAGTAGAAATCATATACCATGTTGGTTTTTATAAAGACATGACCTTTTATTTTTGCCTATTTTATTGTGAAACTAAGTGTGGTTGCAAAAGTAATTTTGCAGATAGAATCTGCTGGTGCTATTAGAATTTTAACAATTTGCCATATTAAGCCAGTCTGGTAACTTTTTTCAAATGTAATGCCCTATTTTTCCAAACATTTTAAAGTCCTTTCAATCCAAACAAAGATGCATTTTTTTAAAGCCTCACCTTTTTATGGCCATATGAACTAGCGCATTAGCCAGAGTATGTAAGTATTTGTATCATCAAAAAAGTTAGACTTTAAAAAATCCATCTTTTTTCGGATGGAAAGGGGCTTTCAAAATGTTTGAAGAAAAAAAATAGGGCATACATTTGATAAAAGTTAACAGGCCAGCTTAATGTGCCAACTTATTGACGTGATAAATTGGAATTACGGAAATCTGAAGGAAACCTCCAAGATCTTCAAAATAAATCAATGAATTTTTGACTTTTTTTAAGAATAGAAAGGACTCAAAATGTGTGAGAAAAAATCCTCCTTGAAAATTGTCTTGAAAAGAAAAACTCTAATTCAATGAATTTTTGAGGGTCAATTTGTTCTGGTTGTATTGAAGTATTTATTCAGAACTCAATAATTTCATTTCTCGTATAACTGGTACAAAAAGGAGAATAAAATAATAAAATATTTGCATCAGGTTTTTAAAATTCTAATAGCACCACCAGATTTTACATGAAAATTTATTTTTGGAACCATCCTTACTGCCAATAGATTTATCAACTAACAGACTGTAAGGCTATCATTTTTGTCTCACCTTGAAAATGGTGTACGCAAATCATATGTTGCACAAACCAGTCCTCCCAGTCTGGTCATTAAACATACTGCTGATTCTGGCACTGGATTATTAGCCGGTGTAAGAAGAGGAGGTAAAAATGATATCGCTCCATGCTGCTGAAAAACCCCTTTAATCTTTTGGCAAGTAAATTCCAAACAGTATGTGAAGTTACCAGAACGCCAACTTAACATATTAAAAGTAGCATCCAGAGCAGGTTGCATTACCTAAAAGCAAAAAAAGCAATTTACTAATCAGCACAAGGAATATTAAATAACAAAACTACCTGATGGAAACACGAAGCAACAAGATATTTATAATCTTTGCTTTGTGGGTTCGATAAAGTTCGCCTAACCATTTCTTTTACCTCTGCTTCTTCTAGTTTTGGGGGAGGAATGAAGTCACTTTGTAAAAGCTCTTGTGAGTTAGGCCTCTCTTTTACATCATGACTTAACATCCACCTTTCAACAAGAAAAATTATATACATTCTACCATCAGCCCTCTCACACTACACTTCATTCACATAAATAAATGCATTCAGTCTCAATATACACAAGGAACAAGGAGCAAGACTATTAAGTACTACATACAGTAAAACAAGCCTGTTTCCTATAAAAATCGAGGAAAAAAGGAACCCAGGTAGTAGGTGTCATGCTCATAAACAAATTCTCATATTTGGTGGCATTCTAAAAGCTCTCTATATGGGGCTAATGAGTTGCACCCTTCAATTAAGTGGGACACCTTTCTCAACATGCCAGATACATATAGAAGCTTTCCCCAAAAGTAAATGTTTGTGTGTCAACCTTGCATGGCCTGTCCTTAATTCTACGAGGCAAATCCTTCGAGAGACACCACTTCTGTTGATTAAAGGTTCTTTACTGGTCCAGCCCACTGATGCTGCCACTTTCCTTTAAATCCATGTTTCGTTTCTAGGTCAGAGTGCTGGAGATAGTGGAGGTTGGGACGCCCCAGCCTTAGCCACTTATTTTCTTTGTTTATAGAAGCTCAATTTTGCACAAACATGCACATGTATCCACTTCTGTACAGAGCCTATGATTGCATTAACACCCCTTTCACTCAATTACTGAATATTCCTCCATTACCCTTTACGTAGATAAACAACTATAGCTATACTAGCTAGTTTAACTGAGGGTCGATGGGAATTAATAATATTCTGCCTTCGATGTTCTTATGATACACACACATTCAAGCTCATTCTCACATTACTTAATTTCAAAATTAATTATCAAATACCTGATCAACTTGTACTGATCAGAATTAGAGTCAAATGAAAATTCTTCTGGAAATATGATGCTAGGTTGACGCAGATCGGTTAAAATCTTGTAACGCTCCATGGAGGTATTAAATGGTGCATGGCACATTTCAAAAAAGATAATTCCCAGACTGAAAATATCAACTTTCTAAAAAATAAAAAATATATATATTTTTTGTTTTGTTTTGGTATAGTATTAGAAAGAGACACTTGTTTCCTGTTCTTCAGATGGCCTAAGGTTCATGAACATGTCTGTCATACACAATTTATATTCTGTATTTACATTTTGTATTAATGACATATTTATTATAATAATAACTATTATTATCAAAAGTTTTTGTTTTACTTGATCGTACTCTAAATTAATTTAAAACAAAACTCTTTAAAAATATTTAATTGTTAATGTTTACATGGCAAAAATAAATGCACATTACAAATTAGAAAATATAACATGATAAAAATTAAAACTAAAAATTTCATGACTTGAAAGGATAATGCACCCTTGGCCATCTTCAGAGCAGGAGAGCAATTCATCACATTGCCTTCCTCCAGTATGTATTGTCATCATAATTAAACTTATTAATCTTTATTTCCCGTATCTTTAATAAATTACCTGATTATAATTTGTGCGAGTAATTGGACTGTTTAATTCTGGTGCAACATAAAAAGTCGTTCCAACTTGCCCAGTGTGTGAGACATCTTTGGTTTGTTGCGATAATGAAAGATTACTCACGGAACCACCTTTGTATTTGTCCATTTGTACAGTCGGTAGAACATTTTCTCTTGAAATACCTGATCTGCAATAGTATTAAAAAACCAGTATTCATTCTTCAGTTTCACAATAGGTTTTTGTATTATTTTGATTTTGTCTTAACAAAACCATTAGAAGGGCAAATATGTGTTGAACAATAAATATGTTTTTACCAACTTTTATAATTTTTTTTATCAAGTTATTATTAATTAATTGGAAATATGTTTTTATTTGATACAAACCAAATGTAGCATATTTAATAAATAAATAATTTATAATTGCCCTCTATCCCAATAATGAAGCCCGCAATTTCAAACTGAAGCTTTTAATCTTTTTGGGACCAATTTTTGGATGCTAAAATATGTTTCCCTGCCAATTATAGCCTCGGCCGCTATGACCCCCCCCTCCACCATAATTTATTTTGTATTATGCATTGAATTGCAAAGCGTTCCTTTTATGTTGAAACAATTCAGTTTAAAATTTCAGAGTTTACTGAAGGAGGGAAAAAGTTGTATTTAATTAAAAATTTATATAGATCCAAAAAGTCTTCCTTATGTATTTTAAAACATAATATACAAAAAACAGAATAAATACTGATTACTGATTTATTTAGTTCAACTCTGCACACACACAAATGTACATACATATACACGTGTACAGAGTTAAAAAATATGTGTGGTGGTTAGTGACCGTTAATCAATAATTATTCAGAAATCGTTAGATGCGGTCTGGTACGATTTCTGAATAGTTAAAAATTATATGCACATAAATAAGGACAACAAAAACAAAAATATAAATCCAAAAATTTCTGTGAATGTAAACCATGTAAAACTTAAACTGAGGCCACTTGACAGACAAGAGGTGAAAAATCAGAAAGACAATAAGATAGATGGTAGGGAAGGGTAGAGGGGTTAGGAAGAGTGTGAGGTAGACATTCCCAATTGAATTGTGGTTCACAATTGTGGCTGAATGGTTTACAAGAAAAAGGAATGTGTCGCAATTTCACAAAAGTTTGAGAGAGAGGCCAGATTGGGAACAGAACGGGGGGGGGGAGTGGTTCGTGATGATAAGATGGAAAGGAAGGGTGTGGGAATAAGTCATGAGAGATCACCATTCACTACCGAGGTGTCTGCTACACATTGGATAGAACCTCAGCCCTATAAATGCCAGGATTGTCGAGTTTGGGGTTTCTCAAAATCAAAACCACAAGGACCAGATAATTCATCACTGGGGCCTATGGAGCGAGCAAGCCCAAACAAGATAACTGAATGAGATATCTCTTCACTAGTCCTGAAAAGGTTTCGAACACCTTGCGGATTTGGTGGGTCAAAATTTTCACACTTTTTAACTGTAGTAAACAAGAATTTTTGAAGAAATAAAACAAGATAAACAAGTCAGGAAAGTAAATGCAAAGAAAATTCTTCACACCCTTTAGCAATTTTTTCCAAGCTAAAAATGTTTCCATTTTTACAAGAGGCATCCTGGCACAGAAATAAAAAAAAAAGAAAAGATTTTTCCCAGTTAACGAAATACTCTTTTTATTTATATTTATTATATTTTTTATTAGGCACATTGTTTCAGGGTAATAGATGTTATTTTAAGTCTAAATTACAGTAGCTTTTGGACAACCAAACAAATAAAAACATGACTATAAGCATAACACATTGGGTTGATGCAAAAGTAATGTTGTATGATTATAATGATTATCATTTATTGTAAAAATTACATATCAAATGAACATTCAATCAATTTTTCAAGACTCTTCTTGAGGTGTGCAAGGCCTGTAGCTTAATTGTTTCAACGTTTTGGTCTCTCCCCATTTTGGTATGGGATTATATGATTTTTTGTTTAGTCATATCTCTTTTTTATGTTTGTTGTGAGTTAACAGTGAAAGTAGTGTATCGGTGATGTCTTCCTTTTAGCGTCTATGAAGAAGATATCGATCTGCTATCACAAATATTAATGATATTGATTTAAGCACTTTTAACGTGTTTTAAAATATATTTTTGCATCAACCCTTCATATCAACTGCATAAAGAACACAAAAAGCAACCTGTGCCAACTGCCGTGGTTCAAGACTGCACACAAGAAAATCAATTAATTTATATAATACACTTTACATTAATAAAATTGTGCTTTTGAACTATTAATTCTACCTGCACAAGCCTCATTCCTTTCCAACTCCTCACAAAGCATCACTTATATGATTACTGTTATAAATCATAAAGAAGAATAAATAATAAATTGTTATAGAATAATAAATTATTCTTATATTGTAAGATATTCTACATAAAAATAATTTTAATAATGAACTTACTTAATAACCATTATTTTAAATGGTCCTTTCACAATCTGGTACCTAACAACATTATGGACTCTATGGAGGCTCTAATTAAACAAATGTTTTTATAATCTTAGCAAAAAAAATAGCAATAAAATAAATTGCTTACTTCTGAAATATGCTGGATGTAGCCAAACCAAAGTCACCAATTTTCACGTGATCTTCGTGCCCTATGAATATGTTGACAGGTTTTAAATCCCTATGGATTATTCCTTGTTGATGTATGTGGCATAACCCTTCAACTATTTCTCGTAGCAAACGCCACACTCTTTCTTCCTCTTTGTACAAACCATTGTCAATTGCAATTCTGAAGTTTAAAAAAAAAATTAAGTTATATTATTCATTTATTAAAATTCTAAGGTTAGCAATCAAATGGCTATCATCAAAATGGTGCCTTATGAGTTTATTTATGAAAATTGAAAACTAGGCGCTGTGCAGGTTATATAACTAGGACGTCATCTGAGGGTCATATGAGACCCAACCAGAAATACTAATTTAGATGATAGATATAATTTAAAAAAATATTTTTATCATGTTTTATAATTAATTTTAAGGCCATTTATAAAACTTAGAACAATTTTTCCACCCCCAAAGGGTCGACATTTGACATGTTAAATCTGTTTTGTTATATAAAACATTCTTTTAAAGACCTTCTCTACAAAAGAAAAATCTAATACATTGATCAGTAACACCATCTAATTAAACAATTTAAATCAAACATAATCCAATTTTTACCATTCAAAATTCCTCGATTAATCAAGTTTTGAAGAGCTGGTTTAATTGAATAATTCAAAAATTCAGTAAAATTCATTATACACACATTACTAGAACAGGAATAAAATAGCCATTTCACCTTAATGTACTCCTTTCGCACAATTCCATTTGAATGTACAAATAAAAGAACATCGGTTTCAAAGCCAAAGAATTGGATCCATCAACTGATTCTGATTCACAGGTTTCTGGCTTTGAATGAGATGTTGATCTGAAATAAAAAAGTTTTCAAACAAGAAAAAAATTATGAAACAAAATAATAACAATTGTTGGAAGAAAAAAATAAACAGGATGAATTTTTATTTTTTCAAATCAATAGCATACTGTTTTAAGTATTTACTTTATCTTCATTCAACAAAAAAAAAAAAAAATGCAACATTCTATTATAAAACTTCACTTATAACCAACATTTTTAGTCAATTTATGCACAAAAAAAACTTTAAATTTTTATATGTATACAATAAATAAGTGCAATTTTATAAATATTTGTCTAATTAAAAAATAAAAATATAATCATCATCATAAAATCAGTTGAATTTATCTAAACTCCGTGAATGGAGTGTTAGGATAGATATATTTGATTGTCTTTATTGCTCAATAATACCTGAAATCAATCCAGTTGCTCTCAGAACTCTCACTGCTGGTCTCATCTTCTTTGATACTCCATTCTTGTGAAACATCTTGTATACGTGGAAATATGTCAATAGTTACTTTTAAATCCTAAATAAGATTGAACAATTAGATTTAAATAGACGCTTTTTTTTTTTTGATGGGCTTCCAACATCTAGGTCATTTCAGCCCCCAACTAAGTATATATTCTATTTACCCTTTCAAACACTACATTTATACAAATAAATACATTCATATACATAAATACATCCATACAGTACACTCATTCCGTTTGGTCGGTGGAGTACTTGATATTGTTCCACCGACCTATACTCAAACTAATCTAGATTGAGGTCGATGGAGTACTTTTATAAATATTCCGCCATCGACCCCGAACACACACTCATACGCTTTTAACATTAGACGGGCGATGATGACGTTTCACCCTCACCCCTCGCCATTCACACTAATAAATACATGCACTCAGACAAAACATATAGACACACAACACATAAGACATATTATATACAATAAAAAAAACCAATTTCCCCTAAAAAGCGGAACAGGGGACCCAGAAACCCGCTGCAGTGCTCGAGTACCATTTTCAGATTGGATGGCATGCCTACAACTGTTTTTCCGAGGCGCTTCAACTCAGAAAATTTTTCCATCAACAGCACAACGAGAGGTCCACAGAGACCTGTCTCACAGGGCCCAAACAGCGCTCAGAGAGTCGGTGCATATGAGGAAGGCAGATCCTACCTCAGTCCGCACCGCCTCAAAAGCGTGGCAGATCGCATACAGTTCTGCCATGTATACGCTGCAATGGGGGGGGGACAGCGACCAGAAGGTGGCCACTCTTTTGCTATACACGGCACAGGCCACACCATCGCCCGTCTTGGACCCGTCTGTAAAGACTAGACCAAAACTGGCGTACTTGTTCCTAAGTTCAAGGAACTTAGTCTTATAGAAGTGTGGCAGTGTACACGACCTGGGCAAGCTCGCCAGGTCGTCGCGGATGAGTACGGCTGGAAGGGTCCAGGGAGGTGTTTGTCGGTCGCCCAGCCAAGGCTCTGTACGAGCACTCAAGAATCATCCTTGCTAGGGGATGCCCCGGCTTGGCCAGATAGCCGCATAACTGAGGGTGAGCTGCTCTCTCCATGCCTTACTTGATTATTAATAATTTTAAACTAAAAATCAGAGATAAGGTCAATTTGAAAGAAAACACTAAAGTCCTTGCATAGAGCTTTCGATGAATATATCCACTTTTTCAGGATTTAGAAACTATTATTTATAATTTACACCTTTAACTAATATGAACATCTATTCAGAATGATTATTTGAAGATCGTGAGATGCAGTCTGTTGTGACATAGGTTTAGAAAAACATTGTTTAAATTATACAAATGCATGTAAGATGTGAAAAAATGAATTTATACAATGATAGAAATTTTAGATTAGATTCTGAGTATTTGTACTCCATCAAAGTACACAGGAAACAAACACTTTGAGTATTTACATGTATGTGTAGAATTTAAACAATGTTTATAAATCCCAGGCCCTGATCTCAATAAAGTTCGAAACGGCACAATAAAGAAAATGTTGTTCTAAACCTATGTCACACCAGACCGCATCTCACACTCACCAAATAATCATTAATTAATGGTCACTAAATACCACACATCTATTCAGAATATTGAAACTTATGGTTGGTTAGAATTTAATTCGGAGTGAACATGATCAAACATCCATTCAACATGCTCATGGGTTCTAAGTGACACTAACTTTTGATCTCAACAACAAATAATTTTTTAAAACTTCTTTCCTATTTTTTTTATTAATTTTTTTTTTTTTTTTTTTGTCAGTCTGAGCGGAAGACACCATGTTGTACATACTGGTATTGTCAGCAATATAAAACCAAGCAATTTTCCCTCTAGCAGTCTGTTTTTTTTTTTTTTTTTTTTTTTTTTTTTTGGGGGGGGGGAAGAATAGCGTGAAAAAAAGGCCAGGGGCAACAGTGTTCAGCTACCGTGGTAATACTAATGCATCTTGTAAACTAATAATTTTAAAACCTTCCAAAAAAGTATAATTTTAAATTTGAAAAATTATTGATTTAGATTGTTAAGGGAGCAAGCATGATTGCTTAAATTTTATAAGACGTTATTTTTAAAAATGTTAATAAAACAAATAAATAATAGCATTAACAGCTGCAGTACACAAGGCATTAGACTCGTTTTAATTATTTGTTGTTAATTTATTAATTGTTTTTCCCGCTATAAATTTTCTCCTAATTTTATTTTTATTATAATGATTCACTGCTCCATATAATAGGCATACTCATACTGTTATTAAGTGACAAATGTTTATTAACTAACTTAATTTGTTCTCCATAGATCCACTAATACAAGAAATTCATGAAAAAAAGCACACAAATAAATTTAAAAAACTAAGAAAAGATATAATTCTATCTTGTAGCGCGGGACATGTTGGCATAGGTGGAAATGAAAAAGCTGACCAGGCAGCAAAACGAGCAGCATGTCCTGTGAACACCAGTGAGTCCAATGGATGTGAAAAAGTATCTTAAAAACCATGCTGCAAGAATGGCAGAACCAATGGACCACCATAACCAACAAATTATATGGTAAACTATGAAATAATACTGTCGGTCAAATCTTGAACCATGGAGGAAATGGAGGAAAAAAAAACAGAATCATATTGACCACCTGCTGATAGGCCATACATGGGCACATACTGACCAAAGACCACTAAGATGCCCTTTATGCGGCACATGAGTATCTGTAAAACACATATTAACAGTGTGAGGAATTTGCACCGCAAAGAATAAAGTGTGACCTGCCTGCACACTTTAAAAAAGCTTTTAAGCATAGTTGTGGTTATAATAAGTACAATTCAATTTCTGAAGCAGATAATGGTTGCCCTTTCATATCTAGGTTGAAATAACATTTTTAATTTAAGTGAATGTATTTATTAGTGTAAATGTGATAGTATGTTTGGGTGTGTTTATGATGGAATATCAAGTATCCACAAACACACTAAAGTCGTCTACGTTATTTAATTTTATATATATTTTATATATAGAGGGTATATCAAAAATTGGTGACTACTCGTGTAAATGTATTTGTATGCCTGAGTGGTTAAGTGTGTATGGACACTGTCTGTGTGGAATATCGAGTACTCACAGAACTGTCAAACCTATTAGGTTAACTTATGATAGCGAATGCATCATGTTTACTCTGTGTGAATTAATTTATTGGCATGAATGAATGAAAGGCAGCAAGGTGAAAATCATCTTGCTAGGTTTAGGATGTACATAATTTTAGCGCAGTTGTAGGGGTGGAGTCTCAACATTATAACAAGTACTCTTGACACCCTCCAAACTTAGATTAGACAATCATTTAAACATGAATGTGTATTTTAATTGACTTAGGAAATTTTAATCATGTGAGGAAGGGTTAAACATCAAAGATAGAAGTAATAAAAAAAATGTGAGATAGACAAAACATGAGGAGCCAGCAACAGCCCTAGCTGCTAGCCAGCTGGGGGGAGGGAATTAATTTGATATAATCTAAAACAATTACGCAATATCTGCGATCACCATCATTGTGTTGACTTTCTTCTTCAATAACATCGTCATAATCATCATCTTCATCCTTTTCTTGTGGCATTTCACAAGAACTGTGCTCAATCCAAGAATTATAATACCTAACAACGTTCTCATGATTTAACCTTGACAGAAGTTTCACTTCCCGCAGTATTTTTTTATTCAACTGCTTATTTGAAGCATTCAGTTGTATTTTTTTAATTGCGTAATAACCATCATCCAGTTTATTTCTGACCTGAAGAAACAAATTAAATTTCAATAATACACCATTCATTATGAAACAAAAGGATAAAAAATGCAACCTTTAGCACATTGCCAAAAGCACCTTTCCCTATCCACTTTATGTATTCAAATTCATGATCAAATCTTGTTTGACCTGGGCGTGCAGAAATATTCCATGGTGTGAATTCCTCATTTTCTTCATTATTGTTATTCTGAAAATAAAATATATTAGAAATTATAGAACAACAGATAAAAGGGGAAAAATAATACAATTCACTTTCATTTAAAAAGTTTTTGAATAAATAACAAAAGTCCAAAATCAACAGTAAAAATTAATTTACAATTAATTAAGGTTTTTTGTTGAGATGAAAAAAAGTTAATGGCACGAGAGGGATTTGAACCCACGACCTTCGGCTAGAAACGCTGCTGCTCTACCACCTGAGCTATCTTGACCTCGATCCACTCGGACATCAATTCCACATCTCAACCCCACCTTATGAGTTTTCCCTCCTTTTGCCATTTTTCAAATGTGTAATCGGTTTGGATTCTCGACGACAATTGAAATGGCGACGGAGAGCTTTAGTGAAGTGTACTTCATTTTATTCATTAAATTCACTAATTTCGTGGTCCGCTTGACCAATTAATACTTTACAATTAATTAAGGTTTTTTGTTGAGATGAAAAAAAGTTAATGGCACGAAAGGGATTTGAACCCACGACCTTCGGCTAGATACGCCGCTGCTCTACCACCTGAGCTATCGTGACCTCGATCCACTCGGACATCAACTCCTCATCTCAACCCCACCCTCTCGTGCCATTAACTTTTTTTCATCTCAACAAAAAACCTTAATTAATTGTAAAGTATTAATTGGTCAAGCGGACCACGAAATTAGTGAATTTAATGAGTAAAAATTAATTATTTAGAGAATGATTGATTATGCCCTATACTGAGCATTCTTCTTATCAGAAAAACTGGAACAAAGAAAGTTTTTCCTCGTAGTTTGTTGTATATTGTATAGAGAGAATATCAATTGAGAACCAGCTTGTAAAACAATGCTGAAGAATTTGATATTTAAATTAATCTTAAAAGATATGATTCATCCTCTTCAATTTGAACATTTTAAAACAAAGTGAGCTCATAGTATAATTTACAATATCATTGATATGTTGATGAAAGTTGTTCTCACAAGAATTTACAAATTTTTCTGTCAACTCGTATATGTAATTAGAGATGCATGACACACATGATAATGACAGTGTGTATGCAATTCTTAAACGTTCATTCTGGGAAATGTGGATTTTTTCATAGTTTTGCACATATTTGACTATATGGAGGCATAGGCTAGCATAAGTCTTATATAAAGATAGTAGATTAATTTGTTGCTGGATTTTTTATTGAGTAGTAGTAAGTGCTACTTCTAGTGAGTGTAACAGGATTGCAGTGGCCGAATTGTTAGCACATCCTATTTGCCCACGCTAGCGGTCCTGGGTTTGAATCCCGGCATAGCCCATGCATTTTTAATTCTGAATAATATGGACCAAGGTATTTTTAGTATTATCAACATTTATAAATATAACACGTCTTGCTTCCTTTTAGTAAAAAAGATAGCTTGGGATTTGCCAATGTTAAGTTTGATTTTCCACTTGTTAAAATATCTGGACAATTTTTTTTAAGGCTGTTAATAGATTTAAGGTGTGAACCCATTTTTCAAGTTCATTCTCTGGTACTTAAAAATAATGTAAATTATTTTTTACATTACATTTATCTAAGCGGCGATATAAATTATGTGTCCCCTCAGTTCTAAATAAATGAAGAAAGCAACCCTTAGAACATTTATTCAATTTGTGTGTGTAGTTGAAAGTTATGTCTACTTTCTAGAATTATTTTTCCTTTATTGTACATAATCATAAAAAATGGGTAAAAGCCAATAGCCACAAGTGAACCTTTAAGTCTAACTTGTTTTAGTTCAGATCCTTTTTTGCAAGTAATATCAACTAGTGATATGCATATAGACATTGTGTTAGGTTTTCTATAAGATTTCAATATCCTACTCCTATGTCATGTGACCGCAATCCCTACAACCTTTTTGCCAGGTGGACCACCGCTTGGCACCAGGGGAAGGAACATTTAATGTCCCTCACCCCATAATAGTCCCTGAGAATGCTAATGGTTTTTTGTATAATCGGTACATTTAAAGTTGAGAAATCAAGAGATCCAGATCAATGCTTTTATTAATTTATACCCTAAGGATACTAAAAAACCAAAAATCTCGTTTTGGCCTGAAGATGAGGTATGCAGGGACCCCATGGCACTTTAGGTATTAATTAAAATAACAAAAAACAATTGCATAGAAAATCAAATTACAAAATTTTAAAAAATCACTTCCAGGTGAAAACATTGCAACAGCCGGAGTTGAGGCAGCCCTAGGAAGTTGGAACAGAATTGTGCAGCAGTAAAGTGGAGGGAGGGTTTAAAAAGTATAAATGGGAGGACACAGACCATCCGACCACTACAACCAAAGGACATTTGGCATGATGCAATGTTGCATCTTATGCAGTTACTGTGTTAAAGATGTTACTTTAAGTCCTCTTTATGGTTTAAAGTGTAAAAAGAGTTCAGGTTCACTATAAACTTACTACTACATTACTAAACTTATAAAATTACTACCAGTGTTGTTTTAAACTAATTTATATATGTGTTGTTTATTGTTGAGTAGATCTAATTATTGGGAATTGTATGATTATTTTGCACAATTAATACCAGAAGAAAATAGTTATCCTAAATGAGAATGACTCGCCTTTTTTTGGGGGATTTTCTCATCATCTTGAAATCCAGTCTCCTCGTCCCTAAAATAAAAGTAAATTATAGAAATGTGTGATAAATATACATAATAATTTTCATTAAATACCACGATTCTTGTTTGTCATTCTCTTGATTAGACTTTTTTGAAAGAGATCTTTTTCGTAATGCTTTTTTAACCTGTTGTTGTTTACTTTGGATTTGTTGTAACACCACTTCACGCTAATTAAAAATATTCCAATAGGTTAATTTAGTGTTTTAATTATCTCTTACACTGTTTTACTTTTGTTGCATAAAGAAGTGTAATAATTTTTATTTACTAACCTTACGAACTTCACACTTTTCTTTCTCTTTCAGCTCTTTTTCTTGTTTTTCTTTATTACGAAGGATCATTTCTTCATAAAATGATTCATATCTATGCTGAATCGATTCGTGTAAGAAATTCTAACAATAGACAATGTTAAATATATGTTTATTGCATAGGAATACTGTTTTAATACCTCTACATGTGTAACAAGCTCAAAAATCATTACTTCACCCTTTAAGCTATTTGCAAGAGTATTTAACTGTTCTAACAATTTAGTAATTTTGACGTTAGATATTTTTCTCCAATTTTTGAACGATATTTCTGGAACTCTAAAACAAAACATAAATTTATGGCAACCATCAATCAATCATCATCACTATTTGCAGGAAAATGTCTGAAGGACTAATGGTTGGTATCAGTGAAAACAATTTTAAGTAAATAATTTGCTTCAAACCCACCTTTTTACATATTTAAACACAATCTAACTTTTCAGATGTTTAAGGAGTTGCAAAGAAATCAAGCAAAATTATTTTTTACTGATTATAACATACTTACATGAAAACATTGAGGCAAAAACAAAATTTAATGATTCTTTCTATTGTGGAAATGGAATCAGCTATTGTGCAAATTGTCTATTATAAATGATGTATAAAAATACATACTCATCTGGGTACTTTTCTGAGCATACAATATGAAGCTCAACCATTGGATCATTAGAAGTTTTCTTTCTGCTACTGGCTAAAGGACCAAGAGAAAAGCTACACTCAAGTGGTTTCCAAATACCAGATGAATCTGTTTCTGACATTGCAATCACCTGCCCTCCATATATTGCCTGCGCATAAAAAATATACATCGTGTAAGCGTTTAAATTAGACCCAACAGTGTAGAAGCTGTAGATATTTATTTTCAAAATAGACTCTGCCGCACAAATGGCATGGTGAAAGGGAAAGTAAGGTTTTTGAGTTGACTAACATTAAAGATTCAAAGAACTTTTGGTAGAAATCCATAGGATCGCAGTCTTCTGGGACTGTAAGTCCTTTAAAGATAAAGTTTTTGAAGTGTTGTTTATAATCAAGAACTTCAAGCACTGATTCCTACCTCACCGTTTTTTTTTTTTTTGGTTTTTTTTTTTATATATATTATTATCAGCAATGTTTCCTTTTTAACAAATCAACTTTTGTGATCAGCCATCTCAGTTTTAAATTCAAAATATTCTAACATGAGTTCTGACATAGTCGTTTGTCCTACTTCGTTTTCTTTTAACTTCTCGTGTGACACACTTTTGGGAAGTGATAATCATTTTATCTTGGGATTGCTTTATATAGGAGAATCAGAGGCATATGTATATCAGAACAGCTGATTGCCAGGAAAAAGAAGCGATAGTGGAACATGTCCTCTGTTGTGTGAAGACCTATGCAGGTTCGGATTCCTACTCCTGGGAGAGAAAAAGCCCAGATATAAATTGGCCCAAAATGGCTTAACATGATTCCTCCTGTATTAAAAAGTGAATTAAGAAAATGAAATATGCAAATAAACTCAAATCTTGGCTCTTTAGCATTATTTGTTGCATCTGTTTTAACCTAAATTAATTTAATCATATTCTGTTGATTTACCTCCCATTGTGTTAGAAAAAAACATATTTGTGATTTTTCATTTTATACAACAATTTATTACAGACGATCGGTACCAATCAAATTATAGATTCTTAGTTACAATTATGGAAAATCTACCCACCCATTTTACTCCAAATTAACAATCAAACAATAATCGATTAACACCTAAAGCGCTGTGGGACCTCCTGCATATCTCGTCTCAGTCCATTTGAGAAAGAGGTTTGCAGTTTAATGTGGAAAATAAGTCTATGTGGAGAATAGAACTTAAAAACATCCTCAGCTCAATTATGCAATATTTAAGTGAACAATCTTTGCAGCATGTAGAAGAATCTGAACAGTTCTTGTTATATAACACATTAATGGAGAAGAAAAATGAATGTGGGGTGTTCTTTGGGCCGAATTCAGGGAGTGAATTAGACAGCTAGCTTAGCTTTTCAGGTTGAGATATGAGATGCTAGGTTTCAACGGCATTCCATAAATAGAACAGCAGCGCGATCATGAGATTTGCACTATATGCACTCAAGGAGTGAGGGAGGACATCTCAATGTATGTCCTGCTCTCTTGCACTTAAGATTAAATAGTTTAGTAGCCATCGCAAATAATATGCTTGATGGCGAGACAGTTGTATGCATGTTGTCCTCCCACAACTGCCTCCCTATCCTTAGATTCGCTAGAGCCCTCATATTAAGAAGTGGTAACATAAAAAAATAAAAAAATAAAAATTAATAATAATAAATAAAAGTAAATGTATTAATTAATGCAATTTAATTTAATTAAAAATAAGCCTTGCCTTACTTTTTAAAATTATTATTTAGAGTAATCACACATTTTGTTATTTTATAAATGTTATTACTACTCACTGCAAAATAATTGTTTCTGTATTGTTTCTTTAATTTGATAATTACTTACTACTGGAATATTTCTCTTTCCTCTTGCAGGCATTAACCATTAATTACTTTGTATATTATACAATTTTTTTGTATATTAAATATATAATGTATTTTTTGTTATTATGTATTATTTTTATTTGCCTTACTTTTTAATTATTATTATCTAGGGTAATTACACATTTTGCTATTCTATAAATGTCATTATTGCTCAATGTAAATGTTTTGTTTTGTTTCTTTAATTTTAATAATTGCTTACTACTGTATACATAGTAACTATTAATATTTTCTCTTAGTGAATAGTTCTTTCTTTTTTTAATGGCAAACTGACAGACGGCATTAGCCATGCCATTATACTTTCTGTACCATTCAAAATGTAATTTTTATATGTTTACTTTTTAAAATAAAAAGTATTTCAATCAATCATAACTCGTACCGACCGTGGCATGAGGGACCCATGGCGCTTTATGTGTTAAGTTGTTGGGTGTTGGACTGAGAGTCAGTGAACATATGCTGAACCGGTATTGGGTTACTTTTTAGGTCTATCTACACTTAAAGGTTTAATTTTTCTAACTTCAAAAACCCAGTGCTGGTTCAACAATAATTAATTACTTTTACTAAAACAAATACGACAGCTATATTCAATAATAATAAGCATATTTTGATACTGTATTCTTTGCACAACCATATTTCTGACTAAAATTGTTTTTTAAGGATTTTTTTTTAAATAATACGGGATGAAAGAACAACAAATTAAAATATATAACAAAAAAACATGCATATGGAAAATATAATAATACCATAATAACTTCCTTTTCGTTCTCCTGGCGATCTCTGCACGAATTTGCATCCATAGCCGCATATCTTCACAAGAATCTTTGGTTGTGGCTAGCAGAAAACAAAGCAAAAAAAATGCTGATCAAGAAAAATCACCGAGCTGTCTTCGGGAGACAATTATACGTGTAAAAAGTCAGGAAAAACATTGAGTAACAAACCAGCAGCACAAAATTTTCCAGCAGAGAGCAATTAAATTGATTTAAAATAATGATTCTTTAACTTGGCCAAAAAAGATTTTAAGTTTTCAATGATTTCATTTAAAAGAAAAACCGCTTTTTCGATTTTCAAATCACTAAATGCATATTCTTTTCTTCTTCTTCTTCTTTTTTATAAACATAAAGTAGCTGTCTATTCAGTTGACAACTAAGTACCAGGATTCAGCCCGATAACATGAAAATCACCTCAAGTTGGCGCAATGAAGCACACATGTGATTATGACATCAGAGCGGTACGCACGGTCTCGTCATTTTCATTCCCGTCGTATGACAAATTGATGTCTCGAATATGCTGTATCTTTGTATGGTCTGGGTAAAAAAATAAATCCAGTTGTTACTGCCAAGCTTTCGACCTATATTATGGTCAATAAAGTCATTACGGCAAAACAATCTTAAATATGTCTACATATTGACATAATTAAGTTTGTTATTAAATGGTTTCAGATTCCTTTGAAAACCAACTCATTCCCAACATTGCCAAGGACTGTAACTCGAATTAGTTTCTTCATCCAGACCACACAAAGATCCAGATTATCCATGAGTTAAAAAGTGTTAATACATCTAACAATATAAACAGAAACAAATGGGAGTTATTGCTTTCAACAAATGTTTTGCCATTATTCAGTTTTAAATTTAAAATTTTCACTACCAAAAATGAAAAAAAATACTATGTTTAGTCGTTTTAATAAATCAAACTGAATCAAGTAAATAGAATTGACACTACATCATTCTGCTAGCTTCTAAAAAAATCTTTAAATATGTAATCTTGCAGAGTGCTGTTCTTGCAATAGCATGAAACTAGATGCAAATAAGTGGAAAACTGTTAGTTACAGTCTTGGACAGAGCATTGTCTTTTACAATTACACCATACAAGACATCCTATTGGACAGGCAAACAAGCATTAAAAACTTTGGAATCACCTACTCTAGCAACATGACATTTAACTTTCACTGCACTTCAATAATTAATAAGGCTAATAAAATGTTAGGTTTCATACATAGAACTAAAAAAAATTAAGGCTGAAGAAACAATGTGTTAAGGCACTTGTGTTTTTGTGTTTAAATGATGCTGCCATCTTGCAGAATAGTAGAGAAACTGTAGCAAGAGAGGCAAATTATTACACTCTAAAATTTAGCTGAGGTTAAGTGGCTGTCTTGAATGGAGCCGCTCTGACACCGGGCGACATCAGAGAGTAATTAGCCTTACTCCATCATGTGGAGCTCTGATGGAGTGGAACTTTTAGTTCCCTAGCTACTCGCGGGAATCAAATGAGTATAGAAACTAAAAAACTAAACCTGAAGCAGGATCTCACTGCTCCAAAAACACCTAGCAATCTGGAGACTAACCCCCAGATGGACATTCAGTCCTTGGGAACAAAGGAGAGACCACCTATCCCATCAAAAGACAAACAACAGTCGCTATGTGGGAAATCTAGCACCACACAAACAAAAAGGCCCAACACCTTAGGTAATGACACAAGAAAATAGGGGGTCTCTCTTGAGAAATCAAAAGGGAAGAAAAAAGTCTCTGCCGAACTACTGAAGTTAGGAGAACCAAGCGAGAATGATGACCCTCTCAGGAAAGGTCTTAGCGGTGCTATGACCAAATGGTACCTGAGAGCGATAAGATCGGGGAAAACACCCGAGGAAGCAAGGAACATGGCCGATGACAGGGAGGCCAAGATCCAAAAGGAGAAACTGGAAATACACTCATCCAGCAAGAGGGAGATTTTTCCCATCCTGCTACAAAAAGGAATGGATATAATCACTCCAACATTGATGCGATTATACAGAAATAGTTTAGCACTAGGTTACATACCACAGACATGGCGTAGGGCAAAGGTGGTGTTCATACCGAAAGTGGGGAAAAGAGACCCTACATTACCTAAATCCTACAGACCAATCAGCTTAACATCCTTTCTACTAAAAACCCTTGAAAAGCTGATGAACAACCATATACGAACGATAGCACTGGTAGACAAGTCTCTCCATTACTATCAGCATGCATACAGAGCAGGAAGATCAACAGAAACTGCACTGTACCAGCTAACCAGTGACCTAAAGGAAACACTGGAAACAAAGGAAATAGCAATCTGCGCGTTCCTCGATATTGAGGGAGCCTTCAACAATGCATCTCATGTATCAATGAAGGTCTCCCTAGGGAAAAAACACATAGACCAAACCACATCCAGATGGATTGGAGAAATGCTAAGAACTAGAATAGCTGAAACAAATATAGGATCAGACACTATAGAAGTTAGCACAACCAAGGGATGTCCTCAAGGAGGGATACTGTCACCTCTTCTATGGAATCTAACAGTTGATGAACTGCTCGAGACCCTGGATCATACAGGGATAAAATATCAGGGATATGTGGACGACCTAGTCCTGACTGCCAGGGGAAAATTCGAGGAAATTCTCTGTGATATAATCCAAGAGGGACTAAAAATCACAGAAGAATGGTGTAAAACTGCTGACTTAGGAATCAACTCTAATAAAACAACTATAGTCGCTTTTACACAGAAAAGGAAACTTGATCACATGAGGAAAATAACACTCAATAACACCGTGATAGAAATCAAATATCTGGGCATCACACTAAATAAAACACTAACATTTAAGAAACACATCAGCTCTACCATCACGAAGGTGACGTGAGCTTTGATGGTGTGCAGAAGAATAGCAGGAAGGAACTGGGGATGCAAACCGGAAACCCTGCTATGGATAGTAAGAAAGGAAAGAACTCACAAAAATACAGAGACTTGCATGCATCTGCATAACGGGAGCAATGAGAACATGTCCTACAATTAGCATGGAAAAAGTACTGGGATTAATCCCCCTACACCACATGGTAATAAGGACAGCGCAAAAAACCATCATTAATTTTACCAAAGAGAAACAGGAATAAAACTAAAATGGAGAGATAGCAACAAACTATGGAAAGACCATCCAATACTCATGGCTCCAAGAGACGACATGAACAGGATGTTTGAATTTAACCAAAACTTCTGAATAAACCTAGGTACCAAAAAAGAATGGGAACGAGAGGGAAACAACTCTTTCAAGAATGGCACCATCCTTTGGTACACAGATGGATCTAGAACACAAAAAGGTACAGGGGCAGGAGTAGTAGTAGTGAGTTCTTTTCTTTTAGTTACTTGCTCTGCTTTATCAACCCAGGCTATAGCTCCGTATGTAAGTAAAGGTCTTGCTATCATGGTGTACATCCATAGCAGGGTTTCCAGTTTGCATCCCCAGTTCCTTTCTACTATTCTTCTGCACACCATCAAAGCTCGCGTCGCCTTCGTGATGGTAGAGCTGATGTGTTTCTTAAGAATCCAAGAAGGATTTGGACCTGGAACCAAATACTCAGAACCCATGGGAAAATACACCAAGTTGAGATTCATGCAGTCGAAAGATGTACCCAACTCAACCTAAGCAAAGGGTACAAAAAAATAATATGGCTATCATGTCAGATAGCCAAGCAGCCATCAAAGCACTAAGCTCAAATATCATTAGTTCAAGGATGGTACTGAACTGCAAAACCAAACTAAACATATAGCTACGCAGAATAAAGTCAGCCTCTACTGGGTCCCAGGACACGGAGTAGAAGGCAACAAGAAAGCGGACACCCTTGCAAGAAATGGGGCTGCTACACCGCTGATAGGACCCGAACCCTTCTGTGGCATAGGAACCCACACTATTAACGAGTATCTCAGACAGAAGGACAAACAGAAAATGAGGGAACAATGGAATTCACTCATTATACACAGACAAGAATCTTCTAACCAATTTTGGAAGGAAAGAAATTACAGAATGTGTCAAGGGAAGCAGGAACAAACTGCGAATCCTAATAGGATTCCTAACAGGACACTCCAAGTTAAATGGTCACTTAAAAAAAAATTGGAATAATCCAAGATGGCACATGCAGATTCTGCAAAGAGGCAGAAGAGACACCAACACATCTACTAACAAACTTCAGAGCTACACTAGCCCGCATGAGGAAATGTTTTGGGATGTATGAGCTTCAACCATTGAAACCAGGCCTATTAATCAAGTTTCTTGATGAAATTGGACTCACCGATGTGTTTTAGACAGAGCACGGGGGATACAATAGCTCTTAAAGAGCGCAGTATACTATACCCTGAAACTATATCTACATCCACATCTCTTTCCAACCCTAAATATTTATTGCTTATAAAGATTTTTAAAATAAATACCATAGAGTGCACAATGATTGTACTGTTTAAGGCTATGGTCCAACCCAGTTTAGAATACAGTTCAGTTGTTTATCACATCAGAAAATACTAAGTAATTTGATAGAAAACGTAAACAATTTATTCACACTTTCTGGTTTAGAATTACTAGAACGTAACTTGGGCACACCTTACAAACTTATGGAATCTACAGAACTGCAACCACTAAATACATGGCAAAGTATTGACCTGACATTTATTTAAAAACCGTTAAATAATATGATCCACTGCACACAATTAATCATTTTTTCTAAATTTCCATGTTCTACAGTGTAATACCAGGTAAAAATGTTTGAAAAATCTAATTACAGTACAAATTATTTAAATTTTAGTCTGATTCTTTGACTCAAGGAAATGAGTAACAAACTTTTTTAAATTGTGGCACTTTTTACCTTTTCTTTTAAAACATTTTTTTTAAATATGGATCATGGCAATTGTTTTTGATTTGTTTACATATTTCTGCTTTTTCATTAAATTTTTTATCATTCCTTCTCACTTGTTTTATATTTTTATACATATATAAGTATTTTTTGCAATACTTACAATAGTTTATTTGTGTTTGATATTTTTGAATATGTCCAGATTTATATTATAGATATGTATATTATGATTTATGCTTCAATTTATTCATTATTACTTATGTATAGTTTAACCTGTTATAGAACTTTTAACTGGGTATATTTACCTGTATAAATAAATAACTAAATAAATAATGTGTTTTTTTAGTAACTGGTTGTGTAATAATTTGTTAGATTCATGAGTAATGGTCAAGAATGAGGTAATTTAAAACACCTTTTTCTTTTTTCCACCTTTATTTGGGTCATCTTCAGGGCATAAAGTGTGGTGCTATTCTTGTGGTGTTATGTGAAATTATTGCCTACAATTTCCTTGACACAACAATTTCACACAACACCAATATGACACCACAAAAATAGCACCACAATAAAGGTCGAAACGTCGGCAAAAAAGTGAAAATGGTGTTTTTCTAAACTACCTCATTCTTGACCGCTTCTCACAAATCAAACAAATTAATAAATAAATAATGCTCTCCAAAAGCTCATTCAGGCTCCAGATACAATCAAATCTGTGAATCAGATTGACTGCATGATCCCTGAAACACTGTTTACAACATCATATAAAGTCTCAACAGACGACAAAGGAGAAAAAGAATTCAGGAGGAAATCAGATACAACAATATGGTTACAGATGGCTCCAAAACAAATGAAGGAACCGGATCAGGTGTTTTCGATTCAAGCCCAAAATATGAGCAATCAAACTCATTAATGTCTTTCAAGCAAAATACAGCCCACATTGATTGTGCTTTAAAAAATGTTAAAAGAGGTTGCACTGACAAAAAATCCTCATAACATCGGATAGCCAAGCAGCTGACAGAGGAGATTTTGCAAGATAATAGGCCCTGAACCTATTCTTGGGCTAACAGAAAGAAACATCCACCATCATAGAATGAATCTAAAAAGACAAAAGAAGTAGATAAATTCCAGGAGCGCTGAAAACAGTAAGTTGATGTTATTTAGACTGGCAAATTCACTGCTACAGTTACAGAGGGTTAAACTCAGAGGAGGGACAGGACTATTTCCGGTCACTGGTATCTGAGAAAACATCTAGACAACATGGGCATATTCAATGACCACATTTGCAGGTTATGCAATGAGGAGGAAGAAACAGCCACCCATATCATCTTCGAATGGGAAGCAACCACTTAATGGAGACAACATGGGATAAAAAGAAAACACAGGGAAAGTTATTGTAGCAACTAGACAATAACCTATCACTCTGTAGGAGAAGGATAGAATCAATTGGATTGAACTAAAGAACTAGGAACGTACAATAAGCCAGATGGCTGCAGTCCTTGGGGAACAAAAACCCCAACTTCCTAATTCATATTCATCATCATCATCAAGTTATTAGAGGGTCCTGCCTAAGTAAGAGAGGTGAAGCTTATACACAAAAAGAGTGGCTGTTGATGTTTCCAAGTAGCATTTAGTTGAAAGTAAAAGCTGGAAAGTGAAATAATTTTCTAATAAAGAAATGTTGAAAAGAAAGAAGAAGGATAAGAAGGAAGCTAAAGAAATAAAAACCAACAAAACAAAGCTATAAAAGAAAAATATTTTATACCTATAATAGTTTATATCAAATAGTTTCATTTTCTTTTTAGTATAATAAATCTATGTTATATTTTAAATATCTATATATTTTACTTTATTTATTTGCATTTAACCTTAATAAATATGAATTAGATCAAAATGATATGAAAGATAATCAGGCATCCAAATAATAAAATAAAAACAATCCATAAAAAAGTATATTTAAATTTAAAGAATTATATTATATATATATATATGCATAAAGCATGTTAACTCTCCAAATAGTAAATAGTCATACATAACAAAAAGGATTCACTAAAATGTGATTTTTTTTAAATTGTTTGAATTATCAAAAAAATAGAAAATATAACATGCATAATGTAAACATATATTGTACAATTGATGTCCCGAAAAAAATTTAAAAAAAAATAAACAAAAAAAACCAGTCCACAATGTATTTTTTGTGTGCAATATATGCACATACACGATTATAAACAATTTCAATCAAATTTTATGCTGTTTGTTTTCATTCCTAATTTCACTGCTCCCAATTGATGTTTTTTGTTCTCCTTCTGCCTCACCGGTCTTGATTTCTTTACAGGTTTAGGCTCAGGTTTCTCTTCGCAAATCGGATCCTCCTAGTTTCAGTAAATTGTTAGATTAATAATTTTTTTACCAAACGCATCATAAAGATTGTAGAATTCAAACTCACAAGTGCTACCCATGATTCTCCATCCCAATCACAATTATCATCAATAGTAATATTATCATCACTAATATCCCAAAATGTTTTTTGTGTCTGGTCAAGCCATTTATCATCAGACGATGCACTTAGTAGCTTCCCGGTGTCAGAATTAAACAGGTTTAAAGGACCACTATTCTTTCGACTTGGCTGTTCCATCTCAGATGTTTCTTGATTATTTTTAGTATTATCGACTTCTTTCTTTTCGTTATCTATGCTAGGCATTTTCTGTTTACCTAAAATAGATATATAATTTTCTTAATAAGATAAAAAGAAGATAAATCTATGCATATTTATTCAGAAATCGTGAGATGTGGTCTGGTGTGATGTAGGTTTCAGAAAAACATTTTCTTTATCGTGACAACGTTTCGATCTTTATTGAGATCATCTTCAGGGCCTGGGATTTATAAATATTGTGTAAATTTAGGGTGTGGAAAAAAGTGAATTTATACAATGCAAAATATATTTTTTTATATTCAATTGAAGTATTTCTACTCACTCAAAGTGTTTGTCTTCTGTGTAATTGTGCCATTCTTGCGTGTCGTGTTGAGAGTGCCAGTGAGATATTGCTGTTTTATGTTTATATACGTTGGATTTTGAAGGGGTGGGGAAGGAAGTCGGTATAAAAAAGACATTTTGGTATAAGGCATCGGCTTCTCTGAGGTGAAAAGAGCCGACGAAGGGAAAACGTTGGTAGGTAATGTTTCGGCCAGATTATCCTTTCAGTATTATATAGAAAGGGATAAATAGGAAAAGGAAAGCTAAATCGTTGAAAAATTAGACTATGTGAAAATGTTTGATGTGGGGAATGTGATGTGATGATAAATGTATGTTATCTATATTGAATTTGATTAATGATATTGGCGAAGCTGCGACTGAGTTTACATGTAATTGATGCTGTGTTTATCTCTGTTGATATAAACCATTTCTAACAAGTTATGTTTATGTTTGTTTTGTTCTGTGTGTAATATTTTTGGCTTGCTGAAGTCGAAATTGTGTTTGTGTTCAAAATGGTGGGTAGCGAGTGCTGTATGATTTTGCTTGGGTTTTTTGCAATCATAGATATGTTGCTTTACTCTCTTGTCCAGATATTGGGATGTAAGTCTGATGTAAGTTGCCAGACAGTTTAAACAATTGATTTTGTAGATTACGTCAGATTTATTTGTTATTGGTGTGGGATCTTTAATTTTGGAAAAAAGTGTTTGAATTGCTTTATAATTTTTAAAAGTATTTTGAAGTTATCGGACGAGAGAAATGTGTTTAACTTATGTGGCAGGCCATGAATAAATGGCATGGAAATGTATGCTGGTTTGTTTGTATTTGATAGATTTGATGTAGTATTATTAGTACTAGTGGATGGTGTTAGTGTTGAGTTGTAGTTGTTGATTATTCTGTTAATTATTTGTTTAGGGTAGGGATTGTTATGGAGGATCTGTTTGTATATCTTTATGTTCTTGTGGTGAAATGATTCATGGCTTAGGGTAATCATTCTGTGAAGTAATCCTTTGACCATGTTTATTATTGAAACGTTGGCACAATAAAGAAAATGTTTTTCTGAAACCTACATCACACCAAACCGCATCTCACGATTTCTGAATAATCATCGACTAACGGTCACTAATCACCGCACACTTCTATATATATTATTAATTATCTTGATATGATAGGATGGATATTAGCCTTAATATTGTAATTACATATTAAAAAATAATTTTAAAAAATCAAGGATAAGGTGAACATTCAGTTCCTTTGTCAAGCTTTTGAGGAATATATTGCCTTCATCGGGACTTTCCAATTATTTCTAAATGATTTACGCAATTAACAAATATTCACATCTACTTACAATATTAAATTATTGCTTCTACCATAATGTATGAGAATAAGTTTACCAGACTGTGCGATAGTTGGCGTGAGGCACATGTTAAGTAAAATTTATTTAATTAATGTTAGCACACTAACAACAATGAGGAACTAAGTGTTTTTCTTTCTACATGCAATTACATTATTAATTTCCACTGCACTAATGCATTAATATTACTATACATCAATATTTATATGCATCAAACCTTCTGATTCAAATTTACTATCAGTTGTTCTAGAAGAAAATTTAGATGCGACAGCTGTTACTGCCCATTCTGCCCAAGATGGCACTGGCTTCAGAGTGGACATGACTTCCGTTTCTATAAAATGAAAAGTAATCCACGATTTATTATACAGGAAAATTCAACCTGCACACAACAAAAAATTAAACAAACAGACAAAGTTATTCATATCAATTAATTAATTACATAATTAATTAATTACATAAGACAAAGGTTTGTACTTAAAAATAAAATTATTCTATTTTCTATGCATATATATCACATCATTTGTTTTATTTATTTTTACCGATTTCTTGTTGAAGTGATGGATTTTCAGACACTTTTTCAAGTTTCCCTATGAAACCCTTGATCGTCTTAAAGGCACTGTCTCGTACGCTTTTATCAACATCTACAGTTAAATGGCACAAGGAAGGCAATATCTTTTTCCCCACATCGTCTAGAGTAAAATATTGCTGGGAAACTGCAAAAGCAAGAACGCCTGAAAAATAAATTTTCAAACATATACAATGCCCTTCTCTAGAAATCTGACCACAAATAAAACAATCTTATTCATTGAAAATAATTTCTGCTTTTACAGACCTGCATTCCTCACTGGTGGAAATGGGTCGTTAAGAGCTCTAATGAAAGCAGATAGCAAAATTGCTTTACGATTTTGTGGACAAAGGCAATAAGCAATTTTTCCAAGGCAAACTGTTGTGTTCGTACGTATACCACCCTATTTAAAAAAATTTCCCTGTCACTAACATTTAACAGCTAGGGTTTTTCAAAACAATTTGATATTTCAATTTTGTTACCTGTTCATCTTTTGCCTGTAACCTGGCAAAATGCCTCAAAACTTCTTCATTGAGATTCTTGTTATTTAGTTTGGGAGCTAAGTGAACAACTGCCTAAAAAGATTTCAATCATTAAACTCTGACATAACCAATTTTGAATATCAAAATATCTCTATGGGAGATATCACACAATGTAATTTACATTCAAAGATTTAAAAAAAAAAAATAATAATACAGGACACTTGTATTTTGTAGCTTATTTTAAACTGTGTATGTATTTTTATTGTTATATCAATTACAATATACTTATTTTAACATAAACCAAATTAAATGAATCAGAAATTTACGAGTTTAAATAAAAATTATTTATTTATGATGGTTTAAATAAAAATTCACTAAAACTGGAAAATCATTTAGTGACAGACTAAAATTTAACTAACAATGTATTACCAAGTTTTGCTCTTAATAACACATATTATCTCCTCTGGCTTCACAGAAATCCTTAAAGACTCCTAGGCAGTGTGAAAATAAGAGCTAAGAGATAAGATATCTCTTGTGAAACAGAATCCCATTCTTCAACGAAAGCGGTTTGAAGCTGTTCAATATTGTTGGAAGATTCTTTATATTCACTAATTTCGTGGTCCGCTTGACCAATTAATACTTTGTTGGAAGAGGCGAACAATGTCTAACCCATCTCTTTATTGTGTCCCATAAGTATTTATAGGATTCATGTCAGGGGAACGTGTTGGCCAATTCATTGTGGCAATCCTAACATCCTCCAAGTAACGGGCGACAACCCGTTGGGCCACTGGATTCGAACCCGGGACCTTTACCTTACAGTGAAGAGCGCCATGTCAATGCTTAAACTGTTGCGGCCACCGACGCCCCCATTCGGATTGTTTGGAGTCTCAATCTACCACTACCGTCCTCGATTCCAATGGTTGGTAGAGCGCAGCACACCATGACCTGGGCTACATAACGAACTCTACCTCCGTTGTTGGCCAAAGCAACTGCCCGAGCGAGATCTTCATGACTTAAAACCGTAATTAATAATAATAATAATAATAATAATATACACAAATTTATTGTTTCATCAAAGAAAACAATTAACTCACTCCACAAGTTGGCTCTGGAAAGAATGAAATGGACAGATTTTCTTTATTTTTAATTTAAAGAGCCTAACAGGTTTAGTAACACTATAAAAGTAAACAAAAAGTTATTAATGCTGTGCTTACGTTTTACGTCAACTATTAATTAAGTTATTATGGAAAATAGATAAATACATTTTTTTGTCGTTGAGTGTATAGACAAACAAATATTGTGTCTGAATAGTTGAAAATCTTATGCTTTTGTTCATATGAGAAAGTGTATGTTATATGTATCTATTTTAGTACATTCAATATATATCTTACTAATAAAGAGAACCAGCTGGCCGGGTGGTTAGGGCATCTGAATTATATTTGCCACGCTAGTGGTTCTGGGTTCAAATCCTGACAGCCCACGGTTTTTTAATTGAGAATAATATGAAAATAGTAGTGAAATGGTGTCATCGACACCCAACGGGTTAGTTGGATGTTAAACAGGAATTATACGATACATTTGTATTACATTTTTATCTTATTAATGTCAATTTAAAAAACATGTCTCTAATAAGCAATATATTTTATAGTGGTGATGCTATTGTTATAATCCTTTAAAAATAAATAGTATTTTAGTATAATTAAAAAAAGAAATAATTTTTATAAGTAACATGAACAACTGTAAAAACCTCACCTTTATAGTTTCTTCTCTGATTCTCGGGTTTGCATCCACAAAACCATTTGTGAGCAATGGAAACAAATTCTCATTAATTATTGATTCTGGTATTGAATCTGGAAAAGCAATTGTTTCAGCAAAAACAAACAATATTGTTTTCTTCTATAATGTGAGAGAGTGGAGTTTTTTTTATATTTATTTTTAACATTAAGTTAAGTTTAAACCAAGAAAAGGTAAAACAAAATTGCAGAAGGTATTCAATCTGCTAATAATCAGTTATTATTATACATTAAATTGCCACATTTGTTTCTTACCTATGATGTGTTCAATATTCTGGAGCAATAAACTTCTTGTTGCCCTGTCTGTTGAGGCAAACAATTTAAGCAAAAAAGGCAGAATTATTTGTTGATATTTTGGCTTTTGAAGAGATTTAGATATCTATCAAGAATAGAATAAAAACATTGATTTGTCATTTCAATCATTAAATTTACGTTTTGGACATATATTTGTGTATAGATTTTATAGATTTACCTCCATCATAGGCTGAATGAGACATGCTCCATCGCAACCATATTCAAAAGCTCTAATCATTTGAGGCAGCACTTTGTCAGTAGCTGTACATGTAGGAATTATTTCCAACAATGGCATTATATTAGAAAAAAAGTTTTTACTCTCTTCTTTTGATTTTATATGAATTTCATCCAGAAATAACATCGCATCAACAACATCATTTTTGAAAAACTTTGTAGGCCTATTAAAAGTAAAAAATAAACATTGTGAAAATATAATGGTTTTTTTAAATATATATAAGTTACATCCACAATGGTAACATTGTTATATATATATAAAGTTACGTGTGTTGACTAATCGAGTCTTTAAAAAAAAAAAAAAAATTAGTTAAACACAACTTTGGGGACCGCGGTAGCCGAGTGGTTAGCATGAGAGACTCTCACGCCGTGGTCGTGGGTTCGATTCCCACCGTCGCCTCTGGCCCTTTTTTCCCGATAACCCCCAATTGAACAACATATATAAGAATTCGTCATGGCTAATATGCAAAGATCATAAGGCAAAAAAAAAAAAAAACTTAAAATTTGATAAGAACCTTTCCTGTTCACGGATATGATTAATCTCAATCTGGCTTTACAAGTGTAATGGGAATAACGAACAGGGAAGGGTCTTTTGCTTACAACACATTCTTCGAATCTGTACAGTATCATCTGTCTCTGAATTGGCGTATATTGTGTGTAACTTATATATATAATTTTTTTCTTTTTCTCCCCCTCCCCCAATAAGAACTCTTAACGTCAGTGTATTCTCACTAAATAAACTGCTAAAAAATGAATATGGATACTGCCAATGTTTGTAGTACATTATTTACTTTCCCATTATTTTTATTTTATTTAAATTGCATTAAAAAAGAAAAGTTAGAAATTATGTTTTTTTTTTTGCTTACATAATTTTGTTTATTAGACACAATGATTTTTTTAAACAATTAATACCGTATATAATGTGTTTTGTCAGCTAAAAACCTTTGTGCACCTGTAAGGCCTACTGTTAATACGGTTATCACTAATTTCATAAGTAATTTCACTCCATAGACGCTGCAATGGTGCACACAGTTGTAGCAGTCAACTGGTTGCGGAAGGTGATTGAAAAGCCTTCTCTGCATCGTATCCCACATGTGCTCAATGGGATTGAAGTCTGGAGACAATGGGGAAAGGGGCAAATTGGAAATTCACATGTTTTCTAAACTCTGAAAAACAACTCTGCCTCTATGAGGTCTGGCATTGTCATCCAGAAATCGAAAATCCCTGCCAATGATATCCCTGGTTTGAGGGATGTATTCCTCGATAATTTCTTACATATATTGGACTGTAGTGAGGTTGCCTTCAACAATATGGAGTCCAGTTCTTCCTCCAGTGTAAATCCCAGCCCCAGACCATTACACCCTGTTTTCAGTAGACTCTTTGGCGCCAGCTATCACTATACAGCCAAAAACATGACTCATCAGTAAATATAACAGCATTCCAATTGGTGTTCTCTTCTAGGAACTCACTGCACCATATTCTCCTGAGTTGCTGGTGGTGGGCTGTTGCTGCGATTACAAATCGTTTGTGTTGATAAAGACCTTGCCAAAACATTTTGTACTTCATCAAGGATCTGGCAGGCACTATGGAAAGGGTTCCATCTTGTAGCAATGACAATATTTCTGTCCTCCCTTAGACTCCAGAGATTAGATATCCACTACCGGGCCTCCTATTAGTACTTCCAGTCACTCGGAATTGGGCTAAAGCCCCTTAGCCCACTCTCTGAGAAATGCCAATTGTCTGTGTGATATCCACTTGCCGGTGACCTCGATGACTCATTCTCACAGATGATGTTTTTCCAAGGTTAAAGAGAATACAACTGGATTAACATGGAGAAAAGTCAAGTAAAGGTGTTTGTTTACAAAATGAGTAATCTTCATGTTTTCTATTCTTAAGAAATCCATTATTAAAAATGAGAATTAACATTTGTTTGTTTTTGGTTTATATTTTCTATTTTGTTTTATCCAACTAACAAGAATATATCAGTTAATTTAATTAAAGTTAATAGAATAAGAATAAATTATAAATATCCCTATTCATTTTTGAGAAGTATATACTTGAAATATATANTACCTGAAGAGTTCTGACTAAATATGAAAAAAAAAATTGTAGCATAAATTTTGCAAATAGTATTTCTGGGATCTTACCTTTCTAAAACCTTGACTGTACTTAATCGTTTTTGAGGGGATGCCGCAACGAGTTCACAATATATAGGTTGCAATTGTTCTGGAATCTAAAACAATGATTAAAAAGAAGATAATAATTATAACTTATAATAAATTTTTAAAGGTGTACAGCTATACTAAAATATACATCATACATTTTTTATGGTGTAATAATCAATTGCATGTTAATTTATTTTAATGCTCACAGCGTACTTATTAATAATAAAATCTACAAAATTTTCAGATTCATTATTCATAAAATTAAAATTCAGAGAGATAACATAATAAAACAAGCATGACAATACATTGATAAGGTATCAAAAAATGTCTCACTCTTTAATAAAAAATTTTTTTGCTTGTTACTTTTTTTTACCCCCGAGGGTTCGCAACAGCAGAGGTTATATCAACCCTCGGGGTTCCGGTGTATTTGAAAAAAAAAAGCCCATTTGTAAGTATGTCGGGTACGAATGCAGGGCCGTTGGATTCGAACCCGGGACCTTTACCTTACAGTGATGGGCACTGTGTCAACGCCTAAACCATTGCGGCCACCGACGCCCCCTTTAGCTTGTTACTATAAAACAGATTAATTTTGATAAAGTATTGCTCTTCCAGCAGCATTATCTGAGTTATTTTTAATTAATAANAATAATAATTATAAACAATAATAAATAAAAGAATGTTCAGGGCGGTCATAGTTTTTTCAGGAAAGGAAAACACTGTGGTATTATATTGAAAGTTTAACACAATAAAATATTAAAAAATAAGCTTTTGTCTCAAGAATGGTAAAATTAGACCTGAAATAACCCAGAACTTTGTGCACTTAGAATTGTAAAAATAAACATAATTAAGAACTATTTACATTGTTTTACTAACATAGACTGTTTAAAATAAACCCAAGCTATAGAAAAGTTTTGAATAGTTGTTACTGCAAAATATAACCAGGGAAACAATGCATCTTTAAGTTTCGCATTGACAGCCAGCATAATGTAGCTCCTAATAAACAATTAATCAATAAAAATAAAAATTTTAAAATTAGTTATGAATAAAGCGAATGTTGCATATTTTCATTTTTAGATATGTGTTTACCTTGTTCTCTTTTTCTTTACATATTGTTTTTATAAATACCATCATGGAATTTCGGCTAATATTCCACCTAGTTCGAAAGGAAAAAGTCTCACAATACCAATGTGCATGTAAATAATATATACATATTATTTTATTTCTTGAAAGTAAGGATTATAAGCAATAAAGATGATGTAGCATGAAAAAAGATGTTGGGTGGTGCTTTGAGGTCGGGCACCAATACATAAGAGGGGGGCATGTTATTCCGCCTGCCTTTACATCTATCGGCTCCTCTTTTATACTTTTAATAAGTGCCATGTCTTTAAGTGAGGCCCTGACAACCTTTTTTTGGGGTAACAACAAAAGTAAAACAGGTTTACTCCTCCCAGACAAGAAAAAGTAAATTTCAATTTAAAACATATAATGTAGGTTATCATACTAGATAACTGCATTAACATTTGTTAAAAATAATATAATTTTCCTAAATTTATAACTAATTTTAAACGGCAGGTTGGGAGAGATAATATAACAGTCATAACTGTGTAAATATAGCGTGTGTAGAACACCTCTCTAAACAGCTTAATCAAAGTGGCAAAAAGAGAAGAAAGTATGTACCTTTGTTATATTTTTTAGTGCGTTGTTATGAGTCATCTTTCCATTGAACACTTCCCACATAAATATTCCTAACCCCCAGCTGTCAATACTCCTGCAAATTGTTAATGGGTTAATGGTTATAATAAAACATGCATATATATATTTACTTACCAATAAAGTGAATCATCAGGACAACTACCTGATTTTATTTCTGGTGGATTGTATTTCTGTAATCCCTGATGTATTTTTAATGGATATGAACTATTGCTTGCTGAAACATAGCCAACATCTCCAAGTTTCCATTCGCCCGCACTGTTAACGAACACTGAGCCAGAGAAAATGTTGTTGTGTTTTAACCTAGCATCATTATGGAGAAATGCCACACCTTTCTAAATTAAAACAAACATTAAGAATGTAGTTAAAAAATAATTTATATGCATTTCATTCCTAAATTTAAACATACCAATTAGTCAAGAAATTTTTTTTTAGTAAAATATTTATTGCCATCTGTATAAAATAATAATTTTTGTATTTTTATGGGTTTTATCATATATATATTTACAATACACATCTTGAGGTGAGTTAGCAACCATTGCTGTTGTCCTAACTATACACAAAGGCTAGTTCTAGGCGAGGAGGTCCTGGGGCCATATCCACTTTTGTCGTCTGACTGGATTGTAGGGATGGATTAAGTTGCAGATAGATTGGGCTATTGGGTTGGGGTGAGTGGAAAGTTTATCATGGAACTTAGAAAATTTGGTTAGGATTAATTTATTTACAAAGGGTATTTGTCACTGTGGAAGGTTGGTTGGAAGGTGATGGTCGTTAAGTACGATTCTGAGGGCTTTGGATTGGAAGGACTGAATTGGTTGGAATTTTGGTAGGTTTTGAGGTGCAGTCCATATGTCCATGTAAGTCCATATGTTCAAATCAGTTTCAATAGTGATTTGCAGAGTATCAGTTTATTTTTTGTCGACAAGTTAGATTTACGCCCAAATAGTTTATAGAGTAGTCCAAAGAGTCTGTTTAGTTTCTATCTTTTTAGTTGTATGCATCAGTTCGAGGTTAAACTTGCGTCAAGATAGAACCCAATGTAGTGTAATACCTTTTAGGGAAAGGAATGGTGTAGAAGAATATTGTGTGAGGGGTTTTGCTTCAGAAGGTAGTCTGTAACACGGGTACATTTGTTTTCGTTAATCTTTATCTTCCCAAGTTTGCTTCCTTCGGCTATTCATTTGACATGCCTGTACCCCTTCCGAGACAAATATAGCATCAGGATGAGAGGGAAGCAAGACTTGTCATCTGCAAAGAATGCAGGGGGGAGGGTAGATGGTGTAATTTAAATACCTGAGGTGTAGAGGAAGGTACAGGATTGGACCGAGCACACTGTCCTGTGGCACTCCCACTCCCACAGGATAGTAGTCAAGAATCCATTTACGATAACATTTTCTACCAAATAATAAGTTCTTGATCTTTTTTTCTTTTTTTTTTATTTTCATTCGTGGACAATGGAGTGTAGGCCGAACCAATAAATAAATAGCCCGAAATGCATTCATCAGAATAAAATAAAAAAATTAAAATACTAATAATTATTGTTTTCAATAAAACATCAATGTCCATGGATAAATTAATTAAAAAAAAAAAAATTGGTCATACTAACATATATTTTTCAAATGTTTTTTACATCCATGTTTATTCCAAACCTCAATATATAAGGTAAAACTTGGCACTCTCAACACAACAGACAAGAATGACACATCTGCATGGAAAACAAACACTTTGAGCTCTGAAGATAATCTCAATAAAGATCGAAACGTTGGTATGATAAAGAAAATGTTTTTCGAAAACCTCACACCGCATCTCATGACCTCCAAATAATCATATAAAGTAAAGATAAAGTAATTCCGTTATACAGGAGGACTTTAAGTTCAACTACCCATTGGGTGTCCCAGACGAGGAGTTCAAATCACTTTACAAGACATTTTCCAAATAAATCCCAAACAAAATTCCATAAGCTGGGATTTGAACCCATGACTGCATGGCAAATTCAAGTTAGGCTTTCTAATCATTCAGCCACTACGGTCCCCACCTTCATGTCTGTGTGTGTTGGAAAAAAAAAAGAAAGTACAATTTTTCAAATCCTGATATTAATATTCTAGAAGATTAGCAGTGTCAGAGCAAAAGAGTGCTGCAATGATAATATCCTGAAGAAGGAAACTAGTTCAACCCAAGGAATTAAAGTTAGGCCCCTATAAGATCAAGACCTATCCCACCTTCAAATTCCTGGGAGTATCTATTGACTGCAAAATCCTATGGAAACCATACATGGAGTACGTCGAGAAGAATGTTGAAAAAGCAATGAATATTTTAAGATGTACTTCTAAAGTTAAGTACGGATCCCACCCAAGCATTGGGTTAATGATGTACCATGCCCTTATTCTCGCACGCATTGATTATGGGTCGATAGTCTATGGCAGTGCAGCCAAATCCCACCTAAAAAAACTTGAAACGGTCCAACACAGGGCAATAAGGCTTTGTCTTGGGGCATTGGATCTTCCCCTACTGATTCCCTCAAGGTAGAGGCCAATACGGAGCCGCTGCATCTAAGAAGGAATCAACTAACAACAAAATTCCTAGCTACTCGAATGCACGATCCCAACCATCCTGTAGTTATGGGACTGGATGCTTTGGCGGTCACTGCCCTTAGTGATCCTCACAAACCACCTAGAGTCACGCCACCTTTACTTGAAACTCATATGAAAATGAAAAGCATCTCTCTGGGAAAAATTATCCGCTCGTCAAACACGAAACTCCACTGGCTTATTCCACTCTGCCCACCTAAGGTTATAACGTGCATACAGGAATTAAAAGGTGAACAGGACTACATTAAGGTCTGTTTTGAGACTGGTAAAAGCCCGCTGGCTACGGTAGTCTATACAGATGGCTCAAAATCCCAGTATGGGGTGGGGGGCTGCAATACTTAATGTAAATAATGACTATTCCAGGCAGTTTAAACTCCCACCTCTGTGTACGATCTTCTCCGCTGAAGCTATAGCCATAAGGGAAGCTATCAAATACATTAAACAGACAAAACCAGCCAAGACCATAATTTGTTCGGACAGCCTTAGTGTTCTGACGGCCCTGAAGAAAACGGATACTAGATCCCATTATTCTAGAGATCAAAAACATTTTGTTAGCCTGCGGAAGCGGTATAGCTATTCATCTTCTCTGAGTCAAAGGCCATAACAACAACCGATTTAACCAGCGGGTTGATGCATTGGCAAAAGCGGCTGCTCTATCGGGAAACGACATCAAAGAGATCTCAGCCGGGGACATTGTATCACATAATAGGGTCTTATTACGCAAGAAATGGCAAAGCAAGTATGAACAATCATCCAAAAGCAAAGGCATCTGGTACTCTGCTTCCCAACCAAACATCCAGTCTAAACCGTGGTTTTCAAATGTTAAAAGAAATAGGAAATTCTTTACCACTATATGTAGACTGAGGTTCAACCACAATAGACTCCCATCACACCTGCATAAGATAGGAATTACACAAACAACATCATACTGGGATGCCCACTGAAGACTACCGGAAGAGAACATATTTTTAAAGCGCTCAAGAAATATAAAATCCCACTCCCCACCTCGGTAAACTTAATTCTAAACTATATGAACTTTATTGAAATACTAGATACCATATACAAATTCATCACCGATAACGACATAGATATTTAAGATATATAGCCATCCTTGAGGCATGTTGGCATCCGGGAGGGGGGCCGTGCGGGGACGGTTCGGCTGAAGACCGTTGGGGGGACATCTCTGCGCTCTCAGGGCGCGTTACGATTCGGACTGTGTGATGGTGTTGGACTTTTCCAAGGGTAGCTTTACCATGTAAGGTTTTTATCCACCACCATCGGGAACAGTCCGTTACAAATGGAGAGCCCAGGTGTCCTTCCTGGCCGGTCTCAGGGGCCGTGCTGGCTCGGCGGGGGCCGGTAGCACCAAGCAATGAATGTAGATGGCTAGATGTGCACTAGTTCAAGGCAAAAAAAAAAAATTCCAGAATTATCTTTTTCCAAGTGGAATATTCCAAAATCAATTTGCTTTGAACAAAAGTCAATTATTTACATTAGTTTTCTACTTTGGTAAGTTGTTTGTTAATCATCTGATTGATCATGTTTAATCGATAGCATAGTACTACATATATTTAGTATCTTGGAGGCCATGATGGCTGAATGGCTTGGGCATCCAACTTGTATTTGCCATTCTAGGAGTTCTAGGTTTGAATCCCAGCATATTATAAAATTTTAATGGAGAATAATATGAAAAACTATTGTAACGTAGACCCTTCACTAATCTAAAGTATGTTTATTTTCATGAATCGTGATGGAACATTTAGCTAGAATTAAACATTATTGTCAATGTTTTAGAATCATACATACCACAATATTCAATATACCCCATGATAGATACAAATGTTTTTTTGGAAGGTCCTTTATTTTTGTAATGAAGTCAGTCAGAGGTTCCACAAATTCTGTAGCAATACAGATATTGGAATCATTCTAGAAAAAAAAATGAACCTTTAAAACAAAAATAAATACTTTTATAAATAAATCCATTAATTATTTTAATTTTTTTAAACTTTCAATGATAGATCAATTTTCAAAATGTTTTATTTTGATATCACAGTGTGCAATATGTAATTAAACAGAACATTTTAAAAATTAAAATTAACTAAAGTTTATTAGTGGCAATGCAAAAATAATAAATGTTACCTCCTGGCTGTCCAGAAAAGTTAAAATACTTGGATGTCTTAAAGTTTTGAGCCGTTTAATGCATGCTTTGGCATGTTCATATTGTTCATTGCTGCCAAGTTTTTTGTCATATACAAAAATTGTTACATTTTCTTTAGTAGTCTAAAATAAAATAAAAAATAAAAACAATTAGTGGTTTTATTTACCCTAAAACATTCTCATCTATAAAAAAATTGCGTTAAAACATAAATAAGCATTTAGCACTTTTGTGCAACCAAGTATGATTATTGTGTTTCTACTGGTTATACCCTCTAGCTACAGGTTGTTTAGTAGCTTTTATAGTCCTAATTACTCCTGTTATATACTTTTCTTTGCATGAGAGTAGAAAAGTTCATTAATATGCATCACATTCACATTTAATTTGACCTGGCACTGCGTTCATCTATATTCACGGGTTTCGGCACAACCAAACATGTTTCAGCTTTGCGATATCTTCAGTGAGGAACATACATGTGCTGTTAAATACTTGTAGTTTTTAGCAGGTGTAATAGTACTATGTAGATGTAATATTAGAATTGTGAGTCCACACTGTTTCCACTTCCTACCATAATTCAAACGTTGTACCATCTGTTCCTTCTACATCAGACTTGGAGCATTCGACCTCATCACAGTCGAAAACATCTTCAATGTCATTGTTCATGAGACTTTGCCGTCCACTTCTGACACATATTTATCCAGATCAGGGTCCTCTTTGTCCTGACGACAATTTCCTAGAACTTCCTCAAGAGTGCAAAACAGTTGTTGCCAAGATATTTTCGGATCAAAACTGCGAAAAAGTCCTTAGTAATATAAGGAACATTTTTGGTATGCCCTGGATAAAAATACCTCGATAGACTGGACAACTGGAATTTGGAAGACAAATTCACTTATCTGATATCAATAGTCTATATACTAGATGTCTTGCAGCATACAGTTGGGCAGACGGTTTTTATCCATGCTGTTATTTTATGTTATGGCATATATTTTTGTTTTGTAAACATGTTGTATTAATAAAGCAATTATTATTATTATACTAGATGTCGGATGACTGGCAGGTGGGGTTCCTAGCCAACTTGACCACTGACAATGAAAGGGGATGGTAGGGAAATGCTGGGTAGGATCCAACCCATACCGTACTGTTTGAGGGTTAAAGGAAATTTAACCCTTTTTTCAATACTTTTTTTTTATTTCCACAAAAATGAATAGTTCAAGAGCTGTGAATAGATTTATGATGAAAACCGTAAATTGTTGAAAAAACATCAAATGTTGAATATCTGCAAAAAGGTTGAGAATCAGACCATAGTTCATAAGAATTTTTTTGTTGCACTTGAACTGTTGAAGCACTGACAAAATTTGTCATACGAGTAGTGAATTACCCTTCATATGAATAATGTTGTTTACTTTCTATGTATTGAATGCTATTAAATGTTATATGACTTTTGCCATTGATTATAGTTTATAGTTGCAGAGACATTGTGTTGTTTATTTATATTTAGCCCATTATAATATTAATTAAAAAGGTTTGCTCCTATTTCACGGAAGGTGTCCAGAGACTTTCTTTAATGAGTGTAGGCACCGAACTTCTACTGTTTTTATAAAAATTTGTAGGTTTGTATACATAATTGTTATCAGCTGGTTAGGGTAAAAAAAAGGTATAAAATAACAAATTAAATGAAAAAAAGAAAGAAAAATAATAAAATTTTAACTTCTATGCAGCAGTGGTGACTGGTTTTATCAAATAAAGTATGATTTAAAATATGAAAAAATGAATACCTTTGAGACCCCTTTGTACAAGGAAAAACACGAATCTTGGTTGTATGAGTCACCGTATTTTTCCTGCAATTCGTACGGAAAATGACTGGAGTTGTCTCGCCCAAAGAATGACCACATTTTTTCCACAGTTTTTTGTCTATTTTTTTATTTTTATTAAATTGCAAAAATGAAATAACTCATCGCGGTTCTCATTTGCGAACGTCAACAAAACTTATGACAAGGATAGCATACGATAGCATGCTCATGACAACCTTCTTGACAACTGTTATCACTGACATCTATATTCTCGAGCTATTTCAGCAACGCATTCAATGATGTCAATTGCCGGTCATTTACCGTCATAAACAAATAAATTTCACTCAACACAATTAAAATATTTCGTATAAACAAATATAAGTTGAAGAGCATAGGGTAACACCGTAATCCAAATTCTCTGGGTCAAATCTTAACTTAGGCCGCTAGTTGCCCGGGCACTCTCAACAAGACAGACAATAATGACACATCTACTTTGAGCCCGGAAGATGATCTCAATAAAAATCGAAACGTTGACACGGTAAAGAAAATGCTTTTCTAAAACCTACGTCACACCATCCGTATCTCATGAACTTCGAAAAATCATTGACTAACGGTCACTAAACACCACACATGTACTATTACTGTTCTACTTGATTTTTCCAATGCATTCTCCTTCGTAAATCATAATTTTATTATTATTTGGAAACTCTCTTTTTGGTTTTCCTTCTACTGGTAGAATTCTACGAGCTAAAGCTACACTTGTTTCCACTTCTCTCTTGATTTCAGCTGGTGTACCCCAAGCCTCTATTCTTGGACTTTTATTCTTCACTATATTCTTAAATAATTAATTAGTTCTTAACGTCTCCCAATTTTATCTATATGCTGATGACACTCAGCTTTTCATTAAATATCCTACAAGCAACATCTTTGAAGCTCTGCTCAACCATGAGCTTCATTCTCTTAATAAATGGTCAAGTAATAACAACATTCTTTTAAATCCTAACAAAAACCAGTACTTATTCATTATCATATTATCCTAGTTACTCAAAATAATTAGATTGTTACTTTTGTCTGTTTTTATTATAATTGGTAGTTTTAATTCTATCATTGCTTAGCAGAATATTTTTAAAAATTACAAATACAGGCTTAGAAGCTTAATAACAGAAAAAAAGGTAAACACAAAATAGAATCAAAATATAGGTAATAAATAAATATATAAGAACACAAATATAAGTGGATATAAAAGTATTCATATGATAGATTGATGTATTAGTTGGGGTGTGTATTATACTATTATACTGCGCCCTTTGAAAGCTATCTTAAGAGTATTATTTTATCCCCCATCCTGAGTTTAAAGCAAACCGGTAAGTCCTAGTTCATCAAGGAACTTGAATAGCAGGTCTGGTTTCAATGGTCAAGTCTCTTCCATGGTTATGTTCTATGTCCCAAAACACTTCCTCCTTCAGGCAAGTTTGTTAGTATGTGTGTTGGTGTTTCCTCTGCTTCTTTGCAGAATCTGCATCCTGTGTTGGGTTATGCCAATTTGCAGTGTCCTGTTAAGAATCCTGTTAGGATTCACAGTTTTTCCTGCTTCCTTTACATTCTGTTACTTCTTTCCTTCTAAAATTAGTTATGAGGTTCTTGGATTGTTTGTGTCCAATGAGTGAGTTCCATCATTCCCTTATTTTCTTTTTATCCTTCTGTCTGAGGTGCTCATTGAAAGTGTGCATTCCTATGCCATAGAAGGGCTCGGGTCCTATCATCGGTATAGCAGCCCCTCTTCTTGCAAGGGCATCCACTTTCTTGTTGCCTTCTACTCCCACATGTCCTGGCAACCAGCAGAGGCTGACTTTGTTTTGCATACCTAATTTAAATATATATATGTAACTATGTCTAGATATAATTCGAAGTGGAATTTAAAGTTGTTTATTTTTGTACTTTTATCAGTGAAAAAGTCTTCCTCATTGGAGTTGGCTGTCTCTGAACTCTATTGATTGGAGAATGAAAAGTATAATTGTTCCTACTGTAGGCTACATTGAAATTTCGAGGGTTTCTGGAATTATGAGATGGAATTTTAATGTTAATTAATTAGAGGAGTTTCTTTTCTTGACACTTTCTGATTATTTAATAATTTATGGAAAAGTACATCATATTTTTACATCTGGTTTCAAGTGTGTTTACATTCAAGGCATTTAGAATTGTTGAATAATTTACAGCAAAATTGTGGATAAAACCCAGTGTACATACCTGAGAAAAATAGGCTGAACACGTTCAAGAGAATGTTTTAGGTACTGATTATGTGGTGACTAAACTACAGAAAAGAATTTAATGATGGGATCTAACTAAACAAATATAAATCACTTTTAACACCTAAATATTCTGAAAATCTTTAGAAAAACGCATTTTAAATCCGAAAAGTTTTGAGCTTTACCAGTAAACTTAAAATGTGGTTTTAGAACATTAGCTGCTGGTTAAATAGGTTTTGATTTGTAATAATGTTAACTAAATTGAGGGGGTGTCATTCATTGTGTATGTGTAGTTGATAGAATTATTGCACCTTGAGAAGCGGATATGTAAACGTTTTGAACTATTGAGATTTAAATTATTATTTAAACACCAAAGTGAAGAGAATTTAAATTCTTTTGGAGCATTAAGTGGTTGTAAAAAGAAGAAACAGGTTTAAAATTTTCTAGATCATCAGCAAAGAAAAAAATGTATATAATTAAGCAAAGAGTCAATGTCATTTATAAAAACAAGAAACAAAAAGAGAGCCCTAAATGAGAGCCCTGAGGAACTCCGGGAGTAACTGTAAATTTAAAAGATTCATCAAAATTAACTTTGATATTCAGAATCTATTTTCCAGTTAAGAATGAAATCAACAGAGAAAATGGTCATAAAAACCATATGCCTCCAACTTAGCAATCAAAATGTCATGATGGATTGGTGGATATTGACTTATTTTTTAGAAAGCCATTTCGTTACAGGATAATAATTTGTAACACATGTGGATATATCGTCTTAAATAATAGATTCAAATACTTTTGCTATTGGGCAAATGATATTGATAGGACTATAAGAATGAAAGATTTAGCCTGATTGCTTAGTATATAATTCTAAAAAAATGTCCTCGCTTTGACAGCACATATACTAAAATTGGAATGATATAGAAAAGATCTGTGAAGTGTTCTACATTTTTCTTTTCTTCAGCCCTAAAAATACACTTACAGAGGCTCGATAGTTTCTACTATCAGGGTCTTAGAGTGGTCTCTTGCGCGTACACTGTACAGAACATGACCAGCTTTTGCTGTGAGCTGGAAGTCCTGCCGCCCGAATTTCGGCTATGCAGCAGGGTTCCTTGCCGGGGATAATTATAAATAGCATTAATAACAGGTAACAATTATTAGGTTTTTAATAATTGTTTTTCGTTTAATCTCTTACAAATGAAAAATTCATGTTTTAAATTGTTCATATGGACAAATTTGTATTTTTAATTGGGTTATTTTTGGCATCCGCCCGTTTAAATAAATGAATAAATAAGTAAAAGCAAATGCTTGTAAAATTCAATGATGTCACTTAAAAACAAAACAATCGAGATTGTAAACGAGTTCCAACTTGGTTTGCGTATGATCGATTCAATGACAACAGAAGATCAGACGTGTCATTCGTCGATTGTGTGATATCAGTTTTCCAGTCAGTTCCCCACCTTCTACTTCACTTTCTATTTAGCTCCACCGCCGTCTGGCCACTTCCTTTAATTTCGACTCCGTTCCAACTCTGCCGAGTCGGAGTCCCGTCGATTCTTCGCTCGTCGAGTAAATTAACCACGTGGTTTTCTACCTATTTCAGTTCGACAGTCATTCAGCCCTTTTAAAGAAGAAAATGGCAGAACTTTTACAAAAAATATTCAAAGAGAACGTAAGCGAAAATGCTACAGAAGCCGTCAAAAGGATCCCGGCCACAAAAGAAGGTGTCACAGTCGCCTATACCAGCCTCGTCGTCATGGCCCTTCTTCCAGTATTTTTCGGTTCCATCCGTTCAGTTAAATATCACAAGGAGCAGAAACAGCACCACAAGGTATGTCAAGATATTAAGTGTCATATGTTCAAAATATTATTTAACCTTATGACTTCTGTACAGCTGTACATATTCTTACAGAAGCAATGACTAAAATTCTCTAACTTTACCAATAATTCACGTTAAATATTGTTTCTATGCAGGAAACTGGAGGGAAGCCAGATACGATGACAGAGAAAGATGCTGCGATGTTTCCATTTCTAGCCAGTGCTGCGTTATTTGGTCTCTATATTTTCTTTGAGGTGAGTTCCAACCACAGATTATGACTTAGTATAAGCAATTTCAGCCTCAATTTTGCCATCCATATGGTAACATGTGTATTCTATTTCCTTTTCTCCATATTTACTTGTTTTTTTTTTTAAATTTTATTATGCGGAATTCATAGTCATTCTATATACCAAGGCTGTGTTATTTTTTTAGTATTTTGTCTATGTGAGAGAATTTATTGTTTTATAACGTTAACATTATACACTAATAGACAAGTTTAACACATCACTCAATTTGTTTAGTTTAAAATTAAATCCATTATCTTTCTCCATTAGTTACAGGTAGTTAGAAGCAATCATAGACAGAATAAACAGTAAATAATGCTTTGTTTACTTCCTTTATTTAATTTTGTACTGATTAATCCTTTTTGCACAAGAAAGAAGCATCATACCCTTCCATTCTGCTAAGGATTGCTTTTCATTAATATTTTTCCTTTGTTGATTTTATTTGATATTATTCTTATTCTTAAACCTTTTTCAATGGCTCCAGTCAGGCATTTGAATGAGTATGACAGTGTCAGGGTCATAACATTATTATAGGAATGATATAGTCAGCACGAAGTCGCCAGGAGACGAGTGTAAATCACTCTATGATAGGAAGGGTTCTTTGGCACTAAAGAGAAACAAGGCTTCACACTAGACAGCAAAGACATGGTTTTTCCAGGCAATCTCAAATTTCCTTGAAGACTGACTTAGTCCCAACATTACCAAGGACTGTGAAATGTTGGGACTGAGTCAGTAAATGATAAAAATAAAACAGTCATTTATATTGTTTTTATGCACAGGAAATGTGTTCCACCGTGGGCAATCAAAATGGTAGTCAGTGTGTTAAGACATCTTACAGGATTGTCAGGTTGAAGTTCTAGGATTTTATGGAGGTTATACCCAACTTCTTCCAGTTTTTCAGGACAAATGGGATTTCGAGGTCAAGTATGGTTGGATACAAATTAAAAGCTTAAGCAGTGGTTCGAAGGATTTTGGACTGGAGGATGGAATGCTTGGTTGTTGAACTGCACAGTTTGATTCTGTATGTCTAGATTGGTTTTAGTAATGATATTTAGGTGAGGTTTTTGTTTAAATACTGAGAATTTTGATCTGTAATCAAGTAGCCTTTTGAGTAGTTTACATAGTCTGTTAAGTTCTATTCTTTTGAGTCTAATATGTGGGTTCCAAGTAAGTCTTTTGTCCATGAAAAGTCCTAAATAGTAGATGACATTGGTTGCTTGGTGAGGAACAGATTTGCAGTAAGGGTGAAGGTTATTTGCTGGGATTTGGTTTCGTTAAGTCTGATCCTTTATTTCTTGAACTTCCAAACGGGAAAGTTCAGGGTTTGGGTTTACCGAAATGATGGCGATATTATCTGGTGAGGAGTACTGTGTCAGGATTGACATGTGTACAGTGTATAATGAACAGAGAATGGGACCAAGGACTTTGCCTTGCAGAATGCCCCAATAGTGTATGGGAGAGGAGGGTGTTCAGATTCATACTTGAAAGTACCAATCAGACAGATAGGATTTTAGGAGGGTATTGAGTGAATGGAATGACCTTGAGTTTCCAGAGTATGCCTGGATGCCACACTCATTCAAATGCTTGCCTTTCATCTAGGAAATCACCTGAGCAGCATTCCTTCTGTTTAAGGATGCAATAATGTCTACCGCCCTGAGGCACTCATGAATGGTAGAGTGATATCGCTGGAACCCGAATTGATGGGATGGAATGATGGATTTTGCCAAGTAATGGTAACAAACTGATATGGCGATATGACATAGGGGGATGTTAAGGTTTTTGAGGTTTGAGAATGAGTCTTATGATTGACAATTTTCATTGGATTGGGCAGTAAATGTGGTAAGGAAATTTTTTTATTTATTTTTGGAGTTGACTGATAATGTACGAATTTGACCTGTGATGAAGGGTTTAGGGAGAGGAGAAAGTGATAAGGGGCACTCAAGGTCCTGTTGAATGTGTTCGTCATGTCTGGGATTGCTTAGGTCTGGATAAGGTGTATTCGATAAGTAGGATGCAAATAAAAAAGCTTTATCTTTGTCAGAAGTGGCTAATTGCTGTCAGCATGAGGAAAAAACAACATCCGTGCATATATTTATACTTTTCACCCACATAAGTAAACATTCATGGTTTAGCGTTAATGTTAACATAACATGTTCAAAAATTGTTAGTTTCTATTCTTTTTCTTTTTTTACAGTATTATTATTCAAAAAACTAGTTAAAAAGCCACTCAGATAAGGGTTACTGTCTCTACATGTCATATCCCTTCCTATAGTTCACCATGTCCGCTACCTTGGACTGCACATCGACAAAAGACTAACATGGAATCCATATACGAGTCTAAAACTAAATAATTCAGCTATCATCCCAATTAAATTTTCTAATCTAAAATCCTCTGAAAAAAATAAACCTACATATTCAATCATACAGTCCATAATGACCTTAACATTCCTTTTGGCAAACATGTCATGTACAGTAGGTTTTTCTTCAAGAATAAGAAATCCCATCTTTTCTTAAAATCTTTAATTTAATTTTTTCAATATCAATTTCAGGGACTTCCGCCTTCCTTCTTCAGTCTTATTCTCTTTGTTTATTTGCTGAAACACATCTTGTTTTGATCCATGTGATCCAACTTGTAAAAGAAAAACCAACATGATATAATATGTCATGTATTATCCTGATACAAAAAATTCTGCAGATCCTTTTCATTACACCCCAATCTCTTACTCCTAGTCTTAACATCCCCGTACTATTCCCAACAATCCTCCCAGGAGGTTAAAGCGGCAGTGGCTTCATGACATGTTGGGCAGACGATATTGGTTGCCTAGGAGGGTCACCACTAGTTGATCCTTTGCAATCTAGTGCCAGATTGTTTATTTTATTTTAATTTTAAAGGTTAACATCTTAAAGGTTAATCTACGGGTCTTAAGTACGGCGGAATCAAAAATTGAAATACAGATCAAACATGTCCAGTACATTCTATAACAGAAACATAGCTAGATTTATCAGAGTAAATGATTTGATTGATCAGTCATCTATTAAATTTTATACAAAATTAAGCAAAATAAATAAAAATGGAAGTGGAGCAACTGAACATTGAACACTTATGAAATAAATAAAAAAAAGCATGGTTTATTTTATATTATTTTTTATTGAAGAAATGAAATAGGTAAATTGTTTATTAATTAGCATAGTAATTATGTTTAATATTGTAATGGATAGTATAGTTGAAAATAGCATTGAAATTGTTGCAATAAATAGCCTTCTGGTGATTATGAATTTCAGAATTAGTTTTATGTGATAAAAACTATTTCAGATTACATAATTGAATTATTGTATTAATCAGGCTTTTTGTTTTCAAGTTATGGTACTTCAAATTGTGATTATTTTAAATCATTCAGTTGTATTTGTTTAAGAACATACTTTTTAATTCACATTCTTACTAATATTTGGAAACAAACCCCTTCCTGTTTGTAAAATATTTTCTGTGTAAATTAATTTTCATTTTTCCTTTGTTGATTGTTTTATAATTTATTAATATTTTTTGATATTATGTGTGTTTTATTATAGATTTTTTCCAAGGAGTACATAAACATTCTTTTAACTGCGTATTTCTTTGTTTTGGGCGTTATGTCTCTCTGTCATCTCTCAAGGTAAGAAGAATTAAAATAGTTGTATATTATACATTTTTAATTTATTAACTCATTGAATTTGTTAAGTGCTAAGTGATTTGTTATTGTTATTTATCTATTCGTTTGTTAGTTTATTTATTTATTTGGCTATTTATTTATTTATTATGGTCTCTAGTTGACTTCGGGTCTGTATGGATGACTCTAAACAATGGGGGGAGGTTTCTGGGCTGGTGTCGGGGGGGGCGTCGGTCCGGCTGCTGTTTTCTTGCTGGGTGGAGAAGGGGGCCTCCAGAGCGAAGTTTGCTCCAGGGGTTTGGGAGATGTGGACTTTTCCACATTATTTCGATGTTAGTGGTTTTTATCCACATTTTCGCTAAGACCCTCGTTATAGTGAAAGAATATTCCTAAAGAAGAATACCCAAATGGCAGGCCCGTTGATCCACCCGGCTGGTTGGCTGCTTCCGGGTTGGTGGCCCTCTTGGTACCGCCTAAATGGCAACCAACGTAAAGCAAAAAAAAAAAAAAAAAATCATTGAATGTGTTAGATGCAACATGTGTGTCAAGCCAGCTATCTTGAGTGTGTGGAACAGTCTGTGTCCTCCCATTAATACCTTTTAAACTCTCCCTCCACTTTACCACTATACAATTCCATTCGAAATTCGTACAGCTGTCTCAGATAGGGCCAAAGTGTTACCAGCTACAGTCGTTTCAAATTTTGTCAACTGTGATTTTTTTATTGTGAAAACCAGGTAATTTGCTTTTTTTTGTATATGTTTTGTTTTAATTAATTATTTACCCATTTTGTATGATTATGTAAATTAAAGTAAAAATTATTGTAGAATGTGGTAACGACTTTTATTCAACTTTACACTCAAACGAAACAAATGTTCTGCAGGTTGCCTTCTTCATGTACTTAGCGCTGCAGGAGCTACTCTTGTGCAACTCTTGCATCATATAATTGATACTAACTTAGATAAACATGATAAAAAAAAAGAAAAGTCATTTACATTATTTTTAAGAACCAGAGAGGTATTTTGTGTGATAAATTGGGTTCCGCCAACCTAACCATTGGGAAACCAAAATAAAATAGCCAAGCATGGGACGCAGTCAATGTATTAAGGCAGCTCATGCCATATCAATGTATTCATTGCTCCTGCGATGCACAGCTCTGCCAATTTTATCACACTGCCTAGTTGTACTTTATTAAAGACTCATAATTTCTTAATAAACAAAAGCAAATACGGTTGTGTTCTTTAACCAAATGATACAATAATAATTGTAAAAATTAGATTAATGTCTACTTTGCTAATTATTTAATTTTCATGATATTTCTAGCTCTGTTGTGACGTCCTTGGTTCCATCTGCTGTTCCCAATATACCATTCCATATGAAGTTCACTAGAGGAAAAGGGAATCATACGAAAGTGTTAATCAATTACGAATTTACTACTTATGACATTGTATGTCTTGTAATTTGTTCATTGGTTGGAGCATGGTATATTGTCAAGAAGGTAAGATACAATTTCTGTATAACAATCCTATTTCATTTTTTTTATTCAATAAATAACAGCATTCATATTTTTTTAACATGGTTGTTCCAATTATCCCTCAGTAATGGAGTGGAATAGGCAGATTGATTTTTCACTAGTAACGTATTTATTTTTGAAAATAATTTATGCTTTATTAAGTAAAGCAATAAAGTAATTCCTGTCATACAGGAGAGTGGTCAAATAAAAAATAATGATTTTTCAAAAAGGTGAGCAATGTGCGGCTACAGAACACTGGACATATGCCTCAAAGGGAATTGAAATTGTCAATGAATACACTTATCTTGGGACATGCTCATTCCAAGGCTCACTTTTGCTAAGCATGTCAAAAAAAGAGCAGAATGGGTAAGGATTGCAGTAAATTCTGTTTGGAAGAGGGTGTTTGACAGCGAGTTGTCCCTTGGAGCGCCAAGATTGCCATATTCAGGAAGGTCATCCAGGCTATTTTATGTTATGCAGTTTAAGTGTGGGTTTATGGGGATTATACAGCAGAGAGACATACCGTTTATGTTTATCAAAAAACTGTATTTTTTTGCCTCGTTACATTCTCCACCTGGAGACTGAGCTGGACATTGACCGAAGTGAAGTCTTCACCTTAATTATGTGGTTTCCAAAAAGTTGGCAGTAGAATGCATAAATGAAGAGGCATTTTGGCCTTTAATTTTACGATATCCCGAATCACCTTTTATGGATGGATGGAAAGATACTGGAAAAGGACATAAAAACTATTTAAACAAAAAATTGCCAATGAGAAACTAACAAATTTCAAGATACATGCACAAACTGAACAGCAAATTTAAGTTGTACCGGAGGATGACTACCAGATGTGGAAGCCTTGAAAACGATGCCAGAGTGGATCTGATGGATCTTTGGCTTGAAGGCAAAATTGCTTAACCTTAATGCCAAACTGTATGATGAAGATAGGGATAGGCAGGCAAAGTGCTCGATGTGCAACACTCTCCCCTTCCTTTTTGTGTGCTCATCCCTTAATGAATTGAGAAAGGCAGCACAGGAAAATGTGGTTGATACATAAAGAGGCAATAGGCTTATGTTTAGGAAAAATGGCATATGGGAAAAAACGGTTAGACTTTTGTATTGCAGCCTGGAGAAACGGCAATTTTTGGTTGAAGATATAAACTTTTAATTTTACTATTTTTTGGTTTGAGCATTTTAATTTGTGTGATACCTTCAAGGAATTAGTATTATTTTAATTTACAGCCTTTGTTTTGTCATTTGATATTCTTTTCTCAGTTTTGATTTACTTTTTTCATTTTATTTCTTTGTACAAAGTTGTCCTAAGATACAACTTCTGGCAGGTGGGCGATACCATCTGTAATGTTTATTTTACACACATACTGGTGAGTATCTTAGACAAGTGGTCAAACTACTTTGCAATACTTTCTTACATTATTTACTCTCGATTAAAAAGCCAAGGGCTATATCGGGATTCAAACCTGAAAATACTAGCATGGTAAGCACGAGTCAAACGCCCCAACCACTCAGCCATCATGTTCCCCCGCCATTAATAACTAAATTATTAATCGTTTATAACGAACTTTACTAAGTGGTATTCACTATAAGCAATATATGCTTAGTTAACAGTTAGTTATATCTAACATTTCATCGAATTGATAGGCATTTACATTTATAGCAGAGCAGTTTTCATTATATAAGTAATTATATAATTTATCCAGGTTTATGAGAAGTACAAAATACATACTAACCTGGTAAAGTAATTTATTTACATAAATGTTTTTAAAGCATTAGTACATTATATGTACATGTGTACAAATGTGTACGGAGTTTATTAGCATCATTGTAGTATGTAATCTGTTATCTTTGTTGGCCTGCATTTTTTAACTATAACTAACTATAACTTTATTTTTCACAATTCCTGATATTTTGGAATGAGACGTCCGCATTTCACTTGCGAATAATCTCGCACAATCTCCTAATTCAATCGAAGAAATTATCACGAATTTTTCAACAGAAGAGACTAAGGTCATGGTTTTTTATTTATTTACTTTTTTATTTAGAGATTTTTTAAAGACATTTATAGTTTAAAAAAAGGGGGGGAAGAATCTTTCCTAGAAGCATTAGGCAGCTGGGGTTGTTCATTATAAATGGTTCCCATTGTTTTTTCCTTATGACATTTCATGGGACCAGAGATTTTGTATGTTATAACCGGTCGTTCATTATAACCAGTGTTATTATAAATAATTTTTACTGTATATGTAAATTATGGATAATAATTTGAGATTTCACTTTTTAAAAAATGTTTATTTAAAAAGTAGTAGCTCCGCCGATATACATTCGAGGAAGCGTACACAGAATTTAATCTATTTACCCTCGGTCAATCATTAAGTCACCTCGGGTTAAGGGGGAGAAAAATGCAATTGTGCTTAATCGACATCTGATAAGCCTAGTGCATTTTTCTGTACAAGTAAAGCTATAACTAATATTGAATAATATAATATATATAACTTATATATAACTCCTCCACCCTTAGAATAATGCTTCCCCTGGGGGGTCGTCTTTTACTACCTGTACTGTTTGTTTATTTTTATTTACAGTTTTAGTTTTTATGCATTTAATTATAAATATTATTGTTATAATAATGACTAAAATATAAAGGAATAATGTACATAGGCTTAGATTAACATTTATAGGTACATATGGTATAACATTATTTTTTGTCACAAAGTTTGGAGAAATATCATGAAGAGTAAAATGACGAAGCTTGATGCTGAAGTTGGAGATCTGGGTTGGTTCAAATGTGAGGTTGAAGTTGATGCTTGGTTTTCCATGGCTCGTTGTCCGATAGAAGAGTGGGTGTCCTTTGTATATGATTTCGCTGTTGCCTGGTTTCAGCAGAAATATACCTTCCAGGATTTTTGTTTCTATCGTGTTGTCTTGTGTGATCTGGATTTTCTCTGGCGTGATGAAGGTGCATAAAAATTGGTTTATTTCTGGGACGAATACCACGTGGTTGTTGCTTATCTGAAGCTCCGTGTACATGCATTGTGTATTGTTTCCGTGTAGGATGATTTCCTTTTCGCAATGATTTTGTTGATTCGATATTAGAATTTGCGGACAATGGTAAACTTTGTTTTTAATACATTCGTCTGTTAAATATGTTAGCTCATTATTTTTGGATTTAAGAACATATTTATTTTCTGGAATAGTAACTATTTTTTGGCCAACTTTTGTTGGGATAGGTTGTAATTTATATAATTCAAATTTATCGTTACTACATAATGGTAATCGTAAAAAGTAGATTATTTGATTTGTTTCTATTCTACAGTCGACTTTTAACATATTTTCAGTCTATGATATTCTCATATTTCACTTCTAAGGGCAACTGAGTGTATAATCGGTTCTCCAATCTTTTTAATTCCGAAAATAATTGACGGGTGTTTATAATGCTTGGATGCATTGTCTTTAATTTGCAAAATGTTATTGAATTTTCAATATCTTGGATTATTTCTAGTAATAATTGATAAAGGATTTGTAATTGATTAAAAGTATCTTTAACTGAGGCTATTTGTTGAATATTTCTGTTTGTACCAATTAAATTTATTTTACATTCTAATTCCTCTCCGTTACTCCGTAAGGTGTTTATTGTTTCGTTAAAGTTACTGATTATTTTTTCGTTAAGGGAATACATGAATTTTATTTGATGTTGAAGTGTAATTTGGTTAGTGTTGATGTGTTCGATGATTGTATTTAATTTTTGTCCGTCCGCATCATCTAGGTTTCCTGTAATCCATTTTATTGCTGTGCCAAGTCCATTGATCAGTCCTCGTCTTTTCCTGTTATTCGAGTGTATGATCAAGTTGTCCAATTTCTCCTGAGCCATAGCTTCGGTATAGTTAAGTATTTTATTAAAAGGTATCATTTGTTCCAAAATTGTTTTATTATATTTGGAAATTTTTCTGTATTGGTGTTTTAAATTGTTGAATTCCGACTGTAGTATTTCTATATCATAGTAATGCATCAAAATGTGTTCAGACGTGATTATTCTCGCTTCTCCTAAAGATATTGGTAGAAGTCCGATGTTGTGTGAGATATCTTTTATCTCGAATGCAGGCCTGGCAGCTGACATAGCGAGGGTCCAGGTTCTGTAACATTGATATTTCCGGTATTAAACTGATGTCGTTTTTCGTAGTCTCTTTACATTAGCTAAATGAATATTCGGTTTTGTATTATGATGGGACTTTTCTTTCGTAGCTGTTTTCCTTAAAAGATTACGGGATTTTATTTTTTCCTTTTTGTACAAATTCTTTGTTTTAGATTGTTTTTGTTTGTTTCTTACGTAAACATTTTCGGGAATAACTGATATTTCTTCTCTATCCTCGTTAAGTTTTTCTATAAGTTTTTCTTTATGTTTTAAACTGTTTTCATTAATTATTCTATATATTATCTCTACTTTATCTTTGTGTTTGTTAATGTAATCATTTAACAATTGTGACTCTAAATTTATTGGTAATAGGGATTCTTGCTTTATATGACCTATAATTATTTCGATTGGCTTTAGTTTTGTAACTGAGTGGATAGTGTTGTTGTACGCTAATATCGCGTAATTTACTTTATTTTTTATTGTTTCTTTTTGAAAATTTTCTTCATTGTTTAAGAGTCGAATATGTTCAATTAGTGTAGAGTGAAAGCGTTCTATTACTCCGTTTGAATCAGGGTGTTGGGAAGATATGAAGTGTATATTAATTTTGTATAACTTTAGGAGTTCTATAACAAGAGCATTGTTAAATTCTACTCCGTTGTCTAGTACTATTTGTTCTGGTGTATTATGCCTACTGAAATGTTTAATCAATTTGTTCACTACTTCAATCGCTTGCCCAGAATTAAGTTTATAGGCTTGTGCAAATCTTGAAAATGTGTCTATAACCGTAAGAAATTTTGTGTTATCTAGTGTTATGGTGTCAATATGTACTATTTCGAACGGTTTTGTTGGTGTGGGGGTAATATTGAATTTTAGTTCGAGGGGCCTTCGGCCATATTTTACTAATAGGCAATTTTCGCATTGATTGATAAAAGTTTGTACGGATTTTCTTTGGTTGGGCCAATAATATAATCTTTTAATTGCAGTATCGGTTTCATCGATTCCCCGATGATTTGTTTTACCTACATGGTAATTTTCAATTATTTCTTTTTCCTCCTCTTTCGACTCAATGTCCATCAATTTATCCGTATACTTAGTAAAATTGATTTCAGCATCTTTAAAATATAATGCCAGTGTTGAACTAAATTTTTCATAGATGTCACTTTCAAAATATAGACCGTATTTAGTTTTGGGAACTATATAAGATTTAATAAAATTAATAACATCTTTTTCAAATTCCTTCTTTGAAAGTTGTACCAATATTCGTTGTTTTGAGTTGTCGAATAAATTGATAATTTTGTGTTTGGCAGGGGCACATTCTACTTCAGAAATAATGATTTGATTATTTATTTTATTAATTGGTCCTTCTAATATGGGTATATTGATTACTGTGTTGCCGTTAAAATTGGAATGCATTGTTGCATCTTCATCAGTTTGTTCGTTTTCGTCTATATTCACTATTACGGACTCGTTGTCTGAGTGAAGTTGATCAGTATTGGAGTGTTGAAATTCTAAGTCATTTGGAGTTAAATTTAAATCTTCTAAATTTTCTTCCCTGAGTTCAGGGTGTTTATTATAAAATTCTCCTAACAGTTCGTCTATACTCATCTCATCCAAATTGTCTATGTCTTTTGTTTCATTAGCATTTACTTCTACTCTAGATAGGGCGTCAGCTACAACGTTTTCAGATCCCTTTTTATAAATTATTTCATAGTTATATTCTTCCAATTTCAATCTCCATCTTAGTAGTTTAGAGTTCGGTTCTTTTAGTGAAAAGAGCCATTGTAGGCGATGATCACAGAAAATTTTGAATCGTCGTCCAAAGAGATAGGATCTGAAATATTTTGTAGCCCATACTATGGCTAGAAGTTCCTTTTCTATTGTGGAAAGTTTAGTTTCCGTGTCATTCAGTGTTCTACTTGCAAAGGATATAGGAAGGTCGGATCCGTTTGTTTTTTGACTAAGTACAGCACCTATTGCAAAGTTGCTAGCGTCCGTGGTCAGTATAAATTCTTTAGAAAAGTCTGGAAATTGTAAAATGGGTTCATTAATTAGCATGTTTTTACACAAGTCAAAACAGTTTTTATAATCTGGATCATTAATGTCAATGGAAGAATTCTTTTTCAATCGTTTTGTCAAAGGTTTTGTTAATTTAGCAAAGTTAGGAATGAATTTTCTGTAATACCCTAAAATTCCTAAAAATCTTTTAATTTGTTTAGTTCTTTTTGGGATTGGGTAATTTTGTATTATTTGTATTTTTTCATTATTCGGTTTTATGCCGTTAGGCGTTATGATATGCCCTAAATATCCAATCTCTCTTTTTAGGAACTCTGTTTTATCTAGTTGGATTTTGAAATTGTATTTTCTTAACTGACGGAATACTTCTTTTAATTTAGTAATGTGTTCTTGGAGGCTAGCACTGAAGATAATTATATCATCAAGGTACACCATGCAATTGGTGATACCACGGAGGATATTGTCCATAACCCGTTGGAACGTGGGTGGTGAATTTTTTTAGCCCAAACGGCATTCTTAGGAACTCATAATGTCCCCGTTCTACGTTGAATGCTGTCTTAGGAATACTCTCAGGACTCCTACCATCAGGACTACCTGATGAAAGCCACTGGCCAAATCTATCGCAGAGAAATATTGGCATCTCCTTAGCCTATCAAATAAGTCTGTGATATTTGGAAGTGGGTACTTATCATCTATGGTTTTATCGTTTAATTTTCTGTAATCTACTACAAGACGGAACTTCTCTTTCCATGGAGAGCTAGATGGCTGTATTATGTTATGTTCTAGCATTTCATCAATTTGTCGCCTAACTTCGTTTTTATATATCTCAGGATATTTATAGGATTTAGTGTAGATGGGTACCTCGTCTTTCGTCCTTATTACATGTTTTATGTCATTAGTGAATGTTAGAGGTGTACCTTCTTGATGAAATATGTCACTAAATTCTTTTGTCAATTGTTCTATAACTAGTTTTTCTTCCGTATTCATGTGATCTGTCCTGATTTTTGCCAAGTTAATATGGTTTTTGGTTTTATCTTTATTCTTTGGGTTTGATAATTCTAATATTTCTTCATGGCTGACTGGTATCGTGTTTAAAGGGTTCTGTAATTGTACGTGTTTATTTGAATCGCTATTGTTTTTGATAATGCATAAGGCTTGGTGGTTCTCTACTTTTACGAGACATTCATTAATTTCTAAGTCTTTAGATATGATGTGAGGAATAATTGCATGTCCAGATTGAACATTTTTTACTGGAACTTGTATTACTTGTTCCCTTTTTGCTTGTATTTGATACATTTTTGGTGTTTCTTGAGGGGTATCAAGGTAAAAGATTTGTATATTAGTATCAGGCATAGTTAATTTATTTTCTTTAAAATCAATACGAGCATTGAGTATTTTAAGCATGTCCAATCCTATCAACATATCGAACTGGTCGTGAAATTTAAATAATCAAAATTTTAATTTTAAATTGTCTATATTAAACAATTCGTCGCAAGATACAATTGTGCTGAATTTTCCTGTCGATGTCGCGTGTGCAGTTGTAATTCTAAATGGGTCATTCTTTATGTTATCTTTAAAGTATTTGAATGCTATGTTAGGTGTAATAAATGATGTGGTACTTCCGGTATCTAATAATATTTTTAAATTGTACTTAGGTAATTTGATGTATGGGAGACGAATTTTGTCCCAGTTCGTCATCATCCGGAATTCGGGTAGTGTTCGGGAACCTCTAAAAAATGAGTCGAATTTTCACTGGAAAAGTCGTCTGATGATTGAAAATTATCAGGTTGTTTCAATTTAGGTGATTTTTCGCTCATGTGATTAAGTTCTTCCGTTATATAATTAGGTGCGTGTTGACCATATTTGGCATTTTGTTGGGTAAAGTAATTGTTGGGATGTGTGTAATTATTGGGATGTCTGTTTCTTTGCCAACTCTGAGTTGTTTGTGTTGACATCGGTGTGGGTTTTGTGTTTTGTGTGTTGGTTATTGGCATTCTAGGTGCAAATTTTCCTTGGGGGTTAAAGGGTCTTTGTGTTATATTCACAGGTCTAGTTGGGAAATTTGTGTTAAAAAATTTCCTGGGATGAGGATTCTGAAATGTTTTTAAAGGTTTTAAATGAGATGACTGTGTGTGTGGTTCATAATTCATGTATTGGAAGTCATTAACCAGCAATCTTTCAATTTGTAACAAAGTTTTCGGGTTCCTGGTCACTAAGTTGTTTTGTAAAGGGTCTTTCAGTGAACTTATGAAATTGTTGCATATACTAATTCTTGAAACTGAATTAGGTAACTTTTGTTGGCTTCTGTGCCTTCTAAAATATTTATTTTTGAACGGAACAGATCGAATTTTTCTTGAATTTCCGCGAGTGAAGTTAATACGTTTTTGTTTGTATTGTGCCTCATAATTTCGATGATTAAACTCGCCGGATCTTGAATATCTGAAAAGTTATTTATCAAGTGTGCTTTCAATTGTTCCCAAGTAGTGAACTGAATATTTCTCATAGACTCATTAGCTTTGTCTGTCAANATCTAATCTATTTACCCTCGGTCAATCATTAAGTCACCTTGGGTTAAGGGGGAGAAAAATGCAATTGTGCTTAATCGACATCTGATAAGCCTAGTGCATTTTTCTGTACAAGTAAAGCTATAACTAATATTGAATAATATAATATATATAACTTATATATAACTTGTATATACAACAAATAAAGAAAGCACTTTTTAAACAGACAATAAATATATGTTACGTGAAGTTATCTGTTTACAACTCTTAGATGCAGGAGTCATTCCTCGTATTGTAGTCAGCACTTTCTCCCTCCCAAGAGACCTAATTATTTATTTCTGTATTTTTAATTACGATTCCTTGCCTAGAGCTTGATGAGAGTACCTCGTTAAATTAGGTTAAACTTGTAACTTCAAATAAAGTTTTTAACAAAGGAATCCACAGTTGAAGTTATTTAAATTATATAAATTAAATGATAAATTTAAAAAAGTTACTATACATTTTAAAGAGTTGTTATTTATTGCCTTAATATCTCTGATTGTGTTGTATTATCTATTTTATGAAAAAAGTTTAATAAATGTTATTTAATATTTCAGCATTGGATTGTTAATAATCTTTTTGGGATTGCATTTGCAATAAATGGAGTCGAGCTTCTTCATTTAAATAATGTTGTCACTGGTTGTATTTTATTGAGTGGCTTATTTGTCTATGATGTATTTTGGGTATTTGGAACCAACGTTATGGTGACCGTGGCAAGATCGTTTGAAGCTCCAATTAAACGTAAGTATGCAATTAATATAATATAAGTTTTAAGAATTTATTGTTGAAACCAAATCCCCCCACATATTTTCCAAAAATATTTTTTCCTGGTATTGTCTTTTTTAAAACTGTTCTATTTAAGTAACATGGTGATAATTAGAGACCAGATTTTTGTGCAGTACAAACCTCGAAACGTTCTAAAATGTGCAATAATAACTTCAAAACGTACAAAAAAGTGTGATAAAGGTAAAAACTCCCATTTAACTTTTTTAATCTAATGAAACAAACATTGTTGTTGAAATGAATCGATTATTCATTTTTAAACTCAATGTGTTTAATTATGCAAATAAATTTTTTAATTAAATTAAAAAATATACTAGATAACAACAATAAAATAAATGGTAAAGTTTATAAAACTATGTTTAAAAGAATAAATATGCAATAAACAAATTAGCGTAAGTCAACTTTAAATATGGGGACAGCCGTGTTAGCATTGTAGACTTTTTTCCCGGATGATGACCTTAAAATAGCTTGAAAAATTGGCAGATAATTAAATTTGTTTTTTCGTCGAGATCATACCTATCTATCAAATTTTTGCACCTGTGCTCAGTCACAATTCTCAATTGGCATTCCTGCACGCTTTCTGCAAACCAAGGAATCGCACCCTTAGATTACAATGAGACACAACTCAAAAGTGTGCCACTTTATACTTTATTTATTGTCTATGAAATAGAAGCACATATATAATCTAATGGTATAATCTAATTATTTATTTATCTTTTCATCAGTTTTTGTTCATAATAGGTGTTTATAAGTCTAATATTTACATTTAATCTCATTTATGACTGTTTTAGTGGTGTTCCCTCAAGACATTCTTGAAAAAGGCCTTACTGCTGACAACTTTGCAATGCTCGGACTTGGAGACATAGTGATTCCTGGGATATTTATTGCTTTACTTCTGCGTTTTGATAACAGGTATAAATATTTTATTTTGTTCTGAAAATTAATGTTATTTTTATTAACGGTTTGTATTTTTCTTTCAGCCTCAACAGAAACACTAAAACATACTTCTATTCCACATTAACTGCATATTTCTTAGGATTGGTTGCAACGATTTTAGTAATGCATGTTTTTAGCCATCCACAGCCAGCACTTCTTTATCTTGTACCTGCCTGCCTTGGAACACCAATTCTAATAGCATTAGTAAGGGGAGACATAAATGCTCTGTTTCAGTACGTATTCCATTATAAATATATAAGCAATCATATTATTTCTGAATAACCTACCTGTAAGACTTATTGCCTATATTTTATTAATTTATTACATATTAATACATTTGAATATATTGGTTGTAAAACAAGTCCGTAGTGTTTTTTGATGGTTATTTAAGTGAAAATTTTAGAGACTCCCTCCAGCAGCTCTCAAAAGCATGGAAACACTTGTGGGAGAGAAGTTAAGTGTCTGCAATGTCTCATGTTATTACTTAAAGCTTGAATTTGGTCATCAACAATGGTTGAAGAAAACCAGAGTGCTTTGGGTCTTCCGAATCAAAATTTCCACTTTGAACTGAACAAGCTGGTGGTTTCTCCTAAACTGTCATCACCATACACATAAATTTTCCTATCGGTTTTCCTTTGAGGTCATAAAAAAATTTAATGAAGAATATGCACTGCACTATTTTTCCATGATTTTCAATTAACAAAACAACTCATAAAAAAACTAGATCTATAACGAAGCCTCTTAAGCCCTCCCCCTTAATGTGTTTTTATTCGTCCATTTCATTTCATCAGATCAACCATGACATTTAAAGTCATTTAAAATAATTATTTGGTTTAAAAGTTTTCAATTTTGAGCAATAGAAGTGCTCGATTTAAAAGTTAAAAGATCTACACAGATCAGATTGGTGTCTTGGCATCCATAAATCCCAATAATATGTGATATCCTGCAGAAATATCTCGACGTAGGCAGTACTGTGTGGCATCAACGAAATGATACGTCAAAAAAGTGTGCTCAAAAATTCAAAATTCAAAAATTAACTGGGAAAAAAACTGATGAAAAGTCACGTTTTTTGGTCTTCTTTTTTTCTTGGCTGTTTATGTTTTTATTTGAACAAGGACAAAAACTAAAGGTTTTGTCAAGCACTTTTTTGGAAATCAAATTGTGAGAAAAAAATTGATAATTAGGGTAGATTTCATGAAATTGACATCATGCAAAAAAATTGGCAAACAATTTTAAAAATGCCTTGACAAGTTCTTTATATTGAAGTATTGTTTAAAAACAATAGTTCAGCTGTACTTGTGAAAAAGGCACATCAATCCAGGCAGTTTTTTAAAATACATTTTCAGATGGTTTATTAATGTTGAACAGCCTGTAAAGCATGCATTAAATGTTAAATCACTATGTAGGGGATCGTGATGGCCGAGTGGTTAGGGCGTCTGACGCGTATTTGCCACACCAGCGGTTCTAGGTTTATATCCTGGCAGAGCCCATGGTTTAATGAATTATACTATGACAAATGCATTGTAAATAGGATTGACTCTTCGTCCGTGTCACCCAACAGATATTTGGATGCTAACTCCTTCTGTATGACAGGAATTACTTTACTTATTCTTTATACCAATATGTTCAGAAGAGGTGTGTATAAAATAATACCAAGATGGTGGTTAAAGAGAATACAACTGGATTAAAATGGAGAAAAGATGTTTGTTTACAAAATGTACAAGTAATCTTCATGTTTGCTATTGTTAAGTAAATCCATTATTAAAAATGAGGATTAACAATTATTCTGTTTGTATTTTCTATTTTGCTTTATCCAACTAACAAGTATATATAATTAATAGAACAGGAATAAATTCTGTATACTATCAATATTCATTTTTGCATAGTTTAGTTTAGAAATTTTTAATTTTTTCAGATATGAAGACCACCCAAGTAAAGATTCTACTGAATCCAAGAAAACTAGTAGTTCTGGCAGTTCAAACCAACATGGAAAAGTTTCTCCAAAATCCAAGAAAAATAAGTAAAATTTTCTGAATTTGTTCGTACTATTAATAGTTGTCAACTATTTTTATAAATTCAAGGTTTTTGTGCCTACAAAACAATCAGGTGCTGCTATTTAAATAGTTTGTACAATTTCATCAAAATTAAATCGTTATATACCAAAAGTTCAGGTGTTTTGAGGAAATCATTTGCATTGTTTAAATAATGCTATGGTTTTAATTAATATTATTTTTTTAAATAAAATAATTCACATTTTGTTATTTGTAGTAGTAAAATTTATGTAGGGTATTTACTAAAGTCTTCCATTTCTTTTGCAACACTTCAACAAATCATAAATTAGTTTGCTTTATTTATAAAACTATGCATTTGTGTCATACATATTATAATGATGATTTTTGCTTTAAAACAATCGGGAAAAGATGTGCAGCTGTTGTCAATCAATACATTATATAGCTAAGTACCATATTTAATAAAATATTTGCTTTCTATCACTTCCCTATTTACAAAAATTGAATCACAAAAGCACAATTTTCAGTAAAAAATTGAAATCTTGTCATAATAATTTTCTTTCCATTGCATGACTATGATATATGTATGTATTGCATAATTTCTATTTGATTTTTTCAATCTGATACTTTTTTGTTCCCATAACAATTACAGGTATTTAAATATAATTAATAAGTTTATAAATGTTCAGCACAATTAGTCTATAAAGTCGTTTCTCAGTAATAACTTGAGTCAATCCATATGGAATTGATGAGCAGATATAGTCAGCAGTTTAATTTTTCACAAATGATGGGGTTCTCTATCACACTCATATCAGACACTTTGACTTAACAGAGTTATACTCCAATTCTATTCATTCTTTATTTATTCTGATTATTCTGCATTTCTGCAACCTTCAGTATGAACTAACCGTGTTCTGATTTAGACCACTTATATTCCAAATTGTGCACAGTTGTTCTCTCTTTTAGGCACTTATGTGAAAAATACTTGAATAACATTATTTTCTGAGCTTACTTGTTGTCTTATTTACCACATATATAAAAATAGTTTTGTCTGCGTTTTGAGTTTTTCTGTTAATAATAAGTTCCAATCAATATATTATTTTCAGTTTGTTTTTATGTTACAATAACTTTTGAAACATAGCCCTAATTTAGTATTGTAGTTGGTTTATATTATAAGCATAAAAAATAATTTTTACATTCATTTTGTATGGTAATAAAAAGACAGAAAATTGATATAGTGTAAGTTTTAATGCACTGGAATTCAAAGTATTTGACATATAATATATGTATTTATTTTAAGATTAGTAAAGTTCAATTTTTTCAACATTTTTTTCATTTACAGACTCAGTTTGTAAAAACTGCTAAATAACCATTAAAACAGTATTCGACGAACAAATCGAAATAGAATAATAGAAATAACAACACAATTGTAGCAATTGTAGCATACGTTTACATGAAAAGTAAAACGAACAAAAAAACGCTCTCATATATATGGGATTATGAGATTAAGGATAACTCATTATTTTTGAAATGACAACCAACAGCAGCAAACAAATAAATGAGAGTAAAACATCAGATTTTTAAAATAGTTGATGTTTTTGTCCTAATGTTTTGCCAGGCTCATATAATAAGAAAACTAATTTATTAGTAATTTAAATAAATTTGTCAAAAGTTAAAATTTCTTTCATCTGTCTGAAACTTTCCCCCATGTTGCTCAATTAGCAAGTGAAATCGTATTGCAAGTAAATTTCACATAAGTTAAGCTTGTATAAAAAGAGTGGTGCATTTTTTGATGTGCTATAAGCAAACTGCATTGACCTGCTTTGTACAACTTTCTTCATTTTCCAATTTAAAAACAATTCTTGGTAGACTTTTGAAACAATTGAATTTAAAATTTGTAATGTAAAAGGGTAATAAATAAATTCCTTAAAAAAACAAATTGATCTGTACTTAAATAAATAAATAAATAAAGCTACACAATCCAAGTAAAATGAAGTGCTCTGTGACTGCCTGGGTGATTTGACAAGAAAGGGGGGTGAATCTACCAATCCCAAAAATGAGAATTAAAAAATATCCTAGGGAAGTCAAAATAAATAAATAAACAGAAAGATAAATGCAACAAGTTTAATTAAATCAAAAAACAGGAAAATTATCTATTTAATCTTATAGAATTGTGATATAGTTTCGTGCCTTTCTGTACCAGTTAACATCTCGGGAATGCCTATTGGCACTCGGCACCTCCTCACTCAGTCCTGCGATAAGCTTGGCCTGGATGGGAGTTGCTTCCGTCTCCGGCTGAAACACTGCCCCTTGGGTAGGGGGTGACTGCTCGAAGCTATTATTAATGCATTATATTCTTTCAGTGTTTACCAAGAATTTTTTTAAATTAGAAAAATTGCGCCAGAGTCCATTTAAGCAAGTGGTGCATTTCCTTATGGTGCCCTACACAGAAGCCTTTTCACTTACAATTTCACTTCAGGTTTAGAATGTTTATCAATAACTAGTGTAGTATTTAAAGTTAAATTTTATAACTAATTATATTTATAAAAAATGGTGGTTGATTTATCATTTTTAACTTGTGTTTGTGCTGAAATTAATTATGTAGATTTTTTTTCCACAAACAGGATGGAGTTTTTCATATAATTTTATCATGGTGAAAAGACCTTTTCACTGTTGTTACACATGAAATCTATTAGAAATAGCTGACGTGTATTTTACAATAAATCCCGTAATTTAAATTTCTTCTGTAATATTTGTATCATTACGTTGTCCAAAGTTTCATGATACTACTTTGCGATTGAATAGCTGCACTTTCATTATATATTTACTTTAAACATCAGATTTTGTTTGAAAATTTATTGCCATGAAATTATGTGTTCTTTTATTTAATTTTTTATGTTTTAATACAAAATTATGCGCAAATCTTTTTGAAATCAAATTGGCAATGCTAGTCTGTTTCTCTCACATCACTTTTTGGTTAAAATTGAGCAATAATTACAGTTTTAGTTTTTACAGATTTGCTAGTATTTTCGAGTCAAATTAGTTTTTATTATGGTTGGTACAAGTGTAGTAATATGTTTTTACCTTATTTTGTTTATCAGTTTTGGTGTTATGACCCATCAAACTTCACTTTACCTTTTTTTATAATAAAAATATTGATGCCTTTAGATTTTTTGTTTGTTTGTTTTGTTATAGGAATATGTAAAAAGTAGTGCAATTCTATAACCTATCCAAAATGTAGTAACATAAAAAAAAGAAAATTGAACTCGCTTATATAAAAAAAGAACAATTTACCTTCTGCTGGATATAAAAGATGTTATGTCTAATTCTTCACAAGACTGAACATAAATTGCTAAAATATGTTTTGCTCTGTTCTTTCTTTATTATATAATTGAAATTTTAAAAGTTAAGACTGAAATTAACGATAAAACAACAGTTTTTAACATTAAAAAAAAGGTTTCTTGTTGCATTGGTTTTTGGTTTGTAATCCACTTTCTTTTTTATGAAGACTAAATTTATAAAATAAATTTTAAGTTATCTTTACATTCCCTCCACTATATTAATTAATTGATTTATATATATATTTTTTTATATCTAGGTATTTGAATTTTGTTTTACATTACATTTGATTGTAAATATACTGTTATATATACATTATATAACATTATATATATTATACATATATATGTGTATGTATTACATTATTTTTAAATTTCAATATTCTTTAAATTTGTATATAGTCTATTTCTTTGAATTTGTCAAAAAAATCTTTAATATTATGTATTTAGTTAGGGATGTTTGCTGGATCAGCAACTGAAGGTGAACCATATTTATTTCTTCAAAGTTGTTTCTTTTTTTGGCTTTTTATTATATTTTATTAAAGGTAATGAAAATGGTGAGGTAACTTGTTTTTACAGTTGTGAGCTCAAGAACATTATTTAAAGCCTGTCATAAATAGCACATACTGATGAAGAGTACGGCAAGGTTTTGATTTCTTTTGTTTCGGTTGCTATTAACAAAGTTTTTAGCAAAGAGGCATCTAGTCAGATACAAAAAGACAAAATAAGTCAACAAATTTTTCTAAATTAACTAACATTATAAACAATTTACTTATAATAACTTATCTAACAAAATTTACATATTCTTCTATAACGTGTACAACAGTTATATCTTTATTTTATCATCCACTTTTTTTTTGCCATAAGTATCATCAATGTGATTATTTTACTTTAAACCATTTTAAGATGGTATTCATATATTCAGTTTTGGTTTATCAGTGTGTAATACATATGAATGTGTTTGTTATATATTCTTTTGTTTTATTTCCTTTACATTATATATTCTTTTGTTTTATTTTCTTCACCATGTTTGGGTTTAATTTCTGATGAAATATGGAAGGAAATTCCTGATGAAAAGTTGAAGTTGAAGAAAGGTTGTATTACTTAACCAAATAAATGTTATACATTAATATTGTTTTTATTTATTTTATTTTATTTTATTTTTTTAATTGAAAAGCAGCTTTCCTTCAGAGTGTTTACCATTTTATTAACACGCGATAATGACTTGTGAGCATTTGATCAAAATTTGTACAAGATATTGAATACCTCTTTGATCCTCAATTAGGTTAGTTATATAGTATGTGTAAAGGCTAAAGGAGGAATATCAAGTACTCCACGACACATATTTGAGTGAATGGTGCGCGTAAATAGTTTAGAAAATATTTAAGGAAGAGTGAGAGTGAGTGTGTTTGGGGCTGAAATTACCTATGTTAACAGCACCTTATGCCTACTTTTGGTGATGGAACTAATAAGACTCCAGGAACTGACCCTGTACTGCCAACAATAATAGTGAGGATTGGAAGGATGTAATAAAAAATATGATCTTAAGCAAGTGGCAGCATCAGTGGGTCAGATAGGTAGAGAAGCTCGTACTTGTCAAGAGCATGGCTGATGGGTGGCCCTCGGAGGATCTAAATTGTACAAGAGGGACTATCCCCACCCAGTTAAGATCATGCAAGGCTGCACACATGTATGCTTAATGAGCCAAAGCCCGTGTATGGTCTGGCATGTAAAGAAAGTTGCTCGTTGTGCCTGCCATTTAATGGAAGGGTGTCATTCCTTGGCTCGATATAAGGAGAGTGTATGCCACATGATATGAGAATTGTGCTTGAGCTCAGCAGTTAGTATTTGGGTCCTCTGTTCTTTTTTCTGGAGGATATGGCTGTTTTATTGTATACAGGGTGAGTCATTTTTTGACGTACCATTGGAAAATCAACGTGGGTGCGTTTAAATCTGACTAGGCTTATTTCCTTTGATTAATACGTTAATAAAAGAAAGTGAGTCAATTTTCGGTGCACCATAGGAAAATCATCGTTGGTACGTCTATTATGACTCGGCACATTTTATTTTGTTAGTCTCGTACCAAAAAATAGGCGAGTCACTTTTCAACGCATTCGTCACAAAAAAGTAGTTTTAGTAGGTTGGAAGGAAAATAAACAAAACCAATATTATTAAAACATTATTCAAACACAATGTAAAAATTAAACAAAAAATTCTTCACAAATTAATTTGATTGTTTAAGAGTATTGACATATTTTTCGTTTGTTTCTTTATTGAAATTGAATGTGTTTATTAGTGTGTGAGAGGCCAATGGTGTAATATTGAGCACCCATAAACCTTCAATTAGATTAATCTAAACAGCTATTTGAGTGAACGGTATGTAAATAGGAAAGCAGGTATTGAAGAATGAATGAGAATGTGAGTGTATTTAGATTTAAAAACTGCATTCATTAGGGCTGATATGACCTAGCGGTTGAGTCCCTCAAGGTTAACTTTAGCAGTAGAACTGATAAGACTCCAGGAACTGGCTGTAATCAAATCTTGATCGAGTTTGGGCCATTATTAAATTTTTTGTATGATGGAAGTAATACTATACTTAAATTAGTAGCCATGTTAGTTTGTCCTTTTTTTTAAGTCACAACCAGAAAAGTTGGAATAGAAATGGAGAAGTGATGGATATAAATAACCACCAGGAGACAGAGCACACATAAAGGTTAAGGCCAAATGTACCCAAGAATATATGAATCCTAAATAGAGCAGCAGTAAATTATCAAATTTACTTGACTTCTCATTTCTGTATCATTCCAAATTTTTCCATTCTGTAAACGAATTTATTATCGATAACACCATAGAATGCACATTAATAGATTTATAAAACTTTTTAATTTTAAATAATTCTTATTTCTTTTAAGCTGGGCGCACACTAGATCGATAGGGTGGCGCGGCGCGGAGCCGAACTTGGAGAAGTTGCCAGACTTCTGGAAACCGGCTCCGCGCCGCGCCTTCCTACCGGCTTAGTGTGCGCTGGGGCGTCGGAAATCGTTGAGTTCGGGTATATTCGGCTGCCCTCGGACGCCATATTTGTAAAGACGAAGCCAACGTGTTGCTTTGTTTACCCTGCTTTTTGGAATAGTAGTTGCATTGTTTCAGGATAAGTTTGAAAACAAGATCATTTACATAAAATAATGATGATATTCTCCAAACGTAAGGCGTTTGGTGTTTATTTCATGTACCCATGCTTGTCGTTTCCATTTTTGCCTTTCTTTCTCCTCTTCCAACTGAGCGACCAGAAAAATAATTCCTCGACACTACTATTATTATGAATATAATTATTGTCACGGGGGACTCCTGCAAATGCAAAATCACCACTAAACCGCAACGCTAGTCAGATGGAGGGGGAAAATACTACCAACGCGGCCGAGAGCTGGTTCCTACATAGTGTGCGGACTGCGGACCTTCACAGTTACGACCCGCGCCGCGCCGACCCACCGACTAGTATGCGCCCTGCTTTAGAATAACATGTTCTAGCGGGGATGTAAAATGGAAAAAATAGGATTTTCAAAATCAATTCTTTTTCACATAATGCCATCCTAAAGAGGAAATTACTATAAATCTTCAAATGAACTACAGGGGCTACATTATATTTAGGCTTAAAGTTATTAACTATTGAATTTTCCGTACTAAGAGCACTGTCGAATAGGTGACCCTCGGAGGATCTGGCGAAAAGAGGTGTTCATTCCAGCCAACTACTCAAATCTGATCGGATCGTACCTTGCTGACAGGTACTTCCGAATTAAGTAAGAAGCCTATTCGGAACTCAAACCGATATTCATGCTGGAATGCCATAAGGCGGTGTACTCGTAAATTGTAACTTCGATTACAAATCGAGATCAAAAAGAATTAAACAAATGTGTCGTCCACTCTCAATTACTTATTCGCCAGCTGGACCCCGAGTCCTTTTTTTGTTTTTCGTCTCCGTGGAAATTTGAATAAATAAACAAAATTAAAAATGAATAAAATTCTCTCCGGCGTAAACATACCGCCCACCAAATTTCAATAGAAATTTCACCAAGAGGAAAGAGACGTTGTAGGGTGGAAGAACAGGATTGGAAAGATTCAGAGTTCAAGGAGTAGAGGAGATAGACAAGTAACCGGACGCGTACATTCCCCTGAGGGCGTTTTTATGCTCACAACTCGTACACCCCATCCTTGCCCGGGTACTGCTCAATGATGCTTCCGACAGGCCATGATAACGGATGTACTTGTACGTCCCGCATAACAACAAGCGTTCCAAGAGCCATGTTGTCGGTCTGCCGTTGCTGCGGAGTAGTCAGATACTCCAGACGCCATTTTTTCCAGATATCTTCCACGCACTTTTGCAGGAATTGCCATCGAGTTAGCATTTGTGGCGCGCGATCCGTCCAATCAATCATATTGTGGCAATGATACTAGGGCGTCGCCGACTAAAAATGTCCAGGTGTCAACATAGAATAATCGTCGGGATCGGATGAAATCGAGTAGAGAGGGCGTGAGTTTAGAATTGATTCAGTCTTGATAGCCACGGTGCACAACTCCTCAAAAGTTAATGGTTGATGATCCAGGACCCGCGTGAGGTGATATTTCAGTGACTTTACCGCCGCCTCCCATAATCCTCCAAAGTGATGGGCAGACGGCGGTATGAAGCTCCATTCGATGCTCCGCTTCACCACGTTCATCTGGACGTCGATTTCTTGTCTCGTATTCTCGGAGGCCCACCAGACATAAAGTTCGGTCAGCTGATGTTTAGCTCCGACGAAATTTTTCGCGTTGTCGGACATCATCTTGCCGGGGAGCCCTCATCTAGCAACAAATCGGTCCAAGCATGCGAGAAATGCCGAGTCGATAACTGCGAGACCACCTCAATATGCACTGCCTTAGTTCCGAGACAAACAAACAAGCAAATATAGGCTTTTCCCAGAGCAGCTTTGCGTCGTAGAGATTCCCGTATCTGGAATGGACCGGCGAAATCTACTCCCGTATTCAGAAATGCTGTACCTTGTTCAAAACGTGAGAGGCGCACTCGATCCAATTCTCAGACGGTGGCAGCGAATGCAGCGGCGGACACGAAATCGGACTAGCCGTCGCGCGTTGGGAACCCAGGATCTTTACCTCAGCAACGCGAGTACTAGTTAAGGCCCAGCGTGAGCGTGGACCCTACGGAGATGGTCAATCTACAGCGTCGAGAGGTGGGATTTGTTAGTCAGTAGTATCGGATGCTTCATTTCTTCGCTCACGGGTGCATTAGCTAAGCGCCACCCTGAGAATGCCCAGAGAATCCACAAAAGGATTTAGAGATTTTTTCGAAAGTGATACTGCTGCACGGATCTCGTCAATACGTGATGGGTTTCGTTGGTTTCTCTTAGTGTCAAGATGCCGGAGTTCCGTTGCTCTGTTTCAGCTCGCAAGTTTGTAGGCAACGACTCTAAGCATCCGCGAGTACGATGAAAATCGCTCCAGTAAGGTCTCAATCGTACCTACCTCGTTGGCAGTCAACATAATGGTTTGAGGCTTGACTTCCGGTAAGTCAGGTCCGCCTTCCAGCCAAGTGTTCAGATCCCACTCTTCTTTCGGTTGCTTCATCCAATCTGGACCTATCCACCACGACATCTGACTTGTAAGAATACCCGGATCTGTTCCGAGCGACGCCAATCTGCCGCATTGTCCTCAGATCGTACGTGAAACCACCAGTCGAGCGATGAGTTAGTTCTCCAATATCTTCACGACTCTATTGGCCACGAATGTCCCTAAGCGATGCAGGGAATACTGAAGCTATGCCAGAACAGTGGATGAATTGGTGAGTAGAATGATTTCATCTACTATTATATCTTCGAAGAAGGCAGCAAGAGCATTCACCAGCAGCAATGCGGCGCAGAGTTCCAGTCGTGGGTTGGTAAGAAGCTTCATCGGAGCCAAGCGGGTTTTTGCAAACAGCAGGTTCGTAGTGGTGTCCTTACGGGGGCATCAACGCGAAGGTACAAGACTGCCGCATATCCCAAAGACGAAGTGTCAGCAAATCCGATAATGGCAGTATGTGTACGATTCGTTGAAACTATGCATCGCGGCATATATATGGAACTCAAGGTTGGCAGTTCCTTGCAAAATTGTGTCCACTCTACACCAACCTGTCCCGGAACCTGCTCATCCCAACCTACCTCGTGTTCCCAGAAGTTCTATAATATCCTTTTTGCTTTGAATATTATTGGTGCCATGAGTACAAGGGGATCGTACATCCTCGCAATGGTCGACATGATTCTTCTTTCCGTCAGTACGGGTTCTCTCGTTTGGATTCGGTAAGACAGGCAATCGTTCTTCGGTTCCCACTGCATTCCCAAAACCTTAACAGTCGTATCCTCTAGTTGGAGGAACAGACAGGGGAATCCACAGAGCTAGCCCTGGATGATCTGTGTAAATGTGTAAATAACCAAGTCCATAAACGACAAGGAGATAGCTGTTACACTTTTTATACACGTAGAGGGTGCTTTAAACAATGCAACCACAGCCTCTCTATATAGAGCAATCAAAAACACTGGAATCTCGTAAAAGATATGCCAATGGGTGGAAGAAGGCCTAATGAAGAGGATAATCACATCCACCATGGGCGGTGCGACCATCTAAGACAGCCAGGAAATGCCCACAAGGGGGGGGGTTTCTCTCACCTCTACGGTTGAGGACGCTGGTAGATGAACTCCAAATACTGACTCAAGAAAGATTGTATTGTCTAGGCTATACGGACGAGCTTGCGTCAGTAGTAAAGGTCCGCCATGCAGACAACAATGTATTCCAAGTCTAAACGGTACTCCGATCCCATTTTCCAAGGAGGCCAAATATCTAGGGATCACACTAGACCAGAGGCTCACATGGGATACACATTTAACTAAAACCACTCAGAGAGACAAAATTGACTGGAGGAGATGCAGAAGTTTCTGCGCCAATAACTGAGGATTAATCCCCAAAATGACTCTGTGTCTATACACCAGCGTCTTAAGACCAGTGTTGACATATGGGTCACTGGTGTCGTGGACCAAGACTCTGCAGGTCAAAGCAATCAGATTATTAGGTAGCACCCAAAGAGGAGCTTGTCTCAGTGTCACTGGAGCCATGAGCACAACGCCAACTGCGACCCTGGAGGTGTTGTTAAACCTCCCACCACTTCATATTTTAATCCAAGGAGAAGCCAGAGCAGCAACCCACAGGCTCATAAATGCACAACCATCTGCAAGGAAAGGCCATGTAAATAAAAAATGGAAAGTGAGGGAGGGGATACAGGCAGATGCCATATTAGGCATGCCAATCGATGCCATTACTCCAAAATACAATTTTACTAAAAAATGCAAGGTACTGATACGAGAACGGGAAGAATGGGCCAAAGGAACACCGCTAAGGTAAATTCCTACTGGAACACGGACGGCTCCAAAACCGACAAGGGCACGGGACCTGGAGTCTTCGGGATGAATCCAAAGACTGAAGTGATGGTAAACCTAGGTAAATATGCTAGTTTTTCAGTCTAAAATCATAGCATTGAACACTGCGCCAGGGAAATAAAAAGGCATTCCCGGAAGATAGCCATCTTCTCTGACAGTCAGGCAGCACTAAGGCCCTAGCCTAATGTGAGGTGAAGACAAAGAGCGTTTGGAACTGCATGTACGACCTATGGAAGACGGTGACACAAATGACCTGACCTTGGCATAGGTCCTTGGTCACTCGGAGCATAGAGACAACAAAAAGTTGAACATATTGGCCAAAAAGGGAAAGAACATGGACTCTCTAGGTCTTGAACCGTACTGTAGGTTAGCATCGTGCCACAAAAGAGGATACATCTTAAAATGGATTATTAATGAACTCAAAACCTGGTGGAACAATACCACAGTCATGAGGCACTCGAAGAGATTCATAGAAGGGCCATCCGCAAAACCTACAAATGAGTTAATGGAAGGCAACCGTAACCGGACCAAGATTCTTGTTGGACTCCTGGCAGGGCACTGCCACTTAACAAAGCACCGGATAGGAGTACAGACAGAACAAACATTCTGCAGATACTGCCAGGAAGAAGAGGAGACCGCAGAACACATTTTATGTGTCTGTGAAGGACTATGTACGTGCAGGTTCTTGCGACCAGGACAGGAAAAACCATAAGCAAGATCCTACACTTAGGAGCCGCTGGCAAGTCTATGGAGGTTGATTAACAACCAGAAGCTGGCCAGGGAGTTATAAAAAAACAGTGGAGCACAATAAATCTTCTCAGGTAGAGGTGCAGAAGGCCTTGTGGCCCTCTCTTGTATCCCTATCCCTATCCCTACACCATTGTTTTAATGTGCCCCCACAAAAAAATCTAAGGGTATTAGAGATGGTTAGGGATGGTTGGGGGGGTGTTAGATCTGGAGATCTCGCTGGCCACTCGATGAAACCTCGTCTTCCTTGCCACTGACTATGACTATATTGACTATGCTTCTCATTACTTTATTTATAAATTTTTGTACGATTTGGCGGTTGGCCTTGCTGGCACGCCCCAGAGCTGGATGTCGTACGTCCACATAGAGTTCAGTACCTGTTGAAACAGTAAAATCTTACTTTCAATGGGCAAAGGAGAGCATCTGCCCATTAACCAGTACATTTTCCGGAATTTTATGGTGAAATCTTCACTCTTTTTTTACGTGCGTCTAATATCATACCAAAGTACTTTGCCTCGTTGGCGTAAAACCAGGAACACACTTACCCGATGCTACGCCATGCGACGCTACCCAATGCTACCCGACGCCTTGCCACGTTTTGGTGTGGTGGGCACATTTATCCTACCCAAGCACACATCGCGTACAGTCAACAGCGAGAGAGTGCTCTCAACACGACACGCAAGAATGGCACACTTACACAGAAGACAAACACTTTGAGCCCTGAAGATGATCTCAATAAAGATCGAAACGTTGGCACGGTAAAGAAAATGTTTTTCTGAAACCTATCACACCAGACCGCATCTCACGATTTCTGAATAATTAGTTTTAAATAAAGTTAATCCTAACCATCATAATTAAACAATGTTTATAAAAACCTACGAATTTTTGATCTCGTTTAATTTGGTTTACATTAAAATAACATGTTGTAATTAATATAACGACAAAATTACATGTAATTTTGTACATGTAATTCAAACTAAGTAGTTTGAAATAAAGTACAAAAAATATGAGTGTCCTGTTCTGATGCTACCCGACGGAAATGGTGTAATTTTACGAGTAAAACTATGAAATAAATTGTCAATTAAATTTTATGAGCAAAACCGTGTAATAAATTGTTCCAATTTTAGTATATGTACCGCCGAAGCGAGTACAATAAATTGTTAGTTAAATTCATTATACCAAAAAATCGTATTCCGGCGTTTTGATTAATTTTCTACCAAACCATTAAAATTAATTTTTAAAATAAAATGTACTGATTTTTTTTATTCAGCTTTATTCTCCACTTTTTTGTTCATTTATAAATTTGGAAAATCGAGTTGTTGCGAGTCTATTGATCATTGCTTTCTACAACCTTAAAAAAAAGTTGCTGAGCCCTGGGGACGTACCGTACGTTTGAAAAAAATTTTGGTCTTCATATTCTACGTACAAAATTATATAAAGACCAGTCCTATTTTTTTAAAAATTATTTCAAACAAAAGAAATAAAAAGGGGGTAGATTAAATAATCACCAGGTATACATGTACCATCAAGAGTTCGCAGCCTGATCTTCCACCCGATTCGAAAGGAAAAAGTCTCACGATACCAAAGTGCGTGGGAATCGTTTTGTTTATCCG